AAAACTGGGCCTCAGCCCCTAGATTCGACAACGTAGGGAAGTAGTTTCCACTGGGCAATGATTCGTGTGCTCACGGCACTCGTTTAACTCCCCGTTCATAATGGTGTAAACGCCATGCACATGATACATCAAGCCACACTTGGCGCGCCGTTCATCTCAGCTAGTGATGTGCACTGCAGATCTGTGACCGCGATACTGGGTCGTCTCCAGATGATCGGTCTCCTCCGGTTCTATTCCGAGATGAAACTCCACGTGCACCCGGCTCCCGCCCGAGTATTCACAAATGTCGGGGAGATTAATACTGGGCACGAATGGTGCCGATGGGGAGAATAAAACCGTCGGACCTGCGATGCAGATCTTTACAAAAGGCAGACATACTTTGGCTTTCTCCCAGTTCATCAAACCTTCTCACCCAAAAACTCTCGTTTTCGCTATTTTCCGTGTGGATTCTGCCCGGATTTCGGTATATCCTCTTAAGCTTGTTTTTTAACTTCACACTATTGGAACCGACCACAATGAAGTTCGTACTCGCCGCATCTTTGTTCGCTGCTATTGTCGTCGTGCCGGTAACGGCCGGAGAGTGCGGCACGTTCGGGACCGACTTCGGGGCTTGTCTGAACTGGTGTTCTGATACCAATCCTGGCGCCGAACGATACATCATCGACGGATGCTACCGGGCTGTCTGCTCCAGCTGCAGGCCTGCGAAGGAACGATGTAAGTTGATCCGCCCGAGTGCACCGCGATCTGTGACGATTTGACTGATGTGTGATGCGTAAAGCACTCGAGGCACGAGTTTTCCAGGCATGAAAATGTCCAAGAAGCATCGAACAATCTCGACATATTCTCTCTCTCCCCGACCGGCCGCTACCACTTCACAGCACTACTAAGAATCCAGATGCGACACTATGAATACTTCTCTTCCTGCCACCTTATCCCTCCCGCTTCAGTTCTGTTGACATTGATACAGCGATTGGTCCCGTCTGGTCGCTGGACGGCTCAAGGTCATCTTTGGCCTTTCTCAGATACCCGATAGAAAAAGTTTTACCGCGTTGAATCCGGTGCTGCAATTATTTCATGGTTTAAACTCTTATAACGGATTCCGCTGTTGCCTGGGTATCATGTATTTCGAATTCCTCAATGCTTAACCATTAACTCCTCCCAAGGTGATAGGTACCCTCTGCCCATCATCCCAGGTTCACGACTTTCCTCCAATGGCCGGCGCTCCCTCCCCGCCGCCCACAACCTTCTCGTATGCCGGTGCCGCCGCGCTAGGCTCATCATAAGCCGGAACCTGTTCGGCAGGCGGCGGCTGCGCCCTCGACGAAGAAGCAACCGCAGATGCCCTTGTCCTCCCACACGCCGTGTCCTCATCTGGCGCCAGAACAAGCAACTTCTGATTTCCCTCACACTTCCAGGTCTCCCCCGCCACCGACAACTTCACCTCCCAGTGTAACACGTGCTCAATCTTTACGCAATACGTCACGAACGTTGGTAGCACCGTCTGCCCAAACGCACCTGCGCCGTTCCTTTGACCGAGGAGTAGCCGTCCGAGTGCGTCAACTCGTAGGTCCAGGACGGCGCCGAGGTCTAGTGGGACTTCCTTTGGACCCGATGGAACGACGACTTTGCTATCCGGGGCTTGAAAAAGATGCTTTAGTCGCGCTAGGCAGAGTTTCCTCGTCTTGCTAGCGTCGTGGGGGTCGAGTGTTCCTGGGCAGATGATGCCTGTCGTCGTCTGTAGCTCCAGCTCCATCTGCTCTATCGTCACTGTCTGCGGGACGTCCTCGATGATATCCGACGTGCGATCCTTGGACGGTGTGAGATGAAGCAGGAACGGGATGGTCGACTCGTTGCCCAGCTGAATCACTGTTGGATACTGCACATCGAGGGTGTAGTGGAAGGTAGGAACTTTGGATGAGCCAAAGAACTTTTGCGTCTTCTGCTTGAAAGACAGCTCCGCGTCCGTCATCCCTGGGAGCAACCGCTGACTGCTCACACACCCAGTCTTGTTACGTCTCTCCAGCCTGAAGTCGCTGATCATTGGCGACGGCACGGGAGACGAGAAGACCCTTACAGGCATCGCCGCCTTCAGGACGGAACTCTTTCCTTGCACCGTCAACTCGGCCTCAATCCAATACTCCACAAAGCCATGCCAGCTCTTGTTGAACCCGGACCCGTCGAAGTAAAAGGTCCCCGGTAACGGCTGTTCAGGCAGCCCTGCGCCGACTTGGGTCCCAAATCCGGGGCGCAAGAAGCACGCCTCCTTGGCACTATCCCCACCACAGGCATTCACGGCCCGAGCATCCGTATGCGTAGGCAGCGCGAGGGCAAAAGGCCAGGATACAGGCTGCCCTTCGGCTCCGGGCGCGACGTGGACCGGTCCATGGTGGACTACATCGGTGATGGCGCCCTCGTACCAGAAGTTGAAGCGGGAGCGGTAGTAGCTCTTTTGATTATTGCCGCGGGAGATGACGAGTTTCGCTTTCGCGCGCCCGAGGAGGCGGACGCGAACTGTGGCGTTGGCAGCGACGATGTGCGATTTGCGGACAATGTGGCCGAGGATGACGCTGCCTCCGTGGAGGGGCGTGTCTGGGTGAAGGAGCTGTATCGAGAGATCGATATTGTTTTTCCTTTCCGTGGGAGGCATGTTTATTCAATGACTGAGTCTCGAGCAACAAGAATTTAGATCACCGATGGATTAAAGAGAAAATTCATTGGCTTATGGAATTGCGAACGTCGTCGTGTTTAAACATGTCATGAATTGCGGCACAATAGTAAGCACTTAGGGGCGGACGTGGCGCTAGGCAGCGACAACATGGTTGGTGCAGTGGCGCAGGTAGCGCTAAACATGCAGGGAGCTGTGGCTGTGTAATATCCCTCAATGAGTTGTTGAAAGCCCACCGGCTCAGCTCATACTTGATACGTCTGTTCATCTTATCTCATGCACATGTCATTCCATCTTATAGATATCTCATTTCATCTCATTCTTGTTCAGTTCTGTACAGCCGCGCCATGTGTATGATGGTCCCAGCTCCATACATCGCGCGCCACCCACACAGTTGATACTCATACGCCCTGCCCGGGCTTCGTTTGTTGGTATCCCACTTATACAGACGATGCCCTGTGCCTTTCTAGGAGAGATTCTGCATCTATCTGACATAAACTGATCTATTTACACCCGGCTTGAGATGCGAGATGTAATCAACCTCATTCCAGCCCGCTGGGCAGAGCTGAACCTCTGCAAAGTGACCGATGAATGCCAACTTATCAAGATCTGGATGTCCGTCAACTACTTTGATTGCTTACCTGAGTGTACACATGCCATCAGTACAGGAAATATACTTGCCGTTACTTATATTTCTCAACATAGAGCTTCGACGGCAGAAACCATTTAGGTAGACATGCTAGTTCCCATCAGTGCCAGTATGCACAAACCCAGCTCGGAAACCAGAATAAGAAGTTGCACTTGGTATCTTCAAAGTTACTCGCAGACTCATTATAGTAGCACGTTATGAGTAAAGTAATTCAAATACGACCATCTATCTAAGACCAATTGACTGTGTGCTACTGCTTGTCAAACGCCGTGCTTGGCAGCCAAAGTTCCGAGAGCCGCCAGGCCCCTTGGTCTATTAATTACCGGTCAAGATTTCATTGTGTCTTGGAGAGTGCTGTTAAGAACTTGAGCCAAAGCTCCGGAGGGAAGATAAGGAGCATATAGCCTGAAGGCAGTGCGGAAACCTAACAAATTTCCAGATAAGTACTTCGCTGTGCTAATAGCCTCCATGGCCTTGAGTACTCCAGCATCACTAGACCCTTCTTAAATTGTTGTTCATAAGAATTGTCCCATTCAGGGCTCTAAATGTTGAACTATATGATAACTACCCGTATGTATATACGTCTTTCGAATCTTGACCAACTCCGTGACTTCACGAACGTTTTAATGAAAGGAAGTTAGGGGAATAAGGAGAATGCGGTCGGTTCGCAAAACAGCTCCCTATCGTTTCCACGGATATCCAAGTACGTATATCTACATTTGGCGACATCTAGCACCTGTTGGGGTATTGCACGGAGGTCAAGCCACTGATGTCGCTAGCAGCACGGTCTTTGCCCCGGGGGACTGAGCTGGTCCTTAGACGTTCAAAATACACGTATGTGTGGTAATATGACAATGCATGCAGAAACTTGTTGTATTCAATATGACATACATCCTATGTGGTGTCTACAGACATGCTCGTAATTGAGAAGTCTCCCAGCATCATCTGCAAGCCTGCTGCCCTACGTCATAAGGTACCAAAACACATCTTTCGCGACAATCCATCTAGCCCAAAACCTGGATGCAATACAGAAACCCCCTTTCACACTCTCTTCGTCGCTGTCCAGAATTGCGTGACTGATTTCTCAGTTAGATATAGGTCTCATCTCCAGCAAGAAAACAAGGGATACTTACCATACGTAAACTTGAGCAACGATTCTGGTTGTTGGGCGTAAAGGCTGTCAATACTCTTCCGCGACGAAAGGTCTACGTCGAATCCAATCAGATCCGCTAGATGAAGCACTTCCTCGGCGGAGAGTTGAAGAGCGGTGTGGGTGCCATATTTAAGCGCTACATGTACGTAGTCTCACGTCAGCTCTACTTCGCTGATTGAATCAAAAGGTCCAGTCGAATTGCAAGTAAAAGAGGGTTAATGGGGAAGTCTTACGTCCAAGGTTAATCCAAGTACCACCAGGCTTCAGTAACCGGTGGATGTTGCTCAGGAAGTCAATTATGTTGTTGCCAATGTCGATGAAGAATAACGTGACAACGGCGTCGAACTGACCGTCTTCGGGGAACATCTCCAAGAAGTCGCCCTGGACGAATTTGACAGCCTTGTTTGGCATGTGATCTGGCACCGTCAGGGCCGTGTAGCGCGAGGAGGGTTGGACTGATGGGTCCATTTGGTCACAAAGGGATGAATAGTATGCTGATGGAGTGAGGTCGTATGGTTTGTAAGAAGGTGATGAGCCAAGATGGAGCTGAAGTCTAGATCGTTGGCCGTTACATCATACCCTGAGTCAACGTGTAAGCACTACATATTACGCTCTCGACTCCGCCGTGAAGAATGTACATACCGACATCAGCAATATCGCTCGCCAGTCTGCCCATACCGCATCCGGGGACAAGAACCTTCTTCCCCTTCCCATTTTCGCCAAAGTGTTGCTCAAGCCCAGCTAGAACGGGTGGGAAAGTAGCCAGCCTCTCCGTGACATCATGTGAGCTCCAGTCTCGCGAAAGATGCCCAAAAGTCAGGTCCACAAGACCAAAATCGGCATCGTCTTCGTGCGTCAGTGCTCCTGGGCCGGTTTGATAGTGCTTCCTCGAAATTTGTGCAATCTGCTCCGAGAGACGGGCGTTGGCATTGATTCCTTCGGTGGCTTTCTCAAAGTGCTCAGGATAGCCGAGCTTGTTGCTCATCAACTTCTGTGCGGGCGTCTGCCAGTTGTACCGCGCATATTTCCGCTGTGACACCCCTTGAGCGAGAGACGAATACTGCTCGAAGGAGTTGATGTCAAGTTGGGATGTTGACGCAGGGTGGAAGCTCTCAGAGGCCAACTGCAGTTAGGGGTAGAATGATGAATTACTGAAATCTGCTCCTCCCTCGACGTGTACTCCCTGCGCTGTATATATATCTGAGCTGCTCCTTTGTTGCTTGGACTCCTTACTACCTCTTACTAGCCCCTATCCGGGAGGACTCTGACAGTTGATTGCATGCGCCAGGTCTTCAGGGAGCTTCTTCTCTCCTTCAGATGCGCGAACGACCTTGGCGGGCCTCGCGGAAGCTCCGACGGGTGCTTTGGAAATGGATGGGGGAGGAATGTCTAGGGGGGCATTGAGCGCAACATGAAGGGCTTCGGCGCGTAAGGAGAGCTTAGAGAGAAAAAGTGTAACGTCAGACAACGAGCCAGACCCACGGAGGGCGAGGTATAAGGGAAAGATGATGCAGAGGAAGAGAGCAAGGGAGCGGGAGGGGAAGATTGAAGAACACATCATTGTGCTTGTAGCTTCGATGAATGTTTGTGCCAGGAGAGTTGATTCTTCGTGCTAGACGCAGCCCTATTGGAAGCAGGAAGAGCTTCACGAGTGGATGAACGGCGTGATAAGTGGAAAGTTCCCTGGCCTTGAACCTCTGCGCCAGCTACTTTCCGTCTTAAGGGCCAGATACTCTATATCCAGCCTCGAATACTAGAAGTCGCCGCAGGTACCAGAAGGCAACGGCTGCGCCCGCCGTCCGCGCCGTCCGGTCCCAAGCGATGGGGTCTACCGTCTGAGCATTGTCTGAATCGAAAATAGTGGATTATCACGATTCACGATCACACGGATGCCAACCGGGATCATCTCTGTTCTTGTTTAAAGTTCTGCCAGGGGGGCGTGTGTCCCACTTTAACTTGAGGTAACCTTCGGCTAGTGAGACAGGATGAATCCCTCCAGCACTATCAGCCTTACCGAGGCCTGCCGACGAGTCAACGACTATGGAAAGCCTCCTGTAATGAGAAAGTGTCTTGGATGGCAGGCCACGTCAGACTCTCTGCCGAGCCGAATCTCTTGCACCGCGGCAACATGACTTACCTTGGAACTAAGAGACCTTTGCAATTGAATACTAACGCGCTATAAGGTTGCTATTGAATTAACAACGTAATTATTGAACTCATAGGCTCTCCGTCCTGCCACAGCGAAACCCCTCAATACGATGGCAGTTGAGATTGAGGTTAGGTGCTGGTCGACGGGTTGGCCGTATAAACCTATAGAATACTCTCCTCATTGGCCGAAACAGTGTTAAGTTAAAGTGGGACACATCCCGCAAACGACATGGCCAAAGTCCTTATTAAACCCTGTAACTACCATCTGCTCTGAGTGAATGTTTTCGCTTCTTCCTTAGGAAATCGATTCCATGTTCATGTTACAGCCATGGGTCATCCTATTCTGTTTCTCTGTTTATTTGCCGTTCTCTCGGTCCTCCCCAGCCACGCGCAATCAACAAAATGCGGCAAGCTGTTGACACGCAAAGAATGGCGAACGTTGACGCAGGGTGAGAAAACTGAATGGGTGGGGGCTGTCAAGTGCTTGGGAAGCATACGGCATCAACGACTGTCCTTCACTCCAGAGCAGAAGGTTCTCGAGGGGATGAGAAGTCTATACGATGACTTCTCCTACTCGCACGCAGCAGTAGAGCATAGCGCTCATAGAAATGTCTACTTTTTGCCGTGGCGTATGTTCCTATCCTCTTCCTCTTCCCAAACACACATCCGATACTTACACGAGCGCAGACCGCTGGTTCCTCTACCTATTCGACACGTCTCTCCGCCAAAACTGCGGGTACAGTGGTCCGACGCCATACTGGGACTGGTCGCGGGATCACGCCGACCTCGTCGGCTCTTCCGTGTTTGAAGATTCACCCGAATTTGGGCTAGGCGGTACTGGGGACTGTAACTCTTCCCCCGAAGCCGATTGCATGGTCACCACAGGTGCTTTTGCCCAGTTCGAGCTCGCCTGGCCGATTCCGCACCAACTACGCAGGAACTTGACGCTCATCACTGGATGGTTTGACCATGAGCGGCCCCAGAACTCCACACTAGGCCCAAACTCCGTGCGGAACTCGACAGAGCATCACACGGGCGACTTTTACAGTTTCCAGCACTCAATGGAACAGATGCATCATCACATCCACAACTTTGTTGGGGGCGACTTGGCGGGAGACTGCCCAAAGAAATTGCCAGCGGATGATTGCAAGGACCTAGCCGTCGCCTTCACGCCGAATGACCCTCTGTTCTGGTTGCATCATGCGCAGCTTGACCGTTTATGGAGCAAGGTACCCGCCCCTCCCAAACCTTACTTAACTCAACTATCACTCAAATTTACTAATGCGTATTGATGAGTTCTGCAGTGGCAACGTCGACACCCCACCAATTTGGCTGCTTTCTCCGGCATACCCTTACATTCGTTCAATATGAGCGACCCGCAGTACGACCTTAACGCGAGCGCAGATTGTGAGATGCCATTTGACGTTCAGAGTGTACCAGTGACGCCGAAGAAGGTTTTTGATACGGAGGCTGAGCCGCTATGTTACCAGTATGTAGATGAGGAGTGACGATTGCAGGGCTGGAATAATAAACGCCACATGTTGGTTGCACAACTTGAACCAGTAAACCTCGGGTCGCGTTCGCTTTGTCTTCATATTAGAGTTTAGCTCTGCCTTAGTCTGTGCACACTCACTTACACGAAGTGCAGAGAAAGAATAACGAGATAGATGGGACGGATGATTGGAGCACAAAAGTGTGAAAAACTAAGTTGGTGAAGTTGATTTGGCATCTATGGAAGGCGCTGAAGTCTAAACTCAAATCGAACTCTCTAAAGACTAGACTCATTGATTCTCTCAAACATCTCTGGTGTCCATTTTCCATGTTGTTCCGCCATCCAATCGTGTACCTGTCTCCAGTCCCGGCAGGTGTGTACAGCTCCGTCGCCTGCAGCGATTTTGTCCCCATTGGCCAGTTTCTTGTTTGTGCCGCCAGGTTCGATAGTCGTGTCAGCGGCGCAGATAATCCCCTGCCGCAAGTAGTGGAAGCAGTGCTCTGTGTGGTCAGACCCGTCGTCTCCATTAACAAGCACGGCGCGAATGTGGCTTAAGCAGTGCATCTGATGCCACATTGACACACCAAATGCAAAGTGCTCCTGACCTAGGAAGACGAAACCCTTGCCAGGGGGACGGATTGCGTTCCATTCAACCGTAGAAGCAAAGCCTTCCATCCCGTAGTGCTCAGAGTCATCTACGAAGTTGGCTTGAATGGTGCGGACCTTGATAGGAAGCTCATGAGGCCGGTCACCTTCGAGGTAGGCTATAGTGCGTTAATTATGGAGTCTGAGAAAGAAAGTAGCTTGAGCAAACTAGACATACTGTATGAGTGTGATCCGCGGGTCAAGACGCGAAAGGAGAAGAAGAGAGCGCCCAAGTTCAAAACGAGGCATACGCAGAGCGCTACGAACAGCCCGAGTGAGGGGCCTCGTAACTGAGACTTCAAAGACTTGAAAGACATGGTCGCGTGCTGGCAGGATAGTGCGTTGAGGGTTCGCAAAGAAAGAACATGATCGTTTGGATCAACGGCGCCGAGAGTGGGCGAGCAGTGTTTAACATATTTGTGGCCGTATCCGCACTCACTTGAGTAGGCGAGTCGCAACGATACCACGGGGCGGTGCAGGAGGATTCGCAACTTCGCAAGTGTCAAGATGCTCTACTCATGAGAGTCAGTCATCCAAGGGCCACATGACAACTTGGGGTTCCACAAAAGCTGTTCGATATACGACGACAGTAAGTTTCAGCATCTAGATGAACATCTAGACGAACTTCGGAATCTCCGTTGCTGCGTTGACGAAGAAAAGGACCGCAGGACCGTTTGAGGTTCCACAAGATCTGCTCGCTCGACTTGCGATGAAAGTAAGTTTCCCCGTCTAGATGAACCTCGGGATTCAGGATCCTAGCTGCGGAAGGAAGGGACCGCAGGTATGGAACAGGTTGCGTGCTCCACACAAAGTGATGCGACCGCTCGATATATCCAGATGAATCATGAACGCCCGCAGGTCAATTTGCTCGCCTACCTCAGGGCTCATCCGAATAAGCTGAACGAGGCTTGCCCGACGGAACGGACATCGAGACATCATGACTCCGTCCGACGGCGCATCACGCCCGGCGTGCCATCTACACGCCCCCGGCCCTGCTGTTAGAGATATCCACCAGCCTCGTATACCCGGCGCGAGCGCGATAGCTAGTCACGATCTTTACCTAGAACCTCATCGTCGAATCCACCTGGGAAAGTTTGCAAGGCATGTCAGAGACTCAGCACGAATGTCTGAAGACCCACGACTTGATAATTATCGCGAAGGCAACGCCGGCGCAACAACGCACATGCACGCTTCAGATCGTGGGGATTCGTGGCCGTACGGAGAGATTGTCGAACGGATATCCCTCCCATGCGCTTCGTCTCTTGAGGCTCGAAATTCTATAAATACCCAAGGAAATAACGACTATCGAAAGAAAGAGCATCCACAACAACATCTCACTTCACATCAATCATCTGACTATATTTTCAACATCTTCTTCAACTCACCTTTACTTTCAAACCATCAACTTTTCAACCAATCTTTCAAAATGCAGATCACCAGTGTCATGCTCAGCCTTGCCAGTCTCGGCCTGAACGTTCTCCCTGTTCAGGCCGGACCTATCCCCAGCGCTGAAGCCGCTCTGGCGGCTCGCCACGTCTACTCTCCTGACGTTGACGAAGCCCCCGTTGAGAAGCGCCACGTCTACTCTGTCGACAAGGACGAGACCGTTGAGAAGCGCCATGTCTACTCCCCTGATGTGGATGAGACCCTGAACAAGCGTCACGTCTACTCTCCCGAAGTCGACGAGACCATCGCTAAGCGTTACGTCTACTCTCCCGACGTCGATGAGACCTCTTCCTAAACCCAAAAGCAGTCGAAGCTAGTCAGGAAAAGTCACTGCAGGGACGGGTTTGGGGCGAAATCGTTTTGGGCGGAATAGATTCCATGGCTGGCTTGCGAGAAGGGGAGATGTAGTGGGGTGTCTCAGCACTTTTGCGAACTTCCAGTGATCAAACGCGTAGCTAGGTTTGTTTAGTTAGAGGCGTCCTCTTCAATTACAATAGAATTTTCTTTCCAATATGCTCTTTGTTTCGGCAAACGCCCCTAAATTAAGCGTATCCCCACGCGAGCTCCAGGCCGGCAAGCAAGTCACTAAACTTCGTAGCTTGTCTTGTAATCTATTGTCTTAGCGCTAGTTACACAAAAGTAAGTAATATACAAAAACTCAAAAAGAGCAAATCAGGGTGTCAGGGCGCATCTGGGTGAGTAATCGTTTCCGCACGCACGTTTGTTTTGTCGACGCGACGAGTCTCCGAGCCTTTCCCCTACCCCTTGAAAAGTCAATGGTCGTACAGATAGGTACATCTAGTTTGAGGTTTACTATCTTAGTCTGCTGAGAACTTGCATAGCGCGATGGAGTCTTCGCGACCAAGGCCCGATCTGTCGCTATCCTCCCCGACGATGTTTGCGATTACGAAACTGCTCGCTCTTGCGCTGCCCTTGCTCTGGAGCTGCCTTGATAGTTTTGCCAAGACTAGCGACTTGACTGAAAGCTGCAGTGATCTTCGGCGGAGCACCTACCTCTATACACGTTGCATATAAGACTTATCCCTACAATTTATCTTGGTTTAAGTCTTATGCAGAAGGAGAAAAACTTAAGTCTATCTCAGGCAATCACCCTGAGCATGTACACAAGAGCATTTACGGCAGACGGTTTATTCAGATAAGCTACAGAACCAGACAGCTCAACACCAATCATGTTCCATCCATGTCCAAAGCCGTAGCGCGCCTTCGCATTGATCTATTGTATTCTACCCAGGTTAGGAGAGGGTTGTAGAAAAATAAGTCCAGAGGTCACAATCATATGAACTACGGCTCCTCGGCCTAATCTACAGGTACTCATCCGGCATTGGAATGAGTGTCTCGTTCCAGCTGCACACATGGCCGGATGCTCCTCAGGAAGAGCCTCTGTGTCAGCCATCTTAACGTCAGTGCACTATGGGTCACATCAGTCTTAGTCGAACTACCTGTGGGATTTCAGCTGGCGCAACTCACAAAATATTCAACCTTGCCTGTCGCCGGATCCTTGGCCTCAAAATACATGACTCCCATCTCATTGAGTTTGGTCTCAAATGGTATCGTGACATTGACGCACACCTGTCCTGAAGGCTGCATTGGCAAGTCCTGCAGGATGACATGGGGGAAGTCGTCCCTCTTCTTCGGCACTCTGTTCCGGGTGTAAAGGGCCGTGACAAGGTCTCCGGGATGGCCAGAGAAGGAAAGGAATGTGCGGGAGCTGCGGGCGTAGGCTTGGGGGTTGTGCACGATCTCCCCTTTTGCTATGTATTAGACCATACTCATGCTGGGGAGTCTGAGCAGGAGACTAAAGGGGAAACTTACGGCAAAACGGGTGGAACTCATCTAACTCTGCCCGGGACGGGAGGTTGGCACCACGGGACGACCATGGGTACTGGATGTGAAAGCCAGCGTGGGCCGGGGCGGCGGCGGATGTGAGATTAATGCCGGTGCCGAGGGCAAGCAAAAAGGTGAGTACGGTAGGAATGTTGGGCATGATGGATGGTTTTCAAGTGCTGGATCGGCGTAGGTTCCACGTTGTACGCGGCCATCTGCGGCAAAGAGAGAGAGAGCTACATGATAGCTCGTGCCAAGACTGTTGGTATTCCTCTCACAGGGAATTTGGTTCGAACCGTAGGGTCCTGGGGGTGACGAAGTATCAATATCTCTGTATTGATTGATTCTGCGTGAGGAGTAGAAGGGAGATTCCAACCGGAGGTTGGGTGGGTAGTCGAGGTCTAAGTGTACCCCCTCGAGGTGGCCCATGCTCTGCCCCTACTCGCGGCCGAATTGGACTTCCAATCCGACACTGACTATCTCTCTCTTTTAACGTCTAACTGGTACGGTTGGAAGGATAATTCGAACGCTGCGAAGTCGTGTATCATGCGTGTAAGACCAGTGCTGTCTAATGTGCCCCTTTCTCCTCCTTCCGAGGTCCCTTCCGTGTGACCCATCCCTCCATTCGTACCGTGGCCTTCCCCTTGTCGATGAAGTGTTCCAATCCCTGGTTGGGGCTCGCTTTGGTGAAGGCGTCGGCGAGGTTGTCGTCGCCATTGATCCAACGGATCTCCATTATCTCGCGTCGTTCGTACGATTGCCGTAAGGCCATGATGTCGATCATAAGCCTCTTCTCCTTGGTGGTGCCCAACTTGACGAGGCATTCGTATAGCGAGTATGAGTCTGTACAAACTACCGTAGGTATCGTGGGTAAGTCTAGTCGATCGGTAATCCTTTTTAATGTCGTCGATATCGCGTGGGCGAGGTCGACGCCGTTGACCATACCGTAGACTTCCGACGCGAGGACGCTTCTGGTGATTCGCTTGCTCTTTGTCGACGAGTAATGGATCACATTGCCGTGGATGGAGAAACTGTCCTCCATCATGGTCTCGTTGGCCAGTATGATGATATAACCCAGTTGGGAAGTCAGATCCGCGTTGTTCGCGAATGACCCGTCGACGAAGACGTATAACCGGGTTGATGCCAATTCCAGGGGATAGTAGGTTAATCCCCTATCCAGGCGACTGGCCTGCCAGTTGAGCCTTTTGTTGAGAGCCGCGATATCCTCATCTGTTGGATCCGTGGCTTGTGCTGCCCTGGCGTAGTCGAAGGTGGCTTCTGGTTGACAGATGCTGGCGATGTAGGCGCCGCGCGCGAGCTCTGCGCGGTATCGTTGATGTCGATCCTTCGATGTCGGGTCCACCTTGGTAATCTTTTCCCCTTGCCCCTTTTGCCGGAAGACGACATTATCCCCTTCTATAGTGAGGATGCCGCCGTTGAATGCCAGCGGTTGGTTGGCAGTGAGGATTTCCTTGGGCTTGGCCGTGAACTTTGCCTTCTGGAGCTCATCGTCTTCCTTCTTCATGAAGTCGACGTTGGAGAGCCCCAAGGTGTCGTCCGTCTGCATGCCAACCATGCCAAAGGGCCCGTCTGCGTGTTCAGAGATGAGCAGGCACGGGTCGTACGTCGATGTGATCATCGATAGTTGGACGATGTGGAAGTCGTGATAGGTTGCCCACCAATGGGTGCCCGATTCCGCAAGACCGTACAATGGCTTGAGCACTTCGATAATTGTGCCTTCTGGGTACTTTGTGGCCATTTCCTTTGGCAATTGGGCAACGATCTTTCTCATGAGCCTGGTTGCCGATTGGGTATACGCTTGCGTAATATCTCGGCTCCATACGTGGAATCCCATTCGTATAAGTGATGCCATTAATGCCATCATGAGTCGTTGGCTACATCGTTGTACGGTGGGTGACTGCGTGAGCAGTCCTGCTTTCTCGACGTCGCCGTATCCCTGAATTACATGTCGTGATTTCTCGTAAGGGGTTGGGGTTCCTTTGCCCTTAACCTCACGTACCATACGCGACTTGAAGATGCGGAGGTTTGCGTGTTTGTCTGGGTCGTATAGAACGAATCGGTAGACCCCTCTGTCGCGCAATGTATCTGCTTCGACGAGGTCGGATCCCTCGAATGGCCTTCCCTCAGTGGTAATGATACCGTTCTTTCTTAGCTTGACTGCTAGCGCGAAGTCGGCCTTTTCCTTCGCTGTGTAATATGCGTTGACCTTCGCAAGATCTTCCATTGTGACGTATAATATGGCCCTATCGTTGTTGGTAAAGGACTGTCTCATAGGGGCACGTCGTGTCCGTCTTCGTCGTCGAGGCGGCGGCGTCGGCGATGGACTGTGCTGGGTAGGTGGCTCTTCGTCTTCTGCTTGTTGGTCGTCGGGTTCGTCGTCCTCATCGTCTGAGGGTGCTGCGACGATAATTTCGTCGAGGACAACTTCCTGCTCAATCTCAGGGGGTGGAGGTAGGTCTTCCCCTGGCTCTCCTCTTTCTTGTGGTTGATCTGCGATCTCCTCGTTGTCGTCTCTCAAGTAGGGTCGTACAGCAGTGATCGATACCTCCAACGGTTGGTCTCGATCTCTGGCTACGACGCACGATCGCTCGTCGACGGAGATTAGTCTGAATGGTCCCGTCCATTGATTTGTAGTTGACCTCCAGACTCTCACGTCTGAGCCTAGTGGCATGTCGAGGTTCGATGAGATGTCTGGTCCATTACGTGTAGCCAGGGCTTCATTGATTTGCCTCCTCGCATTGACCTCGCGTAGCGCCTTCATGGCCTTCTCGATGCCCTTCGCGCGTTGGACTACGTCTAGTGACGGTGGCGAGGCTGTGGTCGTTCTTGGATAAGCACCGAAGACGAGGAGCGTTGGGACTAGTCCTTCTGGTCCCATGGTATCATTGCAGCATTTGAATGCTGATTGGAGGCAGTCTTCGTCAGGGGCACCGGGATTCTCGTCTTTGATTATCTTGAATGCCCTTTTCAGCTGCTGATGTGCCCTTTCCACCTTGCCGATGCTGTGATGTGCCTCGACTGGTACCACTTTCAGTTGGATGCCGTATGATTTCGCATTATCCCTGAATTCCGTGGACTTGAAGCTGGTTCCGGCATCTGTTCTTATGCCGTCAGGTGGGCCGAGGTACGTGTCGATCCACGCTCTTTTGACTGCTGCCCACACCGTCTTCGCCTGGAGGTCGTCGAGGAACTGTCCACCTTGGAATGATGTGGCCGCATCAATGATGTGAAGAGCCGGCTTGCCGTTGAGGTAGAAGATGTCGATAACGATCTCCCAGTTGAAGTGAATCTCATCTTGCAACTTGAAGCGGAATCTGCGCGGCCTTTGGGCGTTCATTTGACATTGATGGCAGATTTTCGTGATGTGCTCCAAGGCCTCGGTCTCGACGTCGTTGCCCGACTGCTTGAGCAAGTTCTGTAATCTCGGGACGGATGGGTGCCCAAAACGCTTGTGTAATCTCCTGAGCTCAACCTCGGTCAAGTAGTATACCGACCTGCTTGCGGTCTCGAGCTTCATAAATGCGTGGCCCCATCGTCTTTCTACTTTTTCGAAGTGCGTGCCATTGGAGATCCGGTTCTTGAGGTTCTCGAATGTGATGCCTAACCGGTCCATATCTCTGAGGCATAACAGAAAGGGTGTATTGACCGGAAGGATATGGAAGGTCATGGTTCCGAAGGTGGTGGTGATGCTCACCGTACCAATTCCCACCAGTTGGTCCCCTGGGCCGAAGCTGATAACGGCGATGCCTGCCTTCGACCTGTCGAGCGCTGCTGGGTAGATCTTCTGTAGCGCTTCCAACTGGCCCTGTCCCCCGGTAGACCAATGTGATGCTCCGGTATCAGGGATAATCCCTTGGAAGACGTCTGGCCCGTACCTTTCCTGGGTATGGTATATCTGGGCCGTCCCCTCGTCTGGCTCATCTGGTGGATATAAAAAGGGGAGTAGTGAGGCCCCTGAGCTTGTCTTCCTTTTTTTCTCGGTACGGGTGTGATCATCCAATGCTTCTTTAGCCAGGTTGTGGTCACTCAAGGCTTCGCTTGATCCTTGGCTTCCTTCGTATAGGGCCGACGATCCCTTACTTCGTACGAATCTGCCTTGACAACCATGGAAGAATGCCTCCTCGTTGAGGGTATTGACCGCTTGCCTGTCATTCAGAGTGGAATATCCTCCTGACGATGAGGGAGCGAAGAAGACGTGTTGGACCTCGTCGACGTCGTCGAAATCGTTATCGACGATATCGTCGATTCTGTTAAGGAAGGGAGTGATGTCCTCATCGATGTCAGATTCGTGATCAGGATCCCCTTGTGTGGAAGGGCCCTTTCCCTCGTAGTCGATGAGGAATTGCTGGAATTGGCCCGGGCTCGACTTGCCCTCAGTGCCTTTCGTCTGCTTGTATTTCTCGTACGACTTATCCCTTTCCTCTTGGGTATGGCTTGTCGACCAACAGCCGTCTTTCTTGCAGACCCAGCACTTTCCGCGAGGCTGATTTCCGCGTGGCCTGAATCTTGTGGCTGATGTTGATCCTCCTCGTGTCTCTTGCTCATTGGATCGGTTGCCGTATCTGGCTTCCTTTCCCTTGCCGTTGTATGTACGGTCGACCCAGTGTTGTTGATATGGTGCGTCAACTGCTCGGAATTGTTGTTGTCTGGGCATCCTGGCCTCGATGTTGAAACTCGACCTCAGCCGTGAGCAGAGGGTCTCGTAGTCGGTTGGCGGTGCGTGCAAAGTCATCCTTGCCTCGGGTACTCGCTGGACCGCTGTACAGAGATATCCGACTTTTCTCTCGTTGGTTCCCTCCGTTGGCTGGGTCTTGGCCAACTTGTCGATCTTGTCGATAAGCTCCTCGAGAATCTCAACGCGTGGCTTGCCCTCCATTCCGCGAGCGATAGATCCATATGAAAGTGCCCTTAGCTCGGCGAGGAGCTCGAGGCTCCTATCGTGTGTCTCGAAGCGGCTTCGGATTGCGTCAACAACGCTGAGGAAGTCTGATTTGTCGAGTGTACGCACCGCGAGGTAGTAATATTCCTCTGCCTTACCCGTGAGTACAATCGTGATAGCTGAGTGGTATTGGTGTTCCTTGATTCCTGCCTTCTCGCAGTAGTCGTAGAACATGGTCAGGGTCTCTTGTAGGACCTCGTACTTCCCCCCTGCATACTTCTTCTCTTTTGGGAATATCTTCGTGAGGTCCGTTAATTGCCGTGGGTTAGCGATGATTGGATCCTGCTCCTCGCGTGATTCGCGTGGTGTCGAGTTGAATCGTTGGCTCTGTGTAGTTGAATGTGGTTCTATTCGCATATCACCGTTTTGGCCCATGGGTTGCGATGTCGACGGTAACCTTGGGCTTGTAATTGCAATTGGAGGAACCGTTGCTTGACGTACTTCTGGAGGTGGGCCGCTGTTGGCTTGTCTCATATAGGGGCCGATTGCGCCATTGGTGATCATCAAGAGAAATTCTGGCTTGGTAATGCGCTGCCTGAACTCGCTAAGCCGGTATATTGCGCGGTCGACTTGCTGTTGGTTCCAAGGCGTAAATTCTGATGCCGACAGTGTGGCTGCGAGGGTCTCGTGAGGTTCTCTCGTAGCTGACGAATCTGGTAATATGCCTCGGCCATGAAGGAATCTGACGACTTCTCTGACGATACCGTCGTTGGCGCTTGCAAACCATTTGCCTGGCCAGTGGCCGATATCATCGGTAATCTGGTAAAACAGGGGTTGCCCCTCGAGTCCTTGCTTAGCGTAGATTTCCATTAAGAAAACGAGGGCAGCGTCGACCCGCTCGTTATCTGGTGTATCCGATGGTCTGAAGGTCCACTTTCCCCAGTATGAATTGTTGATGTCTAGCCACTTGAGAGGTATGGGTACCCTAGTCATCGCCATTCTGGTTGACTCGCTTATAACCGTACCCTGGCTAGTGCTCGTATCAGAGACAGTCGGTGTGTTTGATCTTGGTGGACTGGGGGTCGAGCCGCTTATCGGGCGTGGCAGCAGCAGACTGTCGTCGCTGGCCTGATTAGACGGGGTCTGGCTCGATCCCGCCTCTCCTTGCTGACGGGCGCTAGATCTCGTCGTTACTCCTGGCCTCGTTGCCGTGGGTTCCTCGGGCTCAGCCGCCATCTTGGTCTTCTTCCTTGGTCGCGTGGTGCCCTTTTGTGCTTTGGTCGAAGGGCTCGTACTTCACGCGTTGGAAGGTATAGTCGGTATATTGTCTCGCGGGCGTAAGTCGCAGGCTGCGGAAAATAGATATAATTGTCGCGCGGTCTGGTCGCGGTTGGTGTACTTGACAGACTTAAATTCGCGGTCTTCCCGCGATGAAGTCGGTATAAGTAAAGGGTCCTTCGTCGGTCGTCGGGCGCTCGAGGCGTCTGGCCGGTCGACCGTCAAAGGCGTTGCTGACGTGATGGACGCCTCCTCTCGTGAGATTCGAGAGGTCAAGGGAGCACGATTCCTCTATCCCGTTCGGTATTAGAGGGTCGCCTCTTCTGCTTTCGTGGGATGCCTTGCTGATCTGCGATAGTGGAATTTAACCACTGATCAGTGTTGGTATTCCTCTCACAGGGAATTTGGTTCGAACCGTAGGGTCCTGGGGGTGACGAAGTATCAATATCTCTGTATTGATTGATTCTGCGTGAGGAGTAGAAGGGAGATTCCAACCGGAGGTTGGGTGGGTAGTCGAGGTCTAAGTGTACCCCCTCGAGGTGGCCCATGCTCTGCCCCTACTCGCGGCCGAATTGGACTTCCAATCCGACAAAGACATATGACAGTCTAACTCTCAACTGACTTGAGACTGCTGAAAGTGACCGACACGGTCATCCCGGAATATCAGATTAATTGCCTACACTATGTTTGCCGAGTCAAGTTCTGGTGAAAGTTCGAAACTACAGACGCGTTGCAGCCCCACTGCATCATTATTTCTAGGTGCTCCTCAATGGCTAGACTGCGCCACACGGTAGTTCCGCGTCTTGAAGCTTTATTCCAATTCATCATCCGTTCTCGTCTGACTTCCTCTGACTTCCTCTAGACACTTCTGACCTCTTTTCATCCACTATTTCTATTTACTCACCTCTCAACTTATCTCCTTTCGTTTCTGTCTTTCGTCCGCTTCCTGGAACCGCCTCTCGCGATGTTTTCCAAATCAAAGACGAGCACTTCCCAGTATACGCCTCTCTCGCGACCAGGCGGTGGCGAGGGTTCCAGTTCAAGTACATCTCTGGAGAAGCGCTCCTCTGAGGATGATGACGATCACCCCTTGCTGGAATCCTCGGAAAACCTCCCCGGTCTCCAAGCACCCAAACACTGGCAGCTTCCCAAGCTCATCCTCTACTTTTCTTTCGCTCTCGCGCTGCTGTCATGTGCGAACATCGCACTATTCCCCGCGACACTGTCAAACTACGCAGCTTACCCCTATACCGACGCTGAGCTCAATGCCCTACCCTACGGCGACGCCAGGTTGGGGCTGGACAGAGCAGCAAAGATTCTTCGCCCGCCGAGAGAGTATCTCCGCGCCTGGCCAGACAGGGTTGTGCGAGTGAGCCGCAAGTTGAAGAATTCGGTATGGGGAAACGGACCGCAAGTCTATGTGACAGTCGAGGTACGCGCGCATTTCCTTACTATTTCGTTCTTACTCTCGCCCGTTCAAATGAGAAAACTGACATAAGAAAAAAGGACTCAACAATCATGCGTTTCCCGGTTCCTACCGCCGGCATCAACGCCTGCGCAATTTCCTGGCACGCGCCTCCGGAGAACTCCACGCGCATCAAGGACCTGACCACCAAGGGTGACATTTCCGAAATTGAAGTATGGCAGCTTATCGCACCCTCGGCCACTTCGAAGCCCGGCTCTTCCACGAACATGGACGAGCTCGACTACGACACGGTGTCGTACTCGGCTCTCCCTGTGCGCGGCGAGCTGCTCGGCGTGCTGGACCTCACCATGAAACCGAACAGCACGACAGTGGAGTTTGCCTGCCCTAGCGGGGCAGAGAATCTCGTGGTAGAGTTGAAATGCCAGCGCGTGGCGTGTCATGTTAGCTTCATGCATCTGGACACTATGCTGCCGCGATTTGGGTTTGAGTTGGTGAGAAAGAGGGAGTGAGGAGGAGTAGGGACTGACTAACGGATTGGGGGCAGAAATATGCACAGACATTTGACAATAGAATGGCCGTGGCTGGTGTGGGCAGCATGTTTTGTTCCTGAATCTTTGGAGGGGTAAACCTAACATGAACACTAAAGGCCAGGTCTCACCCTACATAGGTAGTACAAGAGTCCACTGCCCCCAGCGATAGATTATAGAAATAAGAATCCACCAGATATTTCATTACTTTAACCTCCTTGGCCGATCCCAACACACTGATCCTTGTTGTATCAATCACGCATCTGGACTCACTCGACTTACACTGAACACAATGTCCACTCAACTTGACGCCGCCACTATTGCTCGTGTTTCCTTGCACGACCCCAAGCACTTCAATGTCCAGCTCACCCAGACCGTTCACAGGGTGCGGACAGGGAGACTGCACCACCGCTCTCGCTACTGTTGTGGGCGAGCAAGGTACCGTGGTGGCCGTTGATCCGGCCTCGTTGGACTATGGTGAGTCCTTGCTGATTTCTGTCATTTCTTTGAGTAGCCTCGGCAGGCAGGCCAACTGATCCATCGCTTCTGTAGGTGCACCATACACTCTCAAGCAAGCACAGGATCACATCTCACAAGGTCCGCTTGGCAAACGCATCACCTGGGTCCAACAAAGCCCCAAGGACTATGTCTCATCCCTCACTTCAACTAGCGACGCCAAGGCCTTCGACGCAACAGTTCTCGCCCACTGCCTCTGGTACTTTTCCTCCCCCTCCCTAATTCTAGAAACCTTCCGTGCAATCAGGCAGCATAGCAAACGTCTTCTGCTCTCTGAATGGTCTCTGGAAGCAACTCGCCCCTCCGCCCGGCCTCACGTCCTGGCCGCCCTCACCCAAGCCGCGCTAGAGTGCCGCAAAGGCGAAGAGAGTATCTCAAACGTCCGCACGGTGCTGGGCCCGAAGCGACTCACCGAATTGGCTTTGGCGGCTGGATGGCAACTGGAAAAGGAGACCTGCGTGCAAGGCGGCGAAGGGCTACAGGATGGACAGTGGGAGGTCTCTGCCTGTCTTGGATCCGGTTTCGCTCGCGAGGTGGAGTAGCGCGTCAAGGATGAGCGGGAGCGCGCCGTGGTCTTTGCGTTGCGCGATGCTTGCGAGGCGAGTTTGGACGGTGTACCGGGGGGGAAGAAGGGAGTTGCTGCCATGGATGTCTGGGTTGCGAGCTTCGTCTGAGCTCTTTTCCTTTCCCAGCTTTTCGTCTGATCGCGTGAACCTTAGAATAGTACCCGGAAAGAATAGAGGAGTGTCCGTGTTCCATGTAGTTTAGTTTGTCCGAGTCAATCACCCGAAAGGCTGCGGCAAATGAAGGAGAGCTAAATACGTAGTACGTCTAGCGCTTCCTAAAACACGTGCTTTGTGCGCTCCTATGCAAAATACGAGACCGAGCTACCACTAGAACACCGACTACTAAGTCTAACATCCACTTCTCGGTTACATACGAGATGCTCGCATTACTATCTACAAATTCTAGTGAATCTTTACATTGAACATGTGGGTGCTGTAGTCTTCCGCCATAGTTATCATGTCTGACGGAAGTGAGTATGTGGAGTTCTTCAGTTCACGCCGTCCTCACCTCATTTTGCATATCGTAATGTGTCGTACAAAAACGAATCCGTAATTGCCGGCCAGCAATTACGCCTTATTTACCACATAATGTTAAGCAGTGGCCATGCTGCATGTCGTGACAGCTTTTAGTTGATTCACCAATTGTCGTGCGTTGAACTCAGAGGTATTATGCCCCATGAATGCAGACGCGCGCCATGCTTCAAGTGAGTTTTGAGTACCCGTACAGCGCAAAAAGTCACTGGTCTTTACAAGTTCGTGAGGTATCCATCACTTGACTCGCGCGTAGTTTGAAAAACAGCCCGGAGTGAAGACGCAAGCCGGTCGGCCGGCCAATTCTCACATGCAGTTTGGGCTGATCTCAAGCCCAGGCAACTGGTATTGACCCAACCCTACCCGTTCATGGACATGACGTTGCCGTCTCGTATGAAAGACACAAGAGCCAAGTTTGTTAACGACATCCCTGTCAGACTCATTGTTCTAAAATTGACCTGGGATCTACGAATTAGAGAGAGCGAAGAAGCCCCCAGACAGCACCCAGCCCCACGGGTGCTAGTCATTTGGTACGGGATGGTATAAAATTACCCCCAGCAAGGATCCTGCCAGTTCGGGTCACAAGACTCACTCAGCGGACAATTCTACGTGTTAACTCTCCGGACAAGAAGAAACCCCGGAGCGAGATGCGGGACGCTGACCCCCGCGGCCCCGCGTTGCTATCATGCCAAGATCAAAGTAGGCCAGGAGGCTCCCAAATCACTACTGTGGAGGCTGTGGATGACTTGAGACACTTACATCCAAGGCCGGAACCCCGTCTCGGCCGAGATTTGACTGGTGATGCCGGGGAGCCCTTCCTAGGAGTCCTACCAGGGTCTCTCTTAGCCGCATCCACACGTGCTCTATCCGCGTATGGCGTATCGTGCACTCCGCACCAACGCGAAGGAACGTAGTTGGTTGAATGCCGGGACTCGTTCGGGTGCGCCCCGCGCTCCGGCTTAAGGTTTCGCATCCGGGCCGCCAGACAACGGTGCGATCGTGCGGCCGCCATGAATCAGGAGTCAATCACATAGCCGAAATATCTAGTCATATTTGCTGCTGTGGTAGGCAAATAAGGGCAGGATCTACAGATGACTTCTGGGATGCATTACTGAAAATGGTATTTGACGAAAACAAGGTTTGAAGGCAGTCTTTATCTCCAGCAGGGACCTCCGCTACCAGACAAATGATGTTATACACGGATAAGGGGGGTGCGGCAGCCGTAAATCGAAAGTCAATCGACAAGTGGAGCCGATCTTTGCAGCTGTCAGTGCTTCTCTTTGTGCTAGGATCCTGTATCTCCTCCTGCTGGGATCACAGCCCATTGCGGGTTAACGTCGATTTAAGCATTCGCTCAAGCCTCATCGTTTGGCAGGCTTGGCAAGAGGACCACAGCGCTACGTAAACGCCGCCGCAACAAGTGCCGCCGCCATGAATAAGGGACTCAGTCGACCGCACAGCCGTTGTCCGCGGCTGTCAACGGATCTCAGCTTCACTGGGATTGCAGTTGTGGGTAAAGGGTACTCTTCGGGGCAAGGCTTACCGCTCGGCTGACGCTCCGGCGGGGATAAGTCTGCCGCATGTGTTACACACCGGTCCCCCGGCCATTATGTAACTGTGAACTACAGCTGCGCCGCACGGTCACTGTTGATGCTTTGTCGATAACGTCTTCTTCATTGCTCTAGTCTAGTTGACGGTTCAAGGGTCAAGGGGTAGCTTGGTGTTTCGAGCATGACCAAGGTAATACCAAATGTGATTAATCATAGTCCCGTTTCAATAATAGCGAGATTTTCTTGACAAGACCACAATGTTCTTCATGTAAGGTAACTCTGTGGATGGATTGCTTGTAGGAGGACGGTTCCTCAGGGCTAAATATACACGTACACTTGGGCGTTCCGCGCGCCGGAGACCCCGTTGTTTGCGGCGGGGGCTTGCCAGGTATGGGGCCGAAAGACCTCCTGCTCCGGCTTTGTGCCGTCACACCGATTCTGTCGAAAGAAGACAACGCCGAAAGCAGCATCCTCGCCGTGGACCGCCGCTCGGCATCAGTAGCTGCCTCAGCCACTACTGCTTCCTCCGCAACCACTGCCCCCTCCATGACTAGAGCTACTCCCGCCCCCATCGTGACCATGACTACTACTACTGCTACCTCCGCCATCACTGAAACTGCTGCTACCGCCACCACTACCGCTACTGGAAAAGCTGTCACTACCAACTCCCCCACCGTCAAACCCTGTGTGGCTCCCTAGGTCGGCGGAGAATCCGCTGCCACCCGAACTCAAGTCCCATCCTCCATAGGCCGGAGATGAGTCGAAACCCGATAGAGCCGTAACATCACATACACAGTTGCACTTCCCGCCCGAGTCAAACTCCATCACAGCGCCCAGCCCATCACATCCTTCCGGAACAAGCTCTTCGGGGATCCAATCCCCGTCTCTCCAGCCGGCGGTACGTACATTGGAAGTGATAGGGGCTCTCATCTGGTCGCCGGCTCGTGACGTTGTTGACTCCCACTTCCGCCTTGCCTCCTCAATGACTTCATGCACGTTCTCGGACCTGAAGTCACGCAGTTCCGTGTAGGCTGTCAACTGTTCATCGTATGTTAGGTCTGCCCAGTCGGCTAGAGTGCAATCATGCAGCATATCGTGCTCGTAAAGGTAGCTCATGGGCTGGGCCCGGTGGATCCCGGCAAGCTTGATGCGATCGTGAACGATCTTGGCGCTGTCTGGTCGGACTCTGAGATTTCCGTGCCTCTGTTTTTGAAGCTTGTGGATTCTGTGTCTCCGACGACTGAAGAGAACTCCGTCGACAGCCGTGTTGCGGAAAACCAAGCCGCGAGCCTCAAAATTCCATTGGCAGCTATTGCGAAAACTCTTTGACCGATGCATTCCGACTGCAATGGATCCCAGGGTCTGTATCGCCTCTAAAACGCTCATCCTGTTGTGCATCCACTCCTGGTAATCGATCTGGGCCAGATCTTTCCTAGAAGTGCCTGAAGCTGGGGTATAGAATCGCCGCTCTCTGAAAATGTGAAGCTGAGTAAGGGACCATGCGTCAAAGGGGAACGCTCCAAGGTGCTTCGCCAGAGAGCAATCTCCGCACTTCACTTGAGGACGCGCAGCCTCCTCCTCTTGAGTGCGTGCTTCAGTACAGTCCCACGGGAAGAGGCCTTGATGTCGAAATAGAGGCTCGGGAAACCCTCCCCAATCGGTCCAGTACTCTGTCAGGCCGTCGATAATGTCCGTGTCATTGTGGTGGTCGAATCGGCGGAAGCGAAGAAGGAACTCCTCCGTGTGACCGTTTGCAGATGTGGCCCTCGAAGATGGAATCACTCTTTTGGGGAAGCCATCATGGCAACCGATTCGACTGACAAAGCTCAGTAGATATAGTGCTTGCGGTGCTTCGTGCTTCTTCTCCTCACATTCCCGAGGGTAGACCATGAAACTGCCGAAGGCATTGCGGTCGATCAAAGCGTCACAGAACTTCTGACAATTGTTGCTCAATGGGTTCCACTCTATAGCAGATGTTAGCTGAAGGCCACACTCATCTCAGCAGACCAGTAGTCTAGCAAGCGATGGGGGCGAAGATCTTACGTAGCTCTAGGCTTTTGTCGGCAAGCCTCTCGACGATAGTGTGAATGTAGCATCTGACACGAACGTGGAGAAATTCGTGGAGCCTTTTGAGTATACTCTTTCTCGCACTGTACTTTTTCTTCTTGTTGAATGCTGTTCTTTTCTTCGGGTTGTCGGCATACCTGAAGCTGGCTTTGGCTACCATTTTGATGATTTCTGCCTCCACGACGCGGTCGTCCTTTCCCAGCCCCCAGAATGGGCTACCTACGACCTGTTTCATGAAGGCTTTGACACGACGGTTCCGAGGTATGTGCTTATCCGTGAGGAATAGCTGTCTCTTGTTGGTGAGGGCAAAGCACCAGTTGACTGAATTCGTAGTTGTACCCACTGGATGGAGCTGGAGACGGTCTCGGACGGTGATCAACGTCCCCTTCTTCGACCTAGGTAGTAGAACCAAGGTTAGAAACTTTTCGATTGGCGCAAACGTATTGAGGTGTTAAAAAAGGGTACTAACTGGGGCACTCCGTTCTCGATTATCAGCGGCCCAATCATGAGGCTCATGTGAACATTTCCATATGGGATATCTTGGTGAATCTTCAAAGCTGCACCGGCAGTCATTGCAGCCTTTGTCAGATTGTCGCCAATGCCCCTGTCTTCGGGGTCCTGCAACATCCCAAGGCGCTTCAGCTCACTGATCTTGGTCTCGCAGTGTTGAGACTTGAGCATCACCAAGGGGCAGCCTGCGTCGTGTCGGGCGCGGCCATTCCTTGGAAACGGGAACAAGGGCTCTGTTCTGTCGGATGAGAGATCATCGCCATGACATTGGCATGCCAGCCTCGCTTGTTCATCAGACATACAGGCGGATAGTATGCATCTCTTGTTGATTTTGCGCAAGTCCTCTGGGTGATTTCCGTTGGACCCTCGAGCACATGTCTCGCAGAAAACAGGTCGTTGGCCCTGATCAAGTGTCTTGTCACAAGTGCAGCTAGAGATGCACCGAAAATGGGTGCCCTGTATGACTTGCTTGCAGCTGGAGCATTCAAGGGACGCAAAAGTGACCGGCACTTGGGTATTCTCTGCCTGTGCAGCAACCACTGTCGTTTTTTGAAGATAGGTCAGCAAAAAACGACTACTGTTTCAGCTACCCCATGACTTGGACTGAGATAGGTGCATACATTGTGGTGCTCTTGGCCGGAGCCACTGTCCTGATGTGTACTCAGGGTCCCGATATTCGACCACTTGTGCGCAGCGGTCAGCCCACCATACTTCCTCGAGAGCGTGCGGGCTAGATGTTCGGTAATGTGCTTACTCTTGTCTATGTCAAGCATGCCTGATACAATGGATCATGGTCAGCATCGCATTGTCGTACTGTAATGAGTTGTGTCGGCAAATAAGGGGTAAACATACCTCCCGCTCGAAGGAGTGCTTGCGCCATCTTTTCCCTCTTTGTCAACTCGTCAGGATTGCTCATATCCAGTCTGGCCAGGATTTCGGAGGTACTGAGTTAGGGAACCATGATTAGTACTTAGCAAAGATGAAAAAATCGATACCGTGGCAGAAAGTGTGTAAACCCACAGCGACTCGACCGAGTCCGAACCTGTGGCTCTCTGAAGAAAGGCTTCGAAACCGAGCCCATCGTGAGGCTCCGAGCTGAATGCCGGCGGCTCGATAGCATCTCCCCACATGTTGAGAGCCCGCAGGATCTCATCCAAGTCCCGGTCAATACCAAGCCAATATAATTTGCATAGCTTATTGACGAAAGTATCCGGGATGTATGGCACCCTCACCCATTTAACTTTTGCATCTGCCTTCGAAGGCAATCCAATTGATGAGGTCAGTGAGGTTGCCATCGTGAATCGTGCGCATTGGGTGGAAGACACGACGAGGTCCGCCGAGAAGTTCGTTTCCTTGCTGAAGATTGAAGTGAGAAAGACAAAGAGGCATGGAATGAAGTTAACAGGGTGAAGATTCGTGAGGGAGAGACGTTGAAAAAGGCCAAGTTGTCCCCGGAAGAAGGTCGGGGGGTACTTGTGTCGAGGTGCCTGCCTTGCTGACCGCCTCATGTACCTCCTTCCTCCATCAGCACCTGCCTGCTTACCTGGTTGTCTCGCACAAATCAAAGGAAAGAAGGTGCGCGCCTTCACATGTCTCAGCAGCACGTGACTGCTTCTTGGGTGGTAAGCAGGCCAAGCACTTGCCAGAATCAGCAATGCCCGGAATGTCGCGACGAACCGTCCGGGGCGTCTCTTGGTGATACAGGACGCGTAATGCCAGCCTGATCAAATGTTTGTCTCCTTCACCGCATCCTTTCTCCCTAAGCAGAAAAGGAATCCGACAAACCATCACCATCCACATCTCCCCTCGAACCAAAGCCTACGTCGACTCTACCTTTAGCTCGATCTGACTGACCATCAACTACACATTCATTGACTACCTCGCCCAACGAGAAGATGTCCGTCACGCGCTCCTCTCTAGCAGCTTCTGCCTCTGGAGCGGAGTCTGCAGGCTCTACCACATTGGCGGGTGCCTCGGCTGCAGTTGCTACAATGCTCAGCGATCTCGATGACTTCAGTGATGCCGCTGTTTTGGGTAAGCTTTCCTTCCGTTCACCTTCCGCCCCAATGAGCCCTAATTTAGAACTATGAATCACTTTCATGTTGCTGACGAAATTTCTTTCGACTAGGGCTCGTGAGGGAATCTCTGGACAAGAAGGCGATGGAACAGCGCGCAACGAACTTACGCAACATGGTCACGGAGCTTCATAAGAAGCCGGTGTCATTGCCCTCAAGGAAGTGGAAGACGTTCGTCTAAACCTGAGCGCTGCTCCGCAAGTTACCGCGGTTGATCGATAATACTGACGATGATTGTCGCTAGCAACGAACGCACTGCCCGCGTCGTGCAACTGGCTGCCCTTTGCTCGAGAGCCGTCTACCGAAAGGATCCAACCCAAGTTGTTCCCGAGCTCCCGGACTATGCCATCAAAGACAGGCATTGGATAGAGCCCACCGCAGATGGCTCGGGCAAGGCCGCTGCCCTGTTCGAGATCGTACCGACGAACCAGTCATCTCGGCGGAAGATTCTTGTCGTTGCTGTACGTGGGAGCGCGGGAACCGTTGACTGGCTTGTTAATTTGAATACCGAGCTAGCGGACTGCCTTGACTTATTGGTGAGTCCAGTAATTCCTCACCGCAGACACTTTCTAAAGCTCTTGGATGCTGGCTTCTGGGTTGAGCACATCTTTCAATACTGATTTAATGTCTCCAGAAACTCCCCAAGTCACACAATAAACCATTGCCAAAAGTACATCGCGGATTCGCTCAGTGCGCCAGGACTATCGCCCCAGGTCTTCTGGCTCAGATAAAGACAGTCCTGAACGAGGACCAAGAGCAGGATCAAGAGATCGAAATTGTCTTCACGGGTCATTCTGCGGGAGGGGCCGTAGCCTGTTTGCTATTTGGCCACTTTCTTACAGCTCAAGTTCTGGGTAAGGACCAGAACCAGATAACATTGACTACAGCTATCAGTAAGGAGTGCTAGGCTGACGAACAACACCACACAGACGTACCATCAGCCAAGCCCAAACTCTCCTGCATAAGTTTTGGATGTCCTCCATTATTCGACGCCGACATCGACTCACTCCTCATCGAGCATTTCCCTTCCAGTTCTTTCCGGGAGGGTATCATGCTAGCCTTTCTTAATGACGGTGACCCAATCCCTCGCATGGACTCAGCGTACGCCACGGAGCTGGCCCGCATCTGGCACCGCGTGGGAGGGAGTATCTGTCCACCTGCGAGCGAGTTACCGGACTTCAAGCCGCCGAAGCTGCATCTCAACACTCTCGGCCAAATGGTGTTACTTTACGACAAGCAGCAGGACTTCACGGAGAATGACAAGGAGGACCAGGACCAGGACGAAGATACGGACGACGAAGAAGAGAAGCTCATGACTTGTCGCCTCGATCGTGGTGACCTCGAGAAACAGGCTTGGGCAAATGTTTTGGCGCACCGCATGAACCAATACGTCGAGTGGACTACTCGCATCGGAGACGGATGTTTCAATGGTCGACTTGACTGGCAAGATGATGAAGGGGGCTGTTGCATTCTGAACTAGCCACGAAGGCCGCTGTCAGTATGCTAAGAAACACTAGAAATCAGAAAGAAAAGGCGGCGACCTCGACCTTCCCTGCCATACCACCCTAGATTCGATGACCAGCCTGTACCACAATGGCTGGTCTAATTCAAAGGATAATATTGTCACACGAGCGTCCATCAGATCTTCTCATCCAATTTCTTCAATTTCATCTAGGCATCTTTTTGCTACATCCTATCCTCTCATATCCGTTGTCGACCGGTATTCGGTTCCACTCGATGAATGATTAGCTACCAGGTTTCCTCTACTTCAATACCGGTGGTAGATGATTCTTTCTAAGGTCAGTGACTCCGTCTTCAGGGTCTCGGCAGCGGACTCGCCGAGATAAAAGTTGTACTTCCCGGCTCCAACAACCCACTCTCTCACCGATTCATCGAACGAAGCAAAGTCTTTTGCCGAGATCGACAACTTGACCGTAGCCTTTTCTCCAGGCTGCAGCCGAACCTTGTCAAACGCCACGAGCACCTTGACCGGCGTGTCTGCTGACGGCTCCGTTTTTCCAGCGTAGACCTGCACCGCGGCCCCGCCGGCGACGGCACCTGTGTTGGAAACCTCCACAGAGATCTCGAACCCGTTTCCAGTGGTGTTGCTTTTCGTCACTTGGAAGCCTGTATACTCGAAGTTCGTGTACGAGAGGCCGTATCCAAAGGGGAAGTTCAACACCTCCTTTGCCACGCGGTCGTAGTGTCTGTACCCAACAAACACGCCCTCGGCATACTCGACCCGGAGAACACCATCATCACCCCTCTTGCCAGGGAAGTTTCCATGTGCTGGAGCATCTTCGACGCGAGCGGGGAAACTGACGGGCAGCTTGCCCTCGGGGTTCACGGCACCGGTGAGCACATCAGCAATGGCATTGCCGCACTCCTGGCCCGGGAACCACGACTGCGCCAGAGCAGATACCTTGTCCAGCCAAGGCATCGCCACAGCCACACCAGTAGAGTTGACTACGATCGTCTTGCCGCCGCTAGCCTTCGCGACGACATCAACGAGGCCGTCCTGGCCGTAGGGCAAGTGGAACGATTCCTGATCACGGCCCTCCGTCTCCCACTGCGGATCGTGCCCCGTGAACACTATAGCGAGGTCCGCGTCGGCAGCCACCCGCGCTGCTTCGCCCTGAAGGTCTGCGTCGCGATCGGATTCCAGCCCGAAACCCATGCGCACTCCCGTGCGGCCTTCGAGGATCTCGAGGCCGATCTTGGAGGGAGGTTTGCTGTGGATGCGAAGGCGGTAGGTTTTGCCCGCTGTGAAGGCGTGTTTTGTCTGCGGCTCGTTGGCGGCTTGGAAGAGGGCGCCCATGGGGTCTGCGCAGTTTTCTTTTTGCTCAAAGACGACCTCGTCGTCGACAAAGACTTGGGTTGGTCCGATGCCTGAGCACGCAATGTAGTGTGAGCCCGTCTCAGAGGGCGTAAAGTCGCCGACGATGTCGAGGGTCTTCCACATAGACTCTTGGGAGCCTAGCGGAGAGTAGGCTGAGTTGGGGTAGCTGTTGAGAACCGAGACGGGCTCGGCGTCTTCTTTGCCAAAGTCGTAGAATACGCGGCTGAAGCCAGGCTGTCCGTCCAGGCCGACGATAGTGCCGACTTTGCCGTCTGGTGTGATAGGCGGAAGAAGACGCTCCTTGTGAGCGCCCTTTGCGTATGTGAATTCCACGTCAGAGCCGAGGGCCTCGTGGAGGGCATCCCAGGGCGGGAGTCTGTAGTGTGCGTTTACGCTCGCACTGCCGCCGCCGTGAGCAAGGCCGTCTTTAGCATAGCCGATGAGGGCAATCTTCTTGCCCTTGACCTTTTCTTTCGTGAGCGGGAGGATGTTGTTATCATTCTTGAGGAGGACGATGCCCCGCGCGCTGGCATCCCTGATCAAGGCGCGGTGTTCGGGGCGGTCGATGGCCTTTTCGACGGTGATGGTTGGGTCCTTGAAGCCGTTGAGTTGTTCCGTCCACTCGAGGATCGTGCGTACGCGCTCGTCGATATCGGCCTCTGTGACCTCGCCCTTCTTCACGGCCTCGAGGACGGCGGCGGGCTTGCGTATTCTCGGGGGACCGGGCATCTCAATGTCCATCCCGGCCTTGATTCCCTCTGCCACAGAGTTCGTTCCGCCCCAATCGCTCATGACGAGCCCCTTCCATCCCCACTCCCCTCTCAGGAGCTCCTTCAACAACCACTCATTCGAATCGCAGTGTTTCCCGTTAATGAGATTATAAGCAGACATAATCGCCCAAGGCTTCGCCTCCTTGACCGCAATCTCAAACGGCTTGAGGTAAATCTCCCTCAACGCCCGCTCACTAATCGTCTCATCGACCGTCGTCCGCGCCGTCTCCTGCTCATTCGCGACAAAGTGCTTAATCGTCGCGCTCACGCCCAGGCTCTGACACCCCTGAATCATTTCCGAGGCGAGCTTGCCCGCCAAATAGGGGTCCTCGCTGTAGCTCTCAAAGTTACGCCCTCCCAATGGGTGGCGGTGGATGCAGACGGTCGGGGCGAGGAGGCATCGGGCTCCCTTTGCTTTGGATTCTTGGGCCAGGGCGGCGCCGACGGAGCGGGCGATGCGTCGGTCAAAGGTTGCTGCTATGCTGCAGGCGGCGGGGAAGCATGCTGCTTTTGTGCTGCCGTCTATTGCGGCGCCGCGGGTGCCGTTGGGGCCATCTGTTGTCTGTGAAAGAATGTCAGCACGGGGACTTGTCGTCGATACATGTTTGTTGTGAGTTTACTTTGATTGCTGGGACACCTTTATCGGGGACATCGCCAGTTTCGACAAAGTTGCGGCCAGCGAGGAGGCGGATCTATGAGTGAGGGGTCAGCGGTATCCCGTGGAGAGGACCTAGAAATCTTACCTTTTCCTCGAGACTTAATGTCTTGAAAATGGCTTCAATATCTGTCTTGTCTGCCATTTTGAATACGATTATCGTCTTCAGCCAACGACTCTCGTCCCAGCTTTCTCATTAACATCATCTCATCACGGCCTCTGGGTTCATTTATTGCCCCGCGGTGATGCCCCGCGGACGACTCCAAAGTGGAGCCTAACGGAGGTCGGAACTCGGAACGGCGGGGAAACACGGATGGGGTCTCCAGAATCCCTTCGCATTCTGGGAGCTGCCTTCGTGAGGGGACTGCGGATAGCAATGACGACTTGCAGCACAGCAGACTAAGAAGCTGCTAGAGATGCCCTCGCCAATGGAAGCGTTTCGAAAGACTCAATTGGGACGAGCAGCTTCTGCCCGGATTCGATCCAGTTCGGAAGACGGCCGGGGGGCTGGGCCGGATCAACTCTCCGATGAGGTCTGGTCGATGAGCTCTTTCGCTCGAGCCGTCCTCTTGATACTAATGTTTATCCGAAACCGAGAGACATTGCCAAGATGCTCAAGTTTTCAACATTAGGTACCTACTCCGTAGGTTGCTAGAGTCTAATGAACGGGGACATCGGCTTACTGTATTTACCGAGAATCTCCTAAAATGGACCGGCACAGTGAGAGGTCAAGAGAGATATGCTGACTCATCAAACTGAGCGACTTAACAGTCCCACGCTGTCTCGAGTTTATGTTCAGCCACTGAACTGGGCGGGGTTCGTTGGAATGAGCCACCAAAACTTCATCTTGTCAGTGGCGCCCAAGCTGACGTGAGACGGAAGAGAATCGTCGCAGCATCTCAAAACTTGATCGATTGACGACTCTTCATACCCGGTGCAACCGCGAATGAAAAGTTTGCGTGTTCCTCAAACCTGAAAGATCTTACGGGTAGATCCCTTGCTCTTGAGCTGCAGCAAGTTCCCAAATGCAGCATTTCGCTGGCAGGTCACGCCCAACGAGCCCGTTACGCGGTGCCACATGTACCGGCTCCTCCCAAGCCCATGTCAGGTACAGGTCCATACAGCTGAGGCGGTCAGCGGGAAGTCTAACCAGTGAGCCGGGACAAACGGCCTGGTGTGACACCGCCTCTGGAGAGAGAAGAGCACATGAACCCAGTGAGGATGGTTTCGAAATGTCTTTTTTTGGTGCTCATAAGAACCAAGAGTGAAAGATGGAAGCAATACGAAGATTAGCAAGTCAGACAATGTCGCTGAACTATGCGGAGTTTGACGGGATTCAGGATCTAAGTGTCTAGCGGCGGACATGTCGCGTGGAAAGTTCAGACGGCTGAGCCGCTCGGGGCTGAAGTTGGCCCGCCTCACACACAGCTCAGCTGCAAAAGTCACCGAGGGGCAAGTTCGGGCTCTTTGCTTCTCTGTCTGCCCACCTCTTCTAGATGCTCTCTCCGTCTTGAGGCAACTTGAGTCCGGCAAGATGGCATCACCAAAATAAGGCATGCTGCAGACGCAGGGAACCTGAAAGAGAATATGAAAGATAATAAAAGAACTCACAACAAAGCCCAACATCCACCATGTCTTTGTCTTGTGCCTGAGCCGTCGCCCGCGTTCTCCGCTCCGCCAGTTCCAGATTTCCCCCAACTGCAATTGGTGCACGTCATCAACCGCGACGGGACGTTCCACAAAGATAGAATCCGCCCTTTTTGCCCGCGCTAAGATCCCCTCTTGGACTCTATGTGTTTCTCCCTCTCGCGACGCGGGTCAGACGGAGACCTGCGTCCGGTTGACTAATCCTCCCGTGGGCGTTGAACAAATCTGACACGGTTCATAAGTCGTACCCTTTGCCTTCTCGTGCTTTGAACCCTCTTCTTGTGAGACTCTCGGTTTGGAAACCGCTCATGTTCTCTGCGTAAACCCGCAGAACCCGGCAAGCAAGATGGCTTCTACAGACGCCAACCTCGCTTCCATATTACGGGAGTCTCTCAAAGATCCCAACGTCCGAGGCTTCCACCGTGATGAGGAGGACACGTCCTTGCACACCCTCCCCAACGATGAAGAGTCCGTGACGGCAGCTGAATCCGACGACAACGCCAACACGCTCGAGCAGAGCACGTCGTCCAACGGCTACACCTACGGCACCTCTCAGCCGCCGTCCACAACTCCTCCAAAGGCCACCGACTCCCTCCGGGCAATAGCAAACGGGCGTCGGCCGACCATTTTGCCAGAACAGCCAGCGCCGGCAGACGATGATGATGCCTCACCTCCGCCCCCGCCAACCCGCGCCCTGGCGCCAGACCTCCTCCGCGGCCTACTGATGATGTTCATGGCAATGGACCACAACGTAGTCGGCCTCAACGCCTGGCCACACTCCACCGGCGCAAACCACCAAGAATCCGATTCCGCCGTCGTCGAGCGCTGGAACGGTCCCTTCGGCTACGCCGTCCGCATGCTCTCGCACCTCTGCGCCCCGGGCTTCACCTTCCTCCTCGGCATGGGCATCGCGTATTTCGGTCGCTCTCGTCTCAAGATGGGCTGGTCGTCCGCTCGCATGGCGAAGCATTTCGCCATACGCGCCGTTATTCTGACGGCCGTCTCGACGATCATGGGGTTCGTGCTGACGCAGGGCCAGCTGTGGTTTCTTAACATGGTCCTCGTGGCGCTGGCGGTGGATTACCTCCTCGTCGGCCTCTTGTGGCTCGCTATCAACGAGACGGAGCCGTTGTTGGCTAACGTGCTCCATCGTTTCTTTGTAGGTACCGGTTGTGGAGGTGGTCGTCGTCGCGGCGACGGAAGTGAGAGGACGCCTCTCCTCGTTCACACCGGCCACGAGAACCCGCCCAAGTCCAAGGCATCCGCTCGCGCCCAGATGATCTCGTGGCACGTCCACAACGTCGTCCTCCTCGTTCTCGGCTTCGTCACGATTTGCTGGAACCACTGGGTCTCGCCAACCCACGGCACCTGCGCCGCCGCCTCGTCTTCCCCCGTAACCGGCACGGTAGCAAACGACTTCTGGCGCTTTTGGTTCTTTGACATTAACCGCCCGCGCGTCATGTCCGGCTTCCCGCCGCTGGCGTGGCTCTCCTTTGCCATCCTAGGGCTCCTGTACGCGCGCATCATCCTCGCCCGTCCCTTGTCGCCCACGAAGCTGACTTGTGGCAACGTTGCCGCGGGTCTCGTCTTCAGCGTCCTCTTCGTCCTTACGCGTGTGCTTCGCATCGGGAACCTGTCTGAAGGTTGCCTGCGGACCCCGGACCAGGCGGCGAGCCCGGACGCGAACCCGTACCTCGTCTCCGTCGCATCTTTCTTCTACGTCGTGAAGTACCCACCAGACTTTGCCTTCTTCGCGTACACCCTTGCAGCGACCTTCTTCCTGCTCGCCATCTTCGGCTCGGTACCACCGCGGTTTGCGACAAAGTGGCTCGGCATGCTCCTTGTCTTTGGCACGTCGGCGCTCTTCTTTTACCTCACGCACCTCGTCATTCTCTTCAGCTTGTGCATGTTGCTCGTCGGGCTCTTTGGCCGGGAGAATGGGCTGCCGCCGCCGATGGACGGTAGGCCTGCGGTCGGGGTTAGTAACATTTGGGTGTGGTGGGCGAACTGGCTGGTGATTATGGCAATTATGTACCCGCTGTGCAGATGGTACAGCGCTTTCAAGAAGACGAGGAGTGCGGATTCGGTGTGGAGGTTCTTTTAGAGTTGATGTTCCGCCTTGTCGTGATGGATGGCTCCGATGGCGACATTTTACGATCATCTGCCTATCAGATCTTATTCTCTTATCGAATTTCAATCATCACAGCCTGATTCAATGGTACTTTTGTAATGGGACTTTGGTGAACATGGACAACCATTAGGGACAAGCAAGATCATTGATTACGTTAGTTGACAAAGGAAACGCTGTGAATTGAGACTATTCAATCTAGGGGGTATGGACGAGGAGGGCATCGGCCTCCTCCTCAAGGCCTTCATAATTCCAACACAACTTTCTCAAAACCTCCGGCACTCTTAAACCATCGCCACAACAGCCGCACTCTACTTCCATCTTGGCTGAGCGCCAGGTTGAGGATACGGCTGAACCCTCACCGACCTCCTCCTCGTAGCCCTTTGAGGCCGTGTCGCTGCCGGCGTTTCCGCTGCCACCACTGCCGCTACCGTAGCCGGGGTCTTCCCAGTCCGAGCCCGTGTCCTCGCAGCCGGCCGGCCAGCGGCGGCACCATCCGAACTAGGCGCAGTAGTAGTTCCCGCCTTTCCCATCACGACCGCAGATGTCGTCTTCGGCTCCCTCTTCACCCTCTTTGTCACTGTTGTCGTAGCCGTCGTAGGCCTTATCGGCTCCGAGCGAGTCTGGCTTTCCACCCTCCGAGCTGTCCGCAGATTACGTCCTTTTACCGGACTCGACTGCACTTTTTGGGGCGCTTGTGTTGCAGGCGCAGTCGCCGTCGTCGCAGCTCTGCCCGTCTTTGCCCTCGTCCTCAGAGCCGGCGCTGTCTTCGATACGCCCGTCTCGCGAGCGGCAGGAGTGGGAGCAGACGTCGGCGCGGGCGCTAGGACCAAAGGCTCAGAAGACTCCTCAGTTGTTTCTGCGGAATCCGTCGGTTCCGATTCGAGGTACTCCGTCTCCATGGTGGGATCCTCCTCCGGCGGAAGCTGGTCCGTCAGCCGCCGCGCCGCAGTCCACGCCTGGACCCTATTCCGGCGTGCCGTTTCTTCATCTTCCTCGTCGTCAACAGCGTCGACTACGTCGACATCGACATCAACATCGACGTTGACGCTCTCGCCGGCTAACCTCTCCGCCACCCTCAGCTTCGTCCACGACGACTTCATAATCTGTCGCTGCGCCTCAGACTGCCTCAACCACTTGCAAAACCGCTCATTCGACCTCTTCCACCTCCGATCCTCCTTCTCCCTCGCCTCCTCCTCTGCATCGTCATCCTCTTCCATAGGCACAGCCACCGGCAAAGGCGGCGCCTCCTCCACATGAATACTCGGCGACTGCTTCCGCAACTGCTCCCGATCCTCCAATGCAGTCACAGCCCGTCCAGCCTCAAAGTAGCGCCCCGCAGCTGAGATGGCCATCTCCTCCGCCGCCTCGAGGTTCGACCGCGAGAGCAGGCACACGTCGCCGTGGGTACCGAGATCGCGCCGCACGCGTTCCCTCCGGTCCTCGGCGGCCGCCAGCGCGGCACGCAGCGTGTCAATGGCCTCGTTGGCGTCCTCGAGCTCCTGCATCTGCCGCTTCATGAGCGAGAGCGACGTGTCGCAGATGTCGCGGGCCCGGGCGAGGGCGGCGTCGGCCTGGAGCTTGTCGCGCTCGGCGTCATCGCGCTCCATGATGGCGCACCGCGCGTCGGCGAAGTCAATGTGCTTGCCGCTGTGGCCGCAGTTCCGGCAGACGTCCGGGTCCATCTGACTGGAATGTCACTGCTCCGGAGAGAATAGAGATGCACCCTCTTTTCCGATGTTACGGATACGTTGGCGCTTGACCCAACCCCATGTCAGCTCGCTCAGCCTTACTCATCGGGATCGCAAATGAAGGCATTTTTAAGCAATGTACCCCATGGGCAGATTCCCGCTGCAAGCAGGCACGGGGTTTGTCTCACCTTTTGGTGGTTCGAAGATCTTGTTTCCCGCCGGTGGGGATATCAAAAGGAGGTTGTAGATGATGTAGGTAGGGGTCCAAAGGTGGACATTCGAATAGGAAAGGGTCCTGAGGTGAACGGGAACGAAGGAAAAGAAACCACCTCTCTCTCACAGCTTAATTGGAAGCACCTGGGCGGCGGGGGGTCACGATCCTCTTCATCATTGAGAGGACCCCGTTTTACTCCAGGCCCAGGGGATGTATGTGGATCTTTTGCAAGAGTTAGCGATATTGAGTCGACTCCATTTGTGCCCAGGTCAACGGCCCAAGGTTCGTATGAAAATACGTATGGGCTCCCGTATGCAGACACGTAATGCGTCATTGGGTGTTGGATAAAGAGTCAAGAGTCAGTTGTGCCGTCAGATGCAGGTTTGGCAGCTCCTTAAACCTTGGTTTATGCTGAAGATCGTTCACAAACATGTCACGCGATGGCATCATGGCTGTGCTCAGTGCTGGGAAAGTCTCGAGCAAATTCTCAACCCCCAGGAAACTATTCGTTTCCAACAGCCTGGTGCTGGTAGTAAGTACCCATGCCTGCCGGCAGGAAGAGAGAGAGAAAACCCTGGCTGCAGCAGCCTCCTGCAAGTTCCCACACCACCACATGGCTTTGATGCCGATTCGTCCATTCTTTCTCTGGTCTCATCAATGAGAAATCCAAGTTTCGGGGGAGTGGTTCGTTTCCAGCCGTTGCTCAGCCAAAGAAAAGGAGTATTGGAGCATGGAGCCATGGGCGGATACGTTCTTCATAAAAAAAAGCAAAAGAATATGGGTTGAAGAAAAAACTGACTTTGAACGTTGGGTTTTCTCTTTGGAGTTCTCCACCGAAATTGCTACCAAATAGGGGAAAGCGGCTCAGGTGGCACACGGATACGGCGGGATTTTCATGACTCTCACTTTCGGTTACATTGTGAACCCCCTGGTCAGGAGCTCCAGTTTCTGAATGGGACCGCCCCTCTGAGGGTCTTTCGAGTGTCAGGGGTTAGAGAATGAGGAGATGAGGCGATCCCCAAGTTCCCAACCGTTTCTGTCAATCCAATGTGCCAATGTCCCCGGAGCGAACTTGGTCTCTGTTTCATAAAGTTGTTCATAGCTACTCCGTATAATATAAATGTCATAAGTGTACAAACGTTCCATTCTAGAACCCTTCCACGCAGGCATCCCGAGGTTTCGGGGGTCTCAACCCGCGTCTCACTCTAGTACGGCCTGACCCGGCGCGCCTGCCGAGTAGCGTCCGTAGTTCGTAGGGCCCGGCCCGTTGCCGCGGTAGCACCAGCACTGTCAGACCTCTCGACGTTTCTGAATGCGCGGCCCAGCGCCTCCTCTATCGAATCATCGGACGCCGGATGAGAGCTGTCCTCGCGCTTCACACTGCCTCGTGTCGCTCTGTCATTGGTATGCCCCCACAACAGTCTGCGGGGACTCGACATCGTCTCTGGTGAAGACATGGGCGGTGAAGGCCCGAGCGTAGTACACCTGACAGACTCCTCGTCTTTCTCATCCTCAATCTTGATCGAGTGGACGGGCGGCGACGAGGCTACTGGAGTGGAAGTATGACCCCAACCTTCATCTACGAACTGAATGCCTGGGCGTGCGCAGCCCGGAGGATGGCTAAAGGGTGGTAGCTGCAAACATTCGCCGAGCATGTCGATTGTCGGGTCGCGGATTTTATCCCTTCGCCGAAACTTCCAATCTACCAGGAAGGACCGATATCGTTCCTGCTCGTCCTCTCCGAGCTCTTCGGGGTCGTCGAACTCGTCCTGTTGCCACCACCTGGCCCGTTCCGATGCGTGTGCTCCTCTGCTAAACCTCGCCTCCAGTCTCATGTCTCGGCTGGTCGGTCGGGTCGTTAGACACACCTCAATGGCCAATTCCTCGCGAACCTCTGCCACATTCAGCAAGTCGCACATTGCCATTTTCTGTCTGTACAGTGACGCTCGCATCTGTTTGTGGTTGATGTGAGTCGATTGAACGCTGTCACGAGTTTCCTGCGCATTGCGCAACGCCCTTCTCAAAGGCTCAAGGACGGCTTCCGAGATTGCCTCTTGTTCAACCTTCGTAATGGCATCTTCCAATTCAGACACGGTATCATTTGCCACTTGAAACTCCTCGTTGAGCTCCGAGATTGTGTATTCTGCATCTTTGATAATACGCTGTAGCCGTTCCCAAGCGCGATCGGTTAGGACTCGCGCAGCAACGGAGGATTCAAGTTCCATCGTTGCACAGCTCCTATGCTTGAAAACGGTGTGCTTGCCATATTGCCCGCAGCCTCTGCATGGCGTCTGGTCCCATTCTACGGCGCCATCGTCGTATGACTTCCACAGGGGTTGCATCTGGCGGGCGTAAGCACACTGTTGTCATTCTACAGGGGCGGGTCTTCTCACTTTGGCCTTTATTGATCTCTCTTTTGTATGAATGAAGTAAAAGTAGTCCAAGTCAGATTCTTAAATTCTCGGTTTTCACTTCCGATTGACTAAATGTTGTTGCGGAAGAACATGGGAAAGGGGTCAAGCAGTGTAAGTAGCAGGGTGTGGACGCGGGGATTTAAAGGCCTGGTCCTCGGAGACGCGGACGCGTCAAGCAGCGACGCGTTTTACTGCGTGATAAAATTATTGCATAGATCCCTTAGGCAGAGTTTCACAGGGGGCCCGCCTAATCGCTGGCACAGTGGCACTAGCTTAAAGTCAGACAATAAAAGCCACATTCCTGCGGTAGGCGAGCCTTAGAGACGAAGGAGTGCAGCACAAGTCGCAGATTCTATATGTAACCGCGAATATGATGGCGCGAGTATCCTACTTCTCTCTTTTCTTCGGGAGAATTTTGACTCCTCCGTGTTGGCCGGAAGTTTGGTGGGGCCGGCCTAAAGAACCGGGCTCTTTTGCCCCGCGACCTCCGCATTAGCGGGAATTGCCTTCCTTCTTACACTGCCTCCGTCTTAAGATCATTTTATCCGTTGTCGAGCGTTACACTTTATTAATTTATGGCACACAAGTAGTGGAGGAAGAGTCTGGCGCACGACAGATTAGCCTTGTATTCGGCGAGGTGATATTACAGGTGACTTGATTAATATAGTCTAACTATTAGGCTAGGTAGTATTAGATGTATATGTGCCATAATCCACGAGAAGCTCAGCTATTCTAGAGCAAATCTCAATCCCGAGAATCGTATGGTCTGTAGCGATGCCGTTGCCCGCGCGTCTTTTCTCTCCGTGGTCTTCTTGCCGGGGACAATGTCTGACCACTACCGTTGTCATCAACTCCTCGATCAAGTTCAGACTGCGCGTCTAGGGTGGCAGAAACCCAGCTCGCGACAGCCTCATCCTTTGTCGTCCTTTCTCTCACCATGTGAGCCCGTTCATTCCCTCTAAGCCGATTATCTTCGCTTGCGAGGTTGGTGGGCGGAACACTGCAAACCTGTCGCCGAGGTCCTATATTCTCCTTGTCTTCTTGAGACTGATCGTCATCCTCCAGGCCATTGTTCGTAACCTGTCTGGGGTGGTGAGGCCCCTGGTCATCAGGACCTCGTTCCATTCCTCAAGTAGATGACTACACTTTTTCATCGCGCCCGCTGCGTCACCGAGGTCCTTCTCAAAGTTGCTCACGCGTGCAGTATATTCTTCACGTACTTTCACGCGGCGATTCCGCGCTTCCTCGAGTGCGGCTTCGAGAGATCCAATGTAGGCGTCCTCGCGGGCCAGCGATTCGCGCAGGCGGCTTGCGTCCTGCTTACTAGCCTGAGCCCTTACGAGGATATTTTTCTTTCGGCTATCGCCACCTTGATGTTCGCGATGAGGGTCAGCGTCCCCTCGCGGTTGGCGCATCGGTGGTCTCTGATAGTTTCGGGACAGACGCTGCCGCAGCCGCCACAGGGCCTTTCGCTCCAGTGGGCTGTCATGTCCTCTTCCAAAACACTCATTCTGCACAGCTTTGAAAGGTGCCTTGTGAAATGTCGTTGGATGATTCTTGAAATAAGTATGAGTGGCTCAAGGTGTAGTAGTCTCACAACGTGTTCAAAATCCGAGGCGACTTATCAAAGGTCTGGTGTAGTGGTGCTCAAGAGGCTGAGATGATCGCGTCCATGCTAAGGTACTCAGCACGACGCGATTTGTTAGCTACCAACGCGTTGCGGGGCGCTGAGACGTCAGGCATTACGGGGCACATCACCATTCCGAGGGGCCAACTCCGTTCGTGCTTGGTTTAGTACAGACACTTTACTCAACTCCGTTTACGGATAACTGAGGTCCTACTTACTTTTGTTAACGACATGCCCCCAAGCTGATAACTTGGTTTTACCAACGTCCGCGTGGCTACTTTTTGGTCTCCTTGATGGGTTTCGTCATTGGACGTCTAAGTTCAACAAGGGAGTGGAATCGGGTCTTTGACCCCTCTCTCATAACCCCCGTCCAGCTTTCACATTCAAGCTGCACGTGGCCTCGCGACAATTTCATCTTCTCATACTTTAGGATTCTGGAGGGAGACTCCAAAGTGGAAGAGTAAGAGGATTGATATTGACATTCATTCCAGCTCGTGCCAGTCATAAGAAGTCGCTACAGCGACAACACGACTAAGTACTAGATGTCCGCGTGCGGCTCGCTCGGAAATCTTATCATCATTTGCCTTATCCAAGTAGAACAGTCCCGGCTTTCTATGAAGAACTGCAGCTTTCTATCTTAGTAGATACATGTACTTAAAGAGGTATAGTTTATTAATAATTAACGCACATTTTATTTACCGCTCAATACCTTTTAGGTTAGCTTCATCACTACTATTATTATTACTATTATTCCCATTAGTTACTACTATTCCCATCGCTACTATTGCTACTATTGCTACTAGTACTCTGTATTCCTTGTGTATTTCTTATAGAATACGCCCTAGATAAGTAGTGTGTTGTAGCGATCATAATATTAATTGCGGCTTTAAGAAGACGAGCAGTCGTGTGGTAACCTATATCCTAATTTATTATCCCCTTTGCTACTCAATGTGACTGTGGCCGCAACTCCGGCTTGCTCTGTCTATAGCGTTAGAACATAACGAAAACGCGCCTTTCCAGCTTCAAAATCCACAATCCCTTGGTTTGCCTCTGCCATGGGTCTCTCCTGAACCCAAAGTTTGATTGCTTTATCGGCAGCCAAGTTCAACATCTCACGAATCTCTTCCCGAGACCCCGTGTTTGACCCGGTGAGTTTTATCCGCTGCGATACGAGCATGAAAGCGTTGACCTCAAACGAGCCGTCTTCCGGCAACCCGACTTGGATAAACGTGCCATCTAGGCCCACCAAGCTGAGATACTGGTTGAAAGGGACCTTGCTCGTGCCAATGGTGTTAATGATGATGTCAAACGCGCCAGCATGCTCAGCCATCCAGTCCGTATGCTCACTCGTCGCGATATAGTCGTCCGCGCCCATTCTCAAAACTTCATCTCGTTTCGCCTCACTCCGAGATATGCCCACAACTCTATCCGCCCCGAGCGCTTTGGTAAATAGAATACCGCAATGGCCTAGACCTCCAATCCCAATAACACCCACAGTCTTCCCCGGCCCACACCCGTTCAACTTCAGCGGCGAGTACACGGTGATGCCTCCGCAGAGCATGGGCGCGACCGACGCCGAGTCGAGCCGGTCATCAATCTTGAATGCGAAATGCGAAGGACACCGGTGGTGAGTCGCGTACCCGCCCATCGCCTTGCCACCGTTGTAATGGAAAGCACCGTACGTATGCACAGGTTTCTTGCAATATGATTCCTTTCCGCCCTCGCAGGCCTTGCAAGGGCCAAAACGACCAATACAGGCGTCCGCTTGGGCGCCAACGCCAACTCGATCCCCCACTTTGATGTTCCCAACGGCTGTTGACCCGACGCGGACGGCGATGCCGACGATCTCATGACCGACGCAGATTGGATAGGGGGCCGGGTACTATTGATTCGCATGGTTTATCAGCAATAAAGACGGCCATTTACGCAAGTTTGGCAGCGGACTGAAGATAACTGTATGTACCCAGCCACTGCGCAACGTGTGCAGGTCTGTCCCGCAGATGCCGCTGTGGGTGACTTTGATGTCGATATCTGTGTCTTGCCATTCCTTGGGTTCGAATTCTTGCCAGACCATATTCCCCTCCGCTGCTGACTTGTCGAGGCCAAGCCAGGCTTCGAATTTGTAGTTGGGAGCTGGCATGACGGCTAAGGATATGGACGAGTTATTGAGACTGTTGTGTTGTTGGTTCAAGGTTCCTAAAAGGCGGGCATAAGATCTAGGACTTGGTTAAAGGGTTGACGATTGCATGATTTGTTGTTCGGCAGTCAAAGAAAAATCGTATTATATACTTAGGTAAATGACCACTCGTACCTAAGAGGAGAGCATCTTTCCTCGATCTAGGTATTGCGCCGGCTGAAGAAATCTATATCCTTCAACGTACGCACTCCGTGGGGATTCCAGGGGAGCTGCCCATTTCTCGATACGACTTTATGATTTCGCACCACACGAGCCCCCTTGTTTGTTCGGTTGTAAACTGTTCAGACTATTATGTTGCTGTCGGTCCCACTATGCCGGATTTCCAACGGTCAATCTTATGGCCTTGGCTGACTTTTGCCATAGGTTGATACCAACCAACCGCATATGCATGTCGGGGCTATTGCCTAACAACGCTTAACACCAACGTAACGTCGTACTAAGGTGGATAGGAACTTGGTGTCATGAGGGGTTCTTATCCAGACACGGATCGACCAGGTTATTCTAATGCACATTATAAACATGAAGTCTTCAGTTTCTCCGTTCTGACTCACAAGCTGGAGACTTCGATCTTGCCGCGTGCTACTATCAACAGAGGTAAAGTTTCTCTAGGTGAACTTTGCCTACTCTAAAAAATAGCAGTAGTGCCACGAAAATCATCCTGAGAGAATGCCTGCAGTACCTATAACCGGGACGCCGGATAGAATATTAAAGATAGTGATAAAGGTAAGTCACAGGTGAGAATGATCAAACATAGAATAAAACAAATGACAACGGGTATAGATGAAAGGTGCAAGTATGATGAGGTGGCAAAGCGAGCCTTGCTGGCGTCGAAGTCACCAACACCGTTTTGAGAAGCTGAGCATGAGTTTGCGACCACGGGAGTGGTTCGGTCAAGGGTTAAGGGAAAAAGACAACATGTTGCCAAGAAACGAATGTGGTGAACAGAATTGCGTTATGCTAATCATGGGGCCTTCAGTCTTTTTCAAGATGAAATGCCACGTCAAAGTTTCCTATCCGTATAACCATGATGAAGCTATTTTACCTGCCGTAGGTGTGATCTCACACAACAAGGTGCTCAGTGACCTTGATGGTAGATAAAGTACTTATTCAAGCTATCCCGACTCCGGTATCTCTGGCACCAACCACTCGTTCAGAGGTATGTATCCATGATGAACCGGCGAATGCCACCAAATCAGATACCGCTTCGTCGATACAAGGAAAACTACTCGCCAAGTCTACACGGATCTTCAAATCGTGACTTCTCTTTCCGGGAAAGACACTTCAAATACCACCACCTCTCTGCAAGAATTCTGCAAGAGGTTTACCACTACATGTACCCTCTCATTGACGAGTTGGGAGCTCCAGTATCGGAAAGTGTTATCGCTGTGGATAGTTCTTCAGTAGCTTGAAGCACTTTGCTGGACCCACTGCTTACCTAGCGGCGCTTAGAAGTTTCGATAGATCATTTATAGTCGCACCATTGTTGAGCATGTAAATACCTTTGAGGTTTCGAAATGGCCGTAGTGCCACATGCAGTTTGGATGTGAGAGCCGGGCGGGGGGTCATAAGAGGTGCTTCAAACGCCAGGTTCCACCCCCTTGCTCTGCGTTCAATTACGAAGTCTACTACCAAGACCGAAAATTCAGCATTCAGACTTTGATAAACCTCAATTTCAGCTTGGGGTCATGCCGCTTAAAGAACTTAGGGCCTCGAATATCCGCAGGGGAGTTCAGCGAAGTGTCTCTAAACCAAGCATGGACGAAAATGCTCGCGTTCAGTAATTAGCAAAGTTGATGACAAAGTATCAAAATGGACAGTCGCCTTCTTATAGCCACTATTATTGACATACCGCACTACACTTCCAAGGCATATTATGTGACGAATATACAAACAGCAAAAGTAAAGGTTGTTGTCACGGTAACGTGAATGATAAGCGAGTGAGACAGACAAGTGAGTGAGACACAAAACTGCGCCGATGAGATAAACTGGCTTCCATATCAACATCAACAGCATCAATTCAATTCAAACTACTCATAATCCTCATCTTCAGACATCTCTTCAATAAACTGGCACGTTCGTGAATTGTGTCCCGGGTGACCACAAACGCCACACCGTCGCTGACCTGTCTCGGCCCTCAGTTTGCGACCACTAGTACGACGCATTTCCTCCTGAACCTGCGCAGTCACATCTTTCTGTGACTGTATATCTGCTGCGTCAGCTACAGTAAGACTTCCTCCATGTTGTAGGCGTGTTTTCTTAGTTCTCCGTCGTCGACTGAGTTGGTTATTCTCGTCTCTAAGAATCTGTACCTCAGATCTAAGTAAGGCTACTTGGTGCATGATGCCTCTTGTACCTTTAGAAAGTCGTTCAACAGCCTCGCAAATAGAGGTTGGGGAGCTGCTTTGGTGACGAGTGATCCGACTCTTAATAAAGTTGGATTGAGAGCTTGCCTCTACTGGGTTGTTTGGTGTCCTTGAAACCCAAGGCGGAGGTGTCTGTGGTAGTGATGCTGGAGGCGTTGGAGTGTGTAGCCGGATATCCAGCTTTGATAGGACGCTTTCTGCACTCAGAGGAACAAGCCCAGCTCCTCTCAAACCCCCTTGGATGTTTTTTTCAGTCATCGCTTGACTAAATGCGCTGCGATATGCAGGAAAGAAGTCCTCCTTTGAGATGTGGGTTACGCCCCGCCGCATCTTATCCTCAATTTGTTGCCCATACGCCGTCTTTAGCGGACCAAAGCACCCAACGTCAAGGGGCTGGAGTAGATGAGACGAATGAGGCGGCATACAAAGTGTAACGATCTTGTTTGCCTTGCAATATAGCTCAAAGTCTGTTGAGTGGTGACTTTCGTGCCCGTCGACGACGAGGAGGCGATATTGGCCTCTCAAACGTGGTTTCGTATGACGATCATAGTGCTGGATCCAATATAGGCCTCTTTCATTTGTTGTCCATCCGTTTTCTGACGTCGAAATGACCCAGTCGTCCGGGAAACCTGACTCTGTATACCAGGTTGAGAGGTGATATTGGCCTGCAACGATGATGTACGGCGGGACGTTATAGCCTTGCGAGTTGATGGCTTGAATCACTGTAACCCATTCTCGATTACCAGACTGCGCCATTTTTGTGTTTGAACGCCTTTCAGTACTTGTGACAACCATGCCAGATGCAATCTGGCCCATCATAAAGCCAGTCTCATCAAAGTTGTAGATATCAAACTCATCGATACCATACTTCGCGATTGTGTTCTTCACAAGAGCGAACCAGCCGCGAATAGCCTCTGCATCCTCGCATTGGGCCCTCTTGTAGTCGTACCTCCGAAAAAACCGCGTCCGCAATTGTGGTTGTCGTTTGACGAAGTTTAAGGCCCAGCGCTTCCCAACCGGAGGCGCGTCGCGATCAGCAAGCAGTCGATCAGCCATTTCTTCCACACCACGGATCCGGGGAGGGAATGATCGGGCATCTAGATCGAGAATGTGATCAACTAACGTCTGCTCTTCTAGCAAAGTAAGATTCCTCGAGTTCGGTATCCTGTCGCTTCGAGATGTAGAGCCCTTCAATCGTCGACTCAATGTTGCATGGCTGACCGAGTAGATCGTAGCTGCAGCCCGTGCACTAAGCTCTGGATTGATTCTGATAGCTTGAAGGGCCAGCTGTATGCCTGACTCATTACTTCTGGATGCCATGATGTGTTGTGGAAGAAACGTCTCCATTTGTGTTGAAGCATCATCGGCGCAGTTTTGTGTCTCACTCGCTTGTCTGTCTCACTCGCTTATCATTCACGTTAGCAGTGGCAAGGGCAGTGATACTATTAGTAGGAATAGAGCCGGGGTGTTGTTGAGCTCCAAACTATCATGTCACCCACTTGACTAAAGTAGGCAATCCGAGTTCATGGCCTTGCAGAACATGCACTGACAAGGGAAATGCATGTGTCAATAAATACAATCATCTGATAGAACTCAAAGTTGCAGCTCTCCAAGTCGGAAGTGTTCCCTTACAAGAAGTGACGATAAGATTTCAGAAAGAAGGAAGAACCGCACCCAGAACTCTGGTGCCTATGCACACACCTGGCCACAGTTGTGGCCGTATTCTAGAACACGTAAAGGTCATCATTTCAGTGGCACCTCAAGCTGAATAGAGTTTAAGCTGTTTACATAAGCTCCATGGTCGTTTCTGGGGAGGTAAGGACAGCAACTTCATGTCAATAACTCAATAGATGGTTTGGTAGTGTGATTTATGTAGAAGGGAAAAGGGCACCGAATCCCAAGCCCGAAAATGGCAAAGAGATCAATAAGGTTCTTATAATGGAACTGTCAGCGGAGGAGCTTGAACTCTTCAGATGACAGTCAAGTACAATATGATTGGACGGGTTAGGGTCTCTCCAACGGGGGGCAGTTATGTGTAGCACGCCATCGACTCCGACGATGGTGAATCAATTGCGCGAGCTGCAAGCAAGCTGACGCGACACACTAAACGCCCACACAGTTGCATCAGCCCCATTTAATACTTGTTCCTTGTCTTTTCCATAGCAGCGATGGAATCAGTTGTGAGAGCTCGATACGACTTTTCGTGGGCAGCAATGAATGCCTCTGACGAGACGATTGAAGTCTGTGACCAGGTTGCAAAGTGCTGGCATAGGGCTTAGCTTCAACGCAAAGTCCTATGAGAACCCAAGAAAATGCAACTAGGCTTGGTTAAGCTCCGACAACTGCCGCAACTAATTGTATAGTACAAGGTCATCCCATACAAGTTCTGTATCTCCTCGGGATACAACCGTTTAACCTGCTGTGGGAGGGTCAGATTCACGGAATAGGTAGCCTGTCGTCATCTACCTGTGGATCGTCTCTCGGTATCAGACCGAGAATTGGAGAAAGCGTGCCCCTTTCCTAGCTATGAGCACACCCAAATGCTCGTCACGCATTGTGGCGACGTTCCATGACAGCTTGGCTGGAGAGTAAGCCGTACCTTTGGGAAGCAGTGCATGTTGGAACCCCTGCTGAAAGAGTTTTGTCAAGAGACTCTTATATAGAACGGCTCAGCTGTGCTGCATGTTGGCAGGGCCTCTGTTTGACCTCTCGCTTTGTGTAGGCACCGTACGTCATTGTTTCTTCTTTTTAACGACGAGACAAGATGTCTTCGCAGCAACCGGTCGCGAAGCCGTCGCCCGCTGGGTCTGATACCTCGTCCGACCATGGCGGCTTGGGCTCCAAATCAGCGGTCGATGACAAGGTCATTGTCGATACAGCGCCTCCGACAGCGCCCGCTCTTGCAACACAGCAGACCCAGCGCATGGAAGCAGCAATGGGAGATGCCATACTGCGGTTCTTCAGAATTCGAAAAGGGCCAAAGGCTGAAGAGTATGACCTCGATGCGGTACGTATACCAACTCATGTCAACTTGCGACAGGCTCCGATCAATGGCATCTAACACGAGCAAAAGATTGCCACACAGCCGAGTATCTGGGATTCTGAGAACGTCGAAGAGTACAAGAGCCTCTATATCCACCCGCAATGGGAGAATTGGGCTGCTTTCGATCCGACTTTCCGATGGACATGGAGGGAAGAGCGAGCCGTGAGGCGCAAGATTGATTGGAAGATCATGGTGAATAGCCTACTGAGGCACTCGACAGAGAACCCAAGCTAACGACTGGCAGGTCTGGGCTTGTGTGATGTTCGCAGCCCTCAACATCGACCGAAACAACATCTCCAACGCCGTATCCGATAACATGCTCGACGATCTTGGTTTGACGCGAGGCGACTATGTGAGTGACGGAACTAAAGGACTGTTTGCTTGGCCATACGCTAATACGACCAAGAACCTTGGTCAAACGATTTCCCGAGTTGGCTTTCTGGTTGCCGAGCTTCCATCGCAGTTGATATCCAAGCGGTCGGTAATCTTTGTTTACCAGCTGGGAAACTGACACTGACTCCGGTGTCTAGCATTGGTCCCGATCTATGGATACCTATCCAGATCTGCCTCTTCTCTATCATCTCTGGGGCACAGTTCTTCCTAAAGGGTCGAGCGTCCTTCCTTGCAACAAGATACCTGATGTGAGTATGGTTGATGTCCATTGGGGGAAGCATTGATTGTACTTACAACCATCTGTTTAGCGCAACCTTCCAAGGAGGTTTCATCCCGTAAGTCTTGGTTTTCAACAAGCCTGCAGTCCAAGCTTTTAACTAACTCCTTGGCAGGGACACAATTCTTTACCTCAGTTACTGGTACACCGGCACCTCGGTCAGTAATTTGATATCGAACTTTCACACTAGAGCACCATTCTGACGTGATTCTCTAGCTTCCGATTCGATTGGCCTGGTTTTGGATGTCTTCGCAACTGGGTAAGTCGCCCTGTACCACCCTCAAGCTACATCCAACTCTGACTGATGTGACTTTGCAGTTGACATCGGTGTTGGATTCGCCGCCGTCGGTCTTGTTTCTATGCGCGGTATATTGGGCTATGAGGGTTGGCGTTGGTTGTTTCTTATCGAGTAAGCCTTTCCATGATGATCTTGCGATGTTGACAACTTGCTTACACACCGTCGACAGAGGCGCTTTCACTTGTAAGTCAACGCAGTGCATACTCTTTTAGCTGCATCGCTAACAATATTGGCCTAGTCTGCGTGGGGCTTTGCTCATTCTTCCTGATGCCTCAATGCCCTGCCAAGACGAAGAGTTGGTGGAATCCGAAAGGCTACTTCAACGAGAAGGAGGAGAAGATCATTGTCAACTCTGGTACGTCTCTCTCAAGCTCAACATCTATTCCAAAGCTAATCAATTTTGCTAGTCATCCGAGACGATCCGCAAAAGGGTGGCATGTACAACAGGCAAGGTCTGTCCGTCAAACAGATATGGGAATGCTCCAAGGATTACGACATGTGGCCCTTGTTCGCTCTCGGCTTGCTCTTTGGCTTGCCTAAGTATCCCGTCAACCAATACCTCACCTTGTCGCTCCGAGATCTCAAGTTCAACGTCATCCAGACCAACTTACTTTCGATTCCGTGGATCATAGGATCTAGTATCACCATGTTGGCCATCACGGCTGCGAGCGAGCTATGCAATAACCGAAGTTTCGTCGCCATGGCTGAGGATGCCTGGTTGCTGCCATGTTTCATCGCTCTGATCGTGATCGCGAACCCAAGTCCCTGGGCGTACTTTGCGATTGCAACAGTGTTGTTGTCCTTCCCTTAGTAAGTGCAGAGAAATACGCTTCTGTATTTTTGCTTGCTAATTACTACCAGTACGCACCCTATTCAAGTTGCCTGGACTAGTAGGAACGCTGGATCCGTCCAGAACAGAACAGTCTCTGCGTCGTAAGTTTCTGCAACTCTTGCTCATAGATGCTACTCGACTAACAACATGCCTCTAGCCTGTACAACATGTGGGTTCAAGTCAGTGGCATGATCGGCGCAAACAGTAAGTAGCTGTCTAACCCTCACATGATGATGGATGATGCTGAGTGGTCAAGTCTACCAACCAAGTGATTCTCCTCGATACTTCAAGGCCAACAAGGGTCTGTTGGTTATTTGCATTTGGATGTGTGTAAGTAGATGCTTCAATCATCCCAGGTCCTCGTCTCACAGCTCACACGATCTACAGGTGGTGCAGTACCCCTTCACCTACTTCTACTACCGGTGGAGGAATAATAGCAAGGCCAAGAAGTGGGATGCTATGACACCAGAGCAGCAACACGACTACCTTGCGAATACGACCGACAAAGGGAACAAACGGTGAGCTCCATCGACAACTGGTTGATTTCTTGAGTCTTACTAACGTCCTGCAGGCTCGACTTCCGGTTTGCTACGTGATTGATAACACCATTGTTTCAAACACGAATCAAGAGACGATTGGGGTGTCTCATACGATCTATGGGAAGACCTCGACAGCACAGTGAAGTCTCATGGAGCATTACTTCAACCCAGTTGGAGTTGATTTCTTGGCGTGATTTACGCTCCCCTCGTCCACTCTTAGCCAATGGACATCATGAATCTGGCAGCAGGCCGATGTCGATAGCACACTTAGAGTTATGCCATGATATTAATACCAAAAGTTTCAAGATGCTCTCCAAAAGAATTACGTGTGCGCTTTCATTCATATCTGATGTCTCTTACTGAGTTTTAGGTCTCTTGCGTGCGGTCACAACCGTCCCTCTCAGTGCTTTCGACTCAGCAAACCAACTAAACACCTTTGCGGCTACTTTGAACTTTCCTGCTGAGATCCCAAATGGCCTCAATGCCTTACTCTGGCTCTGAATATGATTGACGAGACCAGGGAACACATGTTCCGTGATATCTCTGAACTGGATGTGCTTCTCATCGTAGCCCGCGTCAACGAGCTGCTTCGTGTAGTCTGCCACCGTCACAAAAGCCGCAGCAGGACAACCCATCACCAGGCCAATGAGCTTGACCAGTAGCCTCCGTCGGTAAGACGCTTCATCGCTCAGCAGCAAATCAAAGGCCATAAACGAAGCATCAAGGTTCTTCGCTGCGTAGTTGAGTATTGGCTTTCTCGAAGGAAAGAAGTGGTACAGGCTGTCAAGGGCTAGTACCCATCTGTGTTGATCGCCGGTCTTTTGCTCGACCATAGACTTGACGGCAAACTTCACGCGCGCGTTCCAGGTGTCGGGGTTCGCGGCGTCAGCGCAAAAGATTTCAACAGCTCCGTCAACCAGCTTGAGCTTTGACACCTCCGATTGCACTCTGGACAAAGCCAGGCGATGCTGAGACTCATTTAAAGTGAGTCCTGCATAACGATATCCGGTAATGCCTCGGTCGTTGATGAGTCGTGCGAGCTCAAGTGACTGGTCACCACAACCAACACCCAAGTCTAGAATAGCTAATGTAGAGGACTGAAGTGAATCTTTGAAAATGTGGGCCTCTTCGAGCACCTTTAAAAGTAAATTGCGACAGGCCGTTTCAAAAACGGTAACGTGTAGGCCGTCGGCATTCGTCCTGGAACATGATAGTAAGTTAGTAGTGCTATGGCGGAGTGGAAGAGCATCATGATGGGCGATGAGATGATTTCATTTGAAATCGAGAGTAAAAAGAGAATGGGGAATGCAGCATCTACGAGGTGTCGTGAGGTCAGGGGAGGGACCAACCAATAGCCCATGTTCATCCACATGGTGGTGAACGGCACCTTGACATTGAGCTTCCAGTGGTCATTGTCGTAGACATCTTTTCGCTGCAGAGAGGGAACAGCAAGTGCCAGTATGATGAATAGAATCGTAAACGTGCAGCCAGATGCGCCGAGTAATACACCTTTCCAGAAGTCTGGAACGGCATGAATTGGTTGTGACATTGCATGAGATGAGTGAGAGTGAGGGAAGGTTGGTGCTGTGTCGCTCACTGAGAAGACCTTTGCAGTGAGATTCTGCCACGCGTGACCGGGCTTCTTGCCAGCTGGAGCAGACTGGCAGGGAAGAGCAGTGAAAGGATCCGGCAGGATTCGGAGGTCCGCGGCTTTTCGACGCCTAACGAAACTCCATGCCCGGGGTTTAAAGTAAGTAAGACTCTAAATTCAACTTCATTCCCTTCGCTCACATTATGTACACACTTTCTCATATGTTTCACACGCTTTGTGTTCATTGCCCCCTTGCGCTTGATGTCTCCCATGGAATCTCTACACCAAAGTCGTCTGCGACCCCCATTGCCGAAATGAGACACCCTTCAAGAAGAACCATTCCATCCCAGCACCATGCCCCAGCTAGCCATACACTGTCCTGGCCATTGGCCCAGTCTCTCGCCGCAACAGCCGAGTCAATCTTCTTGTCGAGAGCTCTCCTGTCCATTATCTTGCGTATGGCCGCTCTGCTCTTCGTCGTTCTCAGGGTTCTTGTGAACCTCGCCGTCTGCAGCACTCTCTTCGCGTCGGCCTGGGGATCCAGCAGGCAAGTGCTCACGACTGCCCCTCCTGGCATCGTATGCAATGCCTCCGTCTTCGCCGCATCTCGAGTGAAGTCACTCCTCAGACAAATGACCTGCGGCGGCGTGATATTCCCACGATGGTGTGAGCAGGTCGCTGGCCGGCATTCGTCGTCTTCCACGAGTGTGAACGACTGGCTCGATGACGCACCAGCCGGACGGAGCACCGAACATTCCACGCGAATCGTCGGTACCGGTTCGAGAACCTCGCGCAAGGGCATGAAGATCTTGCGAGTCACATCCGGTGACACAGCGAGGATAACCCGATCAAAGACTTCATACACGATTGGCCCGACCGGGTCGCTCGTCGACTGCCAGCGAACCCTTACTCTTCCGTCCGTTGTCGGCGCTACCTGAGCGACACATGCGCCTAGACGAATCCGCTTCATCTCTCTTGCCAGTCTGGCTTCGACCTGATGAACGCCGCCGCAGACCGTGTAGTGCTGCTGGCCGTACGAGAGCTTCTTGTAGTTCACTACATCGCCCGCAGGGAACGCTAGGAGCTCCGTGTGAGAGCACGTCGAGACACTGCTTAGGAGAGGGAGCAGATAATGCGTGATGTAGCGTCGCGGCATCCATACTCTCTCCAAATACTCGCCAAACGTCTCGTCCCCGTCGGAGCCTCCGGACGAGGGCCGGATCACGAAGCACGCGACCGTGAACCAGAATTGGCAGAGAACCAAATACAGGATCTCAAACAGATATGTGAGAACTCCGCGTTTCCCCGGCCAAGGTGGGATTTGGTGCAGATTAGACGCGTGGACAAAGTACTCTCCGGGGTCCCTATCGGCGCTTTGAAAACCTCCTGATGTAGGCGTTTTGGGTGATGCTGCATCCGCCTTCACAGGTAGTGTAGCTTTGGCGAATGAGAAGAGAAACCGGACGGGATGATATGGGATACCCAAGTGGTCATACATGCGCATCACGTTGGCGTAATAACCGCCAGCGAGGGCGCGCATAGGGAGGTCGATGCGCTCGACCTTGCCAGAGTTTTCATCTCGAATGGCGACGGAGGCTGAGTCGAATGACAGACTTTCGGCCTGTAAAAGTCAGTCTAGGCACCAAATCGTCACCTCCATCCTCAACATATGTGTACCTGTTCAAAAAGGGTCACAGCATATCGCCCCTGCTTGTCGTTTTGTAGAAGATATGCGGTAGTGAGGCCGGCTAGGCCAGTGCCGACGACGGCCACCTGGAGGGGATCCTCGCGGCCCATGTCGTGACGAGGAAGTCTTGTGAGATTTACGGAGTCGGAATGATGCTACTATGGTCACGCGTGCTGCCCGGTTGCTGGTTACGGAGTCATGGCTTTCAATCCTCAACTAACAGCTCTAGGGAAGCACCTCGACGAGCATATGGTGAGCAGTTGTACGAAAATGACGACCACCAAAAGGGCATTGGCACCACCTTGGAGACACATTTCCCACTCAGACAGCTCGGGGCCGAGCACCTTGAATTTTTTTCCACCCCGTCCCCCAGAAAGAAGCTCTCCTGAACGGAGACATCCCTGATTAAGTGGAGATGTATCCATACCGAGGTCGTGGGCCGTGACACGCTGTCGGGACAATTTGTTCTGGAAATGTTTGGGGCATGTCTCTGTCGGCCTGCTCAGTGCCACATTTGCCCCCTCGATCCTCGCTCATTCTCAAGAGAACCAAACAGATTCTAGAGAGTTAGATGTGTCATTCATGGTCATCATCACGAGAATTGGCCAGTGCCGCATATGATTTCGGCCGGTTCACATTGGGTAGTTAAGCATGGTTTACTTAGGCGCGTCGAAGCCATTCAGACGATCTTAGCTGTTCGGATAGAAAGTTGCGCCGACTCGAAGTTTTCCGGACGGCCCCACAAACTATGTTCTGCCCTGATCGCCGGCACTGTAGCTTAGCTTCTTGTTTATGACGAATAGGCACATGCAAGCTCACGTCAAATCATTCTGAGCCGCATGGCAATTCTAGAATGTTGTGGTTTTCGTCAAATCTGACGGCTGCTGTTGTTCGAAGGGCTCTTTGAAGCTTCTGTTGCTCACATCGTAAAATGAGCCCGCTGTCTCTGATTGACTGCTGAGTGAGAGATGAAGACATCTGCAGGTCAATACACAATCGGACCACTTTCTCACCTTTACATTTTTGACCGCACATACCTTACTGGGTTTCTTAGAATAAATCACCTCAAGAACCTGTGAACCAAGCCGGCTTGAGATTGCAGTAGTAAAATCGATGGCGGTAGAGATTCTCCGGAGGGGGTACTAACTTACAGTGCGAGATGTATTGAGCCGCGGCAGATGATTCGGTCACCCACTTGCCGCTTGGAAGTCCGCCGTGATCTTTCACAACCAGTAGCACCTCGCTTTCGTGAAATTGACTCCGCAGCGCCCTCCACAAAGTCAGACCCTTATGCCCCTGTCGGCCCCTGCGTAGCTTTGACAGAATTGACAATAGCTGTTCAGCTGGCGGCCGCTCAGTGCTCACAGAGTAATTACTTTAGTGTCACATGCTTGCGTTTCTTCAGCCAGGCAAGGCCGCAAGGCACTGATTTGGTGTTGCATGCCGTTATGAAGATTGGTTGTTGATACTACAGCAGTTGCTAAATGCCTACAGAGTAGATGCCGAATCTGTCGCGGCTCGCTTCAAGACCGTGCATGGAGACATGTTGTTCATCACATACAACGCCCAATAGCCAGAGGCTTTGAATAACCAGTTGGGGTCTCTTCTTTGATGTTGCGTCGATTGTCACTCATTTGACGTTCCACTTCCCAATTCTCAGCCGGCATTGCGCCGGTCATTGCTCGATGGTTCGTAGCTGGCCCACGTTCTTTCATTTTATCACAAAGCGAGGTAGCAAGTGGAAGACATGTATAGTAGAAAGTGGCTTGATTCCTCTAAGTGGAAGATCCGTATGGGGGTCATATCTATATACCGTACAAGACGGGTAATCGGCTTGTGGAAAGCGGTATCGTACGGCAGTAACCGGCAGCGCCATGTGTGGCGCTGCGACACATTTCAATTCCGTCTACTTCATGTCCTCTTGCCATCAGGACTGGTAGAACCGGCTCATGCTTGTCGCTATCTGCCAGAAGGCTGTCGAGCAGCATGTTCATCAGCTCTTTTCCCCGAAAACAAGCCGTCGGCAAGAGAGAGGCCGCTCACATAGCCGTTGGCACATACACCAACAGCACTTCGCCCGGCAGCATACAGCCCATCGATTTTGCTACCATCTTCGGTCAGGACTAGCCCGGTCTCCCCATCCACACGTAGCCCACCCAGCGTCAGTCCGTTAACAGCTTGGATTCCTTCGGTGCGACAAGATATATCAACACCAAAGAATGGAGCCTTTATCACCGGACTGCAGTAATCTGCTTCCTTGTGCATCGGATTCTCCATTCCGCTGGCGATCGCATCGTTGTAGATCTGAATTGTCGACCCCAGACCATCGGCCGAGATTCCGAAGGTGCTGGCGAGCGCTGCCAAAGAGCCAGCTTTTTTGTAGCCCCAGTAGAGCCAATGTAGCCTCTGAATAAGAAGAGGCATGTCGGTTTGCCGGAAGACTTGTTTCTTTGCTTTCACTCATTGATCCGAGTCGAGGATTAAAAAGCCCTTCCCACCATGTTGGCGTATCATAGTGTCGCTGAGTGCAGCCCCATAGACATCTTCCGCACCCATGCGCTCTCCAGCTTGAGATACGACGACACCCTCGAGCAGAGCTGTTGGAGGATACAAGAACCGCCACGCAGACATATTGTTCATGTTTGAGACTGAACCCCCGGCCGCCTGCCCGATCTTGATGCCCGATCCGTCATCACCATTGGTGCCGAGCGGAGCGACCTTGGAGAACTCGGGGAGGTGTTTCTGCCTCATCTCAGGGTTAAAAGCGAAGCCTCCGGCACTCAGAGCCACCGCTCCACTGTGTATGGTTTGCAGAGTGGACTGTTCTTGCCAGATTTTGTCTGCCTTCCGGTGATAGACGTCGGCGAGTTGCGACGCCATGATTTGGAATTTCTTCGTCTTTTGCGTGAGACCCTTGTGTTTCTGGAACAGCGAGTTGGTATCCGGCAACGTCTTGATGTCGACTCCGCCGACTTTATCCTTCTTTTCGTTGAAGAGAACCTGCCGAACCTTGGACGCTGGCTTGAAATCCCCTCCCAGACGTATCGCCGAGTCAAAGAGCGCCTGCCACAGCGCAGAGCCAGAGAACCCCGGCTGCACCATCCGATGTCCTCTCGGCGCCGGTGTCGACAGCTTGTTGAAAGGATACGATTTCTCATTGCCAGAGAAGTAGAGGTAATGCTTATTCGTCGGATAGCTAGTCTTGTAAGGACACAAGGAGGCCTCGAACCGTCCGCCATGCTTCTCGAGCCAATCGAGCCGCGCCACGCTCTCGTCGCAGAAACGCAGCAGAGTCTTCTCGTCGACTGCGTCTCCCGTTTCTTCCTTGAGATAGGCTAGCATATTTTCCGGGGTATCGTGGCCGTAGCCGACTTCTTTTTGTTGTCGGGTTCCCCCGCCTGCGTAGACTACGCCCCCTGAGAGCGCGGATGCTCCGCCGCCGTGGGCATCGTCAAGGAGAAGGACTCTGGCGCCTTTTTCTGCGGCTGCGATGCTTGTGCAGACACCGGCGATACCGGCACCGACGACTATTCTATCATGTTTTTGGCTGGATTTTACTGAATAGGTTGCGTGGAAGGAACGTGTCTTGGGATGGCACAGGATAGCAACTCTGAGATGTGCTGAGTGGTGGCGGGCAGTAAAGGAGGTCGCGCGTGAGGTGAGCATCGCAGAGGCTATTGTCTAGGTAACGTAAACGACATGGACGACATCACCGGGGTACCAGAATGACATGATAGTCTTAAATAATTCGCACATGCTGACATGCCAGCGTGCCGCGTTCCCTTAAAGATGGTTTGCTTCCTGATTGGGGCTTGGGCTTACATGTTTGTCCAACAGGCGGCGTGCATGGTGCCTAACAGGTAATATACCTGCCACCTTACTCCAATCCGACACGAGGCACAGTTGAATCAAACTAAAATGACATAGGATCTAGCGACAAAGTATCCGACAAGACTCTAGTCTCGTGATGTTCAAAGCATCGTCGCGGACGCCGCTTAACATTCCGGCCAATCACGGAACGCGTGGATTCCGCGGAGAGAACGCGAGACCCTGCCAAGTGCGTCGGAGAAGGCCAAGTCTTGATGTCCCGGATTCCTCTTATTTGGGTTGAATGCGACGCTGTAGGTCATATCACGGAAGCCGAAGTGAGCTTCATTCAGCGAATTCGTCATGAGGTTACCAAGATGGTCGGTCATCTATTCTCTCAAGTGGCCTCTTTGACGCCATACTTCCAGCCACCTCTTGACCATGTCAACCCCGATTTGTCTTCCTTTCTCTACACTTCCAGCATCAAACACCACGCCCTCGCCATTTCCACTGCCCTCGGCCATCGACTGGAAGAAGCCTAGTAGCTTCAGAGCTGGCAGCTCCTTCACACTCAAGCCCTGCGATTCTGCCGTCGCTTCTAATCTAGACACCCATTCGCTCATACCAATGTGTTGCACCTTTCTTCCGCAAGCTTCCTCCAGCTTTAAAACAAGCTCGTTCCATGAGATAGCGCTCGGGTTGACAAGATTGACCACAGCATACGACGTCTCAGCGGCGCTGGGAATAATCGCCCTCGCGATGGCTTCCGCACAGAAGTCGACGGGGAGCCAGTCGACCCTCGTCTGTAAGGTCGGCATCGCATCGAGGTGATCGAGTCCCGCCATCATCATGGTAGGCCACATCTCGGTATGGTTCCATGCTCCCAGTCTTGAATGACCACAAAGTTGGCCAACTCGGAGGATTCGGACAGGGGTGTTGTGAGTAGATGCGTAGTGCTGCGTGACTTGTTCAATGATGAACTTGGACTGCGCGTATCCGGTAGGAAGGGCATTTGCAGGATCCGCAGAGAGAGGAAGTTCTGGCACTTTGGTGCCGGCGGGGCTTCCCATTGCTGCAGCGACGCTGCTCATGAAAGTGAGTGTCTTCTCGGGCCCCTTGAGACAGAATGACATGAGATGCATAGTTCCTAAGGTCATCATCGTCAGCTCAGAAACTCTGCGTTGGCATAAGACATATCTCACCTTTCAGACAGTCGTCTTCGAACCGTTGAATCGGTTGATTGAAGTCCAACTTCCAAGCATTGTGTATCACAGTTGTCACCTCATTCGCCAGACGTTGATATATCTTCTCGTCCAATCCCAGCTTCTCGTCCTTCATGTTGTAGCTGACGGGAACAATCTTATGGCTTTGGTAAATGCTCGTCGAGTAGCCCCTCTCTTTCATGAAGCTCAAGACTCGAGATTGAGGATCGGCTCCTCTCACCGCACAGTAAACCTTTCGTACCGTTGGCATCTGGATCAGGACTTCCAATAGCGCATTGCCTAGGGCACCACTAGCCCCCGTGAGAAATATGACTTCGCCGTCTTTCCTGACATCTTCTCGTTGATAATGAGGGCTATTCCAGTTTTCAACTTCGCTGTTCATGCGGTGAATAGTTGACCCAATCCACTCGTGGTGGTTGCTGACCGTCGGAGCCTTGCTATCAAGACCACTTTTGGACAGCTGAAGGAACTCGAAAAGCTTCCTTGCCGTGGGATATTCGAAAATGAACATCAATGGGAAAGCCCCGAGCATCTTCACAAGTCTCGATCGTATCTCGACAGCACGCATAGAATCGAGGCCAAGTTCGTACCAGTTACAATCTTCTGCCAAGTCTTGTATGGAGATGCTGAAAATATCGGCCACGACTCTTCGGATTGTTTCGATGTCAAAGATATCGGGGTCTCTCGAAGGATCAAACTCAGTATCTGCATCCGTGTCAAGCGGGTTGCCCAGAAAGGAGTTGTAGAGTTCTTCCACCTTGTCCCCGTACAGTTCCCAGGCAAGGGTTCGTCGCACGTTCCCTTTCGGGGTGATTGGTAACGTCTCTCCCTTTTCCAGAATGAAAACTGCTTGACGAGGAATCCTTGAGTACGTCGGCGAGTTCTCATTGCAAGCTTGAATCACTTTCCACACCTCGTCGATAAGATCAGCTTTTGATATAGATCTCTTCTCCACCTCAGACCAACTGATCTCAACAACAACAGAGGGGCAAGGCTTTCCTGTCCCAAAGACTGCAGTCTTCGCAATAACACCGGACTTGTCCTCCTCAAGCGTCATAGCGAGCGCCGCAGCATGCGTCTTTTCTCCATTGCTGTGCACGAGGATGTCATCTCGTCGACCTTGGAGGACGAAATACCCGCTTCCTGGGGGGTCCTCAACGAACAAGTCACCCGTACGATAAGGATTTGGCGCCGTCTCGTCGAGCCAGAGTTCTGCGGCTAACGGGAAGCCGCGGTACACGACGCACTCGAACAGTCCTTCCGCAACGGTTTCCATTCGCACATACTCCGACTCGGGGTAGAGGTTTCTGAAGCGGTACACATCTGGGTTGTCTCTCGTGTGCGGTATCGTCCGAAGCGGCGGCCCCGTTTCGGTTGTACCGTACGTGGTTTTGACATTGACGCCGATGCTCTGGACTTTGGACAACATTGAAGGCGACAGTGGGGCTCCTCCTGGTTGTAGAACCTTCAGGCCTGTGAGAGGACTGTAGTCTTTGGTGGTGAGAGTGATGTATTCGTAGAGGTCCTCGATGACTGAAGGTGCACAGTGGAGGCAATCTGGTGGATAGCCGAGGTTTGTCAAGGAATTCCATGCAAAGAGGATGGAGCTTGGAGCTGGTGGCCATTGTGTTGGAGGTAAAGAGGTAGGGAGTCCGGTTGGAAGTCCCGACAAGGCGATTGACAGTCCAGCAACGTGGAATCTGAGCAGTGTGAGCATATATCCCAGTAGCGAGAATGATCGGAGTCTTACAGAGGGAAACAAAGATACCAATTCTCGACGAAGAACTCTGGAAGTAGTCTGTACATCCGTGCAATCTGACACAAACTCCTGTTTGTGTGAATAATTGGTTTCGGCACTCCAGTGGAACCAGAAGAGTGGATGATCATTGATTGAAGATTCCACTCGTCATCAGTCTCAAACACAACATTTAGTTCTTCAAAAGCCTCTAGGCTATGCCCTCTCAATTCGTGCAGGCTGATGAGTTTCGTCGCCGGAAGTTGACACTGGCTTTCCCCATGTAACGAAGCTTCACTCGCCTCGTCGGTGACTATCGCAATAACATTGCATACTCGGAGAAGGTGATCCCTCGTTGCCGGAGAGTTCTTGTTGCTAAGTAGAAGAACTCGAAGGTGCAAGCGATTCAATGCGAACTGGGTGATGAGGTATGAGATTGAGTTCCCAACACCCAAGAGAGCGACAGTGGGTTGCTGACCAGTCTCATTGGCAGTTGTAATTGCCTCTTGAAATCGCTGAGAGTAGAACTGTGATGCTGCATCACAGAGTTGATTGAGCTGAGCCCAGTCCAGCACCTCAAATGAGTCACCAACAGGATGTATGAAAGCTGGCTTCGATGGCTGTGTTGTGGAATTATGCTTGACTAATGCCGCAACACTCGTCAACGCTGGGCCAGAAAATCTGCAAGTTCGGCGTTGGAGCCATTAAGTCAGTCGAGGTTGATGGGTACGATATTGGTTCCTACCTTGAGCTATGAGGGTGCCCGTGAAGTTGCCATAGTTTTCTCAATCTTTCATCGGCATCTGGCGCAGGAAACACGGTTGGGTCGACGGCAGCAATTGATGAAGGTGGCTTCAGGTCAGACACCGCGATCGGTGCCATGTTGCCAAGGTATAAACATAGGTGAATCTTCAATTGTGTTCGCTCTTGGAGGCTGTGACTTCGTGGGATCCAATCTCAACAAGACTCTTGACGAGTGTGCTTCTTCAACCTCGGATTAAGATGACAATATCGCAATGGATCAGCCGCTATCCGTAAGATCAATCCTATCGAGTTTAGCAATCTACTTACAAGTTACAACCCAGTATCCTTTCGTTGATCAACTGATTAGATTATGCAACGCCTATCATAGTGCTTGTTGGAGTAACGAAACACCAGCAAAGGATAAGCCAATGATATTTCTGTGCCCCGATAATCGGACTGATAACAATGCACGCCTATCGCGTGCCTATCACAAACATTTGTGGCACGCATCCGGAAACCGCACGACCATGGCGCTCGGCAACGGCGATAGCTGAATCTCTGAAAGGGAATCTGATAAGCCTCGTCTTAGAAATGACACCGGATGCGCAACAACGTAAAAGTAATTAGACATCGGTTGTTCCGACTCCCCGCAAACAAAATTAGCAATTCCAATTGTGCCATCGATCGCCCTGACTATCCCTTTTCTCCTGAAGGTGAGGCCAGCTTTTAGTCGAGACTCGGGAGCAATCTACTATCGATACCTACACACATCAGTAGCTGCAACTATGGGTCTCCGGAAGCGTTTGGAGCTCCGCTCCGAGAGCGCCGACCTCGGCACGGAGGGAGGCCGGCTGTCGAACAAGGACATGGACCCTATCCCGATGGGCTCCCCTGAGCGCACGTGGGGTTGGCCGAGTTTGCTCGGCTTCTGGATCGCGGAGGCTTTCTCCATCTCGATGTATCAAGGTGAGTTGCATACAATATTCCATGATCGAATCTTTCTACTACGAGTAGAGTGTCACTGAATAACTACTGACATATTCCCTTTCGACAGTCTCCTCAACATCTGTCACGAAAGGTCTTAACCCAGGCCTCGCAATCCTCGCAGTCTTCATCGGACATGTCCTCGTCTGCATCCCGGCTATGCTAGACGGCTACGTCGGCTGCATCTTCGGCATCAACTTCCCCGTCTTCACCAGAGCCTCTTTTGGCCTCCGAGGTTCTTACGGTGCCGTGTTTGTCCGCGGTGTCGTCGCCTGTATCTGGTTCGGCACCCAGTCCTTTCAGGGCGGACAGTGTCTGCAGGTCATGATCTCCGCCATCTGGCCGTCGTTCAACAATTTCCCAAACCACCTCGCTGAGAGCGCACACGTCACCAGCTCCGAGTTGCTGTGCTTCTTCTTGTTCATCATCGTTCAGCTGCCGTTGCTTTGGTTGCATGTGAGTAGTCTGAGGTACATGTTCATGGCCAAGACGGTGATTATGCCAATCTTTGGTTTGACTTTGTTCATCTGGGCCATCGTTGCTGGTAAGTACTCCCATTGAATCTTGACGAATTCCAAGAGCAGTGTATCTAACTTCCTCATAGGCAAGGGCTTCGGACCAACGTTCTCAAAGCCAACTCTCATCAAAGACGGTACTCCCGCCGTCGTAGTGTTCTTCCAATGTGTCACCAGCGCCATCGGCCCCAAAGCAACACTCGCCCTCAACATGCCCGACTTCACACGCTACGCAAAGGAACCCCGCCAGGTCTTCTGGACACAGGCCGTCGGTCTGTGTGTCCTAGTCACAATGTGTGGTGTGCTAGGTGCCACCGTGAGTAGCGCCTCCGAGGTCATTTACGGCAAGGTGACCTGGAACCCTCTGGAAGTCGCACGGCTATGGGAGAACCGCGCTGCTCAGTTCTTCGCGGGTCTCTGTTGGGCGTTTGCGGTGATTGGCACGAACATTAGCGCCAACAGCGTCTCTTTCAGCAACGATTTGGCGCTATGGTTTCCAAAGTACATCAACAATAGGCGTGGAGCGTATATATGCGCTGTGTTTGGTGTATGTGCCGTGCCTTGGTACATCCAGTATAGGTAAGTTGTGTGCATTGTCCCAAGATCAAGTTTCTCTACTGACTTTGGATCCGCGTCGCAGCGCCAAATCCTTCTCCTCCTTCCTGGGCGGTTACTCTCTCTTCCTCGGCGCCATCGCGGGCATTATCATCACTGACTTTTGGATCTGCCGCAAGCGCACAATGGCAGTCTCGTCTCTATTTGATCCGCGAGGCATACACTACTACACCTTTGGCGTCAACCCTAGAGCGGTCATCGCCTTCATCTTCGCTATTGTACCAAACATCCCCGGTCTTGCGGCTGCTTGTGGCGCTAAAGGAGTTCCTAAGGGCGCAATCTATCTGTACAGTTTGAGTTGGCTCGTCAGCATACTCGTAGCGAGTTTTACGTATTGGGTGGGTTGGAAAATCAAGCCGTTCCCTGTGGACGACAGTCGGGAGCAGCTGTACGTTGACGGATATCCCACGGTGGAAGATTCCATCGGGTCAGAAAAAGGATTGGAAGGGAAAGACCAAGACGTGAAGATGGGATGAGGAAAACCTCGGATGCTCCTACCAGGCCCCTTTGCTAGGAAACAGTTTGTTATTATTCAATGTTATTGAAGCCAGATCTTTTTAGACTGGAGGTCAAGCACCATCTCTGGTGGATTATCCTCAATGCTACAAGCCCCGATTCGAAGCTGCCTCGGCTGCTGCGGGTGTCAATCCGATGAGTTTGCCAAGCCCAGCCACGAAGACGGCGTCAAGTCTCAACAGACTCAAGTTCAATAAGTCGCAGCTTCTCGACTTGATCCGCAATAAGCCCCTCCATTGAATCAAAAGGGCAAGTGCGTCTTCAGCTTCCGATGGTGTCGGAGAGAGCGCGAAAAGCAAGACAATAAAGTTGCTCGCAATGGCGAAGTTGACGCGGGAATCTGCCCATCGTCAGCTGTTCAGCTAAAGTTTCCGGAGAGAGCATATGTATCGTGTGGAGAGCGAGACTTACATGAATGCCAGAAAGCCTCGAGATGGTGAGCCTCTAGTTTCGCGAGAAAGTCATGCATCTCTCGCGCAATAGTCATGGCGCCAGTGCGCAACGCCGTGCGGGCTTCAGTTGGAACTTCGATGCTTTTAGTTCGGAGTAGTGCCTTGAACACAGCAATCTTGGCAGTGATGTAAGCGAGCTTCAGACTACCGTTGCCGTCTAGACCGCACTCTGGCAAGGATGCCGAGGGTTGTTCTCCCACGTCGGGTCGGTTTTGCAGCCACTCTGCAAGCTCGATTCTCAAAGGCCGGGCAACTTCGAATGTTGCCTCGAGGGACTTGGAGAGAGCTCTAGTGGCTTTGATGGAACTGCGCCAGTCAGTCAGTACAAGTACCGAAGCATAGATGCTGTATCTTTTAACCAACTCACAACATGTTCTGCTGAATCTTAGACACGATCTCGGTCAGTGACGTCAAGTGCAGAAAGTGCCTGCACACCAAAGGCCCTTCATCCTCACAGCCAGGAACATCACCAAAGTCATCCGGGCCCAAAGGTGACACATCCCAATCGCACTCCTGAATATGCGAGCTCCTCCCAAAGTTGAGACTCAACCACCTGTCCTGCACATAAGCTGCCCAAGCAAGCCGCCTCCGCAACCTCTTCTCCCAGCTTGGAATCGCCCAGTCGGACGGGTCCAGATTGAGCCCTAGGCACTGCGCAAGCGCCACGGTGTCAGCAAGCATGGTCCACTTGAACGGTGTGTCGGCGACATGCTTGTTCGTTGGCCGCCGCTGGATCATGAGGAGCATCGTTTGTACGGTGGCGAGGGATGGGGTGTGGAACTCGGAGAGGGCGGCCATCCAGGCGAGTTTGAAGAGGTGGTCTGCCGAGGGGAGAGTGTCTACATCTACGCAGAGGATGTCGTCGAAGACGCAGAAGGGGAGGGCGTGGCCGTAGATTGCGGCGAGGAGACAAGTTGGCATTGATGAGGGGCTGCCGTTGAGGTTTTGAATTGTGTATTCTTTAGATACGACTGGAAAGTATGGCTGGACGTATTTCCAGAACCTGCCTTTGGTCAGATCGAAATTCCTTCTCAATCAAGGCACGTAAGAGTGAGTATGAGGGGGTCTGGTCAACGTCTTACAGTGTGATCAGTCGTTGACCAACAGTCTCAGAAACCATGTTCGAGACCTCGCATCTGAGGTCGGTCTCAGTAGCTCCAAGGCCACCAGGTTGAGCTTTACTCGCTTGCGAGTTTCGCTGCAACATGAACTGAATAGGAACCCCATCATCAGGGCCCATATTCCTGATGCGCAGTTGCTGGAACGTACACTCGTCTCTCTCATCGAAGTGATACAAATTGAGCAGATACGGATCCGATTCACCACTGAGACCAATCACCTGAGCATTGTGACCGGGCTCTGCATCTAGCGATGAAGGAATGAACACGTTCTCTCGGCGTGGAACATCTGGTGAAGACGTCGTGGGTGGTGATACCGGGCTCACAGACTCCGTCTGTCCTCTCACGAAGATCGAATCGACAATGGGCGAAAGTTCCGCAGACGGGAACCTACCATCTGCCCCAGAGGCAGCTCGATCGATGTCCTGTCGAGGAGGGCTCCTGACTCCATCACTGGAGCCGCTTTGCCGCCGCTCAGATAGCCGTCTCCTCTTGTTTGGGCCCCCAACAAAGGTGCACTCTTTGCCTAATCGTCGGCATAATTCACATGGCGGTGTGTCCTCGTGCACCAAGCAAGCGGCGCGCTTATAACGGCAAAAGTCGCAAGGGTGACTGTTCCTACTACTCTTTTTGGTCTGGCCGTTTACGTTGATCTCCATGGTGTGGACTTAAAGATGGAAAGCATGTTAAGAAACTTGATGTCGTTGCGGACTTCGTTCCCCGCGTCCCCCAGGATTCCATGTTGGTTGAGACTCTGAGTTGATCTGCGAACTATCGGACTCTGATAACGGAGCGTTGGCCGATTGGATCATGAGCAAAACAACCCTGCATTCGATAGCAACAAGCTCCATGGTTACTGGTGCATGACTTCGGCTGATACTTGTTCCATTTAAGCTCAAGTTGTTATTCCCGCGGCCAACTCTAGATCCAATCCTGTCCCCTCGCCTTTCGTCCGTCACCAGAGCTCTTGTACACGCCTCTCTTGGCTGTGGCACCGCCCATTCTAACTAATCCGACTAGATGATGCACCCCGGCCAACACGCCATCAACAACCTGCACCCCGTCTCCGACAGCCGCCTCCACGGCTCCCTTGAGCGGAGTCATACCCGCACATCCCAAAAGCAGCACATCGGCCCCCTTTTCCTCCACGAGCCGCTTCCCGACGGCCGCCATGATCCCCATAACCTCATTCTGGCTCTTCTCGTGCAGGTCCAACACACCCAGCTTACACGACACTACGCCGGCGCAGGACATTGAGAAGCCGTAGTGATGAATACTATCCTCGTGCAACACCTTTGACCGCTCACTCACAGCGATGAGACCGAACCGTCCGCCCAGCGTACGCGCCGCGAAGAGCGAGGCCTCCATGATCCCGATGACGGGCTGGCGGGGGAGTTCCTCGCGAAGCATGCGGATGAGAGCATGATCAGAGTAACACGCCACCAAGACGGCGTCGTGCGTCGCCGCAAGGGGCAGGACGGCGCGGGCCGCAGCCGCGGCGGACATTACGTTGTCGAAGCTGCCCTCGATGGCTGAGGGCGCCGGTCTGGGCGCTGTGAAGCCTGTGACCAGGACGTCTGGGGGTAATTGGCTCTCGACCATTGCGACGCAGGCGTCGGTCATGGCGCGGGTGCTGTTTGGGTTGATGAGGAGGATGCGGATCTTCTTTTCAGTCTTTCGGGGTGTGATGCCATTGCTTGCTGCTCTATCGTTATTCTGCTCGGTGGAAGATGTGAGCTTGGGGGGCTCCACGACGCCGGTCTGTTCTGTGATACGGCCGTAATGCTCCACGCGACGATGCCTGGCAAAGTCAAATGTGCGTTCTTTACCCGGCCGGCACTCGTCCAGGTTGATTTCCGCATAGACAACCTCATCCTCGGTCGTAGATGCCTCAGCGATGACCTCGCCCTCCGGTCCTGTGATGCAGCTTCCGCCAATGAGGTCGTACTTCCCATCGTCGAGACCACACCTCGCTGCACTGATACTGAAGCAGGCATTCGTGTAACTATGAGCCTGCATCACCAACTTGTGATGGAAGACGGCCTTGTTCCGCGCCTCGTCCGGATCCATGCTGGCGCTAGTTCCCCAGAGATGCGGCGCGAAGCCGGCTGTGTTGTAGCCACAGAGCACGACCTCGACGCCCTGCAGACCCAGGACGCGCCAGCTCTCGGCCCATCTCCTGTCGTTGCAGATCATCATGCCGAAGATGGGGTCCCCGCGCTCCGGTGCTGCCTCCGGCTCCGTCAAATCGGGTACCCGGAACGCATTCCACCCGAGGTCGCCGGGCTTGAAGTAGCGCTTTTCCAGCTGGTTGGTGGCATCTGGATCTGCAAAGGGCTCAAAGTCGCCCGGGAGATGGATCTTGCGGTATCTCGAGAGGATAGAGCCGCTCTTTGCGTGGTAGTAGATGCATGAGTTGAAGGTTTCGCCATTGTCGGCTTTTTCGGCAAAGCCGACCGAGATGTCGACGCCGAGCTGGTTGGCCTTATCAAAGAACGGCTTTGTCTGCGGCTGCGTCGCTACATCGCCGTGCTCGAAGAAAGAGTCAAGTTCCGAGGGGTCGTTGATCAAATGCCGGGGGAAGAAGGTTGTGAAGGCGGCTTCAGGGAAGAGAACTAGCTGTGCTCCCTTTGCGGCTGCGGCTTCAAGAAGTGATATCATGCGGTTCAATGTTTTGGGCCGGGGGTCATTGTAATGTGTTGCGCCCATCTGGGCCGCAGCCACGCGAAGCTTTCGTGATGGCATTGCTGCTGAAATTCTGATTTTCTTGTGCAGTCGTCGACTCGCTCTGTTTTCAACACCTCTCTCTTACGCAATTGCATTAACTTCAGCCCAAACTTATTCTTTTCATCACGAGAAGTTGCTGAGCTCTTCTCCGACCCCTTCCAGCTCAGTGGTACTGGGTCTACCCCTCATGCAGTGAGACCAGCGCGTAATATCGTCCGTTCTATTCCCTGCAGCTCCCAGCTCCAGTGGTGGGCGATAAGCAGCGATAGGGCGTCGGTTAGTTTGCCGCGCCTGCCTATCTTTGTGTCATAGAGGCCTATCTCTTCTACGCAGGAGCAGCGTTATCAAATCTACGGCCGGTGTAGATGTCGTCAATGACTCTGTAGATACTCTATATCGTGTCGAGGGAAACTCGAGAATGCTAAGTGCTCCGAGCCAAATTCACGAAAGCCTTAGGCGCAGAATATTGTTAGTACAGCGCTGTGAATTTGAACAACAAGATGGAGGTCGATCTCATCATTGAGAATGCCACAGTGGTGAGTGCATGAGTCCATGTCGTTATGGGGCCAGGAAACCCTCAAGCGTACAGACAACTGACACAACAACACATAGGTCACGGCATCTGATGTCCACGCACGGCAAGATATTGTGGTCCGCGACGGCAAAATCCTAGCCGTAGGCCAGAACCTCAAATCTCTTTTTTCAGCCAAGACAGTGATTGATGCTCAACATGGCTTCGTCATGCCGGGCGGCGTGGATTCCCATGTACACCTTGACCAGGTAAAGAGGTTTCCCACTCGAATCTCCAACAGAAACCCCCTTGTCTAACACAGCATCAGGACAACTCTCCAACAGGAGACAACTTTGAGACCGGCACTCGATCAGCAATTGCGGGTGGCACCACAACTATCATCGCATTCGCTACCCAGGAACGCACCCACCAGTCTCTTCACCCAGTCGTAGAGGACTACCACTCACGCTCCAGGGGAAAGTCATACTGCGACTACGGCATCCACATCATCCTCACAAACCCAACCCCAACTATCCTCCGCGATGAGCTTCCATTCTTTGTTAGCGAGGGCATAACCTCTGTGAAGCTCTACATGACCTACGAACCCCTGCAACTGAAAGACGGCGAAATCTTAGACGTCATGATGGCCACCAGGAACCTGGGCATGACAACCATGGTCCACGCCGAAAACAGCGACATGATAACCTGGATCACGGCCCGGCTTGCAGAGCAGAAACTCACGGCGCCATACTACCACGCCATCAGCCGGCCCAATATCGCTGAGGATGAGGCGACGTACCGCATCATCGCCCTCGCCGAGCTCTCTGATATCCCCATCCTCATCGTCCACATGTCTTCCAAGACCTCCACCGCGCACGTCAGGAGTGCGCAGACGCGGCTTCTGCCCATTCACGCAGAGACGTGCCCCCATTACCTCTATCTCACAGCCGACGCCCTGAAGCCGTCTCATCCGGCTACTGATGGCTTCTCCGGCGCCAAGCACATTTGCAGTCCGCCGCTACGTGAGGACCGCATGGACTTGGATGCCATGTGGGCCGGTATCGCCAACGGGACATTTACGACGTTCAGTTCGGACCACGCGCCGAGTAAATACGACCATCCTGAAGGCAAGAAGGCGGGCCTGGGCAAGGAAGATGGTTCCATGCGGTATGACCAGGTCCCGAATGGGCTTCCCGGTATTGAGACGCGAATGCCCTTGCTGTTTGAGGGCGGTGTGCTGTCGGGTAGAGTGACGCCGCAAAAGTTTGTTGAGGTCACGGCGACGAACCCCGCAAAGCTCTATGGGTTGGGAGAGACCAAGGGTGCGATCGCCGCCGGGTATGATGCTGACTTTGTCGTTTGGTACCCTACGGCTGAGCAGGTTACTGCCAACGGCGGGACGGGCTCTGCAAAGATAGAGCCGTTCGTCTTGGAGAATTCGATGTTACATCATGATATCGACTACTCTCCTTTCGAGGGGATGAAGTTTCACAACTGGCCGCGCTTCACCATCCTGCGAGGCAAGGTGATTTGGGACCGCGATGGCAGCGGTATCGTTAGCGATATGGGATACGGGAACTTCTTGCGACGCGGTAAGAGCACGTTGAGCAAGCCGAGGAATCAGTGGGTGAATGAGTTTCAGCCATTGCCGATGAAATGAGCGATGGCGGATCACATACCAGTTTCTCTGCGTATTACCTGAGTTATCTCACCAAATAGTCACATAAACCTGACCTCCGGTTCCGTATGGCGTCTAAAAATGGTCGTAATACTCAGTATGGATAGAAGCGTTGGCTGCTCCAATATCGCTTCGGCAAAGGGAGTTTGATTGACAAGGAGTATACGTCTTAGCCGCTGAGTAGATGAATCCAGACTCCAGAGCTATCTAGATTGATGGAACTCGCATATGCCCATGATGAGACGAAATCGCCAGACACGGGGGTTTCTTCTTTCAATTTACCTTAATGGGCGTAAGTTCACACGGGTACCTTTTGTGACTCGTCCTAAACTTGACGTCCGTTCTAGGGCAGTAGGGCGACGTTTGGAGCTTCTCTGGTGTGAGTCCATCTCCTGCACAAAAGCATAAACGGGAGCTGGCTAGTTGCCTGCACAAAAGAACATTCTTCCTGGACCCCGGTGGGATGTTTGGCGGAGCCACAATGCTGTCTTGTCAGCCAACGCATTCTTGTCCAACGAGCCACCGGAACCGATTCCGGGGCTCCGGGGTATCCGGTCCGATGAGACCTGCAGAAGATCCTTGAACATGCATCTAGGACTTCGTTCTGACGCAAGTTCGTTACCGATCGCACCAAAGCTTTCAGATGATTCTGTCTGGCCCGCTGCCATTGTGTGAGGTCGCTCCCGACAGTACCTACCTTACTAGTCGTGTAGATTTCGCGCCTTTGAAGATGATTGCCATCACAGAATACATCCATCACCATTCTCTTGGTGCACACATCTTACTACTTACTTTAGACATGAACTGTGCCGCTTGATTCAACCGAAAGGCTTCCTGGTGAATCGGCTGATCAGCTCCGAGAGACTGCACTGATTTCAAACCTCTGCCCAGAAAGTCTTCACGCGTGAGTGTGCGTGCCGAAACCAGACATTCGGGAAGAGAATAAGGGCAAAAGATCTCGGTAAGTGTGCTCGATATTAACCCCCACCAACCGCGGCAGCAAGACTGATCGGGAAGGAGAACTGATATTTATGCACAATCTGCAGCTGTGCCGCACACTAAGACGCAGCCGGCGAGACATTGGAACCAACGGCCAGCACAACATGGCACCAACATTTCATAACTCGCCAAGCTGGGGGGGTTCTGATTCTACAAAACACCCCGCGGACCCGGGTACGACGCAAAAAGCGGACGAATTTCTGATCTGATTGGCGTTCTTGCCATCTGCGTGTCTGGTCCGATTGCTACCGAGCAGCAACCCCAACTCACCGTCATGGCCGACTCGACTTCAAAACCTACGCCGCCGCCAGGATCACCTGCGGCACAATCTCCGAAGTCAACCAGGTCTCCCCCAAAAACTAGGACTCCGTCGGACGCAGCTTGGCTGTCCCCCGCTGGAGCCACTGACCTGGAGGCTGATATCGCAATTGATGATGGCGAATCGGTGTGTAACACTGATAGTTCTTGCTCACCACGCGTCTACTGACACCTACTGCCGTAAGGACAACGCGTCTACCATTGACGATAGAATGTAATGCCCCAAGACGCCTAGGTCCAATTTGGCACCATTATTTGATAGTGCAAATGGTCTAATTTTGTAGCTCTTCGTACACCGCATCTTTGTCCTCGTCCGTCGTTGACTACCCCACCGAGCATGGTCGTCGTTACCACTCATTCCGATCCGGATGTATGGCAATGCCAATGTTGTGCCACTTGTGAATTTGACTGACTGTTCTCTTCAGCTTACATCCTTCCCAACGATGAAGTAAGGCATCTAAAATGATGTGATGGCTCTTGTATAGTGCGACTAATTGTTGTGACCTCCAGAGCGAAATGGATCGACTGGACCTTTGCCACGCCTTGTTGACGAAGACAATCGGAAACAAACTGTTCTTGGCTCCGATAGATGAGAAAAGATTGAATCGAATCCTTGATGTCGGCACAGGAACGGGCATCTGTACTTCAACACCAAAACTTTCGGTCGCTTCAAAGGGGACTGGCTAACAACCTCAGGGGCCATTGAGATGGGTGATAAGTACCCCAATGCGGAGGTATGCATCCTTTCCACATTACCAGCTATACAGTCATGCACTTATTGAATTTGCTGACAAGAGAGTAGATTCTCGGAAACGATCTCAGCGCCATCCAGCCAGCTTGGTAAATCTCATCGAGATATAAGACTCGCAACATACTAAATTCAAGTAAAGGATACCGCCAAATGTCAAATTCGAGATTGATGACGTTGAAAGCGAGTGGATTGGAGAGAAGTACGACTTCATTTTCAGTCGTTATATGTGCGGGTCCATCGCGGACTGGCCAAAGTATGTGAAGCGCGTCTATGAGTAAACCACCAATTCACCCTGGACCTCTTGAGCATGATCCATCCTGATAATTGGGCAGTAACTTAAACCCGGGCGGGTGGGCCGAGTTCCAAGACTGGAGTTTCATGATCTACTCCGACGACGGTACGATCGAAGGTACCGAGCTTCTGCGGTGGGTCGACCTTTTCATGGACGCCTGCAAAGTCTTTGGCCGAGACGGGCAAATCGGACTCAAGCTGGAAGGTATCGTGCGTGAGAACACCAGTTTCGTCAACATTCACCACCAGCCGTACAAGATTCCAGCGGGACCATGGGCAAAGGATCCTCATCTCAAGGATATTGGAATGCTGGAGTTGATTCAGCTGTTGGACGGTCTTGAAGGCTTCTCCCTTCGCCTTCTTTGCGGAGCTCTTGGGTGGACGAAGGAGGAGGTCCTTGTCTTGCTGGCCGGCGTACGGAAGGACTTGAAGAACCCCAATATTCATGCGTGGCTGTACTAGTAAGTTTGATACTCGATGAGACCTGAGAGGAGATAATCTCGATGCTAACTGCTTCAAAGTAACGTGGTCTACGGCCAGAAGCCAGAAAATGAGGATGAGTGATGGCAACATAGAGTTCTAATTCTCGAAAATGCAATTGACGTGTTTAGGGCCTTGAGACTTGGAGTTTAGAAGAAGAAGAAGGATCGAGTTTGATGTGCTAGCTCCAGGAATGGACTGACAAGTGCCTATGAAGCAGGCATCCTCCTCTCCTGAAGCGAATCAGAGTATCGATCTTGTGTACTCACCCTTGATCGTCTTTATTATTAAGCCCCCTTGATATTGATTCGAATGATTCTAGGTATCACATCAAAACACCATAGACTACATGGGAGGTGTCTACATCAATGGGGGATACATATGGGGCGCCGACCGAGATGTGTTTGGCTCGAAACCAAATGACGAAGGTCTTGTGTTCTGGCGATGTGAAGTATACAAGCGCCCCGAGAAGGAGTTCGTTGCGGCTGTTACCTTTAACATCGAGTCCGATGACGGTTAGTCTTTTTAGGTTCCTGAACTCGTATTCCACCGAGCTTACATTCGAGCCAGACGCTGTCTCAGATTGGTTGCGACTCGATGACAAGCGACGTCCTCGATTACTTGACCCCGCCAATGTCGATTGGATAAAGTACGAGCTCAATCGATGCCAGGAAGAATGTGGACATGTTAATGTAGACGTGGCTTTCGTTCCAACAAGACTGATCGACGTGGGGAGCACCGACGTAGCCATCCCACGCCTGGTCACCTCGGAAACTCTGCACAAAGCAAATGAGGGGAAGCTCAACGGAGTTGAGTATGTGACGCTTAGTTACTGCTGGGGTTCCAGAGGAGATGCAGCTGAACAGCTGAAAACAACCAGAGAGAACTTGTCAGAACACCTTGAGGGTATACCACTCGACTTTATGAGTCCAGTTGTGAGAGACACCGCTATCACCTGCAGAGCTCTCAGTCTACGATATTGTCGCAAAAACGACGCCGTTAATTACGGGCAGCAATTAACGCCATATATACCCTACGACAGATATCTCTGGGCAGATGCGCTCTGCATCATTCAAGGAGACATAGAAGACTGGAACACGGAAAGCTTGACCATGGGCCGTGTTTACTGCTCTACTCTGACCATTTGTCCGTTGGCGTCTACGTCTTGTCTGCAGGGGTACCTTGGTGAACGGCCACCAGTTCTTAACGTGCCATTTCAGTCGAAACAACGCGAGACTATTCACGGGACCTACACGTTCTATCCATCTTCGGATGACCGGAAGCCGATTTGGAACTCATCGACATTAATGAACGACTTGAAGCAGTCAGTATGAGAAACCAGGGGCTGGACGTTTCAGGAGAACATGCTGTCAACAAGATTGCTCTTTATCGGGCCTGGAATGTGGCACTTTGCTTGCGAGAATGGTTCCACGTCTGAAAATTCATACGTGACCCTCGGATCGGTCATTCACGGGTAGTTGAGACCACTCGTCAATATAGCACGAGAACCGAAGCCAGCTGATCCTATCGAAGCATCCCGTAGGGTACGCAACGCTTACGCCCGATGGGAAGAGATTCTGGAGATTCAGACGAGGTCGTGGAGCTACAGAGATGACCTCCTGACTAGCATAGCAGGATTGGCCGAAGAGTGTGCCAAGATTACGGAAGACACATACCTTGCTGGTCCATGGATGAACGACCTACAGCACGGGCTTGTTTGGGAAACTTTGAACCCAGATGTTGGAACCCTTGAGGCAACACTCCAGCAGAAGAGGAATCAAAAGCCTTACGTGGGCCCGTCGTGGAGTTGGGTATCTCAACTACGGCCGTTCGAGGTTCTACCATGTCGGCGCTACAATGTGGACAATCCAAGGCCACCGGAGGAACTTCCAAGCAACCAGAAGATCATGTCGTTATCAGAAACACTGCCAGCCCATGTTCGAGCCGAGTTCACAGTCACGAAGCATCACATGGACTTTCAATGGAGCAGTCCGTTCGGCAGACTCAACCCCGATTCATATCTTCGAATAAGCGCCTCATTGTCCGATCTCCCGTCGGTTGTGATCATCGAACCTCGACGCAAGGGAAACCCCCCGATTGGATACTTTTCCAATGGGAGTGGTCTCTGCATGTTTGACTGGTCCGTGGAAATCACTACAGTTTAGCAACCCGATCAGATGAAGCTCTTGTTGACTTTCAGTTATTGTTTTAAGACAAATAATCGGGGTAAACTGCGATACCTATCCAGTCTGCGAGACGGACCGGGGATGTCTTTCCCTTTTCCAGAGGGCGAAACGGTCTTTGATGATGAAGATTGGCAAAGGCCAGAGCATTGTTCGTTCTGCCAAGATAGTGAGGCTCCAAAGACTATTTGGGGGCTCGTCGTTCATCCGGCGGATCGCCTGGAAGGCTATTACCGGGTTGGAATATTTCTCATATTTTCTGAAAGCGCCCATGCGAATCTCTTTGCGGTCAGAGAAAAGCAGGACGTAGTGCTAGGTTAGATTCCCCTTAAGGTTGAGAACACTATAAGCAAATGCATTTTTCTACCTACATTAAATCCACCTCAGGAGGAAAGGCCTCCATTCACGATGAACTAATCGCATTCTACAACCCCATGGGAATAAGTTCGCTTGCCGAGTCTGACACACGGACGCATAAAACCCTTCTATCCTATCCGCAGTCCCGCAGACTTGACACTCGAGTGAGGGACAAATGACCGGGCCAAACAAATATAAATTCCTTTTTTCGACACTGCTACCTTACGTACATAATAGTACATGTAATACGCAGAGAACACTAAGGGTAACTGAAATTGTAGCCATTGAGTGGGAACAATGATCGGAGCAGCCGTAGTAATCGCAGTTGTTGCAACGGTTACATCGATAGAAAGATGTTGTGAGGACTTGTCAAAGGGTGGATTTTCTGGTCACACACTTGGCACTCTCACTCCCTGTTCATCGATATCACAGATAGTTCAGCTGGCAGAATTGCGAGTATTTTGGTGATGGTATGTCACAACTCATAAACAAAGTCCAAATCGCCTCTTACTGACTCGCGGCAACGGGTCGACGCTTGCTCATGCGACTCATCGGCTGATAATCAGCCAACCAACGCTGTGGTACGCGCGTAGTGTCGCCTATTCGCTGCGAAATACTCGCTCCCTCGGGTCCCCCATCGTTTTCATCATTTCCCCATTCGAGCAAAGCCCCGGCTTTATGGTTGTTTTCTATTGAAAATGGCAGCCCGGACCTGGTTCCCCGGCCACATAGGAACCACAACCCAGCCGGTATTAATAGTGTGGCAACGTCTTTTCAGCCTCACGGCAGTCCGTGTGTCACGACCGGACCGTGGCCGAAAATGACTGAAAAGCTGGAGGCGAGAACACATGTTAATGCGCTCTTGAGTTAATTGGTTCGGTCGCATTGAATGAGGGTTTTCCGATGTCGCACTTGAGGTGGTTTTTTGTCACGAGTTATGGCACGCAGCAATGGGCATATGAAGTGTGGTAAAAGTGGCTTGTAATATTAACCCAAATAGAATCGAGCAAGGAAAGGTGCTATATAGGAACAAATGAGAGAATCACGTGATAACGCACATGATGGGCTGATTACAGAGTGCTGATGCTATTCCTATTTCGTGACATTTTTCAATAGGTGGCGCTCGGATCGCGAGATCGACGTGGACATCCCCTGGCTGGCGACTGGGCGCTTGGGAAAGATGACATGTCAAAGTGTTCACCCCTGAACCTTTGGGATGGCAGATGGAATGCGGACTGGACCCCGACTTGTCTGATTTCTGACCGGGGAATACCCGGACCACGTCGAGATGTGATCAAGCATTGGGATTTTCATTCATCCTCCACCATTGCTACGAATACTTTATGTTACGTGCTTCTCGCCCAGCATGCTACTTGGGGGCCGTTTGGCATTGCATGCTTTTCTCGCCTATCGTGTTCACGACTCATGATCATAACGCCATAGTTCATCCCGGAAAAAAACTGCAATGAAGCCTCAGCCTTAGGCGTACGTCTTCACCATCTTCAGCAGAGCCTCTTCAACCTCCTTCGGGCTGGTGGCGTTCAAGTAGTGGCCACCGCCCTCAACCATCGTCACTGTCGCCTCCGGGGCAGAAGTGAAAAGCTTGATCTGCTCGCCGGGGATGTTGACACCGAAGACAGGGTCGGCGGTTCCCTAGTTCTTCGTTAGCTATTCGTCCGAAGGTAACCAGTCATTCGGCCACATTGTCACATACCTGGAGCCAGTAGACGGGGCACTTGACATCTCTCAATCTCAGAAGCAGACCATCTCTCGACAGAAGGTTACCCAAGGCCATCTTGAGCTTCTTGCGGCCCTCGTCGCCCTTGTAGACGGACTTGAGGGTTTTCGTCCAGAACTCAAGGGTCTCGGGCGGGACGGTGCCAGAGAAGCCCAAGCTGCCAACCATACCGCACCAGATGTCGTCAACGACGAAGTCCGGCGTCGGGGTGGCACTGGACCAGCCGTCGTAGAAGGCCAGAAGCTGGGCCTTGGGGTCCCAGCAGCCCTTGACACGCGAGTCGGCTGACTCGTAGTCCATGGAGGTGCCCAAGGGCAGGAGACCCAGAATCTAGATTCGATGGAGTTCAGCATAGTCCAGAAAAGAAATCCCAGGAAAATAACGATCCTCTTTTTTTTTCAAAAGGATCGCGATCCCAGGGAAACAAAGTGACAGTGCAACGGGGCCATTGAATGTCACGTGGCATCGTAACGTACCCTCTCAGGGGCCAAAATGGCCATACGGGTGACCATCCATCCACCTTGACTCGTGCCAAGAGCAAAAGCCTTTTGGACGTTGAGCTTGTCCATGACCTGCAGGGCCATGATGGCAGTGTCCCAGTAGGTGAAGTGCTCGACGGGACAGCTGGTGGAGCCGTGACCGAGCGGCTCGATGGCCAGCAGGTTGACGGCGTCCGTCAGCGTCTTGCTGTTGAACTGGTCGTTGTAGAGGGAGACGGTTGTGCACATGGAGTTGATGAGCACGACGGTGGGCTTGGCGGGGTCGACCTTGTCCCCGGACAGGCGGTAGCCGGCCGTGATGCCGCCGAGGTGGGGGACTTGAAGAGTGATTGTGGCTGCCATGATGTGATTTGTGTGTGTAGTCTATGCCCTGTTGCTCTGCTGTCTGCGAGTGTATAACAAGCTGCTTTGAGTTTGGTTCGGTTCCGGGAGGTAAGAAAAAGGTGGCTTGGACAAAAGTTAGATCTAGTAGTAGGTTTGAAAGAGATGCAGATTTCTACATGTACTAAGCAACTCCTGAGGGGTTCTGGATATCCTACCCCTCGTGAGTCGTGGCGCCAGTTGCGGGTTACATTGGGTAAACTTCAGAGGCGGCGGTGTATCTCAAACGGCCCACTCCGCCGAGAAGCCTCGGGAGCCCAACTGAACGTAATATCTGTTGCAGTAGACCACGGGCTGGTTTTCCCAAACGAGTTGCCTCACGGTGAGGCCTGTACCTGTTTCGGTGAGGTGGAGATGGCAGAAAAAACGGTCGTGGACGACTCCGGTCTGATAAGTCACCAAGTCTTCATTATTCGCCGGTCCTGGTCCCTTGGAGGGGACGTTCGTCGGTATCCGACAACATCCTTCCTTTGACAAGTGGAACAGACTCCAGAGAGGAGCTTGTTGTGATCAGCGAGCACGCGTTGGTTTTGGATGGTCTTCCAGGAATATCCTTTCGTCACTAGTGCTATCGCCGAAGCACAGACTTCGGGAACAGGGACAGGACATGACTCGGGGTCTACTTTTTGAGGGGCGAAATGAGCAACCAGCTTTAGTTTGGCGGTGGCCACGTTCTCCCCAGCTAGCGTCCTCGCTGGCGCTATTGTGACGGACGACCGAAGAACCCGAGAACGACTCTACCTGAAGTGCCATTTTTACTCGGTCATCCTACCGTGAGAAAGGGGGTTCACTCGTCGGCAGCGGGGCCGTCCCTCAAAGGCGTTGCGGTTACGGTGGTGAGAGGTTCATCTCATACCATTTTCGGGTTCGTGGCGTCAGGGTTGCTGAAGGCGCCGTCGTTTTGGAAGAGACAGGACTGTTGAAAGTCAAAAGTCAATTCCCTTTCCCGCCCGTCTAAGAGAAACGAACTGTCGGGAGGGACGGGAATATCCTTCCTCTAGTGTTTCTTCTACCCGTTTGGTATCTTACAGACATAAGTCCAGGCGGGTGGGAGGCAGAAAATGTCTGTGAGCAAAGTGGACGGGGACGGGTTGACCAGACTTTAAACGCACAACATGTCTTTCTCTGATGCGATGGATTCGGTAATTCTTCAGGGGAAATTCTTCAACCGGCCGGGGCCGATCGTTTGTCGCGAGGCATTCCTTCGGTCCCCACCTGCCGCCCCCAATCCCACACGCCATGCATTCTTCTCCGACGCATGCAGCTGCCGAGGCTTCGGTTACGGGGAAGCGAGCCCTTGTTGGCAAGTCTGATGTTCCTGGCTCAGTGGCTTTCACAAATGCTCCAAGCTTCAAGACAAAGCCGGCCAAAACCCGGATGCGGTATTCGATGTGTAACAGCAACCACATAATCAACGGCCCAGCCGTCATAAATCTCCCGACAACATGAGCCCCGGGCCGACAAGGGGACGTCGGCGCTGGGCATCGACAGCAAAAGTCTTAGTGCCAGTGGTCCTGAGGCTTGAAGAGCCGAGGGGTGCTAGCCGATACCTATTCGAGGCACCTCTAAGTCGGATCCCAGCACCGGGCGAAGCAATCCGGGATGATCCCCATCCAGCCATGTCGTTTTGCCCCAGGGCATCGCATAATTCAGTGGAGAACAACGGCGAAATCATAAACGTCGTTCGACCTGCAGAGGCCTGTCATCCTTTGGCCGCTAGCAACCTCGGTCCACAAAGCGTGGAAAAACACTCACTTATTGTGGACTTTTCTTCCTTCCTCACTTGGGAGACAAGGAGATCAACATTGCGGCGAGCAATTGCAGGAACTGGAGTACGAAATAACCCAGGAACGTGCATGTGTAGACAAGTGAGAGACTAGGGCCTTGCCTGACATCCCTCGTGGCATCGAAGAGTTTACCTCTTTTGTGAACCTTGCAAGTCTATCAGATATCCTTTCCTGTCAGTCCACTCACTTATTCTCCTCTCCTGTGGAAGATCGAGTTCCCTTTTCGGTTGTATATCTCGTTTGACATAGAGGCGGTCTTCTTCTTGGCCGCCGTTTTAGGAATGAAGCAATGGCGGCCGAACGGAGAGTTCCATCAAACCCTCGCATAGTGTTCACCACCCTCGCATGTGCTTAACCAAAAACATACGTTCTTTCCTCCCCAGTTTTCTTACCTTTCCGTCATTCCCACGTTGTCCAGGGGCTCGTTTCTCGACAGGCTTCACGTTGTTTTCAGGGTTCAGGGCTATAGGACGGCACTTTCTTGCAAAAGGATTCTGCCCATTCTTCTAGTCGGTGCCTGGGCAGAATAAAGTAATCCAGTTGCCCTGCTTCCCTTTATGGAGTCCTTCTGCGAAGCGAAACCTTTCGGACTGACGAGAGATTGATGAATGCGTGTTGACCCGGCCCCTTCCTTGACCGTTGACGAGACCTCCCTTCTTTCTTTTGTTCGAAGCTATCAGGCTGGGTCCTCCCACCCCCATTTCCCGAGAAATTGGTTCTCTCTCCCCCGCGGCATCTTGAGGATTATTCAACACATCGCCGCTGTGAGGTGAGAGGCACTTCACGTACGAAAAGATGTCGACCGACTCGGGTCCGTCACCGTTGCCCGGGCTTCCTGGATACGACCCTCAAAACATTCAGCCATGGACTGTCGAAGTTGTGGTTTCGGTGACGGTCCTCGCCGTACTCGCCGTTATTCTCCGCCTCATCAGTCGTCAAACGAAGGGTCAGAAGCTGTGGTGGGATGATTACTTGATTGTCTGGTCGATGGTGCGTTCTTCATCAATGCCAAGTCTCTGATCGGAGACATCAACTTTGGGCATAGTTAAAGCTGACTCTGTTGTAGTTATGGAACCTCATCGTCGTTGGCTTCATCTTCGCGATGCACTCGGTGGGGATGGGCCTCCACGCAGACAAGGTCGGCGTCGACAACATCGTGTTGATGGCCAAGTACCTCGTCGTAGCAGAGGTTCTCTATGCCTGGAACCTGGGCTGGACCAAGCTTAGTTTGATGTTGATGTACTACCGCATTTTCCATATCCCATTCTTCAAGAAGATGACGTGGTTCGTCATCTCCTTTGTCTTCGCCTGGGTCATCTGCATCACTTTCCTCTTCATCTTCATCTGCGTACCTGTCGAGAAGCTTTGGTATCCCGACATCCCGGGCAGATGCATCAACCAAGTCGCGACCTGGATTGCCAACGCAGCCTCGACTATTTTCACCGATCTTCTCATCTTGCTGCTGCCTCTCCCTCAGGTATGGAAGCTGCAGCTGCAAAAGGCTGAAAAGATTGCCCTGACCTTCGCCTTTGGCCTCGGTTTCTTGTAAGTGCCTTCTTCCGAGAGGAACATATGTGTTCAGTCTTGCTCACCAGTATCATAGCGTCGTCTTCACCTCAGCATACCGAACGAGCGTCCTCTTCACCTACAGCGGGACCGACCCAAGTTACACTCTCGCCCCGACTGTCGGCTGGACCGCCATCGAAATGTCCGCCGGGATCGTCTCCGCCTGCCTACCAACCATCCGTCCCGCTATGCAGCGTATCGTTCGAGCCTGCGGTTTCAAGGGCAGCATGGGCGGCATGTTCCGCAGCACGACCGCGCTGGGCTTCGGCTCCAGCAGGAACAAGTCCAACTTCAGCAACGGCATGTCCTCGCAGGACCCCCACACGAACAACGGCTCCCAGATCGCTCGCAACCTCTCGACGACCAAGCATGGAGCTGGGGAAGATGCCTTTTATCGGTTGCCTGACGACAACGGTTCTGAGGGTACCAGTCGCCAGCCTACGCCTCCTTTGGCAGATTCAAAGCTCAGGCCAGATACCACTGGATTTGGATACTCCGTCTCGAGTTATCCTGTCAAGGACAAGGACGACAAGAGCGATGATGAGATTCCCCTTCACGCCATCCGCGTGCAAAGGGACTTCAAGCATACGACAGAATGAAGCTAAGGGAGGATCGGGTGTATGAGGCGCTATATACAAGGCATTTTGTGTCGGAATGATGATAGGATTCTCGGCGACTACAAGACCCAGTAGTCGCCTTTACCGAACTCTTAATTTGGGTGTACGAGTTGGTGTCGATGGTCAACAGTTATGCGAAGGCGTTGAAAAGGAGTCAAGGAAAACCAAACCAAAAACCAGCTGCTATACCATGGCAATGAAGACCATACGGAATAACGCTGCGTCAGGAACGTAGCGTGACGGCAATCCGCCAATCCTGTGGTGGCAAGGGCCGTCAATTGAGTCAGAATATAATTTAAACAATGAAACATTCATGTCTACATGTACCTTTCCTAGAGTGAGCATCGATGTTTCGCCCAGTTCCTTTGAATTGCCCACACGCAAGCAAGTCACTCGAATCAAATCCAAAGCTTTTGAAATGATATATCTGCCACGTAAATTTGGAAGTTCGTGTTCTAATGAGTTTGTGGCTATGTGATTCTCAAACAAAAGAAGTGAAAGCCAAGAAATACTCCACAGGCAGCAATCCACCATATCACGAGCAAGATCCCGCTCATCTCCAGGCCGACGTAGTACTTATTCGAGTACCTCGTCACATAGCCCGTTCCCCAAGCCCACGTAGAAATCAGCACCGCCAGTCCAGGTCTGCTCTTCCTCGGATTCATCCTGAACGTAGAACCAATGGCTAGTCTTATGAGGGGATAGAGGCCCCAGGCGATGAAGCATGCAAGCTCTAGATGAAACCGAACCACGCTGAGACTCTCTCCGACATTTTCGATGAGTGACAAAGACCTGGGCGATGTGAAAGGGAGTAGAACTTCCCATAGAGCCTGTTTGTGAAGCATTTCGCCCCGTAAGAGCTTGGTATATGCAATGCCGACAGCCACGACATGTGCCGCTCTCGCGTGGAGATACTCGGCACATCCCAGAATCCAAACTAAGTAGACGACAAGAGCGGAAGTCATCCGCTTCTCGGCGGCTCTTAGCCGAATCTGATCACCTTTCTCCATACTTCCGCTTGCAGTTGAACCTTTTGTCTCAACCTTGGAATAACCCTTCATTGTATCCAGTTCCTCAGCAGCGCGAACCAAGACGCGCTCCAAAACGATAGTTCCAACTACATCCCCGAGAAGCTTCCACGCCCCTTTCGGCGTGAACAACCTCCCGAAGAAACCAACCTCAACCTCCTCGCTAAGAAAAAGTGCCGGACTGCCAATGGCAAGTTTCAGTGTCGAAATGGGACCCCCGAACGCACCCACGCCAAGCGCGGGTGCGAGCATCCTCCTGACGTGGTTCACCAGTACAGCAAATACCACGACCGCAAAACTGCGCCCGTATCCACCAACAAGTAGTGCTTCAACTGCTGGTGCAAGGCCTGATTGCCGCACTGGCGAAAAGAGACACGTGACCTGAGATTGATCGCTTAAGCAAGGCCGTACGAGGTGATAGAGCTGGGCCAGCGCGCTGTACGACGCGGTCGGGATGAGGGCGAATGGGTTGTCGGATAGTGACCCATCTTTAGCCGTGGAGCTCCTGTTCCGGGTAGCAGTTGCAGAGACTCGGTCGTTCGGTGACTTGATATGCGTAGACGCTGATGGTGACGGGTCGGGGCGAAGTTGGTCTGGCCTCTTCGGCAGTGGCTGTTGAGACATTGTGGTACCGGGCATCGTGGCCTGAACAGCACTTCCGCGCTGGGGGTCTTGTCAATGAGAGTGAAGGTCCTTCATTCGATCGCTGTTACAAGACCAGAGACTGAGTGAAGTTAGTTGAGCTCGCCAAAGTGAAAGGTCGATGCAGTGGTTGGGCGGTAAGAGGCTGAAAGTAAGGAGCAGAAAGCCACGGCACAAATGAGTTTGCTTTTTCCTGCTTACTCACTCAACGCCAAAGAAGATTAGCTCACTGAGGAACGAGTTCATTGGTCGACTCAGTCTCCAGCAGCTGAAGTAAAACATAAATCAAGTAATCTCGCAGGCCCATACTGCAATCCTCTCTTCTGTCCATCGCTCAAATCATCTGAAAGACCTCCCGAAAGCCGAGCGGGCTGCGGCGTTCCCTCGCGGCGCCAACCCCCCGCGGGACCCCATAAATGCCGCGCTGGAGTAGCGGAACCGGGGCGAAATGCGCTCAACACGCCGGAGGCAAAAGCGAATCCGAACCCGGTACCGATCGACCTGGGCTAAACGCGTTCTTTAAACGCGTTTACAGAAGATGAAGTCTACAGGTGAACTCACAAGCTGTTTCACATACTAAACGGCAGCGCCTATGCCAATTCTCATCAGGCCGTGATCTCTGAAAGTCGTACACTTGAGGGGGTGTCGGCAATTGTTTGTCCCTCTGTGCAACGATCAAGATAGGTCCTGCTGCATGCTAGTTGCATCAAACCACAGCTCAAATATGCTGAATGTCATCAATTTCCTCTAAATTTATGAACATTACGGGTTCCCAACAGCTTTCACGACTAGCATTCTCGACATTACCGTCATAGCAAGTTATCTGGTATACTTTGAATGCGGCAAAATGAACCTTCGTTACATCTCACCGATTCCCCAGGTCTTCGTCCAATGTCTCGCGTCTGAAGGATCATGCATTTTGTGGCGTACACGTGATGAGACTAATCCCTTCCCCTCACCCATTCAGCTTATCTCACCATTGACATCAGAGCTGAATCTCATTCTTACTCACGTTTCGTATGAAACCTCACAACAACATCGTGAGCACCCTCTCACTCCACCGCAACAATGGGCCCCATATTCACCGGGCTCATCGCTCTACCGCTCCTCTGGATTACGTCTCAATTATGGAACCTTTACACAAACTACAGAGCAGCTCTTACCGTAGGCCTACCGATAATAATATGCCCTTATGACCCAGAAAATGCAAGTTCTCCTCCCATCCTCACCAACACATCTCGACTGACACACTTGAAGCTCATCTACGTCGTCGCCTCTGTCCCCCTCCGCCCTCTCTTCAAACGCCTCCTCCCCGCAACCTTCTTCGCCACCGTAGAACTCACCATCGTGGGCTGGGAGTTCCGCGACAAGTCCGCCGTCCACGATCGCATCGGCCCGGCTTTCATGCTCGTCACCACGGGCCTCAACCAGCTCATCTGCGCCGACCCGACCATGGCGCACGCCATCTTGAACGGCCGTCGGGAGTTTGTCCAGCCGGATATCGTGTGCAAGGTCATGGGGTTCTTGGGTTCTAACATCTTGACTGTGAGTTCAGTGTATTTCACAGATTTCAGTCCCAGTTTTAAGCCTCTATGGATGGGCTTTGACGGACGAACAAGACCTAGTGATGCTGCGCTTATCTCCCATCACCGAAGTTCACTTCACCGAAAGTGAGAGAAGGTCTGTAAGCTGACTGTTGGATTCACAGGTGGAAAAGGAAAATACTCGAGTATCGTGGGTAGCAACGATCACCGACTGTAGTGGTGATATTGCTTGTTCTTGTTGTTCTTCTGTGGAAGTCTAACCAGGTGCCAGCGGCGGCAGGAAGTCTGGGGTATACCACCCTCGTGTGGCTGAGCCACACGGACCACCGTGGCTGGAACGGACCGCGGCAGCAACCTCCTGCTGCCTAATGTAGGCCTATTCCAACACTGACAATCATAGTCCAACGGCGAGTCCTGGTCCCGCCAAAGACGCATCGTTGCCCCCGTCCTAAACGAACGCATCAGCCCAGAAGTGTACAGAGCAACAGCCAAACAAGCAGAATCCCTCGTCCACCACATCCTGTTCCCTCCATCTTCATCCCCTTCTTCCTCCCCCACAACCACCGCCTCAACAGCAACAACATCAACCACAATCCAAGGCCTTCGCACAATCGCAATAAACGTCCTCACAAAAATAGCCTACGGCGACAACAAACCCTTCGCAATCACCCTTCTCCCACGCGATCTCTCTGCATCCATGACCTACGTCGACGCAATCTCTCTCTGCACCGAACTCCTCGACCTCGCTGCCTTCATCCCGATCCGTATCTTGCGTCTACCCCTCATGTCCAATGTCGTGCAGACGCTGGGGGCTGCGTTACATAGATTACCTGGGCTCACGGTGGACATGCTGGATAGTGAGAGGCGGCGATTGGCTGAGGTATCCTCTTCATCTTTGGGTGGTTCATCAGACGAGTCATCAATGACGGCGATGGTAGGAAAGACGGATACGATCATGAGTATGCTTGTACGCCTTTCAGATCAGGAAAAGAGCCGCACCGACACTTCGGAAAAGAACCCCCCCGCAAAGAGCACCACCAGCAACAGCAATCCCAAATCATACCTCACAGAGGAAGAGATCGCTGGTAACCTCTTCATCTTCACCGCTGCGGGCTTCGACACGACCGCAAACACTCTAGCATACGCCGTCACCCTCCTCGCAGCGTACCCAGAGTGGCAAGCCTGGATCCAGGCCGAGCTCGATACCGTTCTCGGGCCTCCGAGAGCATCACCATTCTCCTCGTCGGAAGAGGAAGAGCGAGAACTGCCGGACTACAGCGTCGTCTTCCCGAAATTGACGCGGTGTCTTGCTGTCATGGTGAGTCTTTCCACTATCTCTACCCACATCGTCACCCACTCTACCCGGCTCCCTTGGGCCCTATCCATGAGCCTCCTTTTTCACAACCCATAACGTGAATGATAAGCGAGTGAGACAGACAAGCGAGTGAGACACAAAACTGCGCCGATGAGATAAACTGGCTTCCATATCAACATCAACAGCATCGATTCAATTCAAACTACTCATAATCCTCATCTTCAGACATCTCTTCAATAAACTGGCACGTTCGTGAATTGTGTCCCGGGTGACCACAAACGCCACACCGTCGCTGACCTGTCTCGGCCCTCAGTTTGCGACCACTAGTACGACGCATTTCCTCCTGAACCTGCGCAGTCACATCTTTCTGTGACTGTATATCTGCTGCGTCAGCTACAGTAAGACTTCCTCCATGTTGTAGGCGTGTTTTCTTAGTTCTCCGTCGTCGACTGAGTTGGTTATTCTCGTCTCTAAGAATCTGTATCTCAGATCTAAGTAAGGCTACTTGGTGCATGATGCCTCTTGTACCTTTAGAAAGTCGTTCAACAGCCTCGCAAATAGAGGTTGGGGAGCTGCTTTGGTGACGAGTGATCCGACTCTTAATAAAGTTGGATTGAGAGCTTGCCTCTACTGGGTTGTTTGGTGTCCTTGAAACCCAAGGCGGAGGTGTCTGTGGTAGTGATGCTGGAGGCGTTGGAGTGTGTAGCCGGATATCCAGCTTTGATAGGACGCTTTCTGCACTCAGAGGAACAAGCCCAGCTCCTCTAAAACCCCCTTGGATGTTTTTTTCAGTCATCGCTTGACTAAATGCGCTGCGATATGCAGGAAAGAAGTCCTCCTTTGAGATGTGGGTTACGCCCCGCCGCATCTTATCCTCAATTTGTTGCCCATACGCCGTCTTTAGCGGACCAAAGCACCCAACGTCAAGGGGCTGGAGTAGATGAGACGAATGAGGCGGCATACAAAGTGTAACGATCTTGTTTGCCTTGCAATATAGCTCAAAGTCTGTTGAGTGGTGACTTTCGTGCCCGTCGACGACGAGGAGGCGATATTGGCCTCTCAAACGTGGTTTCGTATGACGATCATAGTGCTGGATCCAATCTAGGCCTCTTTCATTTGTTGTCCATCCGTTTTCTGACGTCGCAATGACCCAGTCGTCCGGGAAACTTGACTCTGTATACCAGGTTGAGAGGTGATATTGGCCTGCAACGATGATGTACGGCGGGACGTTATAGCCTTGCGAGTTGATGGCTTGAATCACTGTAACCCATTCTCGATTACCAGGCTGCGCCATTTTTGTGTTTGAACGCCTTTCAGTACTTGTGACAACCATGCCAGATGCAATCTGGCCCATCATAAAGCCAGTCTTATTAAAGTTGTAGATATCAAACTCATCGATACCATACTTCGCGATTGTGTTCTTCACAAGAGCGAACCAGCCGCGAATAGCCTCTGCATCCTCGTATTGGGCCCTCTTGTAGTCGTACCTCCGAAAAAACCGCGTCCGTAATTGTGGTTGTCGTTTGACGAAGTTTAAGGCCCAGCGCTTCCCAACCGGAGGCGCGTCGCGATTAGCAAGCAGTCGATTAGCCATTTCTTCCATACCACGGATCCGGGGAGGAAATGATCGGGCATCTAGATCGAGAATGTGATCAACTAACGTCTGCTCTTCTAGCAAAGTAAGATTCCTCGAGTTCGGTATCCTGTCGCTTCGAGATGTAGAGCCCTTCAATCGTCGACTCAATGTTGCATGGCTGACCGAGTAGATCGTAGCTGCAGCCCGTGCACTAAGCTCTGGATTGATTCTGATAGCTTGAAGGGCCAGCTGTATGCCTGACTCATTACTTCTGGATGCCATGATGTGTTGTGGAAGAAACGTCTCCATTTGTGTTGAAGCATCATCGGCGCAGTTTTGTGTCTCACTCGCTTGTCTGTCTCACTCGCTTATCATTCACGTTATATCCTTGTAGAAGAATATCTTTAGAAAGCAAATACTGACACACTCCTCCAAGTTCGAAACCCTCCGCCTCTTCCCGCCCTTGACCCATCTAATGCGCTCAAACACAACAACCCAAACCCTCCCCAGCCAAATCTCAACATCAGCTTCAATACCATCATCATCGCCCTCCACAACCCACCCCTCAACCTACACAATCCCCCCTTGCACAGTCTACATCAACACAGTAGCCCTCCACACCTCCCCCAAAACCTGGGGCTCCGACGCCCTAGCCTTCAAACCAACGCGATGGCTTACACCTCAGACATCACCATCATCATCACCACCGCAACCTCACATCCAACCTCCCCGCGGCGCATTCCTCCCCTGGTCCTCAGGCCCCAGCACCTGTCCAGGCCAGAAAATGGCCCAAGTCGAATTCGTCACCGTCATCGCGACGCTCTTTCATGAATGTACCGTCGAGTCCGTCCTTGAAGACGATAGTAGTAGCCGTGAACCAGCAACCGAGAACGCGACCAAGGCTAGACAGGGACTTTTAGACTTGATGCAGGATAGTCAGCCTAGGTTGACGTTGCAGATGAATCGTCCCAAGGATGTGCGGCTACGGTGGACGAGACGGTAAAGGAGGCTAGGTAAGGGGTACATATCGACAAAGGCCACAGGATACTACTAGGTGCACATAAGTTCATGAAAAGAATATTCCAAGTTCTATTTTGATGAATGGATGAATACCCTGAAGCACGATCTTTCACAGACACAAGTGCTTTGCCATGCTTTTTCGCTTGCAGCTATTCAACACCTTCCCACCCGTTCTGCCGCCGGGCTTCAAACACCCCGGCTGGTTTCCAATTCAAATCCCAGATCATTGCTTGCTTGAGTCGTCCCCATCGTACAGCCCATCATTAGCATCCTGCCTGGTAGAGGCATATGAGGCAAAGGTATTACAACAAGCCCATCGATGGGGCCAAATATGTTACATCGGGCCAGATTTTCGCGACTCGAAGATCTCCTGGACCGCCGACTCTCTTCTCGTCTCCACCAGCTTCTGCCGGCGATTGGCTTGATGACTGCCAGATTCCTCAGCCAGCACGATTCCGTAGACTGCTCGCTCGACCAAAGCCCGGTAACCACTTTCGCTTGTGTAAGGGCGCGCCGCCACTCGCACAGTTGCTCGCGGGTGTAGTTTCTGCAGAGGCAGGCGTTCCGTTCGCATTCGGTGTATTCGGAGTGTGGATTGTCATAGGTGTTGTCGGGGCTGCAGGGCTGCGATCATGCACAGGCGCACCCTCGTCAAAGCTGCCAGAGCGAGCAGGGCGGGGATTACGCAAGATGGGAGGTGGCGTTGCGCTGGTCCTGTCCTCCTCACCGGAATGGTTTCGCTGCACCCATGAGGGGACGCCCATGGGGGCAGCTTGCGTCGGAGTTGGTGCCGGTGGCTCGGCTGCCGGTACCTGTTGAACCGGACTCGGAGCGGTGCTACCTCCGATAGATCGTCTGAAGAAGTTCAACCGGTGTCCACGGGTTGCGGCAGTCGAAGAAGGGGGATAATGGCTGTCCTTGGCGCGAGCACCAGTCTTTGAATCATGCTGCGGGCTATTAGCCACCGCCTCTGCCAGCTGGATCATTTGCGCATCGACACTGTTGCGCCTGGATCCGCTGCGAGAAGGTGACTTGCGAAGCTTGCCGTTAATGGGCATGTTCTTCGATGAAGTCTGGCCTGTCTTTGCACCCAAGCTCGACCTTCTATTCGGAGGGGGCAGAGGCTGGGCCCCATCCTGGAAGAGAACGTCCTCGGCTGGATTGTGGTGCGGTGGCGGGAGGCCGGGGACCTCAAGTGCGCCGCCAGATGAGCCGAACATGCCGGCCGTGTTCCATCCCCCACCAGAAGGAGGAAAGCTGAAAAGATCTGGAGACTCACTCCGCTGTTGTGCAATGTACTTTGGATCCTTCCCTTGTTGTAGCCAAATGTCGAGGCTAGAGTCGAGGGAGTGCATCGAATCTCCATCAGAGTCCCATTCCATTTCCCTGTGGTTCGATATCGTCGTTTCATCTGCCGACCTGGGGCGAGGGATCAAAGGCGGTCGAGAGTCGAAGTAGTGGGCACTGGCTGGCTCTTCGTGTCCAGCAAATGCAGAGGATGGGGGATGCTGGAATACCGGTGCACCTCCACCGTGCTCCCCCTCATCATCCTTGGACGTACCCCTTGACACTGAACGGTAGCTATGTTGATCCGACACAGCTCGTTGCTTCGAGAGCGTGTCATTCGACGTCTTGAATCTTCGAAGCGTTGATGTGGAGATGGTGTCAGGTGTCGGGGGCAGGCCTTCGCCAGGCCGTGAAGCTGGCGCATCTGTGGTCACTTTCCGCGGTGCTTCACGCTTCGCATCCTTAACCTGCTTTTGCGACTGCCCTCTTCCTGCCATCGGAGAGGAGTCTTGGGCGGGCAGACTATCTAGGCAGGTATGATCGAGCCTCGCCAGCTTCTGGAGGGGCGAGGTGTGGTCGATGATGTCGTGGAGCGACTGAAATTGGCCTGGACCAGGAGCCCGACCGGTTGAACTGGACCTGCTCGGGCGACTGGATCGTGTTGACATGGTGGTCGGTGGTCTCTGTATTCTAGACTGGTCACTTCCGTATGAGGCCTTTCGAGGCGGCCCGGAGTGAGGCAAAGCACCATCCATAGAGCGTGGCTCGTCTGCATCGGCCACAATCGTTCGATCCTGGTCTTCTTTCTCACCATACACACTTACAAATGAGCTTTCACTGAGGACGCTAAGGCTCGGGCTTGTCATGCCGTTACCACGACGCGGATCCGTCTCATCCACTCCCTCCGTGTTGAGCCTTGGCAGGCTGAGTAGGCTACCGCGCGAGCTGAGATAGACTTTTCGTAGGTTCTCGGTGTTTTCGGTGTAGTCCGATAGGAAACTGGGCATGCGGTTGAGCGTCTTAGCATCATCTTCAAGTCGTGCCAGGTCCGCTACTCTAGGCTTGGGCGTGGGACTTCTGAGGCGAGACTCGAGGTCGTCGAGGGGTGAAAAGCCGGCTGCGTCGACCATTCGGACCATTTCTCGCTCCTTCAATAGCGTCTCAACCTGGGCCTCAAGAGTCACTATCATCTGGACCGCCTCCTGCACAGCCTTGTCTCGCTTCTCCAACTCGTCGAGTAGTTTGTCGTTCACATCGTCTATCTGTGCTTTCTCGGACTCGAGAGCATCGACTCGCTCTTCGAGCGCATTTTGTCGTTCGCGGCGGTGGAAGAGCTCGAGCTTAAGGTCAAAGTTTTGCTTGTGCAATGTGGAAACAGTCTGTTGAGGCAGCTATCAGAAACCGCATTTACACGGACATGTGGTAATCCAGGGTTACTTACTGCCTCCATTTCTTTGGCGCCCATGCCTTTGCTTTTTGCAGATTCTCCATTGCCTCCGCTTGATCTTGGCCGACGTCCATCAACGGACTCGCCTTTCACGGGAGAGCTCTGTGCATGTCGTGCTGGTAATTCTACGGAGGCGCTCATGTCTTGTGTTGACCGTACCGCGGCCAACCTATCAGCTTCCTCCCTTCTCCTCTGGAGTTTGTCCTGGAGATATGTAGACGCGGCGCTCTGCCTTCCAGAGTCGGAGACTCGGTCTCTTGACACAGCAGACCCAGGCCGGGAGGTCACCATCGACGGGGCACAGGAGCTGTGGTGGAACTTATGGGCGGGATGGGAACTGGGAGGTCGCGGCGAGGTGACGAACTGTGAGGTCGAACTATTTGCGCTGCGAGGTGTACGTCGGGTTGCACTGGTACTTGTACTTGATCTCGAAGATGGACGAGGGTAGACTGGAGAGGGGAGTGACCTCTCGCGGTCGCGCGATTGTGTCCGCGCAAGACTGTCCATCGTGTCAAAGGAAAAGAAACTACGGCGTCCTTTCCTTGATCCGATTGCACAAGGGCAATCGCCTGTATGCAAGTCGAACTAGAAATTCGTGTTATCAGACGGCTCTTTGGCCCAAAGGATCACGCCGGCAGTCGGATTGGAGTGGTAAGTGACCGAAGTGGGCGACAGCAAGGCGTCGTGAATCAGGATGATGCCTGTTCGAGGTGCAGAAGCGCGAATGGCAGTTGCGTCAAGCTAACGCAGCTGAAGGGGGGTGAGCACGGGAAGGGCAATCGACGTCCTTGGTGATTGAATAATAAGGAGAGGAATCCCTGGACACGGCGCGACAGCCAGAGGAGAATCGAAGTGGTAGCAAACTCGTCGAGTCGTGGCTGTGGGTGCGCTTTGAAGGTATAAGAGAGCTGCTATTGCGAGAGAACAGGCCGGAACCTGGTTTCTGCAGCGTTGGGCCTACGCGACTGCTGATGGCGGCATGTGGTGGAAGTGCCGTAGGATTCTTTTTTTTTTTCTCCTGGTCCGTAGTAATTATTGAGAGGAAACCCGAGGGGAGAACCGATGGGCTGTCTAGACAGGAGGATTGCGTTACGTCGGATGGCTCGCCATGAACCGATGGAAACGTGGAAAGGCAGGGCAAGCGGGCGAACTCTCGAGTCGGGTCTTTTCTCTCCCACAACGTCGGATCGGCAGTTGGGTCCAGCGTTGGAGGTTGGGCCGTGTCGCAGACGCTGTGCCGCCGCAGTACGAACTACGGATGTCTGTCGCGATGGCGCAGGAATGTCTCAATTGACGAGGGGCAGAGATGCTGGAATGTCTCGACTGCGTGGTGCTTGGTGGGACAAACGGAGGGTCCTGGTCGCAAGAACCCAGACAAGCTGACGATAGAGGCAGGGAACGCAGGGCAAAGAAATACTGGGTATCTGGAACTGAGCTGAAATAGTGAATGTCGATGGTGATGATGATGTTGATGATTGTTAGCAGCAAGATGGGATGGCGTCTTCTGCCGATTGCCACCGTTAATGTCGTGTTCGCGAGCAATGCTGGAGTTGCGATGGACAACAATGTTGGCGTCGTCTAAGAAACGACAGGCGACCTGGTCAATAATGGTGGAAAGTAGCTAGAGGACCTCGCTCCGAAAAGAGACCCTTGAGTTCCGGGGAGCAGATAGCGACCGATCGACAGGGCTATCTCGGGGGGATTCTGTTGGCCAATTGAAGCCTAGCGATGCGAAGACGGCGACGGGGTTCGTCTCCTGGTTGAGATGATGGATGATAATGGTGGTAGTGGTGTTGACCCGCGCGCAGAGAATTTGGCGATGGCAGTTCGTGGGAGAGGAAATGGAGAATGGCGAGGATGACGGAGCAGGTAGCACATTTCTTTCTGTGTCCTCTCGAATGATCGGCCGCGAGTCGGAAGGAGAAAGAGACACACACGGCTGGCGGCGCAAAGGAAACCTTGGGTGACGGGAATACGCACGCAGGAGAAGGAACTTGGAAGGGCGTCTGATGCAACGGAACAAAAGTGACGAGGGTAGCTGCAGGGGGCTTAAGGGTGTGGAACTGTGTGGATGCGACCAACTGCAGGCACGCCTCGCGCGGGGAGGCCAGAAAGCAGCAAAGGCAGCAATTCCCAAGGTTGAATTATTCGCCAATTGGCAGCAAAGCGAGTGACAAGATGCGGCAGGCTGCAGACCCTTGCAGGTGAAGAGTGGGATGAGGTGGAATGTGATGGATCAGACGCGATGGTTGGACGGAGGTGGGACATGCGCAGCAGAGGAAAAGGCCAATAGGTGCAGGGATCGCGGTGGGGGAAAGTCGGGCGAGGGCCGTTGGAGGACGAGGTGACGCAAGTTGAGTGTTGTTGATGTACAGAGTATTCGTAAGTGTTGGTGGTGAAGTTGGTTGAAACTTGGAGGCAGCGAGAAAGAAATGGAAATCTCAGGCGTGGTGAGATGGCTGGATTACTAGGACTGTATGAGAGTGAGAGTGAGTCTGGTCTCAGGATGAAGGTGAGATATGAGTGAGTGACAATGAGGTGAGGTCGCAGGTGAGAGGACCTCAACTGAACAAGTGCAAGTGCAGGTGAGAGAAGATGCGCCTCTCCCACGGACCAACGCTGCAAAAGAAAGACATCAGACCATCATATCAGACCAGTCGAGCAGAGAAAAGACGAGCAAAAACTAGTGAAATAGGCACAGATGCCCGCCGAAGACAAACAATATTCTTGCTTTTTCCCATCCACCAACGCGTCTTTCTGATCTCCCGAACCAACCCAAGTCTGAGTGTCCGAGAACACTCATTCGAATCAACCAGCCAAGCGGTTGCGCCCCACTCTTATCACTTGGTGCCTGACTGTCCCTCCTTGCTCTCTTCTTCGGCTCTGGTCGGATCTTCACCAAACCTTGAGAATTGGCGCGCCCGCGCAAACTCCCAGACTGGCCAGGTCAGGAACAGGAATAGCATCGGACAGGGGAGATTGCCTGGCGCAGAGGTCGCCGTTATTAGTGCCGACGGCCGGCACCCGTCAGTCGCTAGTCTCTCATCTAGCGGCACGTTGCGTGAGAAACTACTCACAAAGTGTGTTAGCTCAGAAAGTAAAAGGTATGAGAAGCACGTTCGCCATTGATCGACATCTCCAGCAGATTCTGTCAGTCGAGCTCCAGGTTCCAAGGAGCTGTTTGGGCAGCAATGAAGTCATGAGACGGATATGTGTATGTGGCGATGGTCTGTCTTGCTGCTGCTTGCTCTCATCCCATCCTCATCCAATGTTTATCTGACCATCCAAGTATTTGGCAAGTTGCTCAGCTGTCAGATCCTTCGGTCCCTCAGGTCGGTCATCGCTATGACCTCTGCTCACACATTGTCAATCTTGCATTCCTTTACGATGAAGATGCGGATGCGCAATGTGGAAATGCCGACCAACATGAGAGCTTGAAGCTCGGGCATTGTTCTTCTGGATTTCTTTTTCCTCATTTTTCCTTCTCAATGGCGCCGGCGCTAACAGCCGCTACTGCTTGCGTAAGTCAGCACTTGTGGATTGTGTGTGTGATTATGTAATGAGCCCTGGTCATTGGATTTGTGCACGCGTCATGCAGGGGTACGTGCCTCTGGTGGGTTGGTCCCATGCACGCCGTCCAATTACTCCGAGCTGCCATCCCTGCTGCTTCTTCTCCCTCCCTGCATCTTCCTCCTTCACACCCAATAAGAGACGATTCCAACGTGATGGAAGCAAGGTCTTCCCCAGTTCCCCGGCTGCAGGCTGACTCTGCCGTCCAAGTGTATCTTCAAGGGGCGCGCCATATCACACTCACTTGCAAAAGGGGCAACGAGAGGGACCGATTGGAGAAAGACACACAGGCAAGAAGATGTCGTTGTGGTGTCTCTCCATTGCTCCAACAGCAGGCCTTGCTCACAAGAAGGAGGTTGGTGTTAGAGACAACAGCTGACAGTCCCTGGCAGATACCGAGGCAATGTCGTACGAAAGACGGATAGGTATCCGGCCGCCGACTGCTACGTCCGTATCGAGTCTCGTTTCTCATCAAGAAGTAGAAGAAGACCCGACGGCGATTCCAGGGTCTTGGTCGCAGTCGCTCCCCTTACTATCACCGTCAAAGCGCAACAAGTCTTGCGGCTGCCCACCGATGAACACAACGGGAGGTCACATTGGTACCTGATATTGACAGCTCCCTCATCTCGTACAAGGCCGATTGGGTAGCGCCACGACGCCGCGGCGTGAACCGCTCCATCTGCGCCCATTTCGATGCGACTGCTTCCTTCGTTTAGAACCGTCGGCTTTCGACTCTGCGCCGTCTGCTTCTGCCGCGTCCAAGTCTGCAGTAGCTCCTCTGTCCGAACTTCTCGTACGAATACACGTTGTCGCCAGGCTCATCAAACCATTCCCGACCATCCTGACGAACGTCAGCTTTCACGGGCTCCGATTAGTCTCTTTTCGTGCGACCATCGTCCACAAGTGTGCATTGAGTTGAGACTCCGCGTTATTCCGTACACATTTCACTCACAGCGAGACAATCCAACTCCAACCCCATCTCGCCACCAACGTAGCCCAATCTGCGACCTCTACGGATATCCCCGCCAAACTACGCATCCTGCCCCGGCCGGTTCCACGCATCTAACAAACGCCTCCGGCCACCGTCACCGAGGCCCAAGGCCCCCGCTCACACCAACGCACCCAAAACACCAAAATAGCGGTCCCGGAATCTGGTTAACGGTCCGCTGGCCCCACCAGCCTCTGCCCAAGGCTGTGCGCGCGCGCCTGGCCCGGTTGCCGTCTCTTGCCCTCGGTCTTGAACTCTTGATGGTCTGCCATCTTCCTTCTGCTCTATCGGGACCGTTCTGTCCAGTGTCCACATCATGCAAGCCCGATCGATGGGAGGAACCAGTAGATTGAGTTCTCCCTTCCATGTTACTTCATGACTCGAAGTTCCTTGTGTGACACGCAACACAGGAAACGAACCGGTGCAGCCGTTGCTTGAACTCAAACTGCGAACCGGCGTCTGGAGTGCGGCCCGCGATGTGACAGAGGACGCGCCCGCCGCGCCCCGTTGCGCATGTCCGACCCAGAGCCGGCGTGTACGCTTGCGCAGCGGCCGATGAAACCTTAGGCGGTGAGCTCAGTGGTCTACAAGTCCGCAGATCAGTCCCTCCAGAGTGATGTCTTCCACGTTCTCCTACTGCCGGTGTCACCCGGTTAGATTGGCTGTGTCATCATGTCTTCAATCACAGTCACAACGCCAACTCTCCACGGGGAGGTGAAAGTTTCCCTGAATCCGGGCTGGAAATCACTCAATGTGAAGCACTGCAACCAACAGAAGATTCAATATCTCTGTTGCTACCAATCCCGACGGCTCCCTGATTACAAGGGTACACGGCAAACACGAACGCGACGCCAGATGCCCCTCCAGTCTTGCGGCTTAATGTGTGTGCTTCAGAGGTAGTACCGTCAGTCAATTCAGACGTCCAACATTAACGTTGCAAATAGAGAATGTCGTGCTTCCTATCTCATGTGGCCGTGTGGCTATCTAGACCGTGTGGGGCTATCTCTGTGCTCAATGCGGCGTAAACTCCAGAGACTCGGGGTTCACCCACTTGTCTCCACCTTCTGGGCTGCAAACACTTAACCACCAGCCAAGGATACTGTCACTCCTAGCGACAGGATAGCGACAGGATAATCTGCCGCTCAACACAGCAGCTTTGAAATCTACGACCAATGCTACTACCACCGTTATTACTACTACCAATGCTATTGTTTCTAGCCCGTTGTCTCGGTATGTCATTCAAGAGCTCTGCCCTGGCAAAGGAGCTTTCGAGACAGTATCAAAGAGAGTGGGAGCTCAAGTCATTCATAGCACGTTTGGGGAAACATATTGAGGGCCTGGATAAGTTTCTAGTCGCCTTCGACATCATCTGCATAGTTTGTGCCAAACTCTCGCTCAAAGCCACTATTATGGGAACAGATAACAAAAAAGAGTTCACCACCGGTGTGGCTACATCTCTTGGTGCTCATGCTGGGAAATTTCTGGTGCTCACGCTGGGATTCGAACTCGGAAACTCTCGTATGCGCTGAGCCTGTCGTCGAGTAGGCTGATTGGTGTAGAATTTAATTGTTGACCATTAACCACTCCACCATCCCGCCAGTTTGACCTGACCAACCGACCTAGGAAGGCGCCTGCTGTGCTGGTGACAGGAATGGAATTGAGGGGGGCCATATGGGCTTCTTATGTATTCCCTTGGGTGTGTATTCAATCGAGTATTCAGGGCGGATCATCCCACCTCCAACGTAACTCCATTCTTCATAAGCTTGCTGGAACAGTCAAAGCATGGCATGAGACGCGTATGATGAAAGCTATTTGAAACCTACATCGGCGATCAAGTTTGGTATTATCTAAACGAAAGGAAGAACGATGTGGCTTGCCTGGCTACCTCCCAGATGTAGGATATGCTTACCCTTATTCAAGGTATGATTCTTCCCGAAATTACTCACGGCAAAGCTCTGCCCGCTGACAACAACCCGCAGGCTCTCTCCTGCCTCATACTCGACCCTAAGCGCCCAGATCCCAATGTCTAGCCTGACCACCTCGCCCGGTGGGATCTTCTCCTCCTTGGCCCGGTGAGACGCCCGGAGGATACCAACGGGTCCCTTGTACAGCACAACTTCCGTCTCTTGTTCTCGTGCGAACTCCTCAAACGAGTTCACTGGGATAACCTTCCAGGGATTATTGAGGTTCTTCATCTGCTTGCCGTTCGAGTCAAGCTTCTGGATCATGACGTACACGTCCATGTCGTCGTGGTCTGGACAGGACATGTACAGCACGGCTTTGGGCAGGCCCATGATGCGGGTGGTTTCGGTGAAGGTATGAGTGAAGCTGACGTTCCCGCTAGACTCGGAGTCGTAGCTGACCGACGCCATCTCCTGTGGCGCAGCATCAGGAATGAGCGTCTCCTCTGTGCTGAGGAAGAGCTGCTTATACTGCGTCCGCGCCGGCGGGAAGTCCTCCTCGACGATATTCTCAGTCGCCTGTGGAATCTTCTGACCAAACCGCAGCAAGGACATCCTCACCTTGGGCGTTTTATCCCAGCCGTTGTCGACGCCCTTGAGATACCGGTCAAAAAAAACGCGAATAGCGCATCCTTGGCTTGCGAGTTCCCCCAGAGGTCAAACCACTCCTGTTGTTGTTGTTGTTCTATTTAACGCCATGGCGGCAGACCTCCCGGAGGGTATGTGGCGTGAAGGGCGCAGGCTCTAGCTATATACTATATAGTACACGCCGTATCCTGACGTCCTCCAAATCTTGCTCGTGAGCTACTATGTGTTCTATCCATTCCTAGTTCCCACTGGTGCCCTAGTTCCGTTATAACCATCTGGTTTCTTAATAGAGGTAGTTTGTCGTTTAGAGGATAGGTTATGACCTATCTCCTAGTACCGCGGGCAGATCTTCTGGAAGAAGTCTGTCACGTAGAGGAAGGCCTGGAAGCCTTCAGAGTCAGTGATTAGCCCCTTGAAGTAGCGGTCGAGGGACCCTATAGGTCCTACGGGCTCCTGGCGGCTGTAAGGGTAGAGGGTGGGCCACTGTTGCCTCCTCAGTAGGGTCTTTCGGCAGTAGACTAGATGGTCTGCCTCCTTAACCCATCCACAGGAGCAGGTGAGTAGTGCTTCTGTGTGGTTAAAGCGTTGGTGATATTGTTTAAAGTCCCCGTGGCCTGACCGTGCCGCGAGGAGCACCACTCCTGCCACGGATGCCATCTCAACCACTTCTCGCTCGACTGCACCTCCAACCAACCCCGTATCGCACCCATCCCATGCATCGTGTTCGTCCACGTTCCCGTGATATACGTCGGGACATTGATCCGCTTCATATCCGGCCTCTTATCATTCCACCACGCATTAGCAAGCGGGTGCCGCGCGTACATCTCGCGGAAGCTCTCGATCCCACCGCGACCCTTCAGCATATGCTTGACAATAAGCTCGTCAAACAAGTCGCCCGCGTACACGCCTCCCCGCGCAAATTGCTCGCGGTACAAGTCTCCGCACCCTTCCCACGGCGCAATAGCCTTCAGTGGTGTGGCCGCAAGAAATTCATACAAATCCCTGAAGAGTCCCCCCAGGAGGCAGAATTAAAATAGGGCGGCCAAGCTGCTAATGCTTATTGGAGAGCCTAACAGCAAACCAAACAACCTAGCCTCACGAGGTTTCGCCCCCTGTGGTTTCCCTCGTGGCGGTTATCACTTATCTCAGGAGGTAATACTGGCGGAATCGCGGTTTAGGAATGATGATAGTACTGTCTCGGGCAAGCCAGCGGCACCTAGAGATAGCTCAAACGCATAGTAGCCTTTCGGCACGATTTGGAGGACGACTTGGTCTGTATCTAGTATTATTTATAGTCCTGCGGCCCTCCACGCCACATACCCTTCGGGAGGTCGACCGCAAGGGCCACTGCGCCCTTGCTGCCATGGCGTTAAATACAACAACAACAACAACAACAACAACAACAACAACACCACTTAAGCCCCAGGGAAGGGACGATATAAGCTGTCGCAACAAACATCGCTGCCGTCCCCACCGTCTGAAGACCAATGAACCAAGACAGCTTGGCGCCCCTTTCATGAAGGAAGTGAATCTCTTCAATGATGAAGGGTGCCAGCGCTTCGCTCTGACCAGAGGCGATGCTGTAAAAGTTTCGACCGGCAATATGACTGCTGAGAGACGTCGAGAAAGCGCACCATAACCCGGACAAGACCAGTAGGATCATTGACATGAGAAATACGGGCCGCCTCCCGATGGTCACGCAGAGCGGCATGGAGAAGAGGTTACCGATTCCCATGAACAACGTCGGGTATGTAAGGAGGTCCGTGGCTCGCGTGGCGTCTTCGGGGGAATACTCCTTCAACACGGAGGGAAACACGGCGCCGAGGCCGGATGGGACGAGGACGGCGATAGCGGAATATGAGCCGACAAAAAAATAATGAGGTACTTGTGCCATGTCGGAAGGTTGAGAGGGTCTATCTCCCGCGGTTAGCATTGGATGTGTTTTGCTCCACAGCATTCGCAAGATGGATCTTGGAGACTCGTTAGGCTCACCTTTGGGATCAGGATTAGGAGTGGGAATTAGGACAATGGAACCGCCTTGGAGTAGCTGCACGGTTCCGTATGCCTGGTCCTCCTGCGCAAGGGCCTTTGTGGCCGATCCTTCGATGGTATCGACATGAGGCTCATCATCTTTGGTGCTAGGCATTTTCGGCAAGACAGGCAGAAATACTCCTACATGTACTAACTAATCAGGCAGTCGGCAGTCTGGCGTGAGGCGAGCGAGAAAGTTGATGGCACGTCGTCGAATGTCGCAGCACAGACCAGAGCAGTAAACTCAAAAGTCGTGATGTCGGCACAGGCCGGTTGACAGTGCTCCATGCCTGCGACTATATACAAGCTGGTGTCTGAGCGGTTGTTGATAATTACTGATTTCCTTGTCTCGGCTGTCTATAATCCTACTAGATGTTCCCGTTCACTCTATTGCATCTCAATAGAGTACTTCTATGTAGTGCAACTTGGTCCAATCAAAGGAGCGCCATTATCAGACAATAGCTTCATTGGGCTGTCGGCTCGGCTCAGACCCATCAACTCCCGATGGCCATGGTAATAAACATCGCGGAGACCAATAGTATTCGTACCGAGAGCAGGGGCTAAGCCTATCCGTACATGAACTCCGTACGGATACTGCTCCCCATGTTCGCCTGCATTGTGAACCCCATGGGGAAGATCTAAAGAGTCTAACCGCTTGCAGAGCCTTACGGATCAAGCAGACATGTCGTTGTGAAGAATCATAGCAAACGCCATGTCAGATTCTCCAACTTCTGCCTCCCCCACTATTCCGAGCTGATCATCGCGTCAACCGGAATGAGGGGCCGGTCGGCCTGCGCAGTATCCACCACCAAAAAACCTCCCGAAACGCTTCCGCGAGTCATTCAGTGTTCTCGTTCTTCCTGGGCCGTGCCGTCTTTACACGTTTCGGAAACACAAAGTACTCCTCATAACGACGCGCTTCGGCATCTCAACCTACCCAGCCGACCCTCATCTCCAGCTCCCGAACAACCCAGCCAGTCAGCAACCAGTAGGCGTACCACTCCAGCCAAGCCCAGTGGAGAATACTCAGGTTCCGACTATGTGAGGACATTCCACACACCACACAGGCAACGCGCGGCAATGTCATCATATACGAACCACCCCGTACCCACCCCCGCGGCTGCCGAGTCTACGGCGGTCGTCGAGTCTTCCGAGGGCACCTCGGCGGCGTCGGTGGCCAAGAGGCGGCGTATCAACTTCGCCTGCAACTATTGCCGCAACCGAAAGACGCGTTGTGATGAGCAGAAGCCCTCGTGTAGGGCCTGCATCAACGCCGGCATCGAGTGCGTCACGACGGACCGCCGGAGGCCCGGCGTTGAGGTCCAGCGCCGTGAGACGAAGCGTCAGCTGTCCCGGGCATCCAGCGCGTCCTTGACGCATTCGCTGACGGCCGTCGCGTCTCCACACTCGCCTCGAGAGGAAGTCGAGAGCTCCGAGCCGCCGGCGGTGCCGCCACTGCCGGACGCCCGCGCCAAGACTTCACCATTGGTAGAGCTGCTCTACAGCAATACCCGGCCATCTTCGGTAGCAGCCCCGAAGTCCGCAACGATAGCATTTCCGAAGCCGCTAAGGGTTCCCAAGGATGCTGCCGTTACTATTATCCCGGAAGACGAGGAGCCTCCCGCCTGCCCGGGCCCGCCCAAGTATCAAGGGAAGTTACCTGTAGTACGTCCCAGCCGCGGGAACAACTCAGTCGAGATCCTCGGCGATTGGCTGGACCTTGCTGCGCGTCGGCTAGGGATCCAACAAAAGCGCGGCATGCCAACACGTGTAGACAGGCCGCCGGTTTACCGCATTCTGTCGTCTGAACCCTGCTCGTTCCCCCCCAAAGAGGTTGCCCGCGAGCTTGCTGCCCGCTACCTCGAAGGTATTAATATGGTCTATCCTCTGTTCAACCCAGACCGTCTCATGCGGGACATCGACACAGCCGTGGAACTCGGCCCGATAAACTTCGCCGAGGCACGAGGGCTAGCAGCCTTGGTCTCGGTTTACCTCGTCATGTCTATCGCGTTTGCTTCCGCGGCACTTGAGGAACCTACACTGGATCCCGGAGACTATGTGATTTACTGCAAGACCCTCATCGGCCACCTCGTCACCGTCAACGGCGTCGAGACTGTTAGATCGTTGGCGCTTCTCGCGTTGTGTCTTCACTGCTATGACGAGTGCGCTGGGGCTTGGAACATTCTCACTACGGGGGTTTCCATCGCAATGTCGCTGGGCCTGCACAAACCTCGGACGTGTCGGGGCTGCAAGACCAACCGCCCCGACAAGAGGCCGGACTTTGTCGATGATGAAGAGCGCAAGGCGTTTTGGCTCGGCATCTATGCCTTTGAAAAGTTCTTGGCGTTCGAGTTGGGCCGCCTTTCTTCAATAGAGGACGAGGAGTGCTACCCAGCTCATGTCGATATGCCCACGGGCAATGGTACTTCGTCAAAAGATAAGGCGTTTGCTGTGACTGTCAACCTTGCGAGGATACTCAGCGAAATCGGAAGAAAGGCTATTATCGTTAGCCGGAAGGAAGACGGACTCCGAGACGGTGCACTACAAGCTATCATAGCTGAAAAGGTGGAGACTACTGGTGAGGCACAGCTGCTCCTCACGAGATGGGGTGAATCAGTGCCCGATGAGCTTAGGTACGATTGACTGTGCCCCATGAATGCCGACACGTAAATGAGTGAAGCTGACGATGTTGGGCTCCAGACCGATATCAGACATCTTGATCGGCTCAAAACAGTGCCCCTTCGCATCATTCATATCGATGCATTATAATAATGCGTAAGTGATCTTCTCGTCCTATTGAATCAAATACATCTCACTAACACGACGCATCGCAGTCTCGTGATCCTCTCGCGAAACAGTCTTCTAATTAGTGAAGAGGCAATCACTTCTGGCGCCGACATGATCGCCAAAGGCAAGCCATGGGACTACATCATGCGGAACGGACAAGCTCTCGCGGCTAATGCCGCCCGAAAAGTCCTAAGGATAGTCGTCGAAGCGGTAGACTCCAAGTCGAATGCGATTCTCCCGAATCTTCTGGCACCACTCCACGCTCTCTCAACACTAGCTGTCCACGTCGTAACGCACCCCGACTCTCGCATCTCAACCATGGACCTACACGTAAGTACCTTAGCTATTGTGCGACCTCCTTAACGTCACTAACATGCTTAAAGCTCATCCAAACCGCCTCAGACTCTATGAGAGAGATATACACAAGGCTTCGGGGCGACGGCTTACTGGACATGCTACTACAAAAGCTCGACTCGTTTCTACACAAAGGGTTACCGACGCCCGGATCGTCAGATAACCGGACAACAACTACCTTGCCATCCATGACTCCGAGATCAATGCCGGACACCAGCCCTTGGCAGAACGCTGGGGAGACACCGACCCCCAGATCGGTAGATGCTCAATGGTCTGGCAGTGACGACAGCCGTCGCAGGGAATCAGGTGTCAACGTGCCTGGTTCTACAATGCCCTTCTACAACCAAGGAAACGGTCTTTCTGGCGGAACCGAGTTTGGATTCGACTCGTTTGGCGCGATGCCCATGGCTGGCGACGAATGGTCGCCTAGTCTGTCTGATGGAATCGGATGGGACTGGGCGTGCTTCTCGCATCTTCTCTCCGATCAGTACCAGCCACAGTGAAGCCTACTACATGATCTGTGGGACCTTCACCTTGGACCCCGTACTAGCTTGCCTTCACCGCAGCAAATCTGGATTGATCAGCGTCGAGATTCTATCTCTATGCCTCGTCAAGGATTCGAGGAGGTGCAAGGTTTGATGTAGCAACAGGACGTAAACACCCTGCCTGCTTGATGAGACATGACGATATAAGGTAGATAGGGGTTTTCTCTGCTTTCTTGTTGGGAGACACGAGTAAGGCAATCAGATGGTAGGTCCGCCTTCGATATGGGAGCTCGGAAGCGCTGGGAGCCTAATTCCGCCAAGCAAGTCGAGATCTCCTCTGGTATCTTGGAGCCTATGTACTCCGAGAACGCTGCACGAAGCAGAGCGGAGCAGTGTAAATAGTGGCGGAGTAGATTGATGAGAGGGCGTCGTTGGATATCATGACGTCTGGTGGAGACTAGAAGACCGGTGACAAGTTCCAGGAAGAGTTCATTGCAACTATGACCCGGTCATAATGAGAGCAACTAAGGCAGAGGCTTTAGGGTTCAACTCTAAGCAGTCCTCGCCTGAGCCATGTGAACATATCCAGCGAATGAAGCTATCATTGTTCCTGCGAATCATGAGTCGTTGATTGCTAAAGGACCATGTTTTCGAAAACGACTAGGTAGTCAGCCCGCAGTTTCAACTTTATGCATGAATAGATGCTTCGTATTCCGGCTGCCTTAAGTGGCTACTACTATTACTAAGCTAGATCATCATCCCAGTAGCCAAGCTTCCCCGTGCCAGTTCCTCGGGGAAAAGATCTTAACCGCAGGTTCGGTTGGGAACCACATACTTTAGTTGGTAAGGCAGACAGTGATCTCGGAGTTTCTCAACTTCCCGTCGGATGTCACCCAGACGCCGACCTCCCGAGGGGTATATGGCGTGGAGGGCCGCAGGCTCAAGCTACATACTCTACAGTACACGCCTCTTCCTAACGTCCTCCAAGTCTTGCCCGTGGGCTTCTATGTGTCCTGTTCGTCCCTAGTACCCGCTGGTTCTCTAGTTCCGTTGTGACCGTCAGATCCTCTACGAGGAGGGGGTCGTTGGTAGGGCCTAGGTCAAGACCTAGTCCTTAGTACCGCGGGCAGATCTTCTGGAAGAAGTCCGTCACGGAGAGAAAGGCCTGGAAGCCTTTAGGATCAGTAATTAGCCCCTTATAGTACCGCTCCAGGGATCCTATAGGTCCTATAGGCTCGAGTGGACTAGAAGGGTGGAGGGTAGGCCACTGATACCTCCTCACTAGGGTCTTTTGGCAGTAGACTAGATGGTCTACTGCCTTTGCCTCCCCGCAGGAGCAGGTAAGCAGTGCTTCTCTATGGTTGAAACGTTGGTGGTACTGTTCGAAGTCTCCATGGCCTGATCGGGCTGCTAGGAGATGGTGAAGGATGGCCCGTGGCAGAGCTAGTTCAGGGGGGCAGGCGAGGGTAGCCTTAAGCCCTAGTTGGGTATAACGGGATGTTGCTTCTCGCTGCCACCACTTCCTATATTGGCGCCGTATACGCTCTTTAGCAAGCCGTTTGATCCCTGATAGGGTAGCTAGTTGGCCCCTAGGGGTTGGTAGGGTTGTGCCCTCCTTAGCTAGGCTGTCTGCTTCCTCGTTTCCTCTGATCCCTTGGTGCCCTGGGGACCAATGGGTTTGTATATCGTATATACTGACTGCCTCTTGTATTTCAAGGAAGGCTACTTGGGAGGAGTCTGGGGCCTCGCCGCGTATCCCCTGGATAACGCTAGTGTTATCGATGCAGATGTGTATAGGCTGTCCCTGGGAGGTAAGGAGGTCCCGTCGGAGCTCCGCCCTTGCCCCTTCAGCCTCACCATCAAATACTTCTGCTAGGCCGAGGCGGCCGCAGCCCTGGGCTATGCGTTTGTTGTTTCGGTATATCACAAAGCCAAACCCTGTAGCACCATTAGGGGCTTTAGAGCCGTCTGAGTAGATAATAGTATGCTCTTTTTAAGATGTGTGTGGCTAGGCGATCTATCGAGTCAATAGGTCAGTTGCTGGTTTGTCAAGGCACAGCTAGGTTCCCCTTGATTAAGTCTCTCTGACAGGGCGTAATCCTATTATGTTCCCAGACTAATACATGTACACCGGCGCTGGGCCTCGCTGGCGCCAAGCAAACAGCAGGATAGAATGCGTGCTGAGCCACGGGTAACGTACGTGGGACTGAGTGCATAGTACTTGGCAGATTACAACTCCTGGAATCACATTGGCTGCCACTATTCCATCAGCCCTACGAGAACGATAACGATGATCTTTTTTACAGCGACCTGGGACAATCATGGCCGAAAAATGAGCCTCATCTTCGTTTTCGTTTTCGTTGTCGAGTGGATCCATGTCTGTGGCTCAGCAGCACTGCACTCGTCGTGCAGTTCCACCTTGCGATTAGCTAGAGCATCTGTAACAGGCTCTCGTCGACCCAAGTGACAGTTGAGCAACTAGCCAGTAACATATTTACAATTAGAGATTATAGGGCGCATTGATATTCGATTCTAACGATCGAGAATGATATAAAGCCATTGCTGCCTTCAGCCAGTATAGAATAGACCTAGATTTTGAATCACCGCTTAATCACAGGCCACCTTGAACCAGAAGCATTTCAGTCCCTCGTTTACCGATAAGAATCACCTCAAAAACCGACCAAGACATGCATCTCCCTCTACCAACCATCATCGGGGCTGCCTCCGTCGTCCAGGCTTTCCCTCACTTTGCCTACCCGAACACTCGCTTCGCTCTGCCGCCTAGCAAAGGACTGAAGGGAATAAAAACAGGGAATGAATCTTGGGGCACCCTGAAGCCGAACCATTTCACTTGGAGTCCCCCGGGCGCTAATGATCGTGAGTCTCGTGGCACGTCCATACGATTTGCATGCCCAAACTGACTAGATGGAATAATGTAGAACGAGCACCGTGCCCGGTTATGAACACTCTTTCCAATCATGGTTTCGTTCCCCATGACGGCCGAAACATCACCAAGGATATCCTAATCAAGGCTCTCAACGATGCGCTAAACGTCCCCGAAGCACCCGCCCTCAACATCTTCAACAATGCCCTCGTCGTCAATCCTACTCCCAATGCAACTGTGAGTCGTTACTGCTTCGCTTACCACTGAGGCTTCAAGGTTCCAACGAGAGAATTGCTTTTTACTAATCCTGCGGAAAGTTCTTCGACTTGAAAATGCTTCATGCACACAATGTCATCGAGCATGACGGCAGTCTTTCTCGCAAAGACGCCATCTTCGACTCCACCAACTCTTTCGATACGGGGACTTTTGATAACTTCGTGAGCTACTTTGGAGACGAGGAGGCCATCAACATTAAGATGATTGCAAACGCTCGAGCTCGACATGCTTTCGATATGAGTCTCATCAACCCGACTTTCTCGATCACCGATGCTCAGATCCCCGTTATTGTTGGCGAGAACGCATTCTTCCTGGCAATCTTTGGTGACCCGGACGTTGCTGCTGCCAACAGGACGTTCCTGGAGTACTTCTTCCGTATGTCGCAAGCAAGCAATCTTAATGAATGCAAGAGAAGCTAACAAACTCCAGGCAATGAGAGGTTCCCCGTCGAGCTTGGCTGGTCCCCTAACGAAACACTATTGATGCGCAACTCGGTCCCATTGTGCAGAATATCATCGCTCAAAGCCCGGCGGACGTGCCTCTGACGTTCACGCCACAGAACGCAACCGTGACAAAAGTCAAGTAGAGTATTTCATGGTCAAACCATCAATTGCAGTTTTGGGACCGTTATTTGATGTTCAACTCGATCATTGGCGGTACGGAGAGGTCATATGAAGCTTCGGAGTGTCTCATTTTATTTGCGTATCCCGCCGGGTAAAAGTGGATCACATAAAAGAAGACTCTTCACTGGTTCCGCTTTTCAGAGTTAGGTAGAGAGTAAATTTGATTTCCAAGAATATTGGGTTCGACACCTGGATTTCGAATGCGAGCTCCATCGCGTGCGTATGTGTTGGTGACCCTCGTGGCCAACACTCACACACTCGCTGAGGCCTACGTGAACTCGTAGGCGATTAGTCGTTACATGTACTTTCAAGCGCCAGTTTCCCAGGGTCTCAAGGTCTCAAGAGTCTCGGAAAGACCTAGCAAGTAATATTGCGTGCCCTTGACATAATTAGTTCCAAAGAACCGGGGATTTCTTACTAACACGAAGATATCTTCATCAACGTCTAATCCAAAGAGGAAGGCCATAACGAGAACGGAGTCTGATTGGTGATTGTTCCCATTTATGTCTCCACTTCCCCAGACAACCCTTTACGGGATCTAGGGCGGAACGAATGATGGATGTTATCTGCGATGGACCCAATTCTCCGCAGGCAAGAAGCTATCGTGTAGCCTTTATCTTGGATTCGCGGGGTTGCTGAATCCCCTCGACTTCAACTCGAGTATCTAACGAAGAAATCACGGCGTTAATCAATGATAGCCTTCGACTGCCCAGTCAGTGCCCATATAATCTCGCCAAGGCTCGGACTTATACGCTCCGATACCGGCGGGCTCGCGAGAATGGATTTTCACTCGACTCCATTGAAATTTAATAACAGAATGTGTCAATCAAAAGAAGCGACCCCGCGAGGCGGGGAGAATTTTCATGTCTCCGGAAAAATGCTCGGCAACTTGCAGGATGATCTGGGGAATTTTCGATAAGTATAATAATATGCTCATCCTACCGTCACCTTCCTGGTCTTTCCCACTCGTTGACCCAGTTCTCGCCGATTCGACCAGTCTTTGAAAGTCGAGTGCTTGCGTTCAGGCACCGCTATGTCGGAAACAAGAGAGATCAAGGATAGCTCGCTGGGTGAGGCGCCGTCGAACACGGGCAAGGTTGTCGCCGCAGACAACGCGATTGCCCACGATGCTGTCTTTGGTGAGATCACGGAAGATGGCCCTAACTACCGCAGTGTTTGTGACTCCCATTTTTAAATTGAGAGAGAGCGTTGGAATTGACTTGTATTAGGTTGGGTGGCTCGGAACTTCAGTCTTGATGATGAAAACCCAGATGGGACTCGGTGTTCTATCCATCCCCTCCATCCTCGACACCATGGGAATAATTCCCGGAGTTATCCTCATCTGCGTAATCAGCGGTATCACTACCTGGTCCGACTTCATTGTCGGTACTTTCAAACTCCGTCACCCCGAAGTCTACGGCGTTGATGATGCTGGAGAGTTGATGTTTGGTTGGATTGGCCGGGAAATATTCGGTGCTGGGTTTTGTCTCTGTGAGTCTTCTTATCTGCCCTTCGGCAGGATCTCAACTAATGTTGTCAAGTCTTCACCTTCACCTCGGGGTCAGCCATGCTGAGTATTTCCATCGCCCTGAATGCTCTGTTCATGCACGCAACCTGCACTGCTGTGTTCGTGGCCGTTGCAGCGATCATTGGCTTCGGCTTTTCTAGTCTGCGGACGCTGGGACGCATCAGTTGGCTAGCATGGGTCGGTGTGACGAGTATCATTGTCGCTGGTAAGCCTACGTCCTTACATGTACTGCCAAGAAATTTGTAGTATTTAACAACCTCGTCAGTTCTCACTGTGACCATCGCAGTGGGTCTGCAGGATCGACCTGCGGCAGCACCCAAAGATGTTCCATGGAAGTCGGATTTCAAGCTGGTAGGCTCGCCCACTTTCGCAGAAGCCATCGCCGCCATCTCCGCACTCGTTTTCTCGTACGCAGGCACACCAGCGTTCTTCTCTATTGTGGCGGAAATGCGCGAGCCTAAGCACTACACCCGAGCTCTTATTCTCTGCCAGTCCGTTGTCACTCTCGTCTATGTGGCTGTGGGCGCTGTTGTCTACTACTATTGCGGCTCCTACGTCTCTTCGCCCGCGCTCGGCTCTGCTGGGCCAAGTGTAAAGAAGGTTGCCTACGGGCTCGGTCTACCTGGACTAATTGTCTCTGCAGCTGTCTTGCTTCATGTAAATATCTTTATCCCGCTGCAAGGAAGCGAATGGACGCTAATCGATTGTAGTTGCCCAGCAAGCACATGTTTGTCCGAATCCTGAGAGGCTCAAAGCACTTGACAGCCAACACATTTACTCATTGGGCAACATGGATCGGCTGTACCTTTTCTGTCGCTTTAGTGGCATATTTGGTTGCTAGCGGCATTCCCGTATTTAACAGTCTCATCTCTCTCATCGGTGCGCTCCTCGGCACTCTGATTTGTTTCCAGCCGATGGGTTGCATGTGGTTCTACGACAACTGGACGAAAGGGAAACAGACCCCTACCTTGAGATGGTACGCTATGTGCGTTTGGGCTGCTTTCGTTGTGGTATCAGGAACGTTTTTGATGGTTGCTGGGACTTACAGTTCCATTATGGGAATTATCGATGACTACAACGGACCAAACCGCTCCTCTGCTTGGTCGTGCGCAGATAACTCGAACTCTGTATAATATTACCGGCAGAAGATGAGAGTGCTGAGTATTAATAAAAATCCCGCCTTCAACGGTATCTCAGGCCACCAGAAGAAACTTGTGGCATTTAATTATACCTAAAGTACGTATACTGTCAGGGAATCTGTTCTGTGACTTTGGAAGAAAGCAGCCGGGCATTCAACGTCCCTTGATGTTAACTTCTGAAGATGTTAGAGGAGAGATACGACCTCCGAGACCCACCGCCCGGCTTGGACTACCCCGGCCAGATGATGGAGCCTCCCGCATCTCCGATCTCCATTGCCATCTATTTCTCCACTGGTCGGGATGGCCTTCTACTTTAGGTTTCAAGCTGGAGTACCAGTCACAGAAGCCAATGTATCTGACCACCTATTTTATCCAATGAAGCTTCTGCTCTTCTAGACCCAGGCGGGATAAGCCACGGTGATGGCCAACAGTCTATTTACTACTAGGTAGGCGAGGTGAGGTAAGGTAAGTACATGTAAGTAAGCTAAAGTACAAACTCGAGTTCAGGTGCATGTACTACAGGGGTGAAATGACTGGGGGAATAAACTTGCGCTCGCTTGCAAAAGCTACAAGTCACGATAGCCTCGTCAATCGATGATTATAGATATGTTATGGACCAAACCTATGTTTTCTCGGACCTAAGGCGAAAGAAGATACCGTGCTTGCTGAGTGTCTAAACTACTAAAGCATCAGTGTAGCAGGGCAGAAGAGATTCTAACCCATGGCATCTGAGTCTTATCAACGTTAATAAGTGGCATAGATAACGTCGTCGCACGGCGGAGACCGGGGCCTGTCGGCCCCCAAGTGCGAGTGCGGTGCGTTTTGCGCGACCGTAGACTTAGTCCCGCTCTCACATCAGGTGGCCACACCGCCGGCTTCTTGATCTGATGAGATCGATCAGAAAGAGAAGTTGTTCAAACTATCTCGACATGATTCTTTCCATCTCAACGGGAGCGAGAAAAGCATATGTGTATACATAATCATTCGGTAATGCTACAGTAGAGAAGTAGGTAACCAGGAACATCGGGATTTGATATAGTTCGCTCACAAACTGGACACGATAACAGAACGGTATGCCATTCATAATGAGAGTGGGATGCCGAAACTGCTCGGCAATAATATTAGCGCAGGTGACTTTCGATGACCAGGATGGGCTTATCTCTTGATAAATACATTTATTGATACGAAAAATACACCTGGGTACATACCGAGCCAGCTAATGGGAAAGAGGAATTGGTGTACAGAGATAAGATCCTGTAAATTCACAAGCTATGCTGGCCCTGAGCTCTCGATCAAGCAGCAAAAAGGCCAATGACCCGTGCTCGAATTGAGTTGACCACGAAGATACTGAAGCGAAAACGTCGATAACCAAATGTATTCACAGACATATTCACAATATAACATACCTTATATGCTCTTCAATAGTGGTCCCCGTAAGCACGTTCATCCCCGCTGAAGGATTCACGAAAACCATACGTTGTCAAAGATGTAGCCTTTAATACTAAAGTATGTACCTTGTGAAGTGAAATTATTCCATTATCTAGGAAGAGGAAAGACTGATCTGAGCAGTTTGGTTTGAGGCTATAGCGTCATTCTTTCCCCTACCTTACTTTATATTTATACATAAATCCAAGGAACCTGTCAGGCCCATCCCAGTACACTCGTTACAACGATTGTCACACTATGCCTATGAAACAATATGGTCTTACACAAGCATGACTAAGTTTGCCAAGGATATGCCAGTATAAAGGGTCTTCCACTCACTATATAGATAGTCGGGATATTCCCATAGCCACTCGTTCTTCATACTCATCAATACATCCCATTGACCCCCTACCTGATAATCGCTGCCCAACAGAACCAAACGTGTGCCAAATGAGTCTTCGTGACCTTAGCTGCGGGCCTGTGCACGCAGCAATCATGAGTAAATCCGTCTGTTGATCCTCTATGTCAGGCGAAAGAAGGAGGAAGAAAAAGACACCGTCGACTTAATGTACCCGAACTTCTCTATGCCCGACTGTCGGAACGGCAAGGCTGATAAGGAGCAATGGGCAGGTATCGTGGGCTGGCTGGCGCCTGCCCTGGGCGAAGTGGAACAACCGGCTTAGTCATCACGGCTGGTTGAGGTGGGGCAACCACACAGGCCGTCCACACCTACTTCGATCGGCCCCTGCCCACAATGTAAATAAGAACAACAGCAATTATCACGGACATCGACGTGATTGTTGCCGAAGATACACCCTCATGAGGAAATGTATCACGCCTGTGATACCAACACCGACAAATAACTCGCCGAGTGAGAGAATCTCGGCACACCACTCGGATTGTGGGGTCAGCAAAGCGTCCCGCGCCGCGCCGCACAGGGGTGGGATGCCGTGACGGGACTGGGCGCTCCGAGACGCGAGGCGCCATTGGACGTTTTCAAGGTGGGTTTGCCATGCGCGCGGGGGCCTCGGGGGCCGGGATGGTGCCGATCGCCCGTATAACATTTGCTCCAGGGACGGACTCGAAGCCATCAGTTTCCGAGCCTAGCCTTTCTATGAGAGTTCCGTTGAACGAATGGTCTCTGCTTCTTTGGATAGACCATGTCACTATTCAGTTAGATTACGAGATCCAACCCCCGGCTCATTGCTCACCCACATACGGAGACAACCGAGACTTATTCCCGCCCTCTACCCAAGTTGTTATCGACCGACTTCAAAACACTCCCTTCTTCTCCGTTGTACGACCTCTGTGACGTGCACTGGCCACAATCTGACCACCTTTGGAACGTCTCTGTGTGAACAATTCAGGCTGGGGTCAACCTGGTGATCCCCCCACGATCAGACTTGGGTTGATTTGAACCAGTCAGAACAACTCGGAAAGTTCATCTGACAAACACATGCCAATTCTTAGCCCAACCAACCACGGCAAGAGTCGATGACCGCCCTCCAGAGTTCCTCAGTGTCATGACGACAATGGACCAAGATCCCGACCACCAGCCGGCGATCCGAAGTCTTGGCGGCCTGGATGTAATCGACTCCAACGGGGACCTCTATCTCTTTGTAGGAGAAGACGTGGAAGAAAAGCCCAAAAACTACTTTGTATGTTCCAAAGCGCTCGCGAGGGCCTCGACCTTCTTTCGAAAGATGCTCTATGGCGGCTTCGCTGAATCGCGACCACATATGGCCGACGCCCAGCGAGATTGGACTGTGGAACTGCCCGACGACCGGCAAGAGGCATTGGAGTTGCTGCTCGATATTTCACATGGGCGATTTGAAAAAGTCCCTGAACACCTCGATCTCACATGGTTGTACCAGTTTCTTGTTATCACTGAGAAATATGACGCGACCAGCATTGCGCGTCCGTGGGCCCGCGGATGGATGGAGTCTGTCAAGACAAGCATGCAAAATCCGCTACTTCTCGGTGTTGCTTATGAACTTGGAGATGCCCTGATGTTCAATACTATGGCGATGAAGATTGCTACCGAGTGTTTGGTTGACGACAACGAAGATCTGGTGTTTGGTTATAGCGGAGAAAACCGGGATACTTACTCATACAAGCTTTGCAACATAGAATGTCTATTCCCGTCTGGCTTCGTTGGTACGTATCCTAGTTTCTGATGAGTGAGCACTCCGCAATGGAAATCACTGACAGATGTCCTAGATGACGCCACGACAATACGGAAGACTCTACTCACTACCATCCTGGAACCCTACGCCAGCCTCTACATGACACTAAAACACGGAGATCGATGCATGTCATCGCCGCAAGATCCCACGGGAGGCAAACGGTGCGACAGCATTCTATTAGGCTCACTTATTAGATCATTCGCGGCGCAAACAATCGATCTCACGGCCCCGGACCCCGTCTCGGCGTACCGCGGGAGCGCTTCGGCGCTTCAGTCCGTCCTGCTCAAGCTCGAGTTGTACACGGTTCACTCGGCCTTCTCTCATCCGTCGTCGACATCGTTTAGTTTCGGGCAGACGACGCATCCGCGGTTTGGCTTCACATTGAGCGCTTGCGAGCATGTGTTGCAGTCTGGACTGCGGGAGGGTGTGGAGAGGTCTCTGATGCTGAGGGGGGATATGAGCTTTGTTCAGCCAAAACATAAGGAGTATCTGCAAAAGCAGGCGCAAAAGACGGGCCTCTCTAAGTAGCATTAATAACGTTTGTGACCAGACCACCTTCAAGCATGAGAACGTGTTTGGAGTCTGTGGCAGAGATGGCCTCAATTCCTATCTAGCGCACCATATTCTCTTCGGCATGCACGGTGATGTTTGACGCATTGTCGGTTCACCAGTATACGCTCCAGGCGCATTCTTCTTTCTCCTTGACCTAAAGGAGTCGATTTCCTCATGTCGTGGAGATGGTCTGATATTGGTCGACCAGTCTTCTACCGTCAATATAACAATAGTGACATGCTCTTCGTTATCTTCTCTATCCGCGGGCTCGGGTCCTTGAACTCTCCCACTCATATCAAGGATCCGTATCCCCGATGAATCGGAACGTAAGTCCCCTGACCTTCTCCTCCTTCTGTCCTTCTAATTCTATCATGCACCGGACAACCTCGTAGTTGTCAGTTTCGTAGCATTGTAGTGCATCCTCTTGATCTTTGTTCGTAATGAGGAAGGCGTGTCCCTCTACACAACCTGTCTCGTAAGCCAGCGCATCCACCAGAGCCTTGTACTTGCCACCCCAGGTACCAAGACGGCCACCACGAACCTTTGCAGCACTATAGACGGGCTCTCCAATCCCAATCAGGTTCTTCAGGACGGAAGGGTCCGCAAGGGTGCCGTAGAAGAAGTACCAGACTGGGTACTGGTCCTGGGTTGGGAGGAGGCGTTGATCAGACTCGAGGTCGGACTCGAAGCTTGGTCGGTGATTGGGCAAGGTAGCCTCGGATCCAAGGGTTGGATGCATGGAGGTGGTGGAGAGTGCCTTTTCCGCCTTTGAGTAGCGGATGAATGTGGGCTGGAAGGTTGACTCAACATCTGTCGTGATGGCTTCAACCATCTGTGGCCTCACTACCCGTCACGTGACCTCGGTTACATAATCACCGAGGCCCACACTCGCTCGCATCACCTATTTCAGAGCAAGCCTCTTACCTATTCTCTACTTTCAATGGATAACCGTTCTCTATCAAACATCTCGATGCCCACATTGTGACCATACGACAACATCGGAAAGGTGATCGAGGATCATCTTCCTGGTTGCTCCGTCAACCTTGCAGAAAGAGGCAGGGGCTCCGTTGTCGTCGGTGCCGGTGAATCTCGAGAGCAGCATGGAAGAAGTGCCGCATGCTATCTTGACATCCTCGGAGGTGGAGAAAGGACCTTCTAGCTTAAGGAGGTAGATGCTGGGCTTCTTCTTCTTGGTCTTCGTGCTCTTTTCGGCGCCATGTGACGTCTGAGCCCTGGGGAGGCTGCAGGAATATTCGTACGACTCCTTGTCGTAGCCTTGATCCTCCTTCTCTGCGCGAACCATCTCCCAATGAAGATCGGATACCTGCGCTCGTGCGAAGTTGGACCTGTGATCCTGGATCTTTTGTGCGGCATCGGAGTATGTGTAGCCGAAGAGGGACTGCCAACTCTTGATGTCGTCGTAGTCTGGTTCGATGTTGTCCTGCTGTGTAACTACCATGGACTCAAGCTCGTGAAGAAGGTCCATGTTGTCGGCTCAAGTAGTCCCGTTTTTCAAGGCGGGATGACTCTGCGGATAGAAACGTGTTGTGCGACTGGGATGGAAGATGTAAGATGTGTGGTGATGGTTCTTGGCTCCGGATCAATGAAAATGAACCGAAATGACTATTATATAGGGCTCCGAAGATAGCTTTCTCAAGTGGGTATGTGGACATAGAGATTGACAATGATATTAGTGACCTCAACTTGCACCAAGCCTTTGACAGACTTTGCACCATGGTGGGTAAACGCAACACTGCTAGAAGCAGTCTTCTTCGCAACTTAAACCCCCGCCATATTAAGCTCCATGCCCGTCTATCGCCGGAGAAGTCGTAGATATTGTGACTATCGTGGCGTCATTGACGTCGACGTATTCTGAAAACATTGGGAACCCCCTAGCATGGGCGTCAGAATGCTGTTCAAAGAGACTGGAGTGTTGTTAAATTGGATTGCATGATTACTAGAAGACTACCATTAAAGGATCTTCTCTCGATGCCATCAATGGACTTTCGGTCAATCAAGCCCTTCACTGCCTTGACTATTGTCCAGCACTTTATCAAGCGCCGCCTCGCCTTGCCGGCCCTCATCTCCTACCTTGACACTTCCAACTACATCTTTCCTCTCGCAACTCATCATTTTTCTCCTGTTTTGCTCGTCAAATAAGTGCGCGCTGGCGGAATCGACCTCGGGTTCAATAGGCCGCACGTAGTTACGTCTAGTATCATGTGCCTGAAAATAAAGTCAACGATGCCTATTTGCTCCATGTTTCCGGGGGATTAGAAACAAGTTATCGATTCGTAAGGTTAAGAGCAAATATGCAGAGAAACAAAGAGTGTCACATTTCTATTGTACTTTCTGGAGGTAAATCAGAGACATGGTCTTTCGAATTGCAATCAATCCTGTCCCGTTCCTTTTGTCAGTAAGCATTTGAAACGAACGCGATTGGATTCACTTGTCGCGCAGTGGTGCGTCTGATTGACATTAAATGCCTCTTATTACATGACCGTAGGTAACGCGCTATCATCCTGGATGAAAAAAGTTGGCTGAACAAGAGCAAATGCCAGTTAGAACAGTGACTCACGTCGTAACTCTCCTTTAATCTGACGGGCGGCCTCCCAACAATCACTTACACGAAGCCCTAGCCGGATTGCGGAAGATGCAGGGAGGCCTAAGTGCCAAGAGAAAATCGCTCATACACAAAAGGTCAACACAGACACGGTCGGTTTCGGTGGTGATGGACAACCATTAGGTTAAAATTACCTACAGGCTACTGCTTCCCCATGGGAAACGGGCACAAAAGGACCCAAATAATGTCAACGCCATTCCAATCGGCTGCCAAGTGTCACGAAAGAGGTATAGCAGTGGATATCTCAGGGGTAGAGATAAGGGGTAGACAGGGGTATGGGCATACAAAAGGGGCTCCCTCGAGGGCTTCCCTTTTCCCCTTTTCCATAGTTGATTAGACCACAGTTGAGATCCCGATTTCCATGAGCTACTCTATATGCTGATTCGTGACACCAAGCCTATGGAATGCCTTTGCATCCGAAGACCTGATCTGGCAAGCCAGATATCAATGCACGCAGCAACATGAGGATCTTAATCCCTCAACCGAGACATCACATGGCTTTCGAGTCGGTGAGATTGGACTTGTGCAATGTTGATACGAAGAACAGTGAAATCAGTCATAGTCGATGGCACTTAAAAACCGCGGGACAGCAGGACTTCGGTTCAGGTCCGTTTGGATTTCGCTCATCCTGATATCCTCCCGTCATTTAACTTCCTCGTCAACACATTCCTCATGAAATCATCCGTATGAGCCCGACAAGCATTCCAGATGCCGCTGTCACAGATGCCTCAACCACCTGGGTGCCTGAGAAGCAGCCAGGTGCCGTCGCAGCAGCGCTCTGTGTCGCATTCGCCCTATTAGTCGGCCTCGTGCTCTACCTCTTCGGATGGAAGAAGATCAGAAAGCTGAGGCATCCACCGCCAGCTTCTCTACATCTTACAACGGCAAATCATCACCGCAGTCAGCATGATGCATCCGATCCGTCGTCTTTGAGCCCCTATGACTTGCCCAGGCTACCGAGGAAAGCACGGATGGCAAAGCTGACCTGCGGAAAGCTCGAGTCGTTTGCAAAGGTCGCCGAAGCCAAGACGTGTCCTGTTTGCTTGGATGACTTCGTCGCTGGAAGTGTTGTTGGACAGTTGCCGTGCAGCCATGTCTTCTGCTCGGCTTGCATCGAGCTTTGGCTCCTCAAGCACGCTTACACATGTCCGTTGTGGTACGTCTCCCCAGCTTATTTCATACAACAACTCTCGATTGCTAATCTGTGTGATTCTGCTTCAGCCGCTTCAATCTTGAGGCTGGCGAAGTGCACTCCAAAACATGATGGGAGAGCAGTCAAGGATCATGAGAGTACATTAGTACATTGCTCCAGGCATGGGTTTGAAGGAACTTGCGCTTTGGGAGACTACTCAGATCATCGCGGCCTCAATCAATACAGTCGGCCTTTGCTCATATACCGCCATGAGAAATGCCAGGCGTGGATGCTATATGATAGTTCTTGGCATCAAAAGTAAAAGAAGCTTCATATTAATAGTAAATGGTCGTCGGTACTGGCTATCTACGCCAATGGGTCGTGGAGTTGTGTTAGCAGATGCAGCTACAGTCAGTCCTTGAACAATCTAATACAAGTACCACTGCTTGATTCAACTCATGTCACCTTCAACTCCGTGAATCAACATGCGAACTGAAAATGTAAATGGCAAGAATCAAGCCACAAAAGTGTGACCCAAAAATAGCACATATTCGACCTTGAGCCACAGGCTGACGCACTCTAATGGCTGATTCCCTTCAGGTACTCAGACCCCTGTGTCTTGAGCGGCGCAGCCTTCCGAGACCCCAAAATCGCCCCCTAAACACGTATATGTCTCCTCGCGACACCTCGAGGCCCCTAAGCAGTGCCAACCATAGACGATAATATCCAGCAGCAGTGCTGCGCCAAGGTACGATGAAGCATCGAAACTTGCATGATTGCATACCTGATTGTAATATCCACGATAGATAACGTACCTGCATAGCGAGCGACGCATCATAGCGAGCGACGCACTCTCTCAAACCTTTCTACCTTATGTATAAGTTAACTTAGCCACAACGTACGAAATCAATTAAAACTATATATCACCCTCTTCCTCATTACTATCCCAAACCACTTCACAGGTTCGTGCGTTATGTCCAGGCTTCCCGCAATTACCACATCGTCGCGCGCGTGGTTCAGCACCTTCCGTACGACCCTCCTTCTGAGGGTTATTCTCTCCTCCAGCATTAACACCACCCTTCTCTACTTGTAGTGCCTCTGCTTCAGCACTATTAAGTGACCCTCCAAGACGTAGCCGGGTCTTTTTTGCCCTCCGGCGCTTACTTAGTACCTCTATCCCCGTACGAAGCTTACGGTTCTCAGCCTCAATAATAGCAAGCCTATGGGCTAACTTGCTAATACCTCTGGCCTGGAAGTCAATTACTTCGTACATTGGTGTTGGTGAGCTACCTTGATGTGCTTGGATCTTCCTTTTAAGGGAGGTAGCACTTCGTACGCCCTCTAGTGCTGTAATTGGTGTCCTTGGGTCCCAGGAGCCTTGGCTGCTTGACCGTGAGTTTGATGGTGTTGGCGTCTTTGGCTTGAAATCCAAGCGAGAAATAACCACTTCAGGGTTAAAAGGTACAAGGCCTGCCTGCCTAAAACCAGCTCGTACGTTATTTTCGCCCATGGAAGTAAAGAATGCTGCTTTAAAGGCAGGAAAGAAGTCATCCTTTGTACTATGGGAAATCTGTATCCGCATCATCTTCTCGATTTCCTTACCGTACGAGTACTTTAACGGGCTAAAGCACCCAACATCAAGAGGCTGAAGCTCGTGTGATGAATGGGGAGGCATACAAAGAGCAATAATGTTTTGTTCCTTGCAGTATTCGTCAAAGTCAGTCGATTTATGGCTATTATGGCCATCAAGGATCAAGAGGCGATAAGAGCCCTTCGTACGAGTCCTTGTACACTGATTAAAGTGCTTTAGCCAATCTAGGCCAATATCATTTGTCGTCCATCCATTTTCGCTTGGATGGATACGCCATGTGGCTGGAAATTGGCCATTAATATACCACGAGAGGAGGTGATATTTGCCCTTTACGATGACGTACGGAGGCAGCGCCCAGCCATCCGCACATACACCCTGAATGACAGAAACCCATTCTCGATTGCCAGGCTGTTTCGTACGAGGCCTTCCCTTACGGTCAGAAGTCGTAACAACCTTTGCGTGCGATAGCATTCCCATCAGGAAACCAGTCTCGTCAAAATTATAGATATCGTTATCCTGTATCCCATACTTTGCAATTGTGTTTCGCACAAGTGCAAACCAGCCTTGTATAATCGTAGGATCCTCAGCTAAGGCCCTCTGATAGTCGATTCGACGTTGAAACCGCATTTTCAATTCAGGGACGCGTCGTACGAAGTTCTCTGCCCATCGCGGTCCAGTACGCGTCCCATCGCGTGCGTTTAGGAGTTGGTCGGCCATTTCTCGTACGTCTTCTTGTCGCGGAGGGAACCCTCGATCGATTAGGTCAATAACTCGTTCAAGAATCACCTCCTCTTCTGTTATAGTCATCTTCATCGAATTTGGTCGTGTTTCACCTCGTGCGACGCGTCCAGCGCGTCGGTGGCGGAGGGTTGATTCAGGGACCTCATAGATAGAGGCAGCTCTTCGTATAGACATTTTCGGGTCTTTTTCAATAGCTTGGAGGGCAAGGGTAATTCGACTTTCAATTGAGGAGGATTGCATGTTCGTACGTGGAGAAAAGGTGACCTAAAGATGAAGAGGGTAGAATTGGGAGGACGTGCGTCGCTCGCTATGATGCGTCGCTCGCTATGCAGGTACGTTAAGCAAAGTGGAATTAAGAGGCCTCTACCATCCATATTACACGTACCCATGGTCGATAATGAATGTCTTGGTCAATCCATCGGCTGATTGCTAAATGATCCTTGTGACCAACCTCACACATGTGACTAATATCGAACCAGCTGCTTTGTGTTGTGCTACATTCGGCCAAAAGCAATCCGTTTGTCACACGTGAAGCCCCCGAAGAAGGACTTATCTTGATCAACCCGCGCAATCCATGTAGTCTGTGAGACTCTTTTCCGACGCTGTGCCACTCCCAACGAGCTGCATCTACTGTGGCGCGTCACCCGTTGCTCATCATCCCTGACACATTCACTGTTCCCGAAAAACGATACGCAAGGGTCTCGGGTGGTTAGCTCACTCGGCGAGTTGTGTTGAAGATTTGAGGATAAATTCCTACCTTTATGTCTTCCCACTCGCGAGAGAAGAAATGACAGAAACTTTGATACCTGGCCACACGAGCCGGCCACAATAAAGCTTGCACCCGTCTAAAGCTTGTTCAACCACCTCCTCTCCAGCCAGATACATCGTCAATTGCTGCTTGAACTATCTCTTGGGACAGCGACTGTTGATTTAGACTCCTCACCCAATCTCAGAAAGACGCATGTACGCTTAGAATCACCCCAGTTTTGACAAAACAATCCGACAATTTCCGAATTTAGAACTGACACCAGTAGTCCCTTATTTCACGAGGTGAACAACGAGAGCATGCCTTTGATCGCACCATCACTGGAATCCAGAGACACAATGGAGAGCGAGGCCACACTAGTTGGCGTCTCTGAGACGATCCAGCCAGCCTCGGCAAATCGGCCTTATCATCATGATCATTCTGTTTCTGGTAGAAACACCCTCGGGCTATTCAATCTCATGAAAGTCATGCTGAGATTGACATTTCTGTGGTTGAATCTCATGCTTCTCCCCTTGTGCGGCTGGAACGCTGCCAGCTCTACCCTATTTCTTGTCTTGCGAGGGGTCCCACTGGGAAAACAACTGGAAGTATTCCTTCGTTTATCTTATAACATGGCCAAGATGGAACTTGGTACAGCTGGACTGTACAGATGAAATTATTGGAGAGCAGTCTGTTTCGAAGGTTGAAGGCAAAATATTAGCAGTTAGTCACAATGAGAGAAGCAATCACTTGTAACCGGTGTGCCTACCAACAGGCAGCGACTAGTAAGATGCAAGATCTCAACATCAAGGTTGAAAAGATGGAATTAAGTATAGACATGAAAGGTTACGAATAAGTAAGTACATGTTGGTTGTTTGCAATTACAGCGTTGGGCATTGTTTGCGCACCCGAAGAAATTATACCAAGAAAATGTCCCCAGCAATGGGATCGAACGCTTCAAATACTCTACTGAAGATATTCGCCGACAAGAGCCAAGTCAATGATGGCTGCCAGCCCATACAAGGCAGCATCATTCGTAGAGATCCACGACGCCTCGTCAATTGGCGCCAACACATCGCTGCCGTTGAAGTGCACAGTGCTCCAAGGAGCGGACTGCTTCAATCCATCCGTGTTGAAGAACTCATTCCAAGCACGAGCCGCGAGAGTCGCATTGTTCGTGCGGTGAGCAGCATAGGCAGTGAGACGAGAGTGTCCCTGCTTGAGACTCGTGTTGCCGAATCCCTTGCCGTACCGCGCCGTCTGCTCAGCGGTGCTGGCGCTGTAGTAGTAGCTGTAGTCGTACCACGCCTGCTCAAAGCCTTCAGGGACATCTTCGCCGGCATGCTCAATGAACTCGGCAACGACCTCCATGAGGCCAAAGACCGCAGATAGATGAGAGACGGCAACAGTCCCGTTGTTGTTGGGGTCGGCGGGAGGGGGGCCGAGGGTGCCGTCGGCAAGGTTATACAGGCCAGAGCCCGTGACGAAGCCATTCTTGAGCTTGGCGATGCTGGCGGCGGTGTTGGTGAGCTTCGTGCGGGCCTCTTCCCAGCGTGAGCCGCGACGTTCCCACTCGAGGAGCCAGGAGGCAGCGAGGGAGGACCAGTCCGTGCCGAGGCCGACGGCGACAGAAGAGTTGGGAGTCGGGACCCAGCCGTCGGTGCGGACCTTGCGGTTGGGGTCAAGAACGCCGTAGGTCTTGTCAGTGTCGAGGATCTCCTCAATCAGCTCGCCGGTGCGCTCGTCGCCGCCCGTGACGAAGAAGAAGACCTTGCGGTACTGGGGCGTTGAGATACGGGCCTGCTTGGCGCTGTCTCCCCAGTGCTGAACACCGTGGCGGGTTCCGAGACCCTTGTACTTGCCGAGGTGGTAGACGTCGACCTCGCCCGTGTGGCGGACCTGGGCTTCGGCGAAGCGGAAGACGTCCTCGCGGCCGGTGCGGAGGAAGTAGTTCCAGAAGAAGAGGTCGGGAGAGAGCTCCGAGTTGTCCCACGCGTAGCCTCCGATGTCGTAGCGCCACTGGTGTCTGTCCGTGTCGTAGGCATGAATAAAGTCGCCGTGGTCCCAGAAGCCGTACCACTTGCGCTGCTCAACCTGGCCCTCGTAGAATTTGAAGAGGAAGTCGAGGTGCTTCTCGATGTTAGCGGCGAGACCTGAGGGTGACTCGGCCGGAGGGGCCCAGTAGTTGCCGATGGCCTTGGTCTCGGCGAGGTATTCAGGTTCGCCGAAGAGAACGGGCGGGTTGTTGGTGTGGTCGGTCAGGTCGGCGATGAGGGTGCGGTTGGGGGTCTGGTCGAAGCCGTAGAGGAAGATCTCGTTGGTTCGGGCGACGCCGTAGGGGTTATTGAAGCCAGGCTCATAGTCTTCGTAGGTGATTTCGAGAGCGTCGAGCTGCTCCGCGTAGGTATCCTGGCCGAGGCCGTCGTGGTAGGGGCGGATATCCAGAGCGGGCGCCGAAGGGCTGTAGATCCAGATTGTAATCTCACCCTTGTCCGTGGCGGCGTTGGTGATGTCGATGCCGGTCGGGTAACGCTTCCAGAAGTTGCGCAGGCCGACGGCGAGACCACCCTTAGTGGCACCGCCGAGGTATGCCAGACCGCCCGAGCGAGTGCCGCCGGGGATGTTGACCCAACTCTGACCAGCCTTGGTGCGCTTCTTCAATGTAAAGCCGTCAGGGGAGAGCTGTGTCAAGCTGAAGTCGCTCCAGGTAGGAATCCACTTGAGTCTGGTCGTGACTCTCTGATCCCACGTAGCGGGGTCGGCGAGCTCCGCGCCCTCGAACTGGTCGCTGCGGATGTCGACACCGGGGTCTCTGCGGAGACCGGTGATGCCCTGCACGGCTTCGCTCAGGAGACCTCCGTCGATGCCAGAGATTCTGACGTGGCGGTTGTACTGCTCCTCGCCCTCGAGAGGAACTTCAAAGCGGATGCCGAGTCCAGAGATGAAGTCCTCTTCGGCGTTACCATCGTAGATGACGGTGTGCACGATACGAACAGCCTCGGAGTTGTGGTAGAGGTAGAAGCGGAGGATGAAGGGAAGCCAGTCATCGTGGCTACCCTCGCCCGAGTGCTTGCCACGGACTGTGACAAGGGCACGAGCAGTGCTGTCCTTGCTGACGGTGACCTCTTCAATATTGCTTTCGAAGTTGAAGTAGTTGATGGCAGATTGACCCTTCAATTCCGCCTGATCTTCGACGCCGGACTGAGAGTGCAGCACAAGCTTTCCGTTCTGGCCGATAGTCTTGCCAGAAGCGGTCTTGATCTCGCCAACCACAGCATTACCCGACTTGGGGAAAGTGATGGCGAGCTTGCCGGTGTCGACACTGACGGCATCAAATGAGTCGGCCACCGTCAGGCCGCCAGATTGCTGTCTTCTGGCACGAGAGAAGCGCGCTGTCGAGTTGGACGACGAGGATGCGCTGACAGTGTACTCGTCCAGGATCGTGTCAGACTCGGGGATCGCGTGGCCGGTCCATTTGATCGAGCCGTCAGACCAGTATGCCGTCACCCAGGTCTGCAGCAAGCCGCCACTGGAGAGGGAGAACTCGGTCGAGTTGGAAAAGTATTTTCCGCGGGCCCAGGGCAAGCCGAAAGTCGTACCGGGGGTGTAAGAGGGAGTACTGCCGAGCCATTTGACGGTGGCGCTGTCGCTGGTGGTGTTGTCGAAGCGTTGCGCGCTGGCCGTGCCCATGAGGCCGGTCAGGGCAACGAGACCAAGAACGAGCCGAGACATTCTTGGAAGAACAAAGAGTGAGGAACTCAAGACGTCTAGCTGTGCCTCGTTGCAGCAACTGCGAAAGGACGCGGAGGTCGCGTTGCTCTAATAAGAGCCTACTACGACTTCGGGACAACGGCAGGCGAAAGAAAATGTCATCAAGTCGACCGCGTGGTCCGCCGAATCTTGGCTCGCAGCACAGCCTGGGGATGGCATCATCCGGTGCGGTGATCTCGAGTCGTGGGAGTGGACGGATGATTGCCTTCAGACTTGGCCCGACGCGATCTCAGCGCGCATGATGCCATCCGTTCGCTCCATCTTTCTCGGGGAGTCGCCCGCAATCGAGTAGGATGCTACGGTGCTGGTGGCCGCTAGATCTGCAGGTTAGATGAAGCCAAGGGACTCCCCTCTTTCTCTTGAGTCGGGTCCCGGAGCATCATACCTTCAAGGAAGTAAAAGAGCCATATGAAGCTCTGTGTCGATCGAGCTGCAGATGGAAGGGGAAGCCCTCATCTTTCGGTGCAGTTGCACCGATGGCGGAGGAAAGGAACCGGGGAAGGGTCCAACTTCGAGATGTCCAGGGGCATTTTGTCACCTCCCAGACGGGGCAATTGGGCCGGGATGCAGGTCCCGCACATGTTCCACCGAGAGACCGAGGACTTCCAAGACTTTTTCCCTAGGATTTTCAACTGCGATCCAATGGGGAAGAGCCAAGAAGGATGCGGGGTAAACGGCTTCTGGTGCTTGATGGTGAAAGAGGATGAAGAAGCGAGATTAGACTTTTGAGTATGCATATTCGCAGAGTGAGAGATGCAGGGGGAGCTCGTTGTGGGAAGAGCTAAGGTTATCGAGCTTTATTGCAACCTCGAGCACGCAATATCATCATCTCATGTCGAATAGAGTACTTTATTAACTGGAACCACTGTCGACTATCTAGAGCCTGCACCTTTGAAATCAGCAGCAACAAGCTTAAGGCTTACCAAGCCGCAGCAAGATTCGCGACCGAAGACGACAGGGACATAGACGCAGGAACGTACCAGACTGCTGGAACCACAGGAAGTTTCGTGATACAGGCTTCTCTCTGTCTCAGTGCCGCCATTATCTGAGCACCCATATTAAAGACGACATTTTTAATTTCGAAGACGTAATCGGATTTTGAAGCCGTGATTGGCGTTGATCATCTCATCCGCGTCGCGAGCTTCGGCACTCTTGCATCGGTTACAGGACAGGCGGGTTCAGTGGGTTAAGTGTGCAAACCGCGTTACACGCAATGCATTGGACATTTGTGAAGCAAGATCATTGCCTTTCGGCACGGCCCGGGGCGTGCTGAACGGTTTACGCTTGAATTAGGGTACCGGTGGGAGATCTCACCACTCAAACTTATCATCAGCCTCCGGACTCATCCGTCCGGCCGGGCTTGTCCGCTCTCAGGTGGTTAGTTGTCTCACAGCGATCGCGATTGACCGCAATAATTCTATGCGCTGCATTTTGTTTGATACCGTGAAGAGCTGATTAATCATGTCTCTACTCAGTTGTTAAAGTTGAACATTCCATCAGGTGCATCCCATGTAGCCATGCGTCGCTGTCGCCACCGGCTTGATCCGACCACCCATGGCGCACATTCGGCTTTCGGGATGGCACCTTACTTCCTGCACGGACACGCAAGGATTCAAAGATTATACATCAAATGACAGTACCTTATTCTGCATCTATGCCCTGTGAGCTTACTGGGCTCTGAGCCATTCGGATAAGTTTCACATGATACTAAGCAGTCCCCTGTTTCTTGGCTGATCACCAGTGACGAGTAACTAATACATGTAACTTAGCAAGCAGCTTTTGCCTTGGCTGTGCGTATTTGACTTATTAATCAAGCCGCCACGGACCACAAATCAATATCCGAGAGCTCATGTCCTTGAAATCACTATGCATGTCGGCTTCTCTAAAGTACCTTATCGAACCTAGGCACATTGGGAAAAATGAGCACATAATCCTATCCAAGAAAGAAAAAAATCCCTCCCCGAGCCCATTTACTTTGAGGACATGCAGAAACAAGGCCTAAAACATCACCATTATCCTGCCCAAACCCATTCTCGTTGCATATTTATCCTACTACCTTACGGTATGTTAGATACAAGGACTACAATTACCTTAAGTTGTCAGAAGCTCACCCTCCTGGGGGACATGTGATTCGACATCCCTAGGGGCCGATTCTTCATGCAAATCTTCCGTCTGGCCATGAGCCCACTTGTACTTCCAATACAGAAACCAGATGACTGTTTCAGTTACGATTAGGGGGAGATATACGTTCACAGTGAAATCCCATAGGTACATGTACTTTTCAGTTATGGTGCTGAGAAGTACAGTGCCCATCGAGGTGCCGGCGTAGGAGATTGAAATCAAAGCAGCCACCTGAATCGAGAAAGTACCTGTACTTTTAGAGACAGCGATGTAAAGAAGTACTAGCCAAATTGTCAGCTTGTCATATCATTGTATCACCAGGAAGTGCTATGTGTCTACTAGGCATAACTACCCCACGAATTCTTGTTAGAACGCGAAGAGTACTGAAACTGATGTGCTCGGATGTCGAAAACTCGTCCAAGAGGAAAGCATATCCCGAAACCATGGAGGAAAGGGCCATTATCGTGACTTATACCAAGGTCAGTATTCGTGCAAGCTCACGTCTCACCAGAGACTGAAGTAATGGCAGGTTCACTTACAGGCAGAGGAAGGTCTGTAGAATATAGCCAGTCCTGTCAGGATAGCAAGTAAGGCATCCATAGAAACAGTGCGGTACAAGTCCCATGGCAGCTTCTCAAGCGGCATCGGTATAAATGAGTTAAGAAACGAGAAGGCAAACACGAGAAAGAGAGTCCGGGCGTAGTAAAAGGAAGACTTATGGCAAGTCAGTCGGTGAATAGATGTCTGGAAGACTCTTACCTTTCGATGATGCCGCAGATATCCTCTTGTATCACTCAAGAATTTCCTGATGTCTGCATCATGGAAAAGAACGACCTTTTGGTACGTTTCAAGCCAGGAAACTTCTCTGGGCCGACCTACCAACCCCGAATGAGCTTTGAAGAGCAGGATCCATTGGAGAAGAAACTGCATTAAAACTATACTTCCGCTGAAGTACATCATGGGCGGGACACCAAAGTAACCGATCATAGTCTGTAGTTTCGGGACTACAGTCAGGCAAAGAAGGAATCTCAGAGGCAGCTCACGAGGCGAAAACCACTCGGGCAAAAGTGATAGAAGCATCGAAACCTCCCACCCATCAAGGATGCCAAATATGGACCAGATGTATGAATTCCGTTCATAGAGGCTCACTGGAAAAGCTAGATACGCTGGAAACAGTCAGTACGATGAATTCTCCAAGAAATCCGGAGTTATATCACGGGGCCACACTAACCTTTAACAAAGACAACGTACGGAAAGACTTGGTGTAGTGGAAGCTTTGCTAGAAGGATGAAGGCCAGTGCCTGAGAAACAACAAATAAGAAGTTGTAGCATACGTCGTCGTTTGGACGAAATGATTTCTCGGGATAAAAAGGGTTCAACCCAAACTATAATTAACGTTAGTCAGTTCCGAACAGTATCTGCATGACACCATCCCTCTAGCCGACTGGGCTTAATTTAAGAGATGGGAGTCGCTAAGACCTGGATCACTTACAAGGCACATCGCCAAAAAAAAGAAGCTCTCTTCGCATCCTGCTCGGTCGCTCTATAGATGCCACACGGTTGCTGTTTGCAGAAAGAGATGGTGTTGTCAGCGAGATTGATGGCCCCGAGTGCAAATCTTCCGCAGATCTTTGGGTATTGGTATGAGGAGCAAGCGACACGCAAACTCTATCGACCAAGCGCATATTCTCCAATTTCCAACGTTTTGACCTCAGGACGAATTGACGGTGATAACTTCGTGTTCTCCAGTCGTATGAGCATAGGATGATGGCTCTGTGCATGCCGTTCTCTTCCCCACAGACAAACATCGCAACTGGAGGCGTACTGCATTCAAGATGTGTGACACTCATTGCATACGTATCCACGAGAGTGAAAGTGGTAACTTGTGGCGCAGTCAACGAGTTCGTAACCCTAGGGTTGTTTGCTGGTGAGTCGGTGTAGCTTCCAGTGGTGTCGCGCTTCAAGTTTCCGTAATTGAAACCCCAGAGGTATTTCTCAATCTTTTCAACATGAACTTCGCCTTCGATTCCAATGAGTCGGGGAATCGTAGGTCGTCTAAGATGGCGTCGTGAGTTGATGATCCCCAGGGGAAGGAGCAGAGCAAACAGGCCGATAAGTGCAGGGTAGATCAGAAATAGTTTGGACTCTTGGAAAAGCAAGATGACGAAGAAGTAAAGCAGGATGGAGGTGGTAATGTAAGGCCCGTGATAAATGACCTTTTCGAATCTTCCTATGCCTTGGCCGAAGTAAGGTTCGGCGTCCATGTTGTCCCAGTGGATCGTCGTTCCAAAAACGCCCTCCAAAGAGACGGCCTCGGGTTCCAGGACGTCTCGTAGATTGCCAATAGGACGTATGTCCCTTAGTTCCACCCCCCATCTGTCTTCTAGTCGACACCAAGGTGATCCTTGGGGGATTGACAGGCAGATGAGACGGCTGAGAAAGGTCGCGCTATCATTTTCGAGAGCTAGTTTACCAAAAGCTTGTAACCCGGTATCGCGTTTGTCTACGTCTGGTCTCTGGCGACTCGGGAAAAGGCCCCTTGTAGCGTAAGCTATATCTCCTTGGCTGAACTGATCGATTTGTCTTGTGGAAAAGCAAGTCATGGCTGTTTCGATCAGTGCAGACGAGGTGAGAATGGCCGATCCTTCGAAGTGGTCAACGAGCTGTTTGACTGCCCAGGCATCTGTCCATGCCCTTTCGGCAAAGTTCCGCTTTGCGATCGCTTGGGGTTCGGAGGAATCACCAACGACGTACAGCCGAATTCGATACTCTCCAGGGCATAGCAGCAGTTCCGGTAAAGTCCAAAGTCGGGAGCCCGATTGCCGTAGCCAAGGGGTCACCATATCTGGATTGTACGGCAAAGAATCAAGGTCCTCACCGTTCATGAGAGCCTTGACCTTGTCGTTAGCCGTAGGCCCGATGGCAATGATCATGGAGTGTGCCACCCGTACGTAATCGTATATTTTGTAAACATCCTCGCTACTGCTGGTAGATTTCGCAACGACGTTGTCACGAACGCACTCAAAGTCTAGCCTGAAGGCTTGTTTGCCGACCTTCCTAGCAGCATCAGTGCCCACCTTGATGAGAGCGACTCGATATCTTTTCGCAACTTGTCTGTTGGCCTCTCTAGTTTTCTCTCTGGGTTCTGGGTAGTCATATTTGGCTATCTCCTCATCAGTTGAGACCCTAAAGTGCACACGCGTGTACGAAACGAAGACATATTCAACGTCTACGCCGTCTCCATTCTTTCTAAGATAATCCGACACGTTGACAGTCTCATAGTCATCAGTGCCATCGGGGGACTGTTTGAGGAAACAGAGATAGCTTGGGCGCAACAGTGCGGTGTCATCTCCAAGTTCGCCATCTGGTGGAGACGTCCCCGAGCTGCTTCCGCCCTGGTCAAGTCTGGCATTATCCTGAGGTCGCTGGCTAGTGCTGTTCGTCGCAGTATGTTCTGTGGTACGTTGGAAACTCGTCTCGTGGGTACGGATACCATTCTGGTCTGTGGGTTGATTGCATCGTCCAGTGTCCAAGTTTGGTGGAAGAAGACGCAGCTTATGCTGCTTCGTCATGTTCGAAATCACCCCATAGTTCTCAGACCAGCACACCTGGAGCATCACATGTAAGTAAGATAGCTACGAGGCGTTAGGTACAGGCTGTGTTAGCACGGGAAAGTCAAGCATTAACATACTAATAAGCATAAAAGTGGCCAAGAGATGATGAGCTTGAGAGCAGCAATGAAGAACGAATCTGTATCCGCGACAAACTCGCGGCTTCCGGGTTTGAATAGAGATTTTCCGATCCAGTTACAGACACGGACGGGAGGCGTGACCTGCGAAATTGGTTTACCCAGACGGGGTCCACCTCGGTGTGAAGGGTAGAAATTTAGGATCCTCTGCGCCTTGAAGTATGAGAGGGACCAGCTTGCCATCAGATGGACGCGGGCCACCACTCATGGTTGGGGTTGTCAAAGTCGGGCTCCATCAGCGGCATGATTCGTGCATAGCTGCGAGCGATGGACGGTGGGAAGTTGTGGAAAATTGTCGAGACTTCAAGAGCTTCGATGCGCTGTTGCTTGCTTATACATATTTCTAACTGACTTCAGGGGCAAGACTCCTCGGTTGCCTCATTGCGAACAACATAGCCACCGTGGTACGGGGTTGTGAGAACAAATGGCACACTTGAGGTAGGTCTACTTCTCTACCAACGTCAATTAATCTCTAGTAAATTCAAAGTCTACTCAAAGACCGTAAACTTCAAATAGTAGACTCCTCATATATTCATAGTCTTAATAAGACTTTTAAAACAATTTATTCCTCGATTTTACGTTATTGAATTGAGTGCTCGACTTTGACCTACTTGTAGGTGTGGCACTCTTTCTGACAATCGCGTCCGTGGCTGGTCTGAGACCGCCGCACAACACTGCCACAGTTGTGCGACTGACCAATACAGCACGGTCTAAGCCTTACTAAGGTAAATGCAGTTCTAATTATGAGCTTGCAGCCTTCTAAGTATCCGAACAGGTGGCTATTTTGCACTCATGGTAGTGCCTTCAACCGCTCGCAGGCTCTCAGCTTGGGTGCTATCCAATCAGCAAGCCAACCCATCCACCATCTTCTAGCAGTGTAGCAAATGGATTAAAGGAGGCCATGGAACATCTTTTACGGGTTAAATAACCCCGCGAAAACATAATCCTTCCCTGATAAGTTGACTGCCGCAGGTCTGGTGAAGCGAGTGGATTTCATCCTCTGGCGATTGACTGAGACCAACATGACAAACTTTAGACACTTGACTTTCAACAACCTCGGTTTCGTGGTGTAGTTGGTTATCACGTCAGTCTAACACACTGAAGGTCTCCGGTTCAAGTCCGGGCGAAATCATTTGTTTTTGCTTTCAGTGCATCTTTGATTTGGATGCGATTTTCATCATTTTTGACGTTGCCAGAGGCACTCCAATGTCGTTGGAGTAGTACCTGGCAAGGTTCAGCTACTCGTTGTTTTAACTTCTGTCATTCATCCTTTGTGTCAAGTCTCCAAAAAGCCACAACAAGCCATGTTCAACGTTGAAGAGTATCGTAATTATTCAGTTATTATTTTGGTATTGCTAGCTCAATCAACTAGGTACTAAGGTTCCGATGCAATCAATCCGCGCTCGTATTTTCTCGAAACAAAACCAAATCCCGGTCATTTTCACGTCCCTGGTCCTCATGCCGTCGTCTTCTTCGCATCATCACCAACGTCAGCTGTCTCCAGCTGGCCGGTCGCTGCCGCTGCTTGAGCTACCTCAGTCCCCACCGCCTCAGCTTCTGGAGCCGATTGACCCTCAACCGCTTCCTTGCCAGCAACCTCCGCTTCCGGATGCTGTTCGCTCTCAGTCTTCGCAGCCTCCTTCCCATCAGAAGCAGGCGCCTGGGAAGGCGTCGACTTTCTAAAAATGTTTACGCTCGGCAGCGACCAGCCCTTCTTCTTGCCGTCCTCGGCAACTGTCTCCGCAGGTTGGGTCTCAAGTTGGCCGGTGGCGGCTGCCGCTTGAGCAGTCTCGTTGCCGACGGCTTCGCTTGCAGTCTCTTGACCTTCCTTCTTGCCGTCGGGAACAGCCGAATCTGCCTTCGCAGCATCGCCTTCCGCCTTGGCGACATCCCCTCCATCGGTCGCCTTCTCGGCCTCTGGCTTGTCCCCGTCGGCCGGCGCTTGAGAGGGTGTTGACTTTCTGAAAATATTGACGCTCGGCAGCGATGCCTGGCCTAGAGAAGAGACAGAGGCAGGGACCTTGGGCATGTTCAGCATATTGGGCATCGCTGGCATACCCGGCATACCTGGCATACTGGGCATACCAGGAAGCCACCCCTTGACGCCCGTACCTGTCGATTGCGCGATGCGGAAGAGGTGCTGCATGTACGTCCGCTTCTCCTCTGTAGTCATGTTCTCAGGGTTCATATCGCCCACCAAATCTCCCTCACCATCGGCGGGGAGCGGCACGAGCGAGGCGGCGGCGGCAATGTCAATGGGCGACTCGTCGGGCATTTCGCCATCTGCCGACTTTGAACCCTCCTTCTCGTCGACCTTTTCAGCGAGCTTGTCATCTGACTTTTCTTCAGGTGCTTCGGTGTTGGAGATGGCCTTTTCCAGCGTCTCTTCGACCTCGGCGTCCTCCGCGACCTCTTCGGGCGGCGTCTCACGGAACTTGGGGTCGTCAACAACGGGCTCCTCGCTCTTGAACCACTCGAGCACCAGGTCAGCTGCCTGCTCAGTCATCATCTCGTATCCCTTGTGTTTATCCGCTTGGAACATGGCCATATGCGCCGCCACCTCGTCGTCGACCTCTGGCAGAACCTGCCGCGAGAAGAGGGACGAAGCAGGGTGGCTTTCCTCCGGAACGGCGCAGAACGTCCGCTCGGGGACAAAATAGCCACCCTGCCAGTACCCATTCTCGCCCAGCGACGCATAAAAGTCGTGAATCCCTACGCCCTTAAGTGCGCCCATCCGCCCGAGGCGGCGGTTGAGTTCCTTCTGCTTCATGAGCGCGCCAACGAAAGTGAAGTGGTCCGAGAGCCAGGCGAAGGACTGGCCGACGTTGCCGCGGTTGATGTAAGCTAGTCCCTGTCCGAGGGCATCGACACTCTGCTGATAGCCCTCCTTCACGGAGTTCTTGTTGAGCCCCTTTATGCCCTTGAGGATGGCCTCGCGGTTGACGTAAGCGGCGACGCCGCCGGCAGCGATGGCGCCTACGGTGCCTGTCTTCACGGCGACAAGCTGCCACGTCTTCCAGCCTGGGTTGCGGGAGGCGGTAGATGTCACGGCCGAGGTTGCGGCGCGGCGGGTGCCCAGGCGGGCGAGGGTCGAGGGTGCAGCGGCCGAGAGGGCTGTCATTACGTTGAAGACGCTGCTGACCTTTTGGTAGTTGGAGAAGCCGCCGTAGACGAACATGGAGCGGGCGAGGCCGTTGTAGGGGGTGTCGAAGGTGAGGATGCCCTGAATGAGGGGGAAGATTGGGTCGTCTTCTGATGGGTTGGACTGCGCTCGCTCATTGATGGCGAGGAACAGTGAATCTGCGGCGACGAATCCTCTGAAATGCTGTTAGCCTTTGGTCATGCAAAAGTGCAGATATCTCGACACTGCTTACCCCATAGAGTGAGCAACGAGAACGACTCCGACTTCTCTGTCTTTTGGTGGCCAGGGCTTCTCGACGTTGGCCTTTCTTACATCCATGACCCTCTCCTTGAGCCTACACAGTGTTAGGTTGCTGCAGGGTACAGGCAACTGCCAGCGATGAAGTGAACTAACCATGAGAGAAACGCCTCGGTGGCCTGCGCCAACTCGCCTTTGGTCTCATATTGAGGGTACACGATGGACTCGACCCAGTGGTCTGGAAGTTGCTTGGTGACTGATCGCTTTAAGTCCTAGATCACTAAGGGTCAGTACGGAAGTGATGGTCACAGGAAAGATGGCAGCCTTACTTACATCTGGAAAGTCGTGAAATGTGTTTTCATTCCCCTTGAAAGGTTTGTACTTGTTAGCTGCTTGCTGTACCGGCGCATCGATGGCTTGCTGTTGTTGACTACTCACTTTAAAGCCATGGATGAAACACAGAAGCAGTGTCCGAGGCATGATGAATCACTACTACATACAGTAGTAGAGAATCAGGAAAGGTTTAGATACGACTAGGTATTAGGGAAAGGTAATATCTGACAGAAAGAGGATGGAATTTGCTAGGTATTTCGTAGGTAACGGGTATCATGAAGGAAGAACATGGCCAAGATGAACGGCCGGTGCTCAAGGAGTAATATCCCGCATCTTCCCTCCCCCTCCCCCTCCTTCTCTCTCACACACACAACAGGCATACTCAATACACCTGATGAATGACCAACCAGACACTCCATGCAGAGCAGTGACGATTGACTGAGCGGTTCGTGCATGTGCAACGCCTTCCCAAGTGTTCCAGGCTTTTCCCAGCCACACCTTCTCACTGTGAAGCTGCAAAAGTTGCGTGGGCGCGTGGCGAGTCCGTCCTCGCCGTGAGCCAATGGCACTGAGCGCAAGTTCGGCCAAGACGTCACCGACGACGTCACGTTGAGTTTGGGAGTTTTGGGGAAGCGACGCACGGCACCTCGCACTTTTGGCGTCTGGGCCTCTCATCTCACTGCTCACTCACACACTCACACGCAATTTCTCAGCCACTCACTCACATTTTACTCACTCGTTCACTCTATTCAGCTCAGGTCTGGGCCACCTCACCCACATCAACTCACGCATCCCAGTCCTTGTCAAAATTGTCACTGCCAAATCATAACCCTGTGATAGATACTCACCTTCCATCTACCGCAAAGTGCGGCACGTCACATCAAAAGTCAAATAGACGAGCCCGATGCGGATCCGTCCAGTTGGGTGCCTCTCAATTGGATTGGCTGGTCCTCCTCCACGTGCGATCCAAGATCTTCAGCTCACGATCGCATCGATGCATGACCCCCTGGTCTGTCAAATTGAAGGATTTTCAAGATTTGATCGCATGGTATTTTTTGCTTATGATGGGCTCCAAGATTCTGGTTCTGATCTGAGCCATCCTTGTGATCCTACAGTATCGTCCTGTCACATCATTCCCATCCCCCACCCATCATCATCTCACTTCGCCGGGATGGTCTTATTCTTCAAGTACCCAAACGACAACGTGGGGTCGAACTTCCAAATCTGCGTCTCATTCGCTGCAGATCCATAATCCCACACCGTGTAAAAGTTCTTCAAGAATGGCGTCCCGATCAACACAAATCCAGACTGAGCGCCAGCCTCGAACGGAGGCCAGCACGCATCGTCCCGGTACGCGAAACCCGGTGTCGCCAACTGATCGCCCGGGATCTCAACCACTTGCGGGTACCGATAGTCTCCAAAGGAGAATTTGAAGGACCACGATGAGTTGAATTCGCTGCAGAGCGGGATGTGCTCGCCCTTGATGATCTTCGTGTAGTTCATACCAATGGACTCGTACACGGCCAGGTTCTGCTTCGTCGGCAGCGTGATGGACCCCGCGCCCGTATCGAAGACGACGCGCGCCTGGTCGAAATCCGTCTGCGTCTCAATGACGCTGCCGTTGCTCGTCGTCCGCGTGCCATTGACCTTGAGGATGGTGGACCGCCAGACGTCGTAGGTGCCGTCGACGCGGGTGATGGGGATCGTGACGAGTTCGCCGTCAACGTACTCGTCCTCGCGAGAGCCGCCGATAGTCAAGACGCCGTCGCCGGGAACGCCGTTCGTGTTATTGGCCTCGGTGCCGTAGTATATTCCGAACTTGGCGGCGTCGAGGTGGCCCTCCGACATGAGGGTCTCAACAACGGTGTTTGCGCCACCGTCGATGATGGAGCTGAAGCCTAGGCCCATGAAGCCGTCGGCTGCGAGCGCGGCCCAGTTGCTCTCGTTTGCGGCGATGAAGGACTGGTCCCAGGAGAAGTTGCCGACGATCCATTTCTCGGCGACCGTGGGGCCGGAGACATCGCCTCCGAGGTAGGGGATCACGGCGCTTTCGCCGGTGTAGTGGCCGGTGGTTGAGGCATTGATGCTATAGCCGGTTCGATCATATCTGTCATTGAATGTCAGTGGCCTTGTAGGATCGCCGTGCTCGAGGGTATGGTTCGAGAGAAACGTACCCGCTCACGTTGTTGCACTTTCCCCTGGAGAGGCATTGGCTATCGGTCGCCCATGAAGACGAGCTGCCCGTGTCAAATTGGAGACGGAACGTCTCTGCTGGAGTTCCGATGCCAAACTCGACGACATTCTGTGATGCCTGTTGTCAGTGACTTTTCTTGTTCCCCAGGCCTGAGACTCTAGGGGCCCAGGTGAAACTCACGTAGCCATTGTCGACAATGATGGGCAGATCAAGCACAGCCGCAGTCGCGACGGACGCGACCGCCGCCGCCGAGAAGAAACGAGTGACGGGTGACATGTTTTAACGGATCTCAAACTGACGTATCCAAACGATTGACAGAACGTGCAGCAAGAAAGGAGAGATCAAATGAACGGCCCGACGCGACGGATGTGTCATTTTTAAAGAGAGAGCTTGTTTACTTGATGTGCCCATCGTCCCACATTATGGCGATCATTTGCAACCTCGTAAAGGGCGGATGCTGCAGGGAGCCTTAGTGGGGAAGGTCAATCTCGACAATGCCGGGATTCCCTCCAGACTTTCACGGAGTTCAGTGGGTGACAGAACAGGATGCCACCCAGCGCACGCGCGGCCCCTTCATATGACCACCAGCATTGTTGTCATTGCCATAATGCGCTTTCTTGAGTATATCTCTAAGGAACATACTCAAGAAAACAGTAAGAATAGTGACCATAGCGAAAGGTAGCAGCATCAGTAGCAGCAGCAGTAGTGGAAGCAGTGATAGCAGCCATCTTACTGCCGGCCAACCCGCTCGACGTGGGGTGGTCTGCTGCTATTTTCGTCTTTGGTCGTATTGCTCCGCCGCCGTCCGCCTTTAACCCAATTTCCCGGGGCCGTTTTCTATACCGGCGTGGCTGGCGTGGTCCTAAGTCTCAAGATCTCGGCGTGGTGAAAGCACATCACGAGAAGATCGACAGCTGGCCGAACACGGGGAGACACATGTTTGAATCTTAGCCTTCAAACTCGAGCTTCTTTCTTCTTCTTCAGCCCTACCTCGAACGATAGATAACGGCTGGGCCTCAGTTGGGAGCTGAGTCGAATGACTCGTAGCTATGGTTCATCCCGTTTGCGTTTGCTACCCTGGCAGCCCCCGTCATGCATCTTCTCACTCTGTTAGCCTTTGCAGCCCATTTATTTGGCTCTTCCAGGGTGCGACGCCAGGAGCATAAGGCGACTGATTTGCGAGACCGAGCGCAAACCATCAAGCTTTCTTCGACATGATCATGATCAATTGAATGTCTTCGAGGCTTTACAGCTTTCGATTGTTGTTTGTACGAGGTTCTCTTCACATAGTCTTAGATTAGACTACTATTTACACTAAAGTCTCGCCACTTCATTGCGTCTTGACAACAACTTCAACCCCCTCGAGGCCCGCACCAGAAGCCGTCACGGTAATATCTCCCGCAACACCCTCCTCATACTTCACAATAGCCAACACAAGACCGCTATACGCCTTGCGCACCAACGACGGGAACGCAACCAAGTCCGCCGGGTCACCATTATCAGTCGCAACAATCTTGCCAGGCCCGCTGACGGAGAAGGTAATTTCATCATCTGCAAACCGCACTACATCGCCGTTCGCATCCAGCACCTCGACAGTCACGAACGACAGATCCACGCCGTCGGCAGCGATCGTCGTACGGTCGGCCGACGCGCGAAGCTTCGCGGCCGCACCGACAGTACGCACCGTCGTCTCGGCCCAGTCTGCGCCGTCTTTATACGTCGCCACCCGGATCTCGCCGGGCTCGTACACAACGTCGTCCCATCGGAAGCGGTACGTCAGCTCCGCGCGCGTCTGTCTGCCCTGCGAGACCCCGTTGACGAACAACTCGGCCTCGTCAGCCGATGTAAACACATGCACGGGAGTAACCTCGCCAACGCGGTCCTCGGGCCAGTTCCAGTGCGGCAGCACATGCGCAAACTTGACATCCGGCCTCCAACGCGCCTGGTACAAAAAGAAGCGGTCCTTTTTGAAGCCCGCAAGGTCAATGATGCCAGAGTATGAGCTGCGCGCCGTGTAGTAAGGCGTCGGCTCGCCGAGGTAATCCCAGCCCGTCCAGACGAACTCGCCCGCGACAAAGGGGTGCGTGTCCTGCGCCTCGAAGACTTTGTCGGGCGAGGAACCAAAGTTGGCAGAGTAGAGCTCGTACGCGCTGACCTGCTGCGAAGTGGAGTTTCCACCCGATGTGTCGTTTACGGGGGCGCCGGTGTCACCCGTCACGGGGAACATGTAAGTCCCACGCGTGCTCAGTGCTGAGGCCGTCTCGCTGCTGAGGATCATCTTGTCGGGGAAGGCCTCGTGGAAGTCGGCGTACAGTGGGTGCGTTCTCACGCCGGGGAGGAAGGAGTAGTTTGGCGTGTCGCGGATGCCTTCGCCCTGGTAGTTCAAGCTGAGGACGTCCATGGCAGTAGGGAAGGACATGTTTGGCTTGGCAAAGTTCATGGACGCGGTAGATGGCCGGGTAGGATCCTCTTCGCCGACGATGCCGTGCAGTTCGAGCGCGGGGACGGTGCCTGGGTCGCCAATCTGCTGCTCCGAGACTTCGTTGCCGAAACTCCACATGACGACGGAGGCGTGGTTGCGATCGCGGCGCATCATGGCACGCAGATCGGCCTCGTGCCAGTCTTCAAAGATGAGGTGGAAGTCGTTTGCCGTCTTGTTGCGGTACCACGAGTCAAACACCTCGTCCATAACCAGGAATCCACGGCTGTCCGTGAGCTCCAGGAGTTCGGGGGCGGGAGGGTTGTGGGACATGCGGATGGCGTTGCAACCGAGCTCCTCGAGGACCTCGAGCTGACGCTCAGCGGCACGGGTGTTGAAGGCTGCGCCGATTGCGCCGAGGTCGTGGTGGTTGTTTACGCCTTGGATGAGAACGTGTTCGCCGTTGACGAGGAGGCCGCGGTTCGCGTCGTAGGTTACGGTGCGGATGCCGAAGCGGGTTTCGTAGGTGTCGACGACGGCGCCGGCGAGAGTGACTGTTGTTACGGCGACGTAGCGGTTCGGTTTCTGGGTCGGTGGCGGGCCCCAGAGCAGGGGGGATGTGACGGTTGTTGAGCCGTTGACTTGGGCTTTGCTGCCCGCCGTGGCGGATGTTGATGAGCTGGTGAGTTCGGCGACCTTGGCTCCCGGCTTGTCTGTGGAAGAGTCGAGGAGGTGGATCTCGGTTGAGATTTCAACGTCCTGGTCGGAGTCGCCCTTGTTCTCGATCTCGACTACTAAGTCTACGGTAGCGGATTCGGAGGAGACGTCCTTTGTGATGATGTAGGTGCCCCATTGCGCAACGTGGACAGGGTTGACCTTGGTCAGCCACACATTGCGGTAGATGCCACCTCCAGGATACCAGCGTGCCGAGTCTGGAGGGTTGTCTAGTCGGATGGCAAGAACGTTGTCTTGTCCACTCTTGAGGTGCGCCGTGAGGTCGAGGCGGAACGAGTTGTACGGGTAAGGCCAGCCACCGACCAGGTAACCATTGAGCCAAACCATCGCATATGACATGGCGCCATCCACGTCGAGGAAGATAGCCTTGCCCTCATCCTCCGGGGTGACCGTCAACGAGCGACGGTACCAACCCACGCCATGCACAGGCAAGCGGCCCATCCCACCTCCAATAATGGGGTTCTCCTCGGTATAAAACGGGCCCGCGATAGCCCAGTCGTGAGGCAGGTTGACACTCTCCCACGAACCATCGTCAAAGCTCGCCGAGGCGTACGAGACATTGCGCGAGGGCTCGCTGCCGGGGCGCTCGTAGTGCTTGGCCGGGTCATTGATGAAGTCGTTTGCCGAGGGCAGGATCCAGGGCTTCAGGGCAAAGGTGTCGGTGAGGCTCTCGAGGTCCGGGCGCTGGTCGTAGATCAGGCCATCTAGGTTGAACTCGGAGCGCCAGAAGCGCCATCCCTTGTTGATGCTGACGCGCTCGCGGCCGCCGGTGGTCGGTGTGGGTGTGTTCTGCCGGGGCTGGAGGGTGAGGGCGTTCGCGGGGGTGAGGATGAGCAACAGCAGGCTCAGGAGAGTCAGCCCGAAGGCTCGCGTCGGTAACGAGGACCGCCGTGAAGTCGTCATCATCTTGACGGGTGATTCTGACGTGACTGTGACATTGCCATACGAGCATCACGCGCTCACCACTGAGTCTTATATGGCGGGCCATGATGTGGTCTTCACGTTCGTATCCCGTCGGCCAGGCTAGGAAACTTTTCCTTGACGTATTTCCGCCCCATCGTTCGGCGACGGATTCCTAGAAGACTCCACGAAGAGACCGCGAACCCCTCGCACCAGGTCATCATCCCTCGGCTTTGCACGACTATTGTTGATGGGGAATCACCGAACCATGGGGTCCAATTTCGGGTGAAAAGACTCCAGGCATTCCGCACCCCGCGTTTCTCCGCACGGTAGTACGACGGTACAGGGGCCCGGGGCGCTCATAGACGGCAATTCTACGATGCATTTAGCCTGAATCTTTGCTTTGATGTGGTCATTGGACCGCCTGTGATCACTATGAGGGGCACATTTCTTGGAGTTGGCTGATCCCCTAGGCAAAAGTTAGTTAAGAAACTCTTGGGGAGTTGGAGATCGCCTCTGTAGTCAGTCTTTCCCCCCACCTTCCGGGTCTTGACAGGATCAAGGCAGTGTTGCGTGCTGGCTTTGCCGGTTGAATACTTCCTCGCGTGACAAGAGACAAGAGGAAGGATTTCCGCCATATTGGTTCGATGGAGCAACAGACTCGAGTAGCGCGTCTTGAAAAGCTGAGCACTTAATTAATCCTTACAGCCGTCATGCGCGAAGACTACATGTATTTCCCGATGCCTATCCGCAGCTTTGTAGCAAAAGGCACAGCGATGAACATTGAAGTCTTTATAATCCGCAAAGTTGTCAAAGTGACAAGATCAACTCATCGATTGCGTGAAGGCAAATGCAAGAATACAATCACTTCGTCAGATACAAGATACCAAATGCAGGAGATAACAATGCAAGTATTCAGGGCATAAACCTACCCCAAAATCTCACTCGCATCACCCCGTGCAAGGCCGACTCCCTAGGCCCATACCTGTAGAGCGCGCCGTCATTTTGACTACAGCGGACGTGAGTGAAATTTGCCCTGAACATCGCATGTCAGACTTCCATCATTCTAAATGTTCGATTCAGAACGTCTGCAAATCTTGGAGCACCGGTCGAGATGGAACCCAGAGAAAGGGAGCATAGGTTACATTGAGGCATGGGACGACGGTAAGTTTCTTCGCTTCGGCGAATCACAAGCCCAAACCGCCGGCCAGCGCTGAACTCCACACCATAGGCCTTTCCAACAATGTCTACCTAAAGTCTGGATTTTTGGAAGATTCCGAGGTGGCAGAATGGCTTCATCAAACGGGTAGATTCGTGCCTCCAGACTGGCAGCGTGAGGGAACCGCGCGAGTCCGGCTGCTGCTCTGTGAACGCATCGAATTCCGGCCTCTATGGTTTGCCATGAGCCGTGAATCATTCCTGCAAGTGGAAGAAACGCTCGGGCTGCCCTCTACATCTTTGGCGATATTGGCTTGGGCCGGTGGGAAGCAACACTCTCATCTGACCTTCACGCAAGATAAGGGCGTTCGGTCGTTGGAGTCACTCGGTGAGTGTGAACCATGGTCGACGCCCACACACGAGCAATGAGAACATTGGACTGAAACTGAATTCGGCAGTTCTCACTATGAAGCAACCTCAAATGTTCCAACTCGGCAATCTGGGCATGGTAATGTCTCACCACTTCGAGACCAGCTGAACGAGACAACCGTGGTAATCGAAAAGACTCTCGGCGTGACTCAGACCGGTCGGCTGGTGAAAAGGACCGTCGAAGACATCCGCATCACCACAAACATGAACCGCATGATCACGGACGAGAAGGCGCGGATTAATACGACGGCGCTCCTGAGCACCACACTCGAGGATGTTGTGAACATGTTGAGGACGCTAGAGTGGGACGAAGAATATATCAAGTTCCTCCTCCGGGTTAACGAGGACGTCAGGAGGCATCACGGCGGAGTGTCGTCAGAGGCGGACCTGGAGCTTTGTGGCCTCATTGAGCTACTCGAAGCCGAGAGACGGTCTATTGTGTCGTTCACGAGCACTATGAGGTCTAGGCTGGACATCCAGTTCAACGTGGTAAGGAATCTTGAGGGACATCGATGTGGATTGAGAAGCAAGCAACTCCATGGCGCTAACAAGTCTGCAATCCCAGCTCTACAACTTCATCGCACAGGGGGGAAACAATCTCAACATGCAAATCGCGGCGAATGCTGGACTAGACAGCACAGCTATGAAGCTAATGGCATTGGTGACGATGCTTTTCCTTTCTCCGACTGTTGGTATACACGTCAGCAGGGCAACCGTACGGTTGGAACGAAGTGTCAATAATGGTCTATTATTGCTGCGTCTGGAGGTGGAAGGAGGAGATTGTGGGCAGAGCCCACGATCTCCCAGAAGTGGTATGTAAGTGAAAGGGCCGTTTGTAAGTGCCCATACCGCCTTCCAGATCCATCTTTTCTGCCGACTGCTCAGAGATCCAACACCGACCTTTGTAGCTGTAAGTTTCAACACTTGAGTGCTCTGGCCTACAATTTCATAAAGCAGCGCTCACACTGACCAATGCACCCTCGGCAGAGAATTTTCAGTATGTCAATGTTCAACTGGCAAGTCTCAAACTCATCAGACTCAACCGGCGGCGGCGAGCCCACAGTTGTGCCGCAGTTTTGGATCTACTGGGCCGTCAGCCTACCTTTGACCGTTGCCATCGTGATCGGCTGGCCAGTGTGGTGGCATTTCCAGAAGTCTTACTATGAGACCAAGTTTTTGAGATCAGAGAAGGAAAACGTAGTCTTCGAAGACAAGCGACACGAGAACGCCCATGGCCCAAGGAGACGACGACCACGTCAGGGAGTATGACGATTTATACTATTTGGGCATTTAGGAGAAATGTGCTATTTCATCAAGTCTGGTATCCACGATCGTAAGCGCGCATTCGTATTCGTAAAACTTGTTGAGTCGCGCGTATCGCTCTCATGTTCGGATCGGCAGAAGGAGTTGGCACGCCAGATCTCAGATACGCTCGATACGCTCGCTACGCAGGGCCATTTTCTGGTATGGCCTATGATCACCGTCGACACCTTTTTGAAATTGTTACACTTTTGAGTAAGCATAAATCGTAGAATATTCCCCAGACTTTTGTTGAATCGTGACATGTATTTTCTAACTCTCGGCTTGAATCCCCGCCATCTCGGCCTCGGCTTGCATTGGCGGTTTCCAAAGACCATCTACAAATGTGGGGGCTTGTTCCGACGTTGATACCGGTGGCCGGATCGAGAGCCGACTTGAGTCACATCCCAAAGTCCCTAGATAGCAAACGCAGATATAACATGGCTAGTTTTTCCCTTGGCTTGGTTGGATTTCTCATGATCCATCCCATACATCATTCACTTTGCGTCGTACGTTCAATTTTAGGAGATACACCTTCTACTTACTGTGGAACTCGTCATTCGAAAGGCGCAACTCCAAGCGGCAATTGATACAGTTTTACCCACCCGCACTCCAACATCAACAGCTTCCTGACACACATACCTTGAACATGACCTCAATCAGCGCCGAAATGCGGAACCGCCGCTGGACGAGAGACTCATACCTCATCTCGACAGATGCATCCCTCATCTCAGTGGCCCAACTCAACGCTGCATTCGCCTCGGAAGCCGTCTACTGGACCAAAGCCACACCGGAACCCTTCTTGAAAGAAATGCTGCAAAACTCCCTCTGCTTCGGCCTCTACGACACCACCACTTCTCAACAAGAACCCAGCAGCAGCAGCGGCGGCGGCACAGCTCAAGAAAACGCCGCCGAGTCGAAGGAATACCATCGTTTAGTCGGCTTCGCCCGTCTTGTCACCGACTTTGTGTCCTTCGCCTACACCACAGACGTCTGGGTCGATCCCACAATGCAGGCCAACGGCCTGGGAAGATGGCTAGTGGGATGCGTGCAGGAGACGCTCGAGCCGATGCCGTACTTGAGAAAGAGCATTCTTGCCACCGATAGCTGGGATAAATCTGTGCCCTTTTACGAGAAGATGATGAAGATGAGCGTCATTGGCGGGCAACCTGGAGGCCAGGCGATCATGCAGATGAAGGGGAAGGGGGCTCCGGGGTATACGGAAAAGACTAGTTGAATCTTTCTTGCTACAAGTCATAGATATATGTGTCCAAGGTTAGATTTATTTACACGCTGATTTTCTAAAAGACATCTTTACGCCAGACGAGATCTCTGCGCAAGAACACCGTCCTTCGAATGAGCAGGTTGCCATCTGGATCCTTTTCCGGGAACCCGTAAAAGTTGTTGATGGTGTGGATCAGTCTATAGCCTCTCCTTTCATACCACGCATGCGTCGGTGTCTACATGTAATGTAGGTGAAACCACCATGTCAGTCTTTGACAAGCGTAATGATTTTGAAGGAGGAAAAGTCAACCCACCGGTGGAAGTTTGCCCTGCGCCACAACCATGGACTCTTTTCTCAATTGGTCCTCTTTGGAGACCGTGTCCAACATGAGCGTCTTTGCGCATAGTGGCTCGCTAGTGGCCATGCTCTCAACCAAGTCCATGGCGGCCCTGGCGATGCCGCAGCTCTGCAGTGCAAAAGACACGTAGAGGCTCTTGATCCAGTAGACGTGGTCCTTAGGGATCGGGAGGTTGAGGGGCGCCGCGGCGGGGTTGTCGATGTCGAGTGAGATGTGGCCGACGGGGTGAAAGGATGCTCCTGTCGGGGTTCGCGGGGCGGCGCTGATGGAGTCTGCTGTGTCTAGAATGAGGTCTTTTTCCTGTGACAGATGTGAGCATTGATGCACGGGAGAGGGGAAGAGCTCTGGTAAATGGGTTTTGAGGGGACTAACTTTTGTGTAATCGGCGAGGTGCTTTGCGAGTCTTGCGTCTCGCTCCGGATCCTCATCCGCGAGTACCTATGAGCGCGGTTAGTAGATGCACCAGACTGCTTAGGAATATGACGCTTGAAAGGGGATTGAGAAGAGTTGCGCCAAGCTCAACGATTCTCAGTATTCGGTGACTCGCATCGCATCCCCTTGGTGTCGGTTCAGACTTACGAGCCAGTGGATGCACTTAAATCCGGTTCGCTGGTTCTCTTGCCATTGAGGCACCAGGTCCGAGGCCCAACCGCATGCTATTCTCTGATCTACCATCCTTGTGAAGTGGTCCGGGGAGTTGGGATCCCAGGGGATCAATTCGACTTTGGCTCTCGACATTGTGGTGACACTGCCTCTTTTCGTCCTAATTGGTCGGTGAAGTTTCGTCCGAGTTGAAGGTGAGAAAGAAGGAAAAGTTGGCCAGTCCTACTATCAGACTAAATGAGGGAATTGGGGCTTGGCTTTGAGTTAAGAAAGTGCGCTTTGAAGGAATGCCGTGACGGTGAGTCATTATTTACATGTAGCCTAATTCCTCCCGGATTGTCAGACTGTCGCTCTTAAATGGATGTGTTCGGTCTCGGCCGGTCGGCGGGTCTGGAGAACAGACTCGGCCGGCTTCTTGGAACCTTCTTCGGCTTCGGTCACTTGGAAACACTCTAGGAACTTGGGAAGGATACTCGAGCCGACAAGTTATTACATTAGCGTTTGTGGGGCGTGTAATGAGACAATCATCCCGCGCTGGTATGTATGTACGGAGTAGAGAAAGACCGTAATAATCAGCTCAATACCAGTACTCCTCGGGCGCTCGTAAACCGTTCTGGGAATACTCTCGAAGCAGTCAGACAGGCAGTGTATCACTCAGATCGAGAGGTAAGACGATTGGTAAGCTTCCCAAACCCGGAGACGGGCGTTATCTTCATGCAAGATAATGTCACTGGTGCTTACATGTACCGACAAACCATTGTCTTAGCCAAAGGTCAATTTTAGAGATGCTCGTAATAATGTGTTTGATTATCTTGTTGGATCCTTGTCGCTGCCCAAAAACAAAGTAGCCACAACTAAACGCCCCCGTCCATTCTATCCGATCATGCAAATGTTATGCTACAGTCTACTATGAGGGCATCACCCACGAACCGTTCGAGAACCACGTCCCGGCCTGTGTATAGTCTAACGTCACACCATCCTTCATGTATGCAAATCTAAAATACTCGGGAAGCACCATCTTGGCCTTCCTCAGCCACACAAACTCGTTGTCGTCGGGGCCATCGGCAAAGTAATATCGGAACCGCTCGACATCGTTGACCAGGGCGCTAATACCGTCAAAGTTGGTGGCGATGTTTGGCGGCACAAGCCAGCTAAAGGTTACACTGGGCTCAAAAGAGCCTTTGGAGAAGATCGGCTTCGCAATCTGCGGGAGCAGTGAGTTGAAGGGGCCGTCCTCGCGCAGCTCATCGGGCGTCTGTAGGACCGAGTCGAAGCCCCAGCGAGCGATGCCGTTGACGAAGAGACCCAGCAACATCCCTTGGTAGAAGAGAGATGTCCGCGTCTGCATGCTGGTGCCAGGGAGCAGGCAGAACGCCATGATGTAGTGGTGCACGCGTAGGTCGACGCCGGGAATGGAGACGCCGACGATGACGGCAGCCAGGAAAAGCGCGTACAGCGCCAAGAATCGGGGTAGTCTACCCTCAAGCCAGAAGAAGTACACCTGCTTGGCCATGACGAAGGTCAGAATGATCAAGATGAGAGCCAGCGCGGGCTTGGCGCCGGGCTGGTGCTCAATGTCGTGTGCCGTGAGGCGCTGGATCGGCATCCATCCGAAGGTGTAGTTTGACAGCGCGCCAAACCAGAACCCTCCCAACCAGAGCGCCGTCTTCTCGAACTGTGCCCTCAGGTCCATGAGGGTTCGTCTGACGCAAAGCCGGTAGAGCACGGCGGCGCAAAAGAGTGCCGGGAGCAGGCGGCCAGTGAACTTGGAGATGCGATCCGGTAAGACGGAGGCAGCGTGCCGCGATGTGGTAGGCGGATCGGAGCCGAAGCTGACATGGGCAAAAATGCCGACAAAGGAGACGAAGAACTGGCAAGCGGGGCTCGTCGTGAAGAGGGAGAAGATAGAAGTGAAGAACATGGATGTCGGAAAAAGAGGTTGGCGAGGATCACGCTTGCCGCACTGGAGGGTCGGGTCTGCGGTGAGGTTGTACGACAGCGGGAAGTACGAGTCAAAGGGGACTGTCTCGATGCCGTTCTTGGTCGTGCTATTGAACTCTTCATGCTGGCCGAGGCGATGGAGACGACCGCAGCCTCCGCTGAGGTCCGTCACGATGCCTGCGTGGATCGCCGAGGCGCAGATCATGGAGTCGCCGCGGTAGATCTCATCGCCTACGACCAACGGCTGGTAGACGATCTCCCGGTCACCGACGGCATGCGGGTTCAAGAGCTTGTGAGCCATGCAGTTCGCCGGACACCTGAAGGAAAACGAAGAATTCGTGAAGGGCCGGCAGTCGGCGCCGTCGAGGCCGCACCCGTTCTTGAAGCGCCAGAGGGTGTCGCCGCAGTCGAGGTTGATGACGTCCCTACCGAGCTCATCCCTGATCGCCCGGGACGACGCGAGGGGAATGGAGAAAGCAACGGCCCACAGCGCCAGGAACACGGCGACGACAACGGCCTTCCGGCGTGTAGTCGGCGCCACGAGGTCCAGCAGGCGCGCCGGCGCTTCCTGGACGGCAGGCAGGAAGGGCCGGATGGTGTGTACACGCGGCGGCTGGGGCCCGGCGAGGCAGTGCCGCTTGTGGGGGACGTGAGGGCCGAACTTTTGCTGCGAGAGCAGTGAGGGCGTGCTGGATGTGCTCTCCTCGAGCTCGTAGCCTTCTTCTCCTTCGGCTAGGAACTGGGCCTCCTCGTCGGCGCTCCGGCGCGACGGCGCGTCAAAGTCGTCGTCCATGTCCTTGAACGGGCGGTCCCCGCGTCGGGGACCATCGCCGGCGCCCATTCTGATTCAACCTTCACCGATCCCTCCCTTAGCCCTCTCGCCTCGTTTCTCCCCTTCAACTTCGAGGGCGCGTTCTCTCAGAGATTAGGCGTTTACCGAGTCAGTTCATAAGTACATGTGAGTACGTATGTGCGAGGGAGTGAGTGAAGTAAAGGGTTCCGAATTGAAAGTCGATAGAGAGTTGCTGACAGATGACGAGTGAGGAAAAGTAAGGCTGTGTTTTTTTCCCTCTCAGCTCTCAGGGGGTGGGAAGATCCCGAACAGGCAGCAAAGAAACAAAACAAGACAAAGTGACGGCCGGCGCTTAACGGAGCACAGGCGACGTGGTCGAACTTTAGACTTTCAAGAACCACAAAGAGAAAAAAGCCGCCATCAACGAACGCCTCCCAAATCATAAAATGGGACACCCAAAAGCCTCAATAGGAGCTTCTTCAAGGGTGGAAATTAGTACGGTGATCGGAAGGATCGGAGGGGCGCGCTATGCTCAGGAGAGGGAGCGGCCGTGTTTGCTGTCCCCTCCAATGCCACGCTTTTCGAGTTCCTCGCCTCGCTCTGCCGCTTTTCCAGTCCTTTGCCTCCTCTGCGACACGAGCGTCAAAGCTTCTTTTTCTCTTGAGGGAGACGAGACGCCAAACTGAGACAAATAGTGGAGATGTTTCCAGGGATCTGCTGCGGTTAATCGGCGCCGTCGGGGTGCGCTTCCTCTCGTTCCCCTGCTGCCATGTTTTCCCTTTGGACCATTGAGATTCCATCCTTTGATAAGCGAACAACTGCCAACTCCTAGACTCTTTTACTGGTTCACAAGTCTCTTCAGCAATCCAGATGACTCTCAAGTCTTCCAAGGACAGGAGGAGAGAGCTTTCAATCGTTTTCGGCTGGGTTTTCCGAAGCCAGTAACCTGAATCTGGCTTACTCAATCTGAAACTAACAAGGGGCGCCTTGGCCAGGGTCTCACAGGGCAAATTTTAGCTCAAGATGAGACTAATATAGCTATCGATACGAATCGGCGGTGAGTCGGGGTAGGAAAATCAAATCAACCCAAAGCAAACGAGGCCAAATCTCGGCCTGAGAACCCAAACATCGCTCTCATCTTGGAACTTTCAGAGTGACATTGATGGCGAATATGACTGAAGACCGAGCCTCACTTCAGAGGCTGAAGCCTTAAACCAAAAGAACGGATGGCCCCGAAGCACCGACGAAGCGTTGCTACCGTGGCTTCTAGCGCGCATTCCATCAAAGTCAAATCTCCAAATGACATCAATTGACTTTAAATCTGCATCAAAAATTGTTTGAGTGGCAGAATCACTTCGTCGACGACTAGATTGGCATGACGCAGCCCGGGTAACACAAAGTTATGTCCCATTTCAGACACGTTCACATGCTACGGGTACGCATCCCGCGTTCATGGTAGATATTAACGTGACAACACCCTCAGGTCCAGTTTCCTTAGGTTGCCCTATGAAATATCACTGCTTTTCAATAGCTGTGATGAAGATTCAGTCGCAAGTCCGGCTGTCTCTGCAAAGTGGGCATAAGGCAGGGGACTTCCTGTCTGGTCGATCAGCTGGGGTAAATCGCATCATGTGCTCGAAACTGCTACTATCCCTCCGGCCAAGGGACCGAGAATTCCTACTTTAGGCTACTTAGATTTCACAGGTATACTCCATCGTCAGATCAACCCGGGGAACGCCCTCAAATCCAGCCGGAACCGCGTACGACACATTATAATACCAGTGGTTCCTCAACTGTTGCCCGTAAGAAATCGGCAACTTGTCCAACCCCGGCGCCGAAACATTGACGCTCAGGCACGGCAGTTCCTCCAACCCGGTAATCGTCTTGCCACCCAGCGTCCACGAAGGCGGAATCCCAGATAGCGCGAACGTGAAAATATCGGACCCTTCCTGCGTGCTGTTCGGGTATGACACGCTGAGGGACCTCTCTCCCGCAACGGCCGATATAGTCGAAGCGGAAGGATACAGCAAGAAAAACCCGATGTACGGGTACGGCGTGTGCGACGGGTCCGAAGCCCAGTGCACGATCGCCGGCACGAACTGATCCCCGCGGTTCTTGGTCTCCGCGAGCTCCTGTCCACCTATCATGAGCGGCGCGCTAACCCAGGACGTCGTCGTGCGCGTGGCGTCCGAATCCAGCTCCTCCTTGACCTCACGCGTGATGCTGCGCTCGCCGGCCCAGGGACCCTTCGCCTCGAGGGCCGCCGCGGTGCCGTTGGAGATGTGCCGGGCCACAGTATCAGAAACCAGTGCAATCGCCGCGCCCTGTGCCGCGTCAAAAAGTAAATCGCCCTCGCCCTTGGGCGGCTGGGGCCCGTACTCGCGCCCGAAGACGGCCCACCAGTACATGGGCAGAATGGACGAGTGCTTGGTCATGTCGCGGGTGTAAGCGCGGTCATAAGGGCCGACGAGATTGCCAAGGTAGGGGTTGTAGTGCGCTGCAATGTCATCCCATAGCTTCGTGAGGATGTACTCGGCGTTCTTTGTCAGGGTCGCGTTGCGCGGGCCGTAGGCGATGTTGGCGGCCAGGGCCCAGACGTCCATGCCATAGTAGTTCGGAGCGTTGTACTCGCCGAGGGTATTTGAGCCGTTGGACTTGAAGAGCTCCAGCAGCTGGGTTCCTTGGGTATTTGCGAAGTTGGTCAAGGTTGCGTTGCGGCGGCGGGCGCCGATCCAGCCGACCGTGAGGGCGCGCATTAGGCCTGGGTTGGAGTATCCGAGAATGAGGTTATCGCCTTCGGGATAGCTGCCGTTGCGTCTCATTGCCCCGATGGCTTGAATCTCGAGAGCATCTTCGATCTTCTTGACTAGGTCTGCGCCGAGGAGGTCGGAGTAGAGTTCGACGTCTTGTACTAGCTGAGTTCTGGGTCGCGTAAGTAAGCGTTCATGTGCACGCCGGCACCCGTCCGAGTGCTTAAAAACAAATCTCTCCAAGTTTCGATGTACTCACCCTATGAATTCTCTCCAGTTAGGGTCGTAGGTGGTCTAAATCTCCGGTCAGCTGACTTTGTTGACAACCTCTGCCTTTGCACTAAGACGATGCTCACATAGATCTTGGGAGGGTACAGCTCAGAGTCTGGGGTCGGATCCGGCTCATCGGGCGACAGCTTGAAAGTGCCATACCATGCCGACTCATAGTCCGAGGTCATTTGGCTCGCCAGGCTGCATCGCAGACCACAGATCAGCACTCTCGAACCTTCTTCGCATCATCGATCCAACCGACTTACATGATCTCAATCGCCGCCTTTGCGTTCTCCACGTCGTCGCCCTCGTTGCGATGGAGCAGACCCGCCGTGTACCAAGCTGTGAAGCGGACGGACCACGGACCCTTGTCTTGGTACCAAATAAGGTTGTACGAGTCGTCCCATCTGGAGTCCTGGACCCCCATAGAGAAGTCGAATAGATTTTGGGCATCTAGACCGTAGTGTAAGTCAATCCGGACTACCTACTTGGCATTTTAGATCTCTATGGTTTTCTTACTTGTGGAAAGCTTTGGCTTGCTGGTCGCGGCGGACCCCAGCGTTGCGCCAGAGGCTACAAGCAAAGCAGCTCCTGTCTTGAGATGCATCGTGCGTGTGGGAATGCGAGCAGAGACACTGAGCAAAGTCGGAAAACGCTTTCCAACCAGACTCAACCACCTCCCTGCCGTCTCATGCCTGCTACTATATACCAGAAAAGACCTCCAACAATCACAAGAGTGGATATCGCAGCATGTCCACGAGAAAATCGATCAATTATTCCGTTCACACACGAGCATCGTTAACATCCTTAGCCGGGGGTAGATCACCATTGACCAAGAAACACCATCATCAACCCCTCACGCCAACCTCACTCAGGCCTCCTCGACCGAACTGCCCCTAGCCTCCCTGACAGAACTGCATGTCCGCCAATCACAGATATCAATTCCAGCTCGACAAGCCCCGGTCCGAACCGGGCCGGAACCGGTGGACCATCACCGTACCCCGGGCGAGGTTACTTACCCCAACTTTGGTCTTAGTGAGCTGCGCTTGGGCGGGGTTTAGGTAAACGGGTTTGCGGGGTGAGATTTGGGAACCACGCGTTGGTCTCGGGGATGGCACCATGAGAGAGCCGGGGATAAACGTCGGGATGATAGAGGCACTGGGGCTTATCCGATGTCGAATGCTTGTTTAGCTGCATGACTTGATGGTCAAGAACCCAGCCCTCGAGGAAAGGGATCAGTCTCCGCATCTTCAAAGGTCATGTTACCAACCGCATATCTGGCGTCGTTCCTCATTCGGAAGCATTTCGCCCGAGTATCTCGCCAGCGGCTGATAGGCGCAGCCAACCCGAACCCATGGATCCTTTGAGGGAACCCCGCTGGTATCTCCTGATCTCCTCTCGGGAGCTCCTATCGGTAGGCTGAGGTTTACACGACCCCAGCAATTTTTATTCTACGAGATGTCATACGTGACTTCGGCCCGGAGGTTGACCGGACATGGTGACATCGAAGCTGCTATCGGGAGTCGAGTGGGATACGAACGGATCGGACTTGGTGTTGTCATCCCGGAGCTCTCAGCATATTAACGATCCCGTATCCCCCGTCCCCCGGAATCCTGCGAAGTCGATTGTCTACGACTTGATAGGGACCATCTTGTCCTTCGACCGCAGCAATGTCGCAAAACGCCGCTGCAACGACTGAGCCGGCCGGCGGCATCCCCGTCACCGTTGACGCCGCTATCGCGGATAAGAGAGGGGCGTTTGCCTGGTTCTCGAATGCGGGAATAGTCAAGCTGAACTGTGTCATCGCGCTGTCGTTGGTATCAAGCTACGCAACTGGCTACGATGGCTCGATGATGAATGGTCTCCAGTCTCTGGACACATGGCAGGAATCATTCAATAATCCTGGAGCTCGGCAATTGGGACTGTTAGTTTGATCCTTTCTCCAATCCTTAGTCTACTCTAACATTAGGCAGCCTGAATGCGATCCAGAACGTGGGCCAGCTTCTCGCACTCCCTTTCTGTGCCTGGTTCTGTGACCACTTCGGACGCAAACCTGCCCTCCTCGTCAGTGCCTCCATCCTCCTGGTCGGTGTTGCCCTCCAAGGCGCGGCCCAGAATGTCGCCATGTTCATTGTCGCCCGTGGCGTTCTGGGCTTCGGCCTCGCGCTCAACATCACAGCCGCGCCCCTGATGATCATGGAGCTGGCGTATCCGTCCCAGAGGGCACCACTGGTGTCCATCTACAACTCGCTCTGGGGACTGGGAGCCCTCAGCGCGGCGTGGATTACCTTCGGCACGTTTCGGATCGGGAATACGTGGGCCTGGAGGATCCCCTCTATCTTGCAGGGACTTTCCAGCATCGTGCAGCTCGGCTTGTGCTTCTTCATCGACGAATCACCTAGATGGCTCATATCAAAGGAGAGGGATGCAGAGGCTGAGAAGTTATTGGTGAAGTACCACGCCAACGGCGATGTGTCGGATCTCATTGTGCCTTTGGAGATGGAGGAGATTAGGACAGCTCTGAGGCTGGAGGCGGAAGCATCAAGGACTACGTCGTACATGGCCTTTTTCCAGACGCCAGGCAACCGGCGTCGCTTCTTCATCATTCTTGCTGTCGGCTTCTTCTCACAGTGGTAAGTCATACACTCCGCAAACTGGCCATTAATCATCCTCTGACTCTATCTGCTAGGAGTGGCAACGGTCTGATCAGCTACTACCTGACCTTGATCCTCAACTCGATCGGATACACCTCACAGGACACCCAGACGTTGATAAACGCACTTATCACTCTCTGGGGATTATTCTGGGGTCTCCTCGCCTCCGTCCTTGTCAACCGCTTCCGCCGCCGAACCATGTTTCTCGCTTCGACTATTGGCTCCCTCGTATGCTACGTCATTTGGACAGCCCTGCAAGCAACTTACGAGAAGCAAACAGACCTTACTGGTGCGGGATCCCCAGGCCTTGCAAAGGGCGTTCTGGCCATGATTTTCTTGTACAATGTCACGTTCACTGTGGGATGGGGCGCACTCCAGGTCACCTACGTCGTGGAGATTCTGCCCTTCAACCTCCGTGCCAAGGGCTTGGTTCTGTACAACTTGTTCGTGGCCCTGGCGTTGATTTTCAACCAGTACGCCAATCCAATTGGTGTGACGAACTCAAAGTGGAAATACTACATCACGTACGATGTGTGGCTGGCCTTTGAGGCTGTGGTGGTATATTTCCTGTTTGTTGAAACCGGAAAGATGAGTTTGGAGGAGACTGCAGTCATTCTTGATGGCAACGAGGATAGATTGACGGAGGAGGTGGCTCGGAAGACGGAGAAGCTTGCGCTAGGAACACATGAACATGTTTTAGATCACCACGAGTGAGCGGGGATAATCTAAGGCGGCTGGGCATCTTGTAGAAGATTACTTCTCGACACCGGACATACTATTAGTTGAAGCGAGTAGCCATACTATTACTACCACTGCTGCTATTACCCTTGTTGCTTTTGACCCTAGATGTTCCTTAGAGAATTTGCCCCAACAGACGTAGTAATGGAACAAGAATCAAGGTATATCAAAATGAGAGCAGTTCTCGTGTCTTTGCCGGAGTGATGGCTCTAGTGGGCTGGTTGGCTCAGACTTCGGCCAGCACAGTTGACTGATCACCGATAGTTGATCTTGGATACGCAGTCCATCAAACGAGTCATAATGTAAGCGTCCCCCTTACCCATTTTAAAACGGTCTAGCTGGCTGAAGATGCAACTTGGCTTGGAAACACAATGCTAAGAAGAAGTGACAGCAAGAGGCAGGATATTATAACTTCTCAAATATCCCATACGCCAATGCACCCCGATTCAGTGCACCCACGCCAATAAAAAGCGTCAATCGCTCAGTAAATCTTGGTCAGAAAGCAAGTGTTTGCCCCGCGGCGTTTCCGGCCTGGTATGGGATCTCGTCCCTGTACCAGAGCGGCCAGCTCTCGCTGGATGAGGTGAGCTCAACTTTCGCCAAGTCGCAATCCGTGACTCCAAAGTCGGGCTCGGAGTCGATCGGACGATATCTCAGCGCTGCTGATACGACAGTCACGGAGGACTGCTTGGCGTTGGATGTCGTAGTACCGGATAAGCTGTGGGGGAAATCCCGGAATAACTCGCATTCTGCTGGTAAGTTGCTTCATCCACTCCATTGAACTTGAATTCATCACAAGGTCATTGCTGAACAGACATTCATTTACGCAGCCCCCGTGATCGTTTGGCTTCATGGCGGCTCATACGTTCTTGGTCACAAGAACTTTGCCGCAAATCCCGCAGGACTCATCGCAAAGGCCCAGGAAGACGGATCTGACGGCGTCATCTACGTTGCTCTCAACTACCGCCTCGGGCTTTTCGAGTGGATGTCTGGACCTGCCTTCACAGAACAAGGCGGTGTTGCAAACTTGGGCTTGCGAGATCAAAGACTCGCGCTTGAGTGGATTCAGGAGAACATTCATCTCTTTGGCGGGGACCCCGACAACGTCACGGTCCTTGGAGAGTCTGCTGGAGGAGGTTCGATCCTCCATCAGCTCACCGCACCTGGTTCTTCGAGCGGCGCCCCTTTCAAACGCGCCATCTTACAATCACCCGGTTTCGAGCCGATGGAAGGCCCGGCAAAGCAGAACTTGCAGTACAAGAGAGTGCTTGAATGGGCATCCTACTTCAGCAATTCCACCGTCAGCAGCCTCGACGACCTCAAGCAGCTTCCCTTTGACGTGCTTTGGAAGGCAAACCAGATCATCATCGCGAAGTCATACTGGGGTGCTTGGTGCCCCTGGGGACCGGCGGTCGACGGTGACTTTGTGGAAGATCTCCCAGGTGTTCTTCTCTCGAATGGGAAATTCGACAAGTCCGTCGAGATACTCACCAGCCACAACAGTGACGATGGCTTCATTTTTGCATCACCACTGATACAGACGGACGATGAGTATGTGTCTGGACTTCTACAAAATCTTCTCCCCGATGCTTCGGACGATGTCATCCACTACATCAAGACCGAACTCTACCCCGCGGTGTACGATGGTACTCATCCCTGGAAGACGCCCCTCGAACGTACATCCGCTACTATTGCCGAGGCTTGGTTCATCTGCAACAATCAGTTTCTCAACGAGGCTCTGGGAGGGGAGGCGCACAACTATCTTTTTGACGTGCCACCGGGCTACCACGGGACGGACATTGCCCACACCTTCTTCAACGGGGAGGCCAGTTCGAATTTGCTTCCTCTGAATGCGTCTGCGGCAGCCACACTACAGGCGTACTTGACGACGTTTGCAAAGACTGGCAGTCCAAATGGCGTGAACCTTCCATGGATGCCAGTTTATGGTCAGAATGCAATTTACGTGTCAATCTACGATGGACTTCCTGTATAAAATAACATGCGATGGACAGATGCTCTTGGTGGCAAAGGGCGGTCTACAGGTCATAGTCAACTAGCTACTAGATTAATATGGATTGACCGGGGAAAACACCATAGACGGATTGTATGTGTAGATTTCGGACAATGTATTTCGTGAGATATTGCCATCTACGTGTACCCCGCGTTGGAACATCCAGTCATTTGCAACTCTGACCGGAACACACCGAAACCACTAACGCTTTGCCTTATTTTCAACTGAAGTCCCACTACTTGATGATACCCGTGTGTTCTGAAATAGTTGCGTCCTTTAGGGCACATCTGCCTTAACACCCTGGAGTCAAGCAACAGTTTACTAAACGGGTTCCACTTGACTATATGTCTTGTCAACATGATCGATTCCACGGCGCACCCCAAAAGTACTATGTATACTTACATACGTACTTCGCCGATATACTGGCCAAAGAGAACAAAAACTTACGCGGCACAATGAACACGGTCGCCGCCGAGAGCAAGGTACAGGTTTTGTCCAAGCTCGCCGAAGCCTCGGGTTGGCCGGCCCCGCAGCAACCACAACATCAAACACTTGGGTAATAGAGCAGGGCTCAGCCGTATACACATTGAAGGTGTCAAGTTTTTTTGGTGCTGGGCAGATCAATCTAAGCGGCAGCATAAGATGCCCATCATAATTAGAAGTCCCGAATAGGTGAATGCGGTTGCGAGAGTCACAACTCCAGGAGTTTTCATATTGATGTCGAATTCGGATACTCCAATTTGGTCGTCAATTCGGTGGCAAGGATTCTCGGCAGACGTTGCTCCAATTTGACATGAAAGTCAAATTCAACAAGTCCGCTTGTTCTCAAGTCTCAGCTATATTGCGACTATCATACCATGACCTATCTCAAGTTCTCCTCATAAGAACGAAGTTTGCCTCACTCCACTTTCCGGGCTGTACCAAGAACATCTCTGACGATCGCTGGCGGCCTCGGGATGCAAAGCGAAGCGTGCCAGCGCCTTGCCAAGAGCGCCGAGTGAACAGCTTTGCTGGAATCGATCGTCCAACGCCCGCTGTCAGGTGTGTAAACTTGGGAACCGGGGCCCTTCCAATTGCTTCAGACTTTATTTTAGTAACGAGGCCACTATGCATTGGCCCGCAGCTCGAAAGCCAGTTTCGCATCAGCAGGGCTGCTCCTGTTTCGTGCTAGCAGCGCCGGCTTCTAGAAGCAGTCTCTGGCAGCACCGTCCGAGTCAGTCAACGCTGTGCTTGATGCTGCACCAAGTCAGCTGCGCCCAAGTCATACGACATCGAGAACGTGAGGTGCAATTTAGGCAAAGCAGCAAAGCAAAGATCCGTCGGATAACAAACCACGGTTCAGGTGGGATAAATACCCCAGGCCCGGGCTCTTCTGATGTCTAGCAACCCAAGTCAACTTCCTCGAGCAGCCAAAGCACAACCTTACACGAATCCGATAAAGAAACAAACACTGTTTTACGAAGCTAAACTTCAAGTCCTATCTGTTGGTATCCCTATCACAGGGAAGTTGGTTCGAACCGTAGGGTCCTGGGGGTGACGAAGTATCAATATCTCTGTATTGATTGATTCTGCGTAATGTGTAAAAGGGAGATTCCAACCGTAGGTTACTTGGGTAGTCGCGGTCTAATTGTACCACCTCGAGGTGGCCCATGCTCTTGCCCTTATCCGCGGTCGAATTGGACTTCCAATCCGACACTATCCTTATCTTCCACGAATCAATTCGACTATTCAAAATGAAGGCATGCATTATTATCATGACCGTGGCCTTCTTAGGGCAAGTACACTCACTCTTGACTAGAAGAGACACACGTACTGACCAACTCATAGTGCAGCAGTCTCCCAAGAGATCTTCCGATGCCGTTGCGCGAGCGGAAGCAATTTCGACGTGAGCCTGGACGGCATCTCAAGTCTGTGTACCTCCAAGGGCGGGGAGATTGAGAGCGCAGGTTTGTGCGTCAAGGTGCCCTCCAGATTCACAAACGATGAGTGCACAAAGGTCGAAGCCGGAGCCAAGGGGGATTGCATCGTGGATACCACCTCCGGCGGCTCCACCAGCTCCGTGTCCTCACCTGGCGCTACGGCACAAGCTACTCCTCAGCCTAGAGCTGTCGATTCTCAGTCATGGATGGCATAGTCAGGTGAATATCAGGACGGATACTGCTGATGAGGGGCGACCGTGTTGAGTTCTGACAAATGTCGCTCAGTTTTAAGAGCGCTTAGGATACCACTGTGAATCAAATTTCGATCTGAGATATAACATACTTGATGGCTTTATTCCTCAAAAACATATGGAAATCTGCTCGGTAATATTATTGTGTGATACTCCGAGGTTGGTTATCGGATTCAATGCTTGAGGTCTAGGCAATGGCTCCAGCGAGATCTGAGCATATCTCAACAATCACGATGGAATGAGAGCAAGGCATAGTGGCGGAGGTCTGCCGGACAAAATATTTTGAGGGCTCGGTTCATTTTTACGTTAGATAGTTGTTTTGTTCTCAGTCAGGCTTCACGGTTAATCGGCAAGTGGGCATGTGAAAAATGGTCCGAACTGTCCGAATGCGCGGCTGATAGAGCACCGAATACCCCGACCCAGTGACGTCAAACGGTTCCGAGTGTCGGACGACGGTGGGAGTTCAGTAGACCCCTCACTTCGTCGGTTGGCTTCACCGATTAAGGGGAATTCGGAATCCAACCTGCCTTTAGTTATAAATTGCCAAGGAACACAGTCGAGTCACTGATTTTTCTATCAACAAGAGGGCTTTTCACACCAAATTTTACTTTCCTTCGACAGTTATCTAGTGATAGCTATAGGCCTACGGCCCTCCACGCCATATACCCTTCGGGAGGTCTGCCGCAAGGGCAGCTGCGCCCTTGCCGCTACGGCGTTAAAATACAACAACAACAACAAATTCACGATCTTATTCATAATGTTCTACCAGCCCGGCATTGATGACCATGGCTTACCATATGACCCATTCAAAGTAAGTTGCCCATCGCATCCAAAAAGACGCTCTCTAATTTGATTATACACTACCTTAGGCATGCGTAGTACCTCGTGCGATTGGATGGATCTCAACCGTCTCACCCAAAGGAGAGCACAACCTAGCACCCTACAGCCAGTTTACAAACGTCAGCTTCGACCCGCCCATGGTTATGTTTAGCGCCAACCAAACGCACACCGAAGACCGAAAAGACACTGTCAACAACATTGAGCGCACCGGAAGCTTCTGCTGGCAGCTCGCCACGTACCCTCTCCGGGAGAGCGTCAACATCTCAGCGGAAGCAATTGGCCCAGACGAGGATGAGTTTGAGCGAGCCGGCCTCAAGAAGACGTGGTCAAAGAGTCTTAAGACGCCAGTACCTATGGTCGCTGATTCTCCCGTCCGATTCGAGTGCGAGTATATGCAGACAGTGCGCCTTCCCGGGAAACCGCCGATGGGAACTGTCGATGTTATTTTTGGCAAGGTTGTTGGTGTTCATATCGATAATAGCGTCTTGACGGATGGGAAGATCGATGTCTCTAAGACGAACCCCATTGCCCGACTTGGGTACTTTGAGTACGGCGTCATCAACGATCGCTTTGAGATGGTTGTACCTGGAGATAAGCGTATGCTTATTGGGGTAAGTCAAGTGCCTTTCGAGAAGCAGGAAGTTGCGAACAAGGCTAATTGATGACTATTCGCAATATAGCTCGAAGGTAACGCCAGTAATAACAATAAGAACTACCTCAACAGAGTCTCGGATAACTCCACTTGATAAAGTAAAGACAGACCTTTAGTTGCCTCTGCCTAGTATAGACCCGAATAGCTGGCACCACGATAGATGCAACATATATCTGTCGGAACGGCAAGGCTGATAAGGAGCAATGGGCAGGTATCGTGGGCTGGCTGGCGCCTGCCCTGGGCGAAGTGGGACAGCCGGCTTAGTCATCATGGCCGGTTAAGGTGGGGCAACCACCCAGGCCGTCCCCACCTACTTCGATCGGCCCCTGCCCACAATGTAAATAGGAAGAAGAACAACAACAGCAATTATCACGGACATCGACGTGATTGTTGCCGAAGATACACCCTCATGAGGAAATGTATCACGCCTGTGATACCAACAATATCATTTGTCCGGGGATCGATGATGCTCCGTATTTGAGTACATGTATATCTAGCTGCCGGGGAGGACGAGCATCGGCCCAAACACTTTGAAGACGTTCTTGCTGTATTGCGAGGCCAAGAAATTCGAAGTTCAGTGTACCAGCAAGCGTGTGTCCGGCGTTTGAGAATTTACGAGAAAATACAGTCTTGATATCAACACGTCCTGAATCAAAATTCAGATTTGAAAACCACATCTGTGATGTCTTGAATACTCACACTGTTAACTAAATTGATTCGTTAATAAATCCTTGAAAGCTTTATTCTGAGCCCCTAATGTGGAATATAAAGGAAGGCGGTATTCGTACATGCGAATATCTAGTGCTTCTTGACCGGCGGCCAAGATCCTAGCTTACCAAGGAGTTCTACATATTTTGTTTTCGAACGAATAAAGTATACACAAAAGATTGAATACTCGTTGAATTGTCCTCATATACTATAGTCACTGAGTCTTATCAAAGCAAAGATCAATCATTCAGTTGGCAGCATTTACTTCGGTCGGGATCAGTAATCGAGATCTTCAATGAATTTCTGCAATCCTACGCTGGGGGCCCAGTCACAGGCTCGACTTGCATGCAGGCTTATCTTATAAGGCTGAAGAGAGATTGCCAGAAGCGTAGACTGACCCGACTCTTTGGTCAGGGTAGCTTCCTTTGTGGTGATCCCAGTAAGGTAGTCTAGGGAGGAGGTTGCTCCGTACGGATACAGAATGCGGATAGACCGCGGCACCATTCACGACACCCTAGACATGGGATTGCCGGCCGCGGGAGCTTTGCTATCTTTTGGCTGGAATACCCAAAAGCGCTCCTCGGGCGCATTACTGAGACTCCTACGCGGTCGCATTTCTGCTATCATGGGCAGATTGAGCAAAAAATAGAGTCAGCAGTTACATCTGAAGATTTTGAGACTCGAGCTCCGAGCAACGATTTGGAAAGACAACAAATCCAATTCAGCGCTTCGGATTGACCAGGCACTGAGAATTTTTTTTTTTTAGCTTTGAGGACACTGAAGAGTTTCTTCCCAGTGGGATCTATCGTCGTATTGCATACAGCGATTGGGGGGCCGTCTGCTTAGCCGGCATGTGGGAGGCTATCGGCTTGCTCCTAAAGTCCCAGGAACCAGCCTGCCTGATTAGGCAGTGCAACCCACCAATACCCAAGCTACATGCACCTTATTCTCTGATACCTTAGATTCAGAGACGAACAGTTGATCCGGGATCCGAAAGTCTTGCAGAGCCTCATGAACGTCATTCTGGAGTCTGGAAACTTTCGACCCGAAGACAAGGTGGTGATGACTTCAACTCTTTGCCTAGCAATGTGCTGACTCTGTAATTCTTATGCCAAGCCAGAGTCAATACGAGCCCGGTCCCTATCAGCCCCACAGAGTCTGTTGCTTGGCAAGTTGGCAATGGACCTCGCCGAATGGAGCCTTGAGGATCGATGGAGTCTTCACATGCCACGCATCAACGCACTGTGGAGTTCTCGGATTCAACCCACCGGGCCGCTGTGGTTCTGTCTTCTAACATAAACTACGCTGACATCCAAGAGGCAGGAAAGGCGGTTCAGCTGCACGTTTGTCCTAGCTGATAAGTGGAAAAGGTGAACCCGAGCACGACACCTCGGCGCTCCGTGCAATAACCCGCGGGAAGATGCTCAAGGAGTTCTTGACGAATGGCCTATGTTTGTGATGCCATATTAGCGGAGTTTGAGCGAATGCCCCTTAGCGCGGCTACGTGGTTTATCTCCTTCCTATTTCCCTCCTCCGTACCGACCTGGCCCCGGAACATCTGTGATTGTCTGCGCAGTGCCGAGAAATATCAGGGGAAGCTATGGCCGGGACGGAAGACATCCACCGCTGGGATGACCGCATGGTCTTACTCGCCTTGAGGTGACTCCCCAACCTGGATGGTCGCATAACGGTTTCCATCTTCCGGATTTCGATCGGGACCCGAGCCCGCAGTAATAGGAATACGAGGTCGTGAGAAAAGGCAATATGTCATGTCTTGGTGTTTTCACCCAACACAGAAGGCGGCAGCTGCAGAGTTGCGCCCGAGTCGCGCCCGAGTCCATGTCCCATCGAATGCAGCAGCGCTCACCCGCATATTTTGCCCCAGACCACTCACCCACCATCACGCATGGTCCTGTACCTGAACCTCGCTGATCAGAGACCGCATCGGGGCAACTTTCTAGTTTAGACAGCGAGGCCAGTGCTCTTTGGTCGGCATTTGGGCCATATGGGGATCTCCCGCCTCCAGATAGTCTATTGCGAGACCCCCTCCACGGTCGGGAATCAGGACGGATGTGGCAGGCGGGAAGAGGTTAGGGCGTGTGTGGAGCTTGCGTAGCTTTTTAATTAAGTCCTGGTCCGTTCATAATCCCTACATCGGGTCCTCCAACCAATGTCAACACGCGACCTTCCACATTAAGCATAAGTTGAGCTAATATGGCTCCTCTGCTAAGGTAACCTCCAACGGTCTTGGTAAACAAGTCCCAAGCAAATCAAGAGCCGGAAACCCCTACCAATGTCTCATTGAATGGTAAGTCAGCTTGAGGCAATTCAAGCCTCCAGCCAACCACGATTCTGCTTGCGCGGAGCTAATGGTGACAGTTCCTATCATTTAGATAATCGGATTTGATGTTCATCGATCCATCGGCGCAAAGTCCGGTACCCCTTTCTCGCTTGACTGTGCTGCCGTAGTCGGAGCTGGAGCTGGTACCCGCGCCAGGACCACATAGGCATTGAACATAACAAAAGATCCAACTCCCAGATATCAACCGGGGAGGAGGCCTGAGACAAGCAAGCCAAAAAGCTGGGCGCGCTTGAAAACAGCGGGTAAAGAGGTAGGTCAGCTTTAGCTTTTTGGAAGGTAGGGGCTTCCAAACAAGCATGTTCGTTCTCGCGTGCTCCCATGGAGTCGGGGAGTCCACAACTTTCCTTGCTCAAGCGCCTGGCATCTCCCGCTCTAGGACCTGTTTAGGAAGCTTGACAGCTCCAAGCTGGAGACCTTAGGGCTTGGCGGGACATCACGCAAGATACTACACCAATATGCGTAATGTCAAAGATGGAATCGACAGCAACTCCATCCATCTCAGCCTTCATCGATATCTTGGAAATCCGGTAAAAAGATGGACCTCGCTCCCGCTCTACCATCAGCTTTCCTCTCTTCAGCCCCATCCGCTCTTCTCTGATCACCTCTCCTCGGTTCTTCTCTCATCATCACAATGGCCTCCCTTCGCCGCCTCGCCCTCGCCGTCGGAGCTCTGCTCCCGGCCGTCCTCGCCGCCCCCGCCGCCGTCAACAGACGTGCTGAGCCCGCGGCCGCCCCCGGCAAATACATCGTCACCCTCAAGGAGGGTGCCGCCGCCAGCGTCGAGTCCCACTTGAACTGGGTCGCCGACGTCCACAAGCGCTCCCTGAGCAAGCGTGACACTGTCGGTGTTGAGAACACTTTCAACATCAGCAACTGGAAGGCCTACTCTGGCGAGTTTGATGAGGCTACCATTGAGGAGATCAAGGCCAGCGCCGACGTAAGTTGACGAATACCTGAGGTCCAAGATATCTCCATCAAACATGGCTCTAACACTCTGATACAGGTTGCTGTCGTGGAGCCCGACTACTACATGTACCTCTCCGACTTTGAGGTTGAGGAGCGTGCCCTCACCACCCAGTCTGGTGCCCCCTGGGGTCTGGGATCCATCTCCCACAAGACCTCCGGCTCTACCTCATACATCTACGACACCTCGGCCGGTGCCAACACCTACGCCTACGTCGTTGACTCTGGTGTTTTCTCCACCCACACCCAGTTCGGTGGCCGTGTCACCCTCGGCTTCAACGCCTTCACCGGCACCCACACCGACACTCTCGGCCACGGTACCCACGTTGCCGGCACCATCGGTGGCTCCACCTACGGTGTTGCCAAGTCGGTGAGTCTCACTACTCTGAGCATCTTGCCCAGTTCGTACTAACACCTCATTCCCAGACCAACATCATCTCCGTCAAGGTCTTCCAGGGCGCCCAGGGCACCACCTCCTCCATTCTGTCCGGCTTCAACTGGGCCGTCAACGACATCACCTCCAAGTCCCGCGCTGCCCGCTCCGTGATCAACCTGTCCCTCGGTGGCCCCGCCTCCACCACCTGGACCTCCGCCATCCAGGCCGCCTACACCCAGGGCGTCCTCTCCGTCGTTGCCGCCGGCAACGGAGACGACTTCGGCAACCCCCTTCCCGTCTCCAGCCAGTCCCCCGCCAACGCCCCCAACGCCCTCACTGTCGCTGCCATTGACTCCAGCTGGCGCCCGGCCTCCTTCACCAACTACGGTGCTGGTGTCGATATCTTCGCCCCTGGTGTCTCTATCCTCTCTGCTTGGATCGGCGGTAACTCTGCCACCAACACCATCAGCGGCACCTCCATGGCCTGCCCCCACGTTGCTGGTCTTGCCGTCTACCTCCAGGCTCTTGAGGGTCTCTCTACCCCCGCTGCCGTTACCAGCCGCATCAAGGCCCTCGGCACCTCTGGCCGTGTCACCGGCACCCTGTCCGGTAGCCCTAATCTCGTTGCCTACAACAGCAACGGTGCGTAAATTCAACGTTGTCGGTTTGCTCAATGATAGCATGAAGAGACTGTGGATGCCGTATTGTCGAACACGAACAGGTCTTCTCAAGCTAGAATCAAGGAGGTAATGGAGATGGTACCTAGGATAATGATTAATTCAATAAGTCTTATTCACAAACCTTTGATCCATAATCGAATGGTCCTTGTGTAGTGCAACTAACATAAATGCAAACCTCAGATTTCAGCTTCCGAGCATTTCACAAGAAACGAGAATTAACTGACGCCTTTGAAGAATTTCTCTATATCACGCGCTATTTCAGTCCTCAGATGTGGATAGCTACCCAGTGAATATCGAAGTTATGCGCAACACTTCCACTAACACGACGTAAATCTGTCAAAGACGGCCTTCACTCCACGTACCCTAGACACTAGACCTCAAAAGGTTCCCTAGTTGGAGGTTCCCACATGCAGGCACAGTACACAAGCCTTCACTTGTACAGGCACATTTCCACTCCTCCAGGCCCTTGTCAAGTACATGCTGATCGTTTGCAAAAGGCTATAAGAGGCAGTTCCTCGGCGTGGACAAGCAGCTCACTCTTATTACTATTAGCACCAAGACTCGTTGATTGGTCATTGGTACATCTCACCTTCGTTCTTGTCGCAACTCAGAGTGAATAATAGTGATTTGAACGTTTAACATTTATACTCGAAACGATGTGTCCGACTATTCGTCTAAGCTAGAAATTGCCCCTCCACGTGTTTTCCTTGTATGCCTCGAGGGTGTTTGCAAAACGAAGTGAAGTAAGATTGACGCCCTCGCCACCTAATCCAATGATATCATCCTTCCCTTGAACAAATAGAAAACGCCCCAGCAATGAATAGTATGTGCAAGAATCTCCTCCGAACTAGCTCTCAGCTGCAATGTCTTTACGACCGGCCCAGAGCGTTGAACCAGCTCTTGCGGGGGTCCTCAGTGGGGTCCTCGAAGACCTTTTGGCGGGCGGCCTCGCTCTGAGGGTTGTTGTACTTGGAGAAGAAGCGGTCCATCTGTTGAGACTCGGTCTTGAGCTGGGATCGAATGTTCAGGGCGACGGCGGAGACTGCGAGGCGAACTGTGTTAGTTGACTTTACTGGAGGCAAGGCAAGGTAGGGCTGAAGATTGGACTTACCAACGCCGATGGTGATGGCAGCAGGGAGGAACCTGGCAAGAGCCGGGGTGGTGGTGGGAATTCTGGCGGGTTGGTTGACCATTGTGAGAGTTGTGGGTTGAAGTGGTTGAAGGTTGTGTGAGTGTGGTAGTGGGGGTTTAGGTAAACCGGGGAATAGTTGCAGTGGACTTTTGTGTAATTGTAACACTGGAGAGCTGAGATTGCTTTTGTGTGGTCGATGTGAGACTGGAGTGCATCTAAGATCGTGTTTCCCCTCATCTTCTTTGAAGATACTTATGTATCTGAAGTCGTCTGCCTCTCACCTGCTTCTCCCGAGCGTGGTGTGGTTGGCGTGGTCATCTTTCCCGGTGTTGTCTGTTGATAGTTCGACTCTGGTCGAGGGTGGTGCGGTGTCGCGGCCGGATCTGGTGGTGCGGTGGTGTGATGTGCGTCCCGATGGCGCGGGTCTGTCATTTTTCTCATTTTCCGGGGGGTTCCCTCCAACCTGCAGAAGACCCAACTGTCAAATTTTGGCATGGAGAAGGCCGGAACCCCTGTTCTTTCATGGCTCCTTTGGGGACAAGATCTTGGACTAAGCCTGATTACTTTGGCGCTATGCCTCGTTGGTTGGAAGGATTTCGAAGATCTGAGCCTTTCTGCGTGGTGTCTCTGCCCAGCTGTGCTCAGCGTGAGTCTGCCAGTCGAACGATGCCTACCGGGTTCTCTTCGTAAGCATGTGTTCCTATTCGTCGGGTGCTCGCGGCGCAGCATTCAAGAGCTGGCAGGACGGGCGGTCCAGTCCCTCGGGAGGTATTCTGTCGGGCCATGTTGGTCGGAACGCTTGTATTGATGGTATCATGGACTTCGCCGAGAGTCATTTGCGTCGGAGAGAATGAGTTCATGCTTCATCTTCAGGCTCGTTGTTATGGCTTCCACATGAACATGACGGCCCGACGATGTTCTTTTCGGGTTCGATCGAATTCGACCATTCCAAGTTGCACGCCGACAGAGAACACCACGGCGAAAACGCAATCCGGCAGCGCCGAAAGACCCCTTTTCGGCCCCTGTCGCGTGTTTTCGTGCTCCCTCTGTGCTGTGAGTGTCAGCTGACGCCTGTAGCCCAGCTGAGTTCAGAGAGTCAGCCACGCTACGAGTCATTTCGGAACCACATGAAAACTTCAATCTGGAAATCCCGTTACCCAACGAGCAACTGTAAGGTATTTCAAAGCAGAAAAGCAAGTTGGCCTTCGCTGAAGTCTCTATTGGTATCGGATGTATCCGTACATATGGTTTTCTTTTGTTGCAACTCCACAATTAGCAGCTAATATTAAACGCTCAAGTAGAGTAGCTGCCATCGACCGACTCTCTATGAACCCCCCACAAAGGCACTTTAGCAAGTGAGCTTGACATTCTGTAAAGTCGACTGAAAGCTGATGTTGCACTTCTCCCCTGGCGCTAAGCTGTACGTTTTCCACGCATTCTGTATAATGGCGAAAGTCAGTCTCAAAGTCTCACGTTCCTCACTGTAGCTACATGTAGACCCTCATAAACTAAATCTAGTTGTACCGAACATGTACTTTACTCACCTTCTTGTTCGTTGGGTTCCAAAATTGTACCGCAAAGTTTACTTGGTTGTTGACCTCATTCTTCATATCGTAGAAGAAGAACTCCTTCTCGAAAGTCTTTTGCGTTGGATTCGTTCTGCCGATCGAGAGGGTTTGCAAGCCGACGGTGACGCTGGTACCGATGTCTCTCGGGATGGAGTAAGATTTGCACCTCAGTGGGTTGTTGCCGTCACCGGAGCCGACTTCAGCGCACCCCGCCTCGGCGATGCCAAACAGAAGTGACAGTGCGACAAGCGCGCCTGAGAAGCCGGGAAACTGCATTATTGCAATAGTACTAGCTCGGGTTTAGATATGCAGTAGTTTCTGTTGTGGGGTTTGTAGATTGAGTTGTGTTTCTTTGGTCAACTAGATCTTGCAGGGTCGTATTGGAAAGTCGATGGGAACCTATGGACATCAACGTCTTCTACATCATATACCTGTTAGATTGATCGAGCCAAGGAAAATATCACATTTTCAATTCCACCACTTTTGAATGATTGACTCGGTCTCGCATTCTATTGTGGATCCGATACCCAGCTTTAACCAGCTTTGGCTCTCACACGAGTCAACGCAACTCCTTCTCAACACTTTGTGCATCAAAATGAGGCTAGCCTCTTCTTTTAAACTTTCTCTTGGAGATGAAACTCCTCTATCTTGGTCTGCACGGATGTTGAGACCCATCAAGGGGCTAGGGACGAGTTCTCGTCAATTGGGATAGGTTCAATCGTTGAAAGACTGCGCTCAGTCTAGTCACGAAGAACGAAGAGGTCACTATCCAATCCAGGCCGGCGTGGTGTAGTGGCATACACCTGGCAAGGCCTCTGGTGCCCAGAGGTCGCTGGTTCGATTCCAGCCGCCGGCAACTGCTTTAACTACCTGTGGGAAGGGTAGGGCAGAGCCCAATGCGGGGCCTAGGACCCTTTCCGGGCCCTCGCCAGGGTTTTCTCATATCCACACCCTCCGACCAAGAAAAAGTGGATATGCGGCGAGTACACGTCGTCAACCTAGTACTGGGGCAGGAATGGTCTTGTACAAATCAGAACATGTACGAGGGGCCTGTTTCGGCAGGCCGCCCTCTCCAGACATATCCGGCCTTAAGCCGCAAAATTCAAGAATGGAACTGGGGCACCAGCGGGAACCAGGGACAGATAGAACGCATAGTAGCCATAAGGCACGATTTGGAGGACGATTTGAACTGTATCTAGCAATAGTTATAGGGCGACGGCTCTCCACGCCATATACCCTTCGAGAGGTCGGCCACAAGGGCGGCTGCGCTCTTGCCGCCACGGCGTTAAATATAACACACACACACACACTTAGTATCTCTTACCTTAAAATAGTCTAGTATAAAGAAGTCTAGCTTGAGTGGGTTCGTAATACAAAAAAGGGGCTTAGGGACTACTTTAATTGTTAATATAGGTTGGAAGATGCTCCTGATGATACCGTAGTTACTCTAGATGTCACGGTAGCAGGCAGGTTGTTTGGCAGGTGGATGCTGGACAGGCGGATCAGACAATCTATTGCTACGGGCAGGCTCTATCCTAAGCAGGTACAGGCTCTGTTGACAAGACGTAGCTCAAGGAGCTACGTTTCTGGACATGCGCGACAGAATACAGGATGCAGAGTTTTATCCAGCCTCAGGCTTACGTAACCCGGCCACCGGGTTACTCAACACCAACCTCAAGGTTGGGGTCTAGGACAGCGGGTCTGTGACACTAGAGATCATATTACTCTCCTATAAAGATAGTTATTTTAGATAATAGGTATAGAGTAGGCGAGGTCGCGAGGCTCCTCGGTAACAGGATGAGCTTGAGACTTACCTCCGGTAGCCTCTTTAATCTATAGACGACCTTGTGAAGTGGTGGAAGGATCACTAGTTAACCTACCCCATTCTTAGCAAGCTTGCCCTTGATGTATTTTCTATCCCTGCTATGGCTGCTGATTGCAAGAGAGCTTTTAGTACTATAAAGCTGACCCTGACGTCTTAACGTCACTTAATATAGCCTTAGATAATAGGCTAGTTGTAGCTGACAAAGAACTAGCTGAAGGGGAAGATCCTGCCTGTTGGGGGAGACGTTGGATTATTTATACCAGGGTCGTGACACTAATATAAATAGCTTCACTTATTGCTTAATCGGGTAGCATAATAGTGATAAAAAGAGTCACGTGCCCTTATATTTGGCTTAGTTGATTGGCCAATTACTCAATGTAACCAATCCTGAGGAAAAAGTTGTCAAATTAGTCAAATCGAGGCGCGATTGAATTTATTAGAACGAGCGGCAGCGCTGCTACCCCTTGTTAAATACCACGTTTTCCTCAATAACCTATTTGTCTCTGTAAAGCTCTTTCGTACTTTACGATTAAAGGTAATAGGGGCAACTGGAACCTGCCGAAGGGATAGGGAAATTGATCAGTTACTTGTTAATAAAAAGTAAGATGAAGGGAAGGGTATTCCCTGAGATCAGATCCACTGTATCCCTACAAAAGACGGTCAGGTACGTAAGGTATATATGTTTTTATAGTGTTTCTATATTGAAGGTTTGTTCTCTATATTTCTAGCTTAATCAGCTAAGCTGGAAAGATAATACCTTGGTACTTTTCCTTATAATTGTTTATCGCGACACTGAGTAGATACTACGGAACCGTCGCCGGCCTACTAAGTCCTCGGCTGCCGCTCGTACCGCCCGAGAGGTCTTTAGCCCAAAAGCCCAAAAGAAACCACCTATTCCTGTATAGATCGATGATTATAACCATAATATGAACGGCGTTGATATAGGGGATCAAATGAGGTCTTATAACCAGTATAGGCGGCCAGTTTAACGAGGGGGGTGGCAATCCCTTATGTAGAACTTTCTCTTAGAAGTATGTTACGCCCGCCGCAACTTGTCACTGTGGGCGCGTAGCTATATATGCAGAACAAGGGACAATGATGACCGGAGTCATCATTATCGAAGCTTTTGCTTTGTGCCACAGTTGGTTGCCTTGTCCTGCTCGTAACAAAGTAGTACTTGTTAATAGCTTCTTTCTCCAGCTCTGGGGCGAGCCGGAATGGGCTCGGGCTAACTCTCAGTACGAATGGCGAAGGACCTTTTCTACCTAGCTAATTCAGTACTTTGGGCCATTAGTTTATGGGAGGCAACGGGCCCGGCCCTAGAGGGCCACTGATATAAGAGAGAATTCCATTCTATGGCAATAACATACGAGGGACTTAGAATATTTACTAAAATTCTAAAACTTATACTTGATTAGTACTATAAGAGTTACGTACTTAAGAAGTTACATGGTAATAAGAGGCTCAATGCTACGCCCGCCGCAACTTGTCACTGTGAGCGCGTAGCCACATAACGCAGAACAAGGGAAAATGATGCGGAGTCATCATTATCGAAGCTTTTGCTTTGTGCCACAGTTGGTTGCCTTGACCTTCTCGTAACACTCAACCGAAGTACGTATCTACTCAGATACAACGCTTTGTACGCACGTACAGCCCGAACGTAAATATGCTTTACATATACATGTTAAAGCGCCGACAGGCACATATGCCCGTATAAACTTAATAATAAATGCTCGGACTTAAGCACCACATGTGATTACATGTGATTACATGTGATTACATGTGATTACATATGATTACATGTGATATTTGTATTATATATAGACTACACTTTCCCACCATATCATAGAATAATCATCAATACAATCGATTCTCTGATTATCCCAACTCGTACCTCAACTTATTTACCTTTTCCCTTTTTGCCTACCTTTAACCTCTTAGTGAGGGTATTACGGAAGCCCTTTGCTTGTTTGTTTTGTAATAATAAACGAATAGTATTAGGCGAAGTTATACAGAACTTACGAAGAGATAGGAAAAAGAAGACGAGGTTAGGATATAAGTAGTGTGGGATTGCGATTTGTAACTCTGATGATTGCTGGTACCTCTATCACACTTAAAATATATAGTAACCGAAGTACCTTTCAAGTAGGGCCATTGATTGGTCGAGAAAACTCTTGGCTGTCCCTGAGTGGTCAAGATCCCTTCTGTGAATGTATCTGTAGCCCAACAGCACTCGATGGGATATTATTGTTGGATCTCTGAGCAGTCGGCAGAAAAGGTGGATCTGGAAAGCGGTATGGGCACTTACAAACGACCTCTTACATACCACTTCTGAGAGGCCGTGGGCTCTGCCCACAACCTCCTCCTTCCACCTCAAGACGCAGCAATAATAGACCATTATTGACACTTCGTTCCAACCGTACGGTTGCCCTGCTGACGTGTATACCAACAATTATTGTCTATGTTATGTGTTCTCCTTTCCAGATGTAGCCAGGAATATCCCTCATCTGAGGCACTTGGATTCCTGCATTTTCATTGGTTGGTCTCACTAAGATTATTATGGGTCCAGATTGCTCGTTCTGGTCCGAGCATACCCGCCCAATTCCACTTCCGCACTTCAACATGTTGTGTCTGCTGCCACATTTGCCCTTGTGGGGCCCACACCGTTACAGAGACTATTTACAATAACTAAAAGAGCCTAACTTAATTAAGTTTAGTTTTAATATAATCGACTATTATATTTTTATAAATAAGTATGCAAAAAAATCCATTTAGACGGTTTTTATAATTATTATAACTAGTTAGTGGTTTATATATTAAGAGTAGAATAATAACGCGGTAGCTGGGAGGGATTTAATGGGGTGGCCGAAAGTGGGTGGGTTGACTTAGCCAGTTTGTATGAGTCGGACCGAGGTCTGATCCCCGAAATCCAGGGACTGGGATAGGGCACATGTTGACAAAAGAAGGAAACCTACACTGACCGGATCCTGCTCCGTCAAGTCTTCGCATTATCTTGTTTGACTCTTGAGATGACAAAAAGAAGGGGTTTCCAACTAGCCTGGAGAGGAAGCTAAGAAGCTTGGGCGCTGCGGGACGGAAGTGTTTGCCAGCCCGAATCCTTCACTAGCCAACAAACAATTCTTTAACGCTCGAGCCCCATCATCGTGTCGTCATGTAGCACTCGAAGGTCTGGCCGCAGGGCCACATCCATGTGTGCAGGGTTACATCGCATCCTCCGCGTCACCAGTCATCTCACGGCGAATCTGGGAGAGAGAGAGAGAGAGGGCGCTCGGGCTCTCGCGGATGATTGAGATTGCAGCAGATATCGCAACAATCACCGCGGTAGGCAACTCTGGAGGTATAAACCACTGCTGATATTGATACGAGAGATGCCGAATGGCACGTCATTCCCGGCCCCCGAGCAAAAATAACCGTCCCAGAGCGTTGTCTTGCGGAGTACGGAGTAAACATGCTTCATCTCTGCGCGGGTGGATCAAAACGTTGTCGTGCATCGTACCTAAAGAGTCTCTTGGCGAGCAGTCTTATTGAGCCGGCTTGAGATGTTTGCGAGTTGGAGACCTAGACTAGATCGGCGATCCTACGTACGGTCGCAGCAAACATACTCTGAGATGTTTTGAAAGTAACAATCGCAACACAACCTTTAGCAAATCGCGAATCACGCAGATCTACATTGTCGAGACTGTAACAATGCCAAGCGCCGTTGAATCTGGCGTGATCTGGTCACATTTATTGTCTGCTAGCAAGCCTAGTTTTCGTGTTGATAGCAGTTGGACCGGCTATGGATGACAGGTTTCCACCTCGGGTATCGGTGATCTCCTGATCCTTGTTCAACACGAGGTGATGTGCACGTTGACGCCCATCTCCGACGAACCCCACAATCTCCGGGTTCCTGACATGAAGGGACTCAACCGTTAAGTTAGGTTGTCGACATCGAAGCCGTCCCGTTGGGCTGGGGAAGAAGGACGGATTCTAGGCCTCGAGAACGGTCTGATAATTAGCGCAAAGGGAGCACCGAACCCTGAGCAGCAAACACAGCTCGGATGGTGGGGATCCCACGTTCAACAGGAGGGTTTTTTTTTTTTTTTTTCATGCAAAAACGTCTCGATGCTAGAGCAGCCAGGCTCGAAAATCGGGGACGGATCCAGGTTCCGGAGACAAATGTCACCCTGTTTTGCAAGCTACACCCGGCCAGACACATACCAAGTCGCGGTCCAAGCACAAAGCTAACGATGTACCTGGACCGTGGATTTCTGCCCTGTCGTCCAATCTTGCGCTCAATTCAGCCAGTCGTAGCGGAACGCTATCACCAAGGCGCCTCTGCCACAATAGTTCGAGGAGGGTGAAAACAGGTTTCAATGGGTCCAACCCCTCTCTCCGTTGCGAGCATTCCCCTGCTTGACACCAAGTGCCGGAAATGTGGTTTGGGACGAGACTGCTCGAGCGTGCATGGCAGGATGGAGGTATCAAAATCTTGCCGGGGCCTGGGGTGCGCGGGCTGGCTCCGTGGGAAGTTGGAGTTGGTTCAAGAAAACGCCAAACGCCCTCTTTGTGTCCCTCTCGGAAGGTCTTATCTTTTTTCTCCTTTTTCTGAAAACGTCCACTCACATGGCCGGAAGTTGAGACATTCGCGTGCCATCTCAACAAGCAAGACAAGGTTTTGCTCTCGCACTCTCGCTAGCAAAGAAATCTTGTCCTCTTCTGTTTAAGCGACATTCTTGCCTTTGGGCCATAGAGCAGCCTTTCACTAAGCCATGGCGCCTGGCTATGACGTCGATGATGACGGCCCGCCCTACCTTCGCTCCGGGAATGGAAATGCTGCAAAGTCAGTTCCCACAGGGCCTATCGACGACGAGCTCTTTACGCGGGTCCTGCCACGGGTAGACACCACGGCCATCGAGACGGCGCGCATTGCTTTTGGTCAGGACTCCGAAGACAGCGATGAAGACCACTCGCGACCTCAGTTCCGGCGTTCTCTTTCGGAGTCTAGTCTCATGTTAGGAGAAGCCGGAAAGGACTCCGATGGACTCCGGGATACGGCCTTAGGGAGACAAGAAAGGAATGGGACAACGGGGGCAAACGGGAAATCTCATTCAGCGAGAGAGAGTACGGAACTCAGTCGCCCTTCCCGTCCTCTGTCTCGGACAGATATCGTCTCCCGGGATTACTCACCACCACGGCGACTCTACGGAAGGTCTGACAGGGACACCGTAGCTGTGCCTCCACGCCAGTCTTCTCGTCCCAATCGAGCTAGTATTGACAGCCCCGATCGAGTGCTCAAGCGACGCGATTACAATACACCGCAGCGACCCCCGCGCGCCGAAGAGATCGAGGCCGCAAAGAGACTCTTGGCACAAGTCGCAGAAGACGAGGAACTCTCCCATCAGAGCATGGTGCGATCCCCCAGTGCTGTCCGCTCAGCAACACCTCCCCCGATAGGAGGTAGACGACCACACAGGATCATCTACGACGACTCCGAGGAAGAAGAGGACCATCATCAAGACCGCGCCGACGAGGAAGAAGATCCTGGATATCACGATTACCGCAATGAGACGCGCAATGGGCACCGAAGTATAGCAACGACTCCCGTCACTGCCATCCACATCCCGACGGAAGATTCCCGGCCGCCGCCGGCGCATCATCGCCAGACCCGCGGCCGACCGACCACCTCGAGAGCCTCGTCGCGCCAATCATCACAGCCGCCCCCGCGATCGCGAGCTGCCGAAGCCCTCGCCGCACACAAGAGAGAGCTCAGGACGCCCGTGCTGGATCATCAACGCCTGTATCTGGATGCCGAACCCCCACCAATCAGCCAGAGACGTCCGCATCAGACTTCACGCGCCACTCGCAGGCAGACATACAATAAGCAGCAATACTCCGACATGGAGGAGGAGGCTCTAGACTACAGCGGGAAGAACGGCCTTGGCAGCTCGACTCTGACACCAGATTACCAACCGCCGGCGGCGGCGCGAAGGGCAATGAGCGACGATTCGATTTCGATCTCGAGACAGTCAATCTCGAAGCAAAGCGTTACGAGCAATGGGTCCTCCAACCGTACTGTTGATTTCTTCGGACCTGGCATTTTCCAGGTTGTTTTGCATAATCCTACGACCGTACACCAACTGCTGAAATTCAGCGAAGCTCGTTTCTGCGCAGAGAGTGTCGAGTTTCTCAAAAAGGTACGTGGCTTATACCGATGTAGCATCTTGAAGCATGATTGCTGACAATATTTTCCCTATTGCAGGTCGAGCAGTATCAAACAGTCCTCAATGACCTGGCTGGAATCATGACGAGCATCCACAAGGACTTCCTTGCCGACGACTCGTCAAAGCAAATCAACGTCAATGGGGAATTGAGAAAGTCCGTCCACGGTGACATGAAGTCCCTGGTCACGAAGACACTCCCGTCGATGGAAACATTGTTTACGGATCTTCAAGAGAGCGTTGAACAAGATGTCTTCCTGGATATCTACCCTCGATTTGTGCGCTACCAAATGGCTATAAGCGCAACGAGGGCGTTAGCTACCAATCGACACAGCTATCAAGGACTCGGTGACTGCTTTTGCTTAACGAACCCTGGGTAACTTGACGCCTTCCCACGACTCTCTTTGTTTTTTACGTATGCTAATCCTTGAATAAAGTCTCGCAGACAACCCGATCGTCTTTGCGTCAGATGGATTCATCAAAGTCACTGGGTACACCCGACCCGAGATCATTCCGCGAAACTGTAGATTCCTCCAGGGAGCGCATACTGATCGCGTTCCTGTTCGACGACTGAAGAACGCCATCGACGAGCGAAAGGAGTCCGTTGAACTCATCCTGAACTACAAGAAGAATGGAGACCCGTTTTGGAACTTGCTCTATGTTGGTAAGTAGACCTCGTCGAGACAGATCTTTGGTACAGCCTGGCGTCAAGCTACATGCACACGAACGAGACATGGTTATCTAATCCCACTTGGCATACGAAGGCTGACCTGATCCCCTCACACAGCTCCGCTATACAATGAAGCCGGGAAACTGGCCTTCTTCATCGGCGGCCAGATCAATTGCTCAACCACAATCCACAGCAACGCGGACGTGATGAGAGTGTTGTCGACATCTACCAATGACGACGTTCAAACCCAGGATGCTAAGGTACCACCAGCACCATTACATCGCGCTGGTTCCCAACCTTCGGCTCGAAAAGCGTTCTTGAAAGCACTAGGGGTCAAGGTCAGCAACGACAATGCTCCGAACAACATCGCGGCCGATCCGGGCATGGAAAGCAAATTGCTCCACAAGCTGGAAGGACGCGACTTAAACGCCCAGATGAAGGAGTTTTACACTGCTTATTCGAAAGTGAGTCCCTCCTCCGAGCTTGCGATCCATGGATTTGGGTAGTCTTGCTTACCAGAACGTCTTAGTACCTAATTGTCAGCTTCGACTCCTTCATAATCAAGTTCTACTCTGAAGGCGTCCTGGAAATGCTGCACCCCGCCAACAACACCGTCGGCCTGGTAGCAGGCCAAGAGGTCTTCAGATTCCTCAAGCAGAACATGGTCAACCACCAGTCCGACTACAAGACGCGCGTGCGCAATGCTCTTCGAACCGGAGCGCCCATCAGCGTCGAGGTCCGTCTACAGACTCGGAGAAGTGCCTTGTTCCGCGGCGATGAGAGGTTCATCACGCACTGGACGCCGTTGAAGGATGAGAAATCCCAGGTGCACTGGGCTGTTGTCACTTTGGCGCCCGCGATCGAGTAAGTGGATCTGCCGGTGCAGAACAGACCTGATGATGTCGACATGGATGCATGTGCTCTTAAAAAGTCTAGATTGATTCTGTTGGCCTTATGAGTAAATACCCTTTCTCTAAACGAAGCATAGTAACTTTTTCGAATTGTGGCTGCTTCAACCATTTCATTATAGAATGCGTTTCGAAGCAAGGCAACTGCCGACTATGTGTTACGAGCAGGACAAGGCAACCAACTGTGGCACAAAGCAAAAGCTTCGATAATGATGACTCCGGCATCATTGTCCCATGTTCTGCATTATATAGCTACGCGCCCACAGTGACAAGTTGCGGCGGGCGTAACACTATGCTCCTTAAGTCAACCCACCCACTTTCGGCCCACCCCATTAAATCCCTCCCAGCTACCGCGTTATTATTCTACCCTTAATATATAAACCACTAGTTATAATAATTATAAAAATCGTCTAAATGGATTTTTTATATATACTTATTTAGTCGATTATACCAAAAATAAAGTTAATTAACTTAGTGTTACAACCCAACTGTTACGCCCGCCGCAACTTGTCACTGTGGGCGCGTAGCTATATAATGCAGAACAAGGGACAATGATGCCGGAGTCATCATTATCGAAGCTTTTGCTTTGTGCCACAGTTGGTTGCCTTGTCCAGCTCGTAACACCAACATGCATGACCAAGAACAGGGCCTGCCCCGCAGGCTCGCGGCGGTTATAATACACCACATATGCAGGAGATAAGGGACACTAGGCACCCTCTCACGGAACGGAAGAACTATGGTACAAGTCACGTGATGATAAGATAAGACATGAGCGACCATGGTGGGGCCATGAGCGCTCATGCCAAGTAATGAGCGCTCATGCCGAACGATGAGCGCTCACCCGATCAGAGGAACTGATCATTGACAAGGGATATGTTCAGGACCAGGACTTGTATATAGGATGGACTCGAGCCGGACTCTAGGACAGACTTTCCATAGCTCTTCAGCAATTAACTTCGTATCAGATCTTATGATCGCTTTCAGCTATCTTTCCTGAGAACCTCTTTGATAAGACTACGATTGATCACCGCAGCCTTCCCTTACCTTACGACTTACAGACATAGCTTCCCTGAAGCTATCCACGACTACGATTACTGTTACCAGTTCCGCAGCCTCAACTTCTGCAAACATACCTCACTACGACTAGCTGGCCGTAACAAGGAAATGTATCACGCCTGTGATACCGACACTATTCTAAAGACATCAAATCATTAGGAAATTCTAAAAGCGATAACTAATAATTAATTTAATGCATTATGGTTGAGAAATACTGGATGTTATTATAGACGTGGGAAAAAACGTTTGGCTGACTAACGAACCATGTTATATGGAGTTTAAAAGAATTTTAATAATTATCCTATTAGTCTCAATTAACTTATAAAGATCAATTTACTTAATAACGGTAGTAAGTGTATTATAGTAGTAGTGGAAGGTAGTTAATTAATTAAGTGTACTTGGTGGTGGTGATCTGAGACCATTTTCGTTGGCTTGTGGGCCGAAAGTGGGTGTGTTGACTTATTCGGTAGGGGTGGGTTCGTCTCAACTTAGTTGATCGGGGCGTGCGCAATATCAGCCACGGGAAGTGGGAAGACTGGCCAATGAAATGAACTTGGGAATGGAGCTTGGGTCCAGTCTTCATGCCCAAGTGAAAATTCCCGTAAAGTGACAGCGGCGACCAGGAATGCAAATGCAACCTTCCCGCCGCTTGTGCGACCGGAACAGAAGGATAAGCATCTGTCTACGATCGATCTAGAAAGTGAGAAGTGACGACTGTTTTGAGGACGGAGCAGGGATTGCGATGACTTCTCGCGAGATTTATCCCCAAGTCAACTAGAAACACAGCGCTCAGACACATGGATTGATTCTCATGATGCGGAATGTCTCCATTCGAGCCTTCCTGAGGTAGAAGCCGCTGTCGTAGGCTGCCTCAAGTCTTGAAATCGCTATGAATTACCACAACAGAATTTCATATCGGTATCCCAGCCCAACTAACCTTGCGAAGTTAAATACTTTACTAAGGTAAGTACTTCTGTCAGTCCAAGAGTGCAAGTCCCCACAAGACACGACCAACGAGTAGAGAATAGATTAGACTTCTTGCTATTTATCCTCTCTCCAACCCAGGGAGAGATCCAGGAGGTAGCTAGGATACACGATATACAAACCCATTGGTCTCCTGGGCACCAAGGTATTAAAGGAAACGAAGAAGCAGACAGCCTAGCTAAGGAGGGAACAACTCTACCAGTCCTTAGGGGCCAACTAGCTACTCTATCAGGTATCAAGTGGCTTGCTAAAGAGCGGCCAAGACGCCAACATAGACGATGGTGGAAACAAGAGGCAACTCCCCGCTATACCCAACTAGGGCTCAAGGCTACCCTTGCTTGCCCTCCTGAACCTGGCCTCCCTAGGGCTGCCCTTCATCACCTCCTCGCGGCACGGTCAGGCCACGGGGACTTTAAACAATATCACCAACGCTTTAACCACACAGAAGCACTACTCACCTGCTCCTGTGGATGGGTTAAGGAGGCAGACCATCTAGTCTACTGCCGAAAGACCCTACTGAGGAGGCAACAGTGGCCCACCCTCTACCCTTACAGCCGCCAGGAGCCCGTAGGACCTATAGGGTCCCTCGATCGCTACTTCAAGGGGCTAATCACTGACTCTGAAGGCTTCCAGGCCTTCCTCTGCGTGACAGACTTCTTCCAGAAGATCTGCCCGCGGTACTAGGAGATAGGTCATAACCTATCCTCCAAACGACAAACTACCTCTATTAAGAAACCAGATGGTTATAACGGAACTAGGGCACCAGTGGGAACTAGGGATGGATAGAACACATAGTAGCTCACGAGCAAGATTTGGAGGACGTCAGGATACGGCGTGTACTATATAGTATATAGCTAGAGCCTGCGACCCTTCACGCCACATACCCTCCGGGAGGTCTGCCGCAAGGGCGGCTGCGCCCTTGCCGCCATGGCGTTAAATAGAACAACAACAACAACAACAACAACATGTGCTTATGATCCCGGGAAAGTAAATGTGTAAGTACCTCGAGCTTGCACACTAGAACTAAGATCATACTGATCAGTATTTCTTCATGACTTCTGAGAAACCGTCAAGGCGATGGGTAGGGCCCTCCATCAACGTGCGCTGTGGGCGGGCGCATACTTGGCGTTAGGGTGACGCAATCGTTCTGCAGGAATTATAGCCTGATAGCTGGGACATCATGTGTTGAAATCTTTCTGCGTTAAGAACCATAAGATGAGGTCTTCAGTGAGGTGGGCTGCAGCGGCTACATGGCTTGCTCCAGAGCGACGCTCCGGGTACCCAACTCCAAGGCCCTCCCCCGGATGTTACATAGTATGCGAGGAAGGCAGAACGGAGCTTGAAGATTGAAGACGTGGTTTTCAGCACCCATAGAGTACATGTACGTTGTATCAAGTGTATTGATAACCCTGGCCATTAAGGCCATGGCCTTTGATTGCCCGTGTAAACGTCATACTTCTACTAATACATAGCCCAGCTCACATCAGACATGCTCGACCTTGGAGAACAAGGCGGCAGGCCTGAAAAATGCAAATCAAAATTCAACGCCATTTATATGAAACAAGATGATTTCGTGGCCGTTATGAATCGCGTCTACTGTTGGCTGCCAACGTAGGTCTCGCTAGTCGCGTCATCAACGATGATGGTGACGTTGTAGTTGGACAGGGTCGAGGACGAAGAGGCGCCGTACAAGCTGTACAGGCCTGCAGAGACAACATACTTGCCAGCTGCGAGACCAGCAGGAATCGTAACCGTCTCGGTGATGTTATCGAGGATGTTGGACTTTTCTGCATTATACGAAAGACGGGTATTAGACGTCAACATCAAAAATAATGGGAAGATTGTTTCGTCAAGACTTACCAGGTCCGAGGTAAAACGAGCCCAGGACATTCTGGCCGAGGGTTCCGGGGTAGGCAGAGGCTTCGGGAGCAATGCCGAATGCAATGGCGATGTCCGCGACCGTCTGGATGTAGTTCTCGGTCTCGATGACGGCCTGAACCTCGTCGCCAGCCTTTACGGTCTCGGGGAAGGCGATGCCGTAGATTCGGGCGTTGGCCATGGCGAAGAGGCCGGCGGCGGCAGCAAGGGAAGCGCGGAACTGCATTTCGAGAGAATTTGTAGATGATCGTATTAAGTTTAGTTTATTAGGCTGTATTGAGTGGCTGCGATTCTTGGAGGTTGCTTGAAGTAAGGGTGGTGGGAGTGGGAAGGGAACGAGACAGTTGAGGAGGGGTTTGTCTGATGTTTTTGAGTATTTTCATCATAAACACCAAATGAACATGACGAGAGACCCTTGTCGTCTGTATTCCCATGTCTATTTTCGTATGATTCGACGTCAGGGCCCCCTGAGAATATCTCCGTAGGCGAAAATCGTCTGGGCATGACATCGTTGGGCCGCCCCGGGTCACCCGTGCCAGCCAAATGCACGGCTCCGGCTCAAGCGGGTGGCGCTGCGGCTCGTGTCGACATCTACGCTACCCCTTTAGGGCATGCTCAATGGCACGGGTAAACGGGCTGGGCAGTTGGAGCCAGTGCCAGCATGATGTGAGCAAAAGCACTCTGGTATTCTTCCTACTCGATCTATTCTTGGTAGTCGCCGCCAGTCTTACGGGTTCCGCCGCCGCGACCAACAAGTTGCTACTTCCGCCTCAAAATGCGAGGAGGAGTCTGGTGCCGGTAAACTCTGGGGGAGAGAATGCCATGACTGGGGGGGAGGGGCCGCAGGGCGAAGCTGCAGGACACTAATCAAACCTTGGCCAAGTGCTCGACGCTGATCTGGTCGATCTTTATAAATAAAAACAACATCAATGAATTGAATGATGACAAAGGCTCGTATATCTCTTACAAGTTGTAATGAGTCTTACTAGAGGCAATGGCATTGGTCCGTTTAAGGCACTATGCAGTGAGTGGCACAAGGTAAGCACGTAAGGTAGCACGGTAGTTTGCTTCTCTTTGCCTCAACTCGCTCCAAATAGAGGAGCACACCAGGTTACGAGAACGAACAGAACCACCGGACTTAGCTTCCCTTACGTCCATCACGGCAACGTTTCAGCGCCAACGAGCACCCTAACACGTCAGATGGTCCGGCTAGGAACGTCAGCGCTTTGGACGGTGTGGGCGGTAGGCATGGCGCAATAGAACACGGGCAACGGGTTATGGAAGAGGGCCGGGGAACCCAGCTAGAGATGCGCCACTTTAGGGGTCCAATTGCCGACAGTGCCCGCTTGCTTTCAGTGGGAAACAGCGACGCCTTCACGCAGGTTGATTGCGATTGAGTCTTCCTGAATGAATTTGATTTAACGGAGTCGGCTCAATCAGACTTCATTCATCCTTTCCTCAGCCATAGTGCCTTCATCGAGATGATGTTACATGTTGTCCATGTCCAAATGAGTGAAATCCATATCTTTAACCCCGCTCGCCCCAGCGACAAGCCTATTGACAGACCTCACAACACGAGTCAGAAAACGAGAACACCGTTGCATTTAGGCGTGTCCTTTACGTTGCGAAAACAAAACAAAAGGATCGTGTACGTCCGCCAAAACGCAAAAACATTAATGCCGTCACCCACAGGATTCGAACCTGCGCGACCGAAGCCACTGGCTATCAGCTCTCCAGGATAGAAATCCCGAACTAGCAGGCCAGCCCATTAACCACTCTGGCAAGGTGACTAACTGATTGTTAAAATTTGTGGCTCTCAAGTGGATTATAATGCAATACGGACGGGGCTGCCAACGACAAGAGATCCACAAGCCCCTCTGTTGGAACAGCAAAGGCTGATAAGGAGTAATAGGCAGGTACCATGGGCTGGCTGGCACCTGCCCTGGGCGAAGTGGGACAACTGGCTTAGTCATCACGGCCGGATAAAGGTGGGGCAACCACCCAGGCCGTCACTACCTACTTCGACCGACTCCTGCCTACAATGTAAGATAGAACAACAACAAGAAGAACAAGCAATAGGATCACCAACAGACGAGTGATAATTGCTACCACTATTTGTCGTATACGACCCCGTGAACCAACACCCTCTGGTTGCTGGTATGCAAGGGGTATCCGTACAACAGTGACTGCATAAATGTGAGTGTTGGCTTTATGCAAGCTGCACACAATAAGAGAGTAGTTGAACATGCACCGAAAAACACGAAGTCTTCGGGCAATCCATGTTCTGTTCCCGGGTAGGTACGTATCGATTCTAAGTAATTCCAGACTGTGTCCAGATCGCAAAAGAACATTGTGTTAAACGCTGTCAGCACCCTATGCATCTGAGTCGTTTGATAATTTGACAAATTCGCACTTGCGAACCATTTATTCAACGTCCAGGTTGGCACTTGAGAGCAGTGAGTTGCTAAACTGTCGAGACATCTTAAAGACGTTACACAAGGGGTTCATAGAACGGTATGAATCACTTGAGTTAGAGTACTTGCGCAACGCTACGATAAAAAGAGCCGTCAAGTTTCAACATCCGGAGACATTCTGTCTTGTAATTTCTCATATTGCGGATGATCCGAAGATGACTCGAGGCACCGCCCTTCGCCAAAGACTGACCTACACCAGTAAGGGCATATGAAGTTACTTATCCTTAACTGTAAAAGATCAACTTGTTTCCAGAGCGCAGTCCTTTGTGGCTAGGAAAATCTACTAGTCGTCGAGGAATTCAAGCTTTACTCTTTTATCTACATGCAGATTCTAGTCTATTACTTGCTCGTTCCTTAAAGCGTGGTAAGAACATACTTCTTTGTCTAACTCTGGCTCTTTGAAACGCCGGACTTGAAGAATTGGGGGTAAACGTCGCGAAGCTCTCGAAGATGTCGAATCTGGAACTGGGAAGCCTGTGTCTCGGGGACGGGCAACCCTTCCTCGACAAGGTGCGCGGCCGTCCACCCAAGTTCTTTTGCGCTCTTGCAATTATCGTAAGAATCATCTGCATGTTTTCAGTACAAGTCATCTCTTGGAAAGCCAGTAGCGCAGTGCCACCGTGCCATTGAATGGGGTTAATAGTCAAGAGCTTACCGACAAAGTAGCAGTCTCCGGGATTTTCAACTCCTGCCTGTTCCATGGCCCTGCGGAACATTTCCTTGGCTGGTTTGCAGACGAAAGGGTACTGGGCGTAGTCGCAGTACGTCAAACCATCAAATAGATCATCGACCTCCAGGAGTCGCACGACTCTTTTTCCGTGGTTGACGTAGGCATTCGTGAAGAGCCAAAGTTTGACCTTGCTGGTGTCGATGTCCTCCAACAGCGCTCGGAGCTCTGCATCAGGCTTGAGGATGTCGTCGAGAGGTAACGCGTCATCCACCTTTGCGTTGAAGTCTAGCGGGTCTATCTTGTGGTGGCGGACTAAGCCCTCGATAGCGAGGCCGTATGTCTTGTAGTATTCTCTGGTCAATCTCGAGGCTTCCTTCTCCCCTAGCGACAAGTGTGTCACGAAGTACTGATCGATGAGCTTCGCCATGAGATCATGGATTTTATGACCTAGGAAAAAAGGTTAGTGAGTCCATTTGAATTACTACGATATTTGAGAAGAGGAAGAATTATTTTGCTTACTTCTAGAGTAAAGACAGTTGTCGATGTCGCTATTTCCTGGTGAGTCAATACGCATCCATCTGCTGAGCATCTCAGATTGATGAATTATTGAGCTTACAAAAAGAACACTGGCTTACGAGCCGTAGCACTTTCTTCTATTTTATCGACCATCATGAACCCTTCGTGAGTTGTGTTGTCGCTGAGATGTGTCCGATTCGAAGCTTATTGATGTGAAAACCCCGCGCTCAAATGAGATTGTGAGATTGTGTAAAGGTTCCGGAACACTTGCAGAGCCGCGGGAGCTATTTAGCATCTATAAATGGCCTGCGACAGAGACTCGGACACTGTTTGGGGTTAGCGTCTTGGAGGGATTTGCCCTGTGAATCCGTCATTGGAGGCTAGAGATCCACTGCGGTGCCCTGTGTCATGATGCACTACCAACTTTACTCGTTCCTCCACAGATTGCGCTGAGCAAAGCGGTGGAAATAGGTTGAGATGAGCTGAAGTCTTATTCGAAAAAGCACACTTCCGTCGAAACTCTCCGAATTGTATATCAGGGATGCGATTATATCTTGTATGGGCTCGAGAATCTTTTGTAGCAAGATGCATGTGCTCAGCACTTGCACGTACTTGTCTGGTCTATGACTCATTGTCCCATCAACAATACCTCCAGCTATTTGTTGGACAGGATACAACACACCTCCTATAAGGGAACTTGAACGCATCAGAGTTACAGAATGGAATCAAAAAGGGAATTTGAGAATGGCAGACAATTCGGCGTTAATACAGCCCGAGACATTGCATGGTGTTATCCATCTTGTCTTCAGAGCACCTATTTACAACACACGTACTCCGACCAAGCCCCGATCCTCGGAGGGAAAGGAATTCGTAACAGTTCCTGTTATTACTTTTGAGACTCTTTGCTCCACATGCACAAAATTCAAATACAAGGAGATATAGGCAGCATATAAGAGGGTAAAAGCTTAGCTGAAGACTTTTGTAAGCCGACTTCCCTTGCACTTATTTGCAAGGGTCAGAGCCACGCTATATGTATATACACTGAAATGTCTAGAAAACATGTACAACCGAAAGAAGGATATATGCCACGGTCATCTTAGAACTTGTGACTAACATTCACCTAGCGCAACCTCGCAACCACACCAGAGATGAGGCTACTGTAGGAGTAGCGGCGATCGCTTACATCAACATTCAACAACTTACTATTAAAGATGCATGATTAGCAACAGAAACATAAGAGAGCTACTCAGTAGTACTTACAGCAGTTCCGGCGCTGTTGAAGGTAGAGCCGATGGGGCCGAACTTGATGTTGGAGAAGATGACGTTGGAGTTGGGGGCCTGGGACTCGACATCGGCGGGAACGCCAGAGTCGGTGCCGCAAGAGCCGCGAGCGGTGCCAGGGCCGGTCTCGTTGGTAGGGTAGGTGGAGTCCAGCCAGAGCGCGTTGGAGTGGTGGTCGTCCCAGACGGACATGACGAGAACCATACCCTCGGAGAGAGCCTTGCCCATCTGAGCAAGACCACCCTTCTGAGCAAAGACGTCCTCGTCGCCGAAAGCCTTCTTCTGGGCGGTGCAGTAGTCGGTGGTGATGGAGTTGCCCTCAACGCCAGTGACGTCGGACTTGGAGTTGGCAAAGACCTTGCCGTCCTGGACGTAGAAGCGCTTGATGTCAGTCAGAGCGCCGCCGGTCTCGACGAACTGCGTGACGACTGTGATCTTCTTGGAGGTGTCGATGGCGAACTGGGAGCCCTTGCCGTAGAAGGTGGTGTTGCCCTGGCGGTAGCTGTTGAAGTCGCATCCATCGGGGTCGCACTGGCCGGCGTAGCGAGTAGAGCTGTACGTGCCTCCGCAGGCGTCGCCGCTGCAGCTCAATTGGCCGACAGTCTCGCAGGGGTGAGGGGTGTAAGCGTTGGAGACGGAGTTGGCCTCCCAGATGTCCATCTCAGAGCAGCACGAGCCCATGGTTCCGACGCCGGCGTTGGCGTCGTTGGATGAGGGCACCCAACCCTCGACGTTGGCCTTGCCGTCGATGAACTTGAGGTCGCGGGGGCACTGGCTGTCGCAGTAGCCGGTTCCGTGGGAGGCACCGGCCTTGTTGGTAGGGAACTTGGACATGCCACCGTCGGCGTCCATGGAGGCGAAGTACAAGGCGCCGTTCAGGCCGCACTATGATCGCCGTGTTAGTCAAGCTGCTGCTTCCTTGTTCGCCTGGTGGAGCTGAGGCCTTTTCACTTACACCAAGGTTGGAGACATCAACGTCAAAGGTGAACTCTTGGCCTAAGAGCTTGAACATTTGGTACTTATCGGTTCCGTCCATGAGGAACATGCGAGAGCCAATGTTCTTGCTGTAGGGGCCCTGCTGGACAAACTTGAGGTTGAGGGCATCGCCGGTGGTGGTGGCGCCGTAGGTGCCGGAGTAGTCGGCGCCGTCCACGCAGCACTTGGAGGCACAGTCCTCGCCGGTGGAGCAGATGGAGGTATCCCACTTGTTGCCGGTGTAGCAGTTGGTGCTGCCGTCGGTCTTGTGAGTCCAACGCCAGTTGGCATCGACGGTGACGGAACCGTCGACCGTGGTGCAGGCACCGCCGGCCGCGCAGTTGGACCAGGTGAGTGCAGGCTTGGTCTCCGCGTTGAGCGTGCAGACCTGCTGCGCGCGAACAGCGGCCACGAGGGCCGTGAGTGCAGAAACCTTGGTCAACATGGTGGTGATGATATATCTTCGGACGTCAAGTCGATAAAGAACGGATGGGAGAATCGATCGGGGAAAAAGAGTGTGGAAAGATGATCAGACGGGTCTGAACATAAAAGAATGAATGGGAGTGCCGGAAAAGAATGTCGCGAGTGGCTTGGGAGGAGGAAACGAAAGCCAAAAGTGAGCGGATGGCCTCGGACACATTATATAGACTCTCACATACTGTTTCGATCTCCCGTTCAAGGTTAAGCTATCATGAGATGGTTGCGCTTAGCCCCTCTCTTCCCACTTCCTTCCAAACTGCTTAATTTCCGTCCAGGGGCTTGGGAGCTCCTGCGAGCGGCTCGGAGTGAGTCGTGATGCATTCAATTGGGAACAGTAACCCGGGATGCATCGGTCATTGGAGAGTTGATGATTGTCTAGTGGGCCTGGATAGGCAAGATCGGATGCCTTCCCGCCTTGCCTAAGTCTGTCTTGAGGGCCCGGGGCAGGTGGGATTGGACGAACGTAGTCAGAGTCCATTTCTTGGAGACTTAAAGAGACCAAGGCAGACCAAGCCTGCTGGGCGAAGCTTGATCCGGGAGGGGCGCAACTTGGCTCTCTTGGTTCTCTCGTGGCAGCCGGTTGCAACAAATTGATTAATTACCACAAGGTCCAAAGGGCTGGTGACGCAGGGATAGGGAGCTGGATGAGCGAGTGAGCAGAGCACATGTTTGCCGCAACCCGTCGTGAGGTGACATCGTGTGTCTTCTCCGCAAAGTCAAGCAAAGCCAAGTTGGGGTCTATGCAAGGGGCACCCGGGCGGAATATCTCCCACCGCCCTCCGTTTGGGAGAAGCGTCTCCATGCGGTTGGATAAGTAATATCCGCCTCCCCTGCTCAAGCCGGAGGGCACGGCATTTACTGAGCATTACCGAAGCTACTGATGCGGGTATGACGGCGTCAACTTACCCCAACAATCAACTTATTTGCGGCACTGATAGCGTTGATCTCAGTTAGACTACATGTAGACAAGCCATCAAGAAGTGGTTGCTTGTCCAGCAAACTACCTAGCATGGAGAGAAATTTTGTGACCCTAATTCACCAGCAAGAGTTCCTAGTTTGCTTCATCCGCTCGGCGGCAGATAGTATTTGCCTCAATCTTTCTCACTAGGAATTCGGCCCACTATCGTGCACAGTCATCCAACGTGGGGTGTTGAACCGCCGACATCCGGTCAAAGTTGGTAATGCCCTCGAGTCTTGGCTCACCACTTTTAGATCTAACGGCAACCACAAATGTGACCAAGCCTGTGCCTTCAGGCTTGCAACTGCGCCCGAGGAATCACTATGTCTGACGAGAAACAGAGTTGAGTTCTCTTTATCTCATTCCTCAATCTTCCCCCTTAGTCTAATTTACTTTTTGGCCCCCTTTTCCTAGTCAGGTCATGCCTGTTTCGCGGCTTGATGCTGCCGGTAGTGGCGCCGTGGGCCCACGGAGCATCGCACGTAATGACGGACCGTGAAAAGCAGTCCACCTATCGGAGTCACTCAGCCGAGTGCGGTCCTGGTTTCTCCCGTGTACGGAGCTACTCAGTTGAGGTGTACAGATTCATTACGTACTTAATGCTACTCTAGATAACCCTAATCTCTATCTCTTGCAAAAGTCCCACGGTTTCTCCAAATTTCGGGCCCCGGGAATCTAATGCATGCAGAGACCCTCGAAAGCGCTAATGTCGTTGATGCGTGTCACGGAGGGTAGCGTACCGCATCCTCGGATCGTTAATGATCAGCCGCATTTACCTTCACCTGCTTTTGGTGTGGTTATCGAAGCTTTGCGGCTCCGAATCTGACGGCTTGGCCTCGCCTTGGTAATGGAAGTAGGTCAACGTCCATGTTGTGGTTCGAGAGAGAAACCGGCTCGGAGATTGTAGGCTCGGTCTCCTCTCTACCAGCGAGTTGGGGTCTCGGAGCCGAAATGCAAAGTTGTTCAGATGTAGTCCCATTTTGGCATGGATATCGCATCGTCTCAAGGCTAGAAATATTGGAACTATACACTAACGGAACGTCAAGCCGTAGCGTGGAGTGTCTCTGGATATATCGTCTGTGAGTCGGTTACTGGGCAGCATTAAGCTTCGTCCCACACTATCTGACCGTCGAGCCGATAACTCAGGTTGAGAACTAGTAGCAACTCTAGATCACGAATGGTTCGCGCCATTGGAACTATGGTCAAAGAAGATGAAGCTTGTCCAAAATAGATTGCTCAAAGAGTTCTATGAACCATGGTGCTGTGGTAGTGCGTTGGAATACGGGTACGGTAGGCTAAGCCTCGTCGACAAAGTGTGACTTCAGCAACGTTCTGAGCTTATGAGGTAGTCAGATACCTACTATTGGCGAGTGCGGTATGGACACGACGAAGCTTGAGGCTCGAAACTTTATATACAGTCCAGCTTAATCTCAGAGTTGAAGGGGCGAGCGCAAGCTGATGAAAGACCCATAAACATAGGGCAAGTTTGTCCGACGAAACAACCCTCTTTGTCAGTTACATTTCAGGCTGCGAGTTGAAAGTCAACCTTAAGATCGGCCGTTTGTTTCGTCACAGAAAACCCCCGACTCTTGATTGCACCATCCACTGTAGTGGTGCAAGCCCTCCGGTCAAGGTTGACGTTCAGAAACAGAACAGGCAATCATGCTCAGCAAATCAAACGGGCAAGAAAGGTTGGTATGCTACGCAGTCGTGACTGGCTCTCTCTCATCTCACTGGGATCTACTGTGCATCCCTTCTCGACGCACTGCTGATTGGACTAGATGAGAGGACGAGCGGACAGAGTTTTGCAGATTGTTAGGTTTCCCCAGTCTGTCGTCGAAACGGTTGAAACGATGACTGAGAGAACAAATGCCGAGCGATTTCCGACCAGCAAGCAAGTGTTCCGTTCTGCATTGATGGGATTCAGCAATAACGAGACTATTGTTGCGATGCGAGAGCGACAAAAATCTGCGTGATCTTCCCAGGGAGTTCCAGTTTATAGTAACTGTGGATTGCAATACTAAGGAGGAATGCATCTAGACTATGATTGACTTTCGATCATATGCAAGGTACCGGTGCATTGTGCACCAAATGCAGACGGGCCAGTCCATACACCACACTTGACACGGAAACTTTCAATGCAACTAAAGACGGTAAAGGAATCCTAAAGGTAATGATGACTGAGTTCCGAGGTTACTCAACTTTGGCAGTCCCTCCCAATATCCACCGACCGTCCTCACTGAGGGGGATCTCCATGCTTTCCCCCGCGAGCTAACGCAGGTCCTGAGGTTGGTGTCTAGACATATAGTTGAAGCCAAGAGATCTAAACCCGCTTGTAAGGCTTAGCATATTGCAATACTCAAACCTTGCAGAAACGTCGCAGGAGGAGCGCTGTCCCTCCTCGAATCACATAAGTGGAATCATTGGCATACACACGTAGATCAATCACTTGAGGAGGAAAAATCTGATTATATACGCTGCCAAGAACAATCACCCACATCAACACACATAGTAATAGGCCGTCGATGGTCAAGAGGGGTTGATAGAATTCATGTTATGCAATACGGTGCCGCAGACTTTCCCTCCCTTAAACTCCCCGGTCGAAACATTGCGGATACCTACATCGCACTTTGGAACGCCTCTTGTGGCGGACCATTTGTCTTGGGATTCTCCCTTATCTTTCTGCAAAAGGGAAAATTAGGAAAACCAGGAAATCGGAATTCAACGCTTTGTTCCTTCTGACCTATCTTGCTTGTATCAGCACCGGTGGGATTGCCACATGCTTGTAGCATTGAATCGCCGCCTCGCATTCCCAACTGAGCAACTGCATGTTCCCCCAATCGTACGACCATGCGCGAGGCCTTATCCGGCCGGCCCTGCATCGCTTACTATCCGTAGCATCTGTGCGTTTCAGCACGGGACTCTTCGAACATGCCGACGTGGGCGGGTTGATGGGTGGGAGGGAAATAACGGGCTATGGTTTGTTTAACACCGGGCGAAGGGCAAAAAAGACTCTAGGAACTCCACCACCTCGGTTTCAGGAACGCAAAGTCAAGTCTTTTTTGGGACGCACAGCTCGGCGGCAGGCCCCGGTCTACTGCATATTGGTGAAAAGACCCGAGAATGCGGGAGAGGAATTTCAGCCTCTGTGCAAGCGTCTCGGGTTCGTCGTCATTGCCGTATGTGGTTGGAATTCGGCGAATTTGCTGGGCAAAGTCCTCATCCCCATCATACTGGTACTGTTCATTTTTCACTATCATCAGTCATTGCAAAAGAGCACAGCAGACGATTTGACATCAAATCATGGCTATGAAAAATTTTTATAATGTGTACACACAAGTAAAGAGTAAAAAAAGATGTATTGGGTGTAAAAAAAAAAAGACTCGCAACCGCTCTCCAAGATCTCCGCAAAGCAAAGCAAAGTAAAGTTTGCCGCTTTTGCCCTTCTTCCCAAGATTTGAGTTCGCCGCGGTTTTGTGTGTCTCTGTGCGCTCGCTCAACAAAGAGGAATGTACTTGTAAGTGAGACTTTGAATTAGGAGGAAAAACCACAATTTGACGACCACCGCGTGAAAAGGAAGAAACGGCTCAGAGCGCTCGTCTACCATCAGCAAAGGAAGCTGAAACTTCTCATTCTAAGCAGAAGATCCCCTTCATGGCATAACCTCGGGCTGGAAGTCGGCACCGGGCACGACGTAGCGCTTGGCCCACCGAAGGGATCCGTTCTCCTCACGCTTGGCGGCTCTGCCACGCTTGCCAGCCCGGCCCTTGCCGCGTGCACGTCCGTTGCCGCCGGCGTTTCCGGCATTGCCGGCGTTGCCATTGTCTCCAGCGTTTGCGTTGCCGTTACCAGCGTTGGCGTTGCCGGCGTTGGGGTCAGCAGCAGGCGCGGCGGGAGCAGCGGCGGGAGCAGCGGCCGTGTTGCCTCCGGTCTGGCTGGGGCCGGTATTCTCGACGGGGAATTCCTTGACAGTGACGGGGGGAGCGCCCAGAACCTTGTTGGCGGCGTCAGTGGCGGCCAGCTGCTCGGGGGTTCCGTCCTTCTGGTTGGCAGCAGCAGCGGCGGGGAAGTCGACGATATCCTGCTGGACCTGCTGGAGAACGCCCTTCAACTTGGCGCCGGTCTGGATGTTCTGGGGAGTGTTCTGAGTAGGGGTGACATCGGTCTGCTGGACAGCGAAGCAGCCACCGAAGGGACCGGCGACAGCGTTGTTACGGCAGCGGACAGTGCAGACGTTTCCGGTAGAGGCTGTACATTCAAATTAGTATTAATAAACACGTTGTCGAGTCTGCTCAGCTACTAACCTCCATTGCACTTCATGTCAGCAGGCATCTTGACGGTGACGTTGAACTGCTGAGCCTTTGCCTGGGAGAAACCGTTGGCGCCGGGAACGTTGTTGGTGACCTCGAGAGGGATCTGGCCGGTGCCGCCGAGTGAGTTGCTGGTCTGGTCCAAGTCGCATGAGAAGGGGCCGGCGCCATCGGCGTTGACCTGGTGGATGGTGACAGTAACCTCGCCGCCCGCCTTGACCTGCGTAACCTGGTTCGCTGCCAGGGCGTTCTCGGTGCTCTCGCCAATGTCGATGTTGCCAGCAATCTCGGTGCGTCCGCACTCGTTGACGATGTTGGAGTTGATCTCCTTATCACGGATAATCGTAGCATCCTGCTGGCAAGGGTTGATCGTCGTGCAGTTACGGGCGATGTTCGGGTCAACTGATTTCAAGGTTAGTATCAAAGATCGTGATATCCTCCCGCTCGTTCCTCCTCGGCGCAAAACATACCCAGGAACCCGACACTAGCAGGTGAGCCGGCGTCTCCCTGAGCACCGAGAATGGCAGCGTGGCCATGGGCAACGGCCAGGAAGGCCGAGCCGATTAAAATATCCGTGAAAGAAAGCATCTTGTCTCGCAGAGACTAAGTCGGAATGTGCCAGCACGATTAAAGGAACGAAGTGAAGGGAGAAGTGAAAAGAAGAGAAGGAAAAACGGAAAGGCCCGGTGAAAGAGCGTAGGCGCAGAGGAGGATGATATGATGTGAGGGTAGAGAGAGGGCAGAGGGAAACTTAAACACGAGACGACGCCGCGAAAAGGTCGTCTTATACGAAGGCTCGCGGTCGAGGACCGAAACGACGCAAACACTGCCAAACGTCGACCAGCCCATGATGTACGCTGATCTGCTCAGATCATCTGCAACACCTCTTGTCGCAAGGCTATGGTGCTGGGCGGAGTCGCGACCTAACCCTGAACCCGACGTACCTTGGCAGATGGAGGGTAGGGGACTGAAGGGGGTGGTGGTGGTGTGTGGTCGGGGGGGAAGGGACGAGCCATGGAACCTTGGGGGAGGTTAGGACCTCACTTGAGGTTGAGGAGGAGGTGAGTGGCCACAAGTATGGGCAGCTGCCAGCAATAGAATGGGCACCATGGTGCAGTTCGCGTTAGTTCGAGACCTGGTCAAGCGGCCGGTAGCGAGGCGGTTGGAGGAGGCTCACATGGGGCCCTGGGGGCATATGTCGAGTGACGGTGGATCTGGAGGAGGGTTTTGGCTCGGGATCCCTGTCGATTGACGGACATAGTGACGGCGAGTCAACCACTAGTTTTCATAAACGGCGACTAGCCGTGTTTGGCAGGGCCGAGACAGATGGAAAGAAAAAGGTCGGACGATTACGCGCTGGGGGGGCGCTGTTCTGAAGAGGCGAGCGTGTTTCACAGAGCATTAGGAGATTCCCTAGTAAGCAATTCTGACAACGGCTGCGGACTGCAGACTTCCTAGTCGACGGTCGATGGAGGAGGGCGGGAAGCCTGGCGAGAGTTGAAAGGTTGCGGTTTGCTCACTGAACTCTGGACGCTTTGAGCAACGATTTCGCATACGGCCCTGTTTTCTCCCGGGGGTCAGCGCTGTCCCATTCGTCTGTTTCCCAGGATAGTCCCATCTCTTCTCGGCCCAAAGGGGGTCACAGACTCGAGGAGGTGATACAGACGCCAAGCACAAAGGCACCAAAGCGCGCATACGACAGCCAGAAGCGGTGCCGCGGCGAGACGGACGAGGTGAGCCGGCTCTCACGCCCTCTCACTCTCCTCTCGTCACTTTCGGTCTCTGGCGTCTCCCAGTCTCGCTCTTGTTTTCTCTCTTCATCTCCTAACCCCCCTCCCCCTCCCCCTTTCGTCCCATTCCTGAGGCCTTGACATTGACAGGCGCAAGCGTGGGCTCTTTCCGACGCGGATAGGAAGCAGAGAACGTGGGAACTCGTCTGGTGTATTACCCCAATTCTGAGACTCACGCTCGGAGACCCGCCGAAGCAGGTCGCCATTGTAGCCCAAAAGGAGCCACGGACGCGCGACGGGACGGGTAATCCGTCAGATCCAACCCAGATCGTGGCGCACACGCTAGTCTGACAAGTCCGACGGACGAGAAGATGGGGGAACAATTTGTTCAGCTGAGCCTCATTTTGCTTGGTCCTTGGTGATCAGCGCCACTGATAGGTAAGACCAGCGACGTTCGGGAGATCAGCTTCGACTCGACTTGCTTGATATGTAGCCAAGACCACTTGGCTCCAGTAAAGAGCGTGGAGAGAGAGTTGGAGTGCAGTGCATCGAGCAGAGAAGCCCTACCGATAGTGAACTCTGTTCTTGGTGAGCCTGGGGAGCAATCTATCCTCTCCCACCGGCATCCCCGTATGCCACTTAAGGTACAATTTAGCGGACGGATACCTGAAGGCTTGCGAGCGTACCTTGCATGGGAAGTGTGGGAAGGGACATGGAATACGTTTCCCTCGCGTGCCTCGGGGTAGAGGCTCGGAGTGCCGCACCGGCAAAGCAGCTCGCTCTTCTTTCCGCCAGTCCAAGTCCAGAACTTTCTCTCCTCTCTCACTCTCTTTGTGTCTCTCCTTCCGGCTAGCGATTCCGCGTAGATTGCCAGCCGCTGGCACCATTACCCTAAAAATTCTCCGCGACATAAAGGAGACGCGCGAGATCCACAAGATTGCTGCAAGGAGTCATCTCATCCCTGCTGGCGCCTGGGATCTTCAGACCAGGATCTCCCCTTCACGTTTCACCCCTGGCCCACATCTGGAAGCCAAGAGCAGGTGTCATTCGATCACGAGCAGCCTCAAGTGGGTGGGCTGCGTCGAGCGAGAGGGCAGGAGACTGGTCACTGGAGGTGGAGGGGGGGATGGACTCAAAAGAAGGGACGTTTCGAGACGAATCTGAAGCATCGACATCGAGCCATATGAGAGTAAAAGGGGATAGCTCGGCATTTTACTCTGAGCCTGTTCTGTGTCGTCACTCGTCACTCGTCACTCGCCAATAGTGCTTCTGATATCCACAACCTCTGGTCTCGCGACCGGGCCCCCGTCCTCCGGGGGTGTGAAATAAATCATAATGGGATTTCAGATAGGATTAATCTCGTCTCGCGCTGCCCTCCGCAACCGTAAAACTTTAGTGCTCGTCTCTCTCCTCTCAAATAGCCCGTGTTGCCCATATTACTAACCTATTACCTGCAATGTCCGCCGCCCCGCCGCCGCCTCCCGCCAGGAACAACTCCTGTTCGACCCGCCTGCAACCTTATGCGACTGGTCAATAGTTGATAATGTTAAACGGGTGCATCCTCGGCGGGAAGCGATGCATCAACCTCGCAGATTACCTTTTTTTACTTGCATGCAACAGCCCCGATGTGATTGTTGTCGCATCAACCTCATCAGTGTTTGACAGTTTTCACTGCGAGACTCCCTTGTTCTTGTCCTTGGTCTTCCAGGCTTGGTCAGCGTCGGGATGAACCGACGGGCTTGCAATATGCTTCCGGGCCTCCTCTTTTTGCTTATAGTCTGAGTTGAACCTTTTATCTCGTTCGCCCACGTACTTTGCAAAGTCCAATTGGCCGGGCTGGGTGAAGCTTGTCATGAGTTGCGGTTCGCCCAAGGGCAGCTGGTGGCCTTTGTCGACCTGCCAAAGGTGGAATACTTTGCCGTACAGCTGAACGACTTGCTCCATCTCCTTATTCTCTGCTGCCTGCCATGCCAAGTCCGGCAGCTTTCCCTGTGGCATGATGAGCATGCCTGACTTGACTTCGTACACATGGCTGTGCCAGAGCTTGCGCTCCTCCGAATCCAACGTTTCGTAAAGTTTGGGGGTGATCATGTACTCGATGCCTATGATGCGTGCGTTCTTCTCAGGACTATCGTAGAGGATGCATTGGCGGATATCTTCGTTCAAGTGTCCACAGTAATGGTTCGCTTCGACCACGCGGCTTGGGTCAGAAGCGTATGCGTGGAAGGCGTTGAGGTGAGCGCAGATGTTGCTTAATGGTGCAAGGTCCTATTCAGATGTCAAAGACCGTGACATGATGGTAGCTAGTAAGAGGACTAGGACTTACTTGCACTATTGAAGCACCAGCATTGAGTACTTGGTTCTTGGTGCTGATGGGGTCTCCGGCATTTGTGTCCGGCTTGGTCGCCATCCTGTTCGATAAGCGAGATTGCAATGGTGCTGTGAGTAAACACCTGCTCGATTTATACAGGACCCGGGGATTCGCACTTGTGGCTAATGTCAGAAGAGATCTCCTATATTGAAATAGCAGCTGTTGTCGATGTCTTGCGTTTCCCCCTCATGCTGTTTGGGGAGGATTCGCACGCTTTGACAGAACCCGAACATCCCCTCTTGACGTCATCAACGCGGTTTTCGCGCTCTGTTCTGTGGCTACAATTTCATCATCATTGCGGCATCGAACAATGAGACGGAAACACCAACTGCATCTCGGGGAAGGGGGACCTGCAAATGCGGGCAGCTGCACGGGCAGGGGCCAAGAAGAGGCGCGGAACATCGTCTCCTGCCCGTCCACGGCGGCCACGTGCGGGATACGGCGGGCGGTCGCCCCGCTTTCCCGGCGCGGTTTCTCCGGCGCGGGTCTTCCCGCCTTAGCCTTGGCGTGTGCTGCCGGACTCCGATCGGTCGGCGCCGAGGAGGGGCAGAGCCTGTCGGCCGGTGGAGCGGAACAATGCCCTGTGCTCGGATTCGCGTCGGTGATTGACCGTTCCGACTCACATCGCAGTCAATCATCTCCACCAAAATTTTGAAACGGCTGCTGGCCTGACTGGGCTGTGGAATGGTACGAGGGAACCGCGTAAGCACCGATTTGCGCAATCGCCGTTTCGAAAAGCTAGAGATTGTAACGAGATAAGAGTGTTTGTCGCAGCTTGGACTGCAACTTGAATGTATCAAAAAGGGTTTTGGTTCGCATTTCCCTTTCTTTTCGCCATTACATAACATCAAGGATTATGCGAGATAGCAGGTCCCGAAAAACCCTGAGGGCAGCTCATTTATTCAAATCATGTATATTGCCATCTACAATGCAATAGACTACACGTAGTCATCACAGATACTCGCAAGACGATCACCAAGTCAACTCCTAAGTGATCCTATGATACCTCCCCCAAGACATTGATATCCGTACTAGAGCCTAGTGAGCAGGCCACCCTCCTATATGTGACGTCTGTAGGCTTGCCTCGAGCAAGACTAGACGCAGAAGATGCAGCCACAGCTGAAGTCAAAGCTACAGTCGCGCTTGTGTACGTCGGGGTACGCGGCAACGATAGCATCAACATAGTCCTTGCTGAGCTTGATTGAATTTGTCTGACCCTCGGGGTTGGGGGCAGCCAGAGCGAGAGACGCCAGAGTAACAGTGACGGTTGTGATGAACTTCATTTTGACTGAAAGCAAAACTTCTGTGAAGCTAAGTCTGTTAGTAAATCCCAGTGTTTTTTGATACGATTGAAAATATTGAGTGAGATGTTTGGAACGCATGCAATCCCAAAATAACTAGACCTACATTTCTAGAGTGGGATTAAGGGTTGAAACTTGAAAACTAGTGTCTAGAACTTTTCGAAATGGCTGCTGGCTGGAAACGTCCAAGCTGTACCTTTTGAATCGAGGATTCCATTCCTTTTTATACACAATTGCATCGATACTGCTTTTGCTTCGAATCAGCAGTCTGTCGCCCGTGTCAATGACTATCTCGGGTGTTTGAAGTCCCAGCTGTGAGATGCACAGATCTGCCGGCCAATGATTTGCAAATGCGTCTGAATCCTTCAAAAAAACTTGATTCCACGAATAGGGAGACTTACACTATACCGCTAGGATAGGTTTCCTTTGAGTGCTGATCGTGTGACTTTGGTCGCCCATCATACTAGCCCGTCTAGTATTGTCACTTTTAGCTTGACAAGGCCTGAGTTGAGGTGAGTGAACAACAAAGTCTACTTCACCGTGGGACTTCCACTATGTTCTTCGCCTCAATTTGCGAAATTGATAAGTGCTTCCCAAATGATCACTGTAAGGCCATCTCACAGGCTCGTACATCCTCATGCAGTAAGCCTACATGAAGCTCGCTTACCCTATACCAATCTGTGAGCCGCCAAGACTGTCCTAGGAACTTTAAAGAAGGATTGAGAAGAATCATGCCTGTTCATCCGTGGAACAGTTTAAAACCGTAGGATTCAACGTTGCGATTGATGACTTCATGATTAATCCTCGAGCCTTGATGTTAAGATAAGTAGCCGGGTTCAACGAGGTCGACTTGTTTAACTTGACAAGCAAGTGACGGGAATTCTGGGTCTCCGCATCGACATTGGAAGGATCAGACTAGACATGATCCTATAACGCGGGGTTGTCAAAGGGAAGCTAATTGAGCAGGCTGATTCTTGTTTCAAAGCCTTAGCATTTCTCAGAGTTACTTAGGTAGGGCACGAAAGAAGGAGAGGTTATGTGACTCAGTGAGAGACGTTCCGACTTGCCTTGAAGATTGTCGGGGTTTCACAAGTACATGTATCTATTTAGTTCTGTCCGGTCTCTTAATGGCAGTCATGGTTTTCGATGTGTCCACACAATGGGAGACTCGTACGTAGAGCACGTTAGCAGTCTTGGCAGTCTACATTGGCCATGGACCTCGCTCTCCACGCCTAGACACCGACACGATCCGAGTACAGTTCTTTTCCATATCCTCTTTTTTCTCAGATGATTTACAACACTAACGTACCTGCATAGCGAGCGACGCATCATAGCGAGCGACGCACGTCCTCCCAATTCTACCCTCTTCATCTTTAGGTCACCTTTTCTCCACGTACGAACATGCAATCCTCCTCAATTGAAAGTCGAATTACCCTTGCCCTCCAAGCTATTGAAAAAGACCCGAAAATGTCTATACGAAGAGCTGCCTCTATCTATGAGGTCCCTGAATCAACCCTCCGCCACCGACGCGCTGGACGCGTCGCACGAGGTGAAACACGACCAAATTCGATGAAGATGACTATAACAGAAGAGGAGGTGATTCTTGAACGAGTTATTGACCTAATCGATCGAGGGTTCCCTCCGCGACAAGAAGACGTACGAGAAATGGCCGACCAACTCCTAAACGCACGCGATGGGACGCGTACTGGACCGCGATGGGCAGAGAACTTCGTACGACGCGTCCCTGAATTGAAAATGCGGTTTCAACGTCGAATCGACTATCAGAGGGCCTTAGCTGAGGATCCTACGATTATACAAGGCTGGTTTGCACTTGTGCGAAACACAATTGCAAAGTATGGGATACAGGATAACGATATCTATAATTTTGACGAGACTGGTTTCCTGATGGGAATGCTATCGCACGCAAAGGTTGTTACGACTTCTGACCGTAAGGGAAGGCCTCGTACGAAACAGCCTGGCAATCGAGAATGGGTTTCTGTCATTCAGGGTGTATGTGCGGATGGCTGGGCGCTGCCTCCGTACGTCATCGTAAAGGGCAAATATCACCTCCTCTCGTGGTATATTAATGGCCAATTTCCAGCCACATGGCGTATCCATCCAAGCGAAAATGGATGGACGACAAATGATATTGGCCTAGATTGGCTAAAGCACTTTAATCAGTGTACAAGGACTCGTACGAAGGGCTCTTATCGCCTCTTGATCCTTGATGGCCATAATAGTCATAAATCGACTGACTTTGACGAATACTGCAAGGAACAAAACATTATTGCTCTTTGTATGCCTCCCCATTCATCACACGAGCTTCAGCCTCTTGATGTTGGGTGCTTTAGCCCGTTAGAGTACTCGTACGGCAAGGAAATCGAGAAGATGATGCGGATACAGATTTCCCATATTACAAAGGATGACTTCTTTCCTGCCTTTAAAGCAGCATTCTTTACTTCCATGGGCGAAAATAACGTACGAGCTGGTTTTAGGCAGGCAGGCCTTGTACCTTTTAACCCTGAAGTGGTTATTTCTCGCTTGGATTTCAAGCCAAAGACGCCAACACCATCAAACTCACGGCCAAGCAGCCAAGGCTCCTGGGACCCAAGGACACCAATTACAGCACTAGAGGGCGTACGAAGTGCTACCTCCCTTAAAAGGAAGATCCAAGCACATCAAGGTAGCTCACCAACACCAATGTACGAAGTAATTGACTTCCAGGCCAGAGGTATTAGCAAGTTAGCCCATAGGCTTGCTATTATTGAGGCTGAGAACCGTAAGCTTCGTACGGGGATAGAGGTACTAAGTAAGCGCCGGAGGGCAAAAAAGACCCGGCTACGTCTTGGAGGGTCACTTAATAGTGCTGAAGCAGAGGCACTACAAGTAGAGAAGGGTGGTGTTAATGCTGGAGGAGAGAATAACCCTCAGAAGGAGGGTCGTACGGAAGGTGCTGAACCACGCGCGCGACGATGTGGTAATTGCGGGAAGCCTGGACATAACGCACGAACCTGTGAAGTGGTTTGGGATAGTAATGAGGAAGAGGGTGATATATAGTTTTAATTGATTTCGTACGTTGTGGCTAAGTTAACTTATACATAAGGTAGAAAGGTTTGAGAGAGTGCGTCGCTCGCTATGATGCGTCGCTCGCTATGCAGGTACGTTATAGAGTATAGATTTGTGGACGTACCAAAGTCGCCATGAAACTCAAGCAAGCAGCACTGCTGCACCGCCGGAAACCCCCGAAGGAGACCGTCCAGAGTTCAAAAGTAACGTGCCTTCTAGGTGAGGTTTGAAGTGTGTAACCCTGAACTCATCAGCATTTGTTGTCTCCTCAAACCTTCAACTATGTACTTTACCTATATATAGGTAGAATAAAATGTTGAATAAACGTAGTAGCCCGGAGTAAGTAGAGGCCATAGCCCTAGGTCTGAGACGAGACGCTCCATGTCTTCTTTTCAAAAGAGACTCATCAAGTTCGTGATGTCTATTTGCGGTTAGACCACCATGTCTTACTTATGAGGAGCAGATTATCTGCCGCCGACACTGAACGATCTCAAACTTAGCCCCTCTCACCACAGCATCTGCCGGCCCATTAATCATATGCTTCGTCGCTATCCCATTGAAGGGGCTTTCACCGATTGCAGACTTTCCACAAATTACATTGGCCAAGAACCTGACGAGTATCCTCCTCTTGCTGCCTCTGCGCTTAAATGCTAGCCACTTATGCCCGCTTTGTCAGGCGCTGTCGCCAGCTCTTTGATACATGACTCGCTCACGCTGACTCTTCGTATCGACTATTTCTGTGCTGTGGCCCGCGCCCTCGAGCTCTTTATCTGAGAGATCCTCCGAGATAAGAACCCTTTCTTCACAGAACAGAAAGAAACCACTTTACGCATCGAAAGTTCAGCTGGGAAGTCTATAGCGTGGGCATCGGAAAATATTCCGACCATCCGCAGCCACTCAGCATATCAGGGTTGTCAGCCCCCTCATGCCCTGGGAAATGTCTCGCAAACCCCTCATCTCCGCTCCGGTGCCATTTATGACATGCTCAATTCACCGTCCGCCCTGGGCTTATCCTGCGGAGGTCTCCACCCCGCAGATAATCCACCGAACAACACCGCGTACGTGAGGCGTCAGTCGCTCGCCAGCAGAGTCATTTCCAACGACTCAAGCCCTGCTTCCAGGTCTTCCAGAAGGTCTCGCACCCACCCTTTCCGGATTCGTCCGCCTGCAGAGGGTGTGGTCGATCTACACAGATGAAAGGAAACAAACCGTTGGCAGCCGGATGAAGTGAGTCGCCCAACCTCGCGGGCCCCTTTGCAGACGCGGAAAGAAGAGGGCGAGCTTACTCGCTCGGCGCTGCGCGTGACCGAGAAGAGAACCCAACTTGAGATCCGACAAACATTCCCCCGAGCAGGTCCCTTCCCAACACGGCCATGTCCCAGAAACCAACAAGCTTCGCTTGTGACCGGTGCAGGGCGGGGAAGCGTAAAGTAGGTCGCCCGGTGCGAAGAAGAACTCTCCCGAAGTTTTGCTCCATTCTAGACTCCATTCTAAACCCCACGGGGAAGGACCAACTTCCCCGAGCTCCCTTGCTAGTCTCTTAGTCCTTTCGTGAACTGCCGTGACTAACGAGTTTCTCCCATCGGCAGTGCGATGCTGCCCGTCCTGCATGCTCCTTGTGCAGCAGGCAGAACAGGGAATGTGTTTACACTGAGCAACGCCCCAGAAAGTGTGTAGCCTGGTTACTTGTGGTTCACCTCGACTAGAAGTAATGCTAAGTAACAATCGGATAATGTCGCTAACGTAATCATCCAGACGGAAATACTGGGATGAGGACTACGTCAGAGCCCTCGAAGCCCAAGTACAGTCGCTGCTCTTGGCTCTAGAGAAGCAAAGCGTCGAGAAGGAGTCGTCGTCGCCGTTGTCTCTAAGTGACCGTGCATCTCACTCTGCAGAGCCTGATGCCAGTCTCAGAGAAAGTCTCGATGGAGGTGATGCCACTGAAGGTCTCGCAGTCAGCGGCAACGACGAGGACACCAAGGACGTTGTCTCCATAGAAGACCATGGAGGTAGTGCAAGCAAGGACTCGGGGACACAAGAGAGGTCTCAGATGGCAATGGAAGAGCTCTGTGTAATGTTATGGAGAACAAACGTCGGGGACGGGGTAACTATCATCGACGACCCTGCCATTGCGTCTCACTACTCAATCGACCCCATACAGCCGGCTGTACCGATGGCCCATCAAGTCATCCCTCCAGAACAAGTGCTCGTTTACTGCCGACAGAAGGGCCTAATTCACGAGATGGCGGATCTCTTCTTTGATAACATCAACCAAGAACACCAGTTCACGCCCTACACGACCACCGACTTTCTCCACAGCTACCCTTACCAATCTCCAGATGAAGCCTTCTTACACAGTGCCATCATAGCAACGGGTACAACCTTTACACGCAGGCCCGATGCCACCCTCATAGGAGATGCATTCGCGCAGTTTGCAGAAAGCCTCATCTTCACCTGCTGCAGGCAGAATCCTACACTCAAGGTCATCCAGGGGCTGTCCATGATGTCCTGGCGCTCATTGGCCATGGGGAGAGATCACTTTGGCTGGATGTTCATCTCCATGGCCGCCGGCATGTGCGTACATCTGAGACTGCACGTCCTGGTGCTAGACGAGTGCGAGGCCAGGCAGCTGGAGGCTACGGAGCAGGAGATTCACACTTTTTGGATGTTTTACATCATTGACCGGACAGCCATCTCGATTCTCGGCCGTGACTGTGCATTGCCGTGGCGGAGAGTCAACGTGCCGGACTTTGAGATGACCTTTGAGAACTCGAAGGCGGACCTTGGTCAAGTATCTTTTGCATGGCAGTGTAAGTTGTGGTATCTACATGACCAGTACATGGATCAGGTGTAAGTACTGCTTCCCAAACTCCCACACATTTCTCAAAAGTAGACTTCCGTGATTAACATCGATCTCAGCTTCTCAACAAACTTCGAATCTCTACCCATGCCACAACAAGTACGCATTCTCGTAGCAAGCCAGGACGCACTCAGCGCCTTCTTTCGATCACGCGACGACAGGCTCCATCTATCGGGTGACTCGACCCCGAAACCAGTCATTCAATTCCACCTAGCCTACCAAATGACAATCCTCATCACTATGCCGCCTTTCCTCCGCATCTTCGCCGCAATCTCACAAACCTCAGAAACAACCGAGCCCGGGAACACCACTAACAGCAAAAGACAAAACTCGGAATTCATGCTCCTGGTTCTCCGCTCCCTCACCGCAGCAGCAACCGCAACATCCCGCCTCATCCGCACCTACCGCCGCGCCCACGGCTTCGACACCTCCCCGAACCCAGTCATTATTCACCACCTCCTCAGCGCCGCAATCGTGCACCTGATGAACGCGACCAGTTGGACGCCGGCGCTGCGGCATCAGAGCACGTACTGGCTCCGGCAGTGCCTCGAGCTTCTGCGCGAGCTGCAGGTCTCGTGGCCTGTTCGCGCCGTCAAGAGCATCAAGATCATCCGCGTGCTCGCGCAGCGGTGGGGCGTCATGAGGGCCTTGCCCATCGAGTTCAGCTACCAGATCGAGCAGACAACGACGCCTGATGCAGAGAGGGACTCGGGCGCGAATATTACGCAGCCTAGGAGTAGGAATATGGGTGAGGCGGACCTGGGTGGCGTGAACCAGGTCCAGTTTGAGTATGAGTGGGATGGGTGCGGCGCTACTGCGGCTGACGCGCCATCCGTGGACTTTAGTACCTTGGACATGAGTTCTTTTGCGTCTTTGGGAACTCTCGATGTTTCTGGATTGAGCGGTCAGCGGACGAATGCCATGGGCAGTGTTGACTTTCTCCAAGCCTCCCAGGGGCTCACGGATTGCGAGGATTTCAACTGGCTTTCGAGCAATAACGGGTTATGAGCGGGTTAAGAGATGGAAAATTGCCTCGGGTACGTGTAGCGCAAGACTCATGTTAACAATATATCGACACTATGGGACGAGACTTTTTCGTCGTTCTAGAAGAATTTGTGGCGATCGAGGCGTTGGGCTGCGATTGAATGGTCGGAAGGTCACGGGCGGAACGGTCGAAGTGTCGAGATGAAAAGTTTGATTTGCTAGAAGGACAAAAAAACGCAATTATGAAATAGGTATCTAGAGAACAAGCACAGGTTCCTCATCCTCCTTCGCCTCCTTCGTAACACTACCATCCGCCCTGACTAGGATCTTAATCTCCTTATCCACATTAAGCCTCAGAAGATCCGGTCTGCTGTAGTGACCGGTACAATCCGCAAACATCTTTGTCCTGTGGATGGCGTCAAAATCCAACTCGCCATAGATAATGGTCTCCGTGGTCTCGTCAACGGGCTCCGATAGCCTCCGGCCGTCCGGGCCGAAGATGGCAGAGTTTCCGCCGCCGGGGGTGGACATGATGGCGCCGCCCGCGCTGCTGTGCGCCGCGATGCCCTTTTCGGAGATGAGCGCCGTGCTGTGGAGAACAAAGGCATTTGACTCGATAGCGTATGTGCGGGAGAGGTTTTGGCATCCTAATCATGCTGGTTAGTTCAAGTTCCTTGTGTCTCCGGAACACCGGAATTTTGAATTCCGCCCCCGAACGGTGATTTTGGTGACATACCTTCCGCGCTCATGGACCACATGTCCGGGCCACCCCCGGAATGAGGCGTAACGCTGGGCCATGCCGACACATGGATCTCCTCCTTTTGCGCAATCGTGTTATACTTCAAAAGGGGTTGGATGTGCTCCCAGCACGCCAGAGAACCGACTCGCGCAAAGGGCAGCTCTGCCACGCTCTTCAAGCAGTGGCCCGACGCGTCGCCAAAGACGGTCCGCTCCATGTGCGTGGGCTTCATCTTGCGGCGGTGCACCTTGATCTCGCCGTCCCCGCCGATGAGGGCCTGCGCAATAAAGAGCGAGTGGTTGTCGTTCTCTGAAAAGCTGAGCGAGACGGCAATGTTGTTTTCCTTTGCGCAGGCCTGGATGGTGGCCATCTCGGGCGAGTCGAGCTGCAGCGAGTTCTTGATGTACTTCACGTTGAGATCGAAGTCGATGAGGCGGGTCCAGATCCACACGGGGTAACCGGGGATCCAGCACTCGGGGAAGGCAATGAGCTGGGCGCCATTGGAGGTGGCCTCGGTGATGAGCTGGCATGTCTTTGCGACGGCAGCTGGGAGGTCGATCCAGGCGGGTTCGGCCTGGGTGACGGCCACCTTGACGACTTTGCTTGTGTTGGTCATTGTTGCTGTTGCTGTTGCTGTTGCTGCGGGGGTGGAGTTGGTGATACGTAAGGCAAGGTTTGAGAGCAAAGACATGTGAAGAGGAGATGCAACTGCAGGTGAAAAGTAAAAAGGTTGACAGGCTCGTCTGGATTCGGACGACCTCTCGAAGGCTTCCTTTTACATATCTCTTGGATGGCGGTGCTGGCTGACCGGATGTGGGCGCGGCATGCAATAGCTGCAATATTACAGGGTGGTTCGTTTCCTGATGAAGATAGCGCCGAGATATGTCTACTAACAAGTTCGTCTTTTTCCATGCAATGCAGACCCAATGATAAGGAAAATGCGGGGTTAGAGTTTTGCTAATATCCATAGTCTTCCTGATAGCAAGGAGATCGTTTCACAATGCGACGGTCATAGGGGGGTATGATAGATCATGAATTCCGCTAAGCCTCCGTTGGCACCGCGGCAGTCAGCCGGGAGCGGAATGCAGACCTCCGCAGTGATACTCCGTCAGCAATATCCAGAGGCACACGACTCGAGCAAGGATGTCAATAGTGCATTATTATAGTGCTAATAATCTTGGATATCAGAGCTATCGGCACATTTGTTACGAAATGCTACTACGAAGGTGTAAAAGGAGCAAGTCAGAATCGGCAGACGTATCAGGGGCCGGAATCCTTTTATGGATTGCGAGGGGAATCCATATCCCGACGAACCCCCTCCCACCGGCGTAACCAAGATATGCCAGGTTCCAACCAGCCTGGCATTCAGCTCATCTCCACCCTAACGCGTTCGCTTCATTCCCCTATCAGTCCGGGATTTGACTAACCGGCCCAGTCGAACCAGGTCAACCAACATCACCAACTCAATAAGCGCCGCCTTCCCAGGGCCGATCATGTCGAGTCCCTTGAGACCCTTCGGAATGCAACTCAAGCCAATCACAATACCCAACCCATTTCTTTTCCGTTATCTCGCGTAGATCAAATCCATCTTGGCCGGCGTCGACGGAATATCCGTTGACACTCAAATAGCTTCCGAACTTCTTGCCCTCCACCCACCCATCCTTCTTCGGTCTCCACACCTTTGTCATGTTCTTCTCGCCCGCCGCCGCCGCCGCCGCCGTCGACCCGTCTTTGCCGCGGGTCTCCCCCTCCTCCACCCCGGAGTCGGTCCCGGCACCGATTCCCAGGGCCGGTAGATCCACGTCTGCCACCTCGCCCTTGCCCATAAACGTAAAGCATCGCATTCCGCAGCTCTTGCAAAAGAGAAAGTGTAGGTCTTTCTCATAGACTGTGTAGTCGCCTAGGTCGTTGTACGGGTCTAGGGGCTTCAGGAGGAGAAAATCCTCCGGGGCCGAGGCGAGGCGCATGTGAAATATTCCGGCTTTGTGGCAGGTGGTGCAGTTGCATCTGTAAAAGTCTTGATGCGTTCGTGCGTCGGCCCTAGGGACCCGCGCGGGAGGTTGGGCGTGTGGAAACGAGAGGAAGACGATGTACTGCGTCGCACCGCAATGACATGAGCCTCTGTAGGGTCGTCTTACAGGCTGCTCATCCATGGCGAAGACTATTGATCCGTCGACTTGAAAGTGTTGACTGGTCCTGGTCCAGCTACAGAAGATGCAATCGGGTGAGAGTGCTTCTTGTTCAAATGCAAGAGGAGCGGGGAAACTCGTGCACACGCGCCCTTGGAGCAACATGGAAACATTTGCCCAATTGGCGCGCTCTCACTGATCCCTTGCACAAAACCGGACATATTCGGACCTTTGCGCGGGTGTCACGCCAGCACAACAATTGCTTCGTTGACTGACATCAGGATAGTTCTGAGAATAAACAAACAATCTATCGCACTAAGAACGCACGTTTCCTGGTCACAACAAGTCCCCGAAAACTTGTCTTTGTCCTTACATATATTGATTTCAAAGTTCCCGTGATAAGGCCGCTTGCTTCACCTAGAATAAATACAGGTCATGGACTGGATTAGCAGACCAACACATCAATAGCACATCAGCTTCGTGTCCTATGCTCAACCAATCCATCAACTATCTACCACGGAATCGGCCCATGTCGATTCGAGAACGTCGCAGATGCTCCGTCAGGTCCCAATGTCGCTAAGTACACCGCCTGAACCGATCCCAATGACGCTTCATCAGGCCCCTCGTACGAGTTCATATTGGTCGCGCAGTAGCCAGGACAACAAATGTTAAACTTCCACATCTTATCGTCCCTGTACCTAGACGCAAACGTCATCGCAGCGTGGTTGAGCGCGGCCTTGCTCGAACCATACTCGATAAAGTCCCTCACAGGTCCCAGACTAGGGTCTGTTCGAATCGCAAGACTCCCCAGCCCAGAACTGACGAAAACAACGCGCCTGACCTTGGAAGACTCGCCAAGAAGAGGAATAAAGGCGTCTGTAACGGCGACGGAGCCGAAGACGTTGGTGTTGTAGACCGTCCCGAGCTTTTGTCGGATCGAGTCTTCGGGCTTGCCCAAGAGGATTCCAGCATTGTTGATGAGGACGTCGAGATGGCCAAATTTTGTGCGGATGATATCGACGGCTGACTTGATGCTGTCGTCAGAAGTTATATCGAGTACCAAAGGTTCAACGTTCAAGCCGGCTTCCTGGAGCTCCGAAGCTGCCTTTTTAATGGCTTCTTTCCGTCGCCCTGTCATGAAGATATGGTAGTCCGGGTGTTCTGAGGCTAATCGCTTGGCAATCTCATAGCCGATGCCCTGGTTGGCTCCAGTCACTAGAGCTACTGTCGGGTCTGCAGACTCTCTGGACATCTTGAATTCTGCTTCTATTTCTCGATCCTAATTTTCAATTTCTAGATGTTGAAGAAGGATGCTGGTCGTGAGTTTAATTGTGGTGTTTTTCCTATGATAGTGATGTGTTGATGAGAGAGCTGTCCACATGCAAGTTGGCCATTTAAATTGAAACTATAAACAGTTCCATACATTGACATGGAGCGCAAACGCGTTTGTGTTTGCGTCTCGTGACTTTGTCTCTCGAAATGACAATTGGTCAAATCACGTCATCTCAAAGCACTCCTGCGCAACCGACATTTTTCCTTTGGGAAGTCCATGAACGACAACTGAGACTGAGACTGGAGTCAGACCAGCCTGCTAGCAAAGCTTCTAAGAAAGTTGATCTACGAAAAGTCTATTGACCCTTGCCCCGTGCCGAAACAATCCTTCACCCAATGCAGATGCCGATCATGCTACTTCGTCGAAGATTCTATGCATGCCTTCCCCTGCATGAACTTTCGTCCCAACTTGACCACCTTGACATGGCCCGTATCCGGAGTCCGGAATCGCTGGGAGCTGAGAATGTTTGTCGGCGATCTGAAACTGAGTCCACAGATATTCGCGCTTCACGCTGGAAGCCGACGGTCTTGGAACTGGGAATCCTTACAGAGCTGTTCCCAAGAAAGCCTCAAATCACCAGAGAGAGACAAGGCCAAACAGGGGCTGAGGTCTGCTCAGATAATTTAAAATATGGGTACGCGTCCAAAGTCTGGCTCATCAGCTAGCAATTGAGCTTACGAGTTCGAAAACGTCAATACAACATACAGATTACCTATACGATGATGAATAACTCACTGGCAGATACTACAGCTCTATGATCGAAAGTAACAAAGGTAAGTAGTGCCCTATGCAGACTCGAAGCGACTACGTAAGCAATGAATAAAACATTATGAAAGCTGGAAAGAACTTGCTCGTCGACCTTCAGGAAAACACCTAATCTAATGCCATGCACTGCAAAGTAAAACAAGACTCAGAGGCAAAAGAGGATGGCCCTAACCAGGATTCGAACCTGGGACCTCTCCCAGGCGCGTCGTGAACACCCTAAGGGAGAATCATACCGCTAGACCATCAGGGCTAATTATTAAGCGATGTGCTTCGATGAGAGTTGGGCTACTCTCGACGTCTCATGGAGGCTCGGAGTTCAGAGCTAATTTTGCGAAAGAAAAAAACCCTCCCCCTTGCTCAAGATAGTGCCCGCCGCCAGTTTTGTCCCAAGATCCATGTCAAAAGCCCCAAACACTCTTCAAAGTCTATAATAGCTTGTCTGGCAGGGTAATACTCACTGGCCAGCCGAAAATATTGCAAATATGGTGTATGCTTGAACATTTGATCTTCGTAAGTGAGTCATTCTCAATCCATTGTATAAGGAACTGCTAGGTACTTCAAAAGAGTTTCTCAATTACTAAGCTGTACGTCCGTGGTGTGACTATGGTCCCGGAATTCACGTCCCGACATGATCTACTTGATATAGTCCTTGCTCAACACATACTTCGACTTGTCATAGCTCTTAGGCCAAACTCCGCTCTTCCCGGGAGCCAGAATACCATTGGGGTCTAACGCGTCTTTGATGGTTTGGTTCAACTTGCCAAGCGCATGATTGTTGAAGTCGTATGTATCCGCGATCTGATCCATCAGAGCGATGTGAGTACGGAACTCGCCCCAGCCGTTGTCAGCACAATCCTGGATCATGGTGCGGACGAGCCACTGCGCACGGCGACGCATGTCGGGATCCTCCTTGTTGTAGACGATGCATACAATATTGTCTGTGCAACCTCGCGTGAGTAAATCTTCTCAATGCCTCATGGTGACCGAGCGACAAGCTGGGTGATGAACAACTTACGCATTTCGCGCATGCCAATGCTGAGAATACCAAAGTAGTCCAGCTTCGCCTCTGCAAAGCGCTTCTTGGCCATCGTGTACTGCATCATGGCAGACTTGCCATCAACCTTGGAGATTGGCGAGAATGACAAGAATGTGCAGTGAGGGATCCATCTGAGTACACTGGTCAATGCTGCGACGTAGGCACGGGGCGTTTGGACACTTACTGGTTGAGCCACCTGAGCTCATCCCATGTCGGCAAGCCTCGCATAGTGTCAGCCCGGCAATGCAGGGTGCTATGATCCTCTTTACGATCCTCGAGCAGGAACCATCGACTTCCGGGAACCTTGGTCATCTCACGCTTAGTGATTTCAAGGTGGGCTTTGCGGATCGGCTCGGGCCCGTAGGCTGCACCAATGTAGACCCATCGGCCAAGGTCGACCTTCTTAGCCGCAGCATCCAGTTGTTCTTCCGTTAGGGGGGTATTGGGATCATCAGTGTACGCTGTGCGGGGGTGGTAATGCGATGCATCGAGGGAGATGTGACGAAGACTAGCGGCATTTTGGAGAACCATATTCTACAGAGTTTGGTGAGCTGCGCTACGTGGAGAGTCTCAGGGGAGCAACTTACAACACGGAGCGGACGAATGATATCGACGACAGCCTCAAGATCTTCATCCTTCTCGTATGTAACCATGAAGGGAGTAATTCCCGGCGGTGCAGGCATGAGCTGTCCATCAGTCAGTTTCGCCTCATCTTAGGGCCAACGTAGGTAGTCCTCCTCTTCTGGCTTCCAACTTACCCACATGCCCATCTTCGTGATGATAGCGTTGTTACTCTGGGAAAAGATTCCATCGTTGATTGGCCCAAATCCGTAAGGGAAAAGTTGCCAACACTCGTTCTGATGCTGATCTTGAGGTGGCACCCCTTGAGCCGCCTGCTTGCGACCCTCGGGACTCTGCATGGCACCCATGCCCGTGCGAACAACCTCTCCACTGGCCAGCACGACTTCCATACCACAGTGCATCATCCAGTGATCACCGTATGGAGTGAAGCCAACACCATGGTCCAGGGCGTTTCCGATCATGGAGCCATAGCCAAGCTCCGGTGAGTCCAGCCACACCTTGTCCCGCAGGCCGTTGTCGTCGAGGTACTTCTGCATCTGTAGATAGGTGACGCCAGGCTCAACGAGACAGTAGCAGTCCGTGGCATTGACCTCGATGATGCGGTTCATGTGCTTTCCTAGGTTCATCACCAAACTTCCGGTTACTCTCGGAGCGGCGCCGCCGTAGCCGATGTTGTGACCTTTGCTGTAAGTCCAAACAGGAACGAGATATTCGTTACAGAGCTTGATGACTGCTTGAATATCTGTCACATTCCGTGGGTGAATGAGCGCGCTGCCGACAAACTCCTCACGCTCGTAGAGGGAGTGCATGTCGTGCGTCTGGCAGTCGACGGTTTGATAGTCGCCATCATCCAGAGGAGTATCTTTGGTAATGATCTGAAGGTTATCTTTTCCGACTGCCTTCTGAAGGCTCGCTGCGAACTCTTGGAACTTCTCCGTGGAAACTCCAGGAGGTAGAAACCGAGGAGCTGGTGCCGCACCGTTCGATGCGTGGTCTCCGTTCGCTGACTTGACGCCTGGTGCCATGATTCTGTCGATAGTCTAGTAGTCTTAATGCAATGATGAAGAGTTGATGATGAAATATGTAGTGAAGTCTGGAATGAAACCGGGATCCTCAAATAATCAATGCTGTTGCTGTCCGTAATCACAAGCCTGGATTCGCAAATCATTGCCTTGAAGAGGGGGCAGAGCTCATTTATTGATGAGAGCTTCCAGTCTATGACGTCCGTGAGCTTCAACCTAGCTCTAGAGCTCAGGATGAGCTGTTGCCAACATCCATATCATGACAGACCTTCGGAAGTTCGGCCTCCACAGATGACCGCGGATCCAGTCCGCGCGGGGCTGTAAGCGCGGAGTAGCACTTGGACTACTCGATATCAAACATCTTCTACATGAGAATGCCCGTTCCTGAAGAGAAGGGCTCTCTTGGAATTCCCCAAAGTGGCTGCGTGGCATTGAATCAAACTTTCAAGAGTCCGATGGGAACGTCCGTATTACTATCCTCACCTGACTAATGAAGGGCAGAAAGAGTCAAGACTCCATGTCTCATTGGAAGTGCAACTGCGGACTGCCGATAGTTACGGAAGGTGCGGCGACTTCGTAATCTTGGCCATCTCTGCAGCTGCCATATCGTCTGATCAAGTGGGATGTTTAGAGTTATGTTTAACTTGCCGAACTCGGATTTCAGCCTTTGGCCAAGCCTCTCAAGATGATACTGAGTAAAGAAGTGACGGGCGCCGACAAGAAGCCATCACTACTTGCCTTATACGAATACCCACGAAAACGAGTGTTTCGCTGACGAAGTGAATCATACGCTGCCATGGCTTATGGTTTCGCCTGATCTTTGTAGGTCTATACGGCTAGGTTGTCCTTGTTTGTTTCGAAGTGTCTCCGCGTTTTAACTAAGCACGCGGCTCACGGCTATCTAAGCTTGACAGCAGGCAGGCCACAGCCTCCTTGTTCAACTTCAAGATGAAAGTTTACTGGTTATGAGTAAGTGCCCGTAAGTAGTCAGCATATCCATGCACTGCCCGCAAGACGACGGTCCACCAAACAACGGCATTGCAGTGACGTTGTCGTGACTTGATACCGGATTAAACTCAATGTTGTTCTTCGCCTTGAACGTGAACGGCGACCCTATGAGGAGGAGGACGGAGAAAGTTGACCAACTGGAAGACTTCGGCCCTCGGTCTAATTTTTAGTTCCACGAGTATCTCGGTTGACGGAGTGTAACGTAGGTCTGATTAGGAAGTTACCACTTCAGGCGAACGGTGTTTAATTAAGATGCCCAGAGTATGGTGAAGCTATAAAGATTAAAGGCTGCCCTACTTCCTGCATGTCAGCGCTATTTGAGCATGCTTAATAACATTTCCATCTCATTCCTCTTGAATCTTACGCTGCACATACTTCCATTGACTTCAGCATGGCGCCAGCAGCTATCTACAATCCCGTAAAGGATGGTCTCGAAGCGCCACTAAAATCTCCTCAAAAGTTCAACGCCTTCACCTCGGGTGTCAACGATGGTACTATTCCCATTGACCCTCCACTCAACCCAAAGCATCGGTGGTGGTGGGATAAATGTGCACCACTTCTCAACACTCTGCTCAACAGCGCCGAGTCATATACACCGGAAGAAAGGGCAGACCACTTACGCGTCTTTCGCGATGTTGTTGTGCCTTCGTTCGGGATTCCGACACCAAAAGCAAAAGCAAGACCGCTTTTGACTTACGATGGATCTACTTTCGAACCATCTTGGAACTTCACCAAGGGAGATGACGGCGTAATTCGTTACACATTCGAGCCCTTGGGAGACACTGCCGGTTCTACCGATGACCCCTTCGCTGGAGAAATTGGCAGGTCCATGATCCCAATTCTCTCTCAAGTCTCTTCCGACGTCGATATGCGATGGTATGAGCAACTCGTTGATGCATGGTTTCTCACACCCAAAGAAGCCGCAGCTGCTCGTCAAGCGATGCCTTCTTTCGTCAAACGCATACCGCAGCTTTTCCTTGCCTACGATATGAAGCGTTCGAAGCGCATTCTCAAATCCTACCACTTTCCCGTCCTCAAGCACTTTGCGACAGGAGCGACGACGTCAGATCTCGTTTTCGACATGATCCCCAGGTTACAGCCTTGCGGAGACAGGCTCGCAGCATCGGCTGCAAAGTTGCAAAAATATTTGGCGACGTGCAAAGAGCCGTGCATAGTTGAGATGATGGCTGTCGACTGCATCGACCCCAACAAGGCGCGCGTCAAGGTCTATGCTCGGACAACTTCAAACGCAAAGTCAGTTCTGGCAGACGTCTTCACCCTCGGTGGGGCCCAGACCGACGAGGCCACCTTGAAAGGCGTAGAGACCGTGGAAAAGGTGTGGCATCTGCTCCTCGACGAGCCACAGGGCATGACGGCGGAACAACGAAAAGACGCTTGCGATATGCAGAACCTGCACAAGGGCATCTGCTTTGCATTTGAGTTGAAGCCGGGAGCGGAACGTATCGATATCAAAGCACATTTGCCATGGGGCCAGACTGCGAGTAGCGATGCGCAGACCATGAAGAACTTTGCGCAAGCTCTCAGAAATTTGGGATGGGACGAGTCTGCAGACAAGTTCTACCGAGGGGCGACGGAAACTTCAAAGCTGTCAGTTGAACCAAGAATATCACTAAACTTCTTACAAGCGCTAACAATTTCAAGACCTGGTAGGGACTACTCTAAGCCTGGCGGGCTCTCTTACGTCTCGTACAACTACAATGAGACTGGGCCATACATGTCTTCTTACTTCTCTCCGAAGGTACAGGGGGACTAAAATCGGACCGGATGATGAAGCTGCTGGTTAGCTATCTATATTGGTGACGAAGCGTGTTGATAACGAGGCGCAATGTAACAGGGTGATGTTGGCGAGAGGAGCCTAGAACCCTCCGGATATTCCCCTCGGAGTTTGTACATGACAGGATATACGCTTGACTTGACGCTATCTGGATATGACGTAGATTATGTATGTGTAAATTATTCAATCTTTGATGATCAGTTATCCCAGATTTCTCCTCGTTCACTCCTTAAGCACTCCTGCTATGCCTAATAGTGAGCAATGTGCAGAATCGTCGCTTGATAATACTGTACACCTTAGGTAACTTAAAGCACGACCTATTCGATAATGCAGTCCCGAAAAAGATGTATTCGAGTCAAACAAAACGGTCCAGAAAACGGACCTCAGGATTCGTGAGCTGCCATTGCTCAGCTGGCACTGTCTGGAATTGAAATCCTTCCACAACCATCAATGATCAGTTCAGTGTAAATCTGGATCTGACATTTACAGCGACATGTACATCCTTCGTCTCTGCCTGGCAACTTGGGTACTGCAACTGCAGCATTGTAATCAACTACGACTCATATTTAGGGACACATTGTTAACGTGGCTGGAATGCTCTTATTTCTCGCATCGCATCGGACATGGCATTAGTCCGTGAAGACCCGCCGAGTTGATGCCGTCCGCAATTGCGGAGGACCGAGCACTGGTGTTTCCCCGATGACCGCCGGGATGATCAACGGACTAGGGCCACCGGGGCAACGGTATCAATGCCGCGGTGATCAAGGAGATGCTACGGGATACAACGTTGCCCGCCGGTGCCCCATGTTTCAGGTGTATGGCACTTCCAGGCTCCGGGAGGCTAAAGGCCGGCGGCCATGCAAACCTGACGGAGCGACGTAGAGAGGAAACGAAGCCTGGAGCGAGGTGCGAAAGCGATCAACGAGAATGCGACGGGATGGCCGTGCCGAAGGCTGTGGGCTATGTCAAGTCAAGCAGGGTACTGAAATGTTTCCCGTCTCCTCCTTGTATGTTTATGAAACTTAGACTTTGCGGAGGTCCTTCGTCGATCCCCACCTCATCGCCGCTTTGTCCGCCGCGTGGTTTCGAAAGCATCGGATACCCTAAAACGGCAAGCTTCTCTTTGCGAAGTCTACCGCCTACTATTCTATGTTTCTTTCTGTCAGTCCAACGTCAACGTCATAGCCTACATGCTCCGCTGTCTGTGTTCTGCTTGCAGTAGTCTCACAATAGATGCAGAGCTTCCGCTCCCGCCCCCCATAAGGCAAGTGACTACCCTTGTCAAGTTCGTCTGAAGTTTTGAAGGAATGCTTGAAACCTCTTATTCGGCAGTCGTACTCCACTATTCTATTTGACAGGGCTATCTCGCAACTAGAAACATCGGGGAAGAGCTGAGGCCCTGAGTTCGCAATGGCGCCAACGACGCGGCTCCGGGACCCAGTGCAGTGTTTCCTTCCAGAAGATCGCCGTATATGGCAACCCCACAGCAATACAGCCGCAACTTTCTCCGGTTAGCATAACCTTGGACATTGAGGGTCTAGGCGTGGATGGCCTGACGTGGTGGCAGCCGCGGGAGTCCCCCAAAACGGACATAGGATGTGGCACTCCACCGAAAGCCACCGGGCCGCAGTGTCGTGCCGTGAGATCATTGTCGGACTCATGCCTTCAATGTCATGCATCTACAGAATACCGGGTAATGGACAACGGCTCCGTAGAACACGGGCCCACGTTTGGCAGTATATAATCAACCTTGAATCACCTTCTACAGCAGCTTTTCATCATCGTCATCATTCATCAACCACAATCACATCCACACAAGCAACCAAGAACTACTTACAATCATCAACCAACCACTCCAAAATTACTCTCAACCCACCTCAATTAAACACTATCACTATGTCTGCACCACCTGCCGGAGGCGTTACTGAGCGCATGATTATCCCCGTCAAGGGAACCAAGGAGGACTGGAAGGAACCTCTTAAGACCTACCTTCTTGCTCTAAAGACTCAAGACGGTTACCTTCGCACAAGATGGGGACCTTGGTCCGAGAACGAGCAGGTTCTTGATCTCATTTCCGGTACGTTCAAAGTCACTTATCCCATGCAACCCGAACATGTCTAATTTATCCCAGGCTGGAAGTCAAAGGAGTCCCGCGACAGCTTCTTTGCGTCTTCTGAATGCGCAAAGGCGATGGAGCAATTGAAGACAGTCATGACCGGCCCCGTCAAGTCATACTTCATCAAGTTTGTCCCGTACGCACCCAGAGCCGCCATCGACTCTCCCATTGCCGAGACTATCACAATCAGCGGCTCCACCATGTCTGAGGATGACATGCGAGCTCAGTTCGAGAAGGTCCGCGGCATGGATGGCTTCAATGACTTTGCCAGCGGTTTCTCGACCGAAGAGGTGGACGGTGGTGGCAAGGTCTTCGTCGCGGCTCTGGGATGGGAGAGCCTGGAGAAGAGCAGAGCTGCCGACAAGTCTGTCTACATTCCTGCCAGCGGCAAGGTGGAGTCTCACCACGTCAACTTCCACTACCCCATTAAGGGCTTCTCTGTTACCAACACCCACTAGATGAGGTATTCACGACGCATTTAGATTGGAATCTAGACGGATCATTGGCCGGTAGCGATAGTCCAGTAGCTTGCAATTGACTTTTCTGAAGCCATAGCTTGAACTTGTGATGTTTTCGTGTTGCGATTGTGACTTGCCAATAGTTCGTCTAACCTCTGAAGTTCAAGTAGTGCCTGAGTATTGGCAACCATGCTAAAGACCTCAAGGAAAGCATTTACGAAGTCGTCGACGCCATTTCAGATGCCAAGACGGCGCTCAAGCTGGTCCCACGCACTAGGATTGATCCACCGTGCATGTATTCCCGCACAAGGGGGGCGGGTGTCCTTCCCACAGCACCTGTGTCGTGACATAAACTTTGAGTGGCCGACGAGCCCGATACATATCAGACGGTCTGAGACAGATGCGGATAGAAATATGCACCGAATTGCGAGGTTGACGTGCCCCAACAGACGTAGATGCGTTCGACGAGTGACGCTGCTTGACAGACGACGAGGTTGTGCACCTTGTGCTCGGACTCGGGGCGGGAAGATGCTTCTGTCAAACCGGGGGTCCGGCCCAATGATCAATCCTACACACAACAGGCGAGCGGTTTCCGCGAGACTCAGATACAACGACTTCTCACATTTAATGTCTTGAATGCATGAATGCTGACGCGGTTAACGGCTCTTTCGGGTGACTGTTCTTCGATGGGCGCGGGCTCTGGCCCGGGAACCCGCGTATCCTTTAACCGGCTTAAATACTTCACCAGAGACGCAGTTGATATTGTCTGCGCCAAACCCAGCATCGACAAGATCTTCCAGACTGAGTTGCTCTTATCAGTCTTACTGTCGTAGCAGAAGCAGTTTTCACAATCACAATGGCACCTAAAATTCAGAAAGTCGCCGTTGCAGGAGTAAGCTCGTGTCCCAAACATCGTCTAACCAAATGATGTGTAACTGACGATGAAAGGCAACTGGAAATGTTGGAAAAGCAACTCTGAAAGCATTACTTACAGACGGGTTTGATGTCACTGTCTTGGTCCGCAAACAGGGCTCTTTTCCTGACGGTGTCAACGTCAAGGTGGTCGACTTTGCTTCTCCTGATGCTATCAAGGATGCGTTGCAGGGCCACCAAGCTTTTGTGGACTGTACTCTTGTCCATGACGATACTCCAACAAGATTGATAGATGCTGCTGCCGCGGCTGGGGTCTATCGTTACATTCCATCAGACTTCAGCTTGGACTTCAACAACCGCAACGTTCATTCGGTGCCCGTTTTCTTCAAGAAAGACATGAATGACAAACACTTGCTGAAGAAGTGCGAAGAAACTGGAATGACCTGGAGTGTCATATGCAACGGTGCGTTTTTGGATTGGAACTTACGGACCGGCTTCATGAACATCGACATCTACAACAAGAAAGTCGACTATATCAACGAGGGGGGTAATGTCCACGTCTGGACCACCCTCGAATCAACTGGCAAGGCCGTGTCGGGGGCCCTCCTTCACCACGTGGAGACGGAAAACAAACCTGTTTACGTGCATTCTGTCAACAAGAGCCAAAAGCAGATGGTGGACCTGTGTAAGGAGGCGTTGGGGTCTGACGGCTGGACTGAATCAAGGTCGAATATGGACCAAGTATTCGCCGGAGCTTTGAAAGAGTTCCAGGCGGGAAACTACAGTATGAACGTTTTCGGCGACATGATACGCTATGCGAACTCCAGGCCGGACTTTTCCTGCCCTTGGCCCAGAGACGACAATCCTATACTTGGAGTCCAAGAAATGTCAGATGATGAGGTGAAGAGTCTAATAAAGTCGATTGCCAGAGAAAAGACAGCTTAGGGATACAATCTGTACTATGGATTAGCAATACAAGATGTCTCCATTTGAGTGTGTACCAGACCAGTTCATGTGAGTAGGAGAGCCTTCAAAATTTGAGACTTAAGCTTACGGACTCCACTTAGAGGCTGTTTCCACAAATGCTACGATGAAGTTGCGAATTTGACTTGTCACATGGTTTGAGAGTTTCATAGTTTCCATCTGCCTAGAAAGCTTCTAGGTTCAAGAGGATCTCGGAAATTCAAGGAGAAGATTTCAGTATGATACCTCTCCCTCCGGATTGAGTTTCCTGGCTGGTATGACTGTCCTCTTGTGACTATGTGTTCAAGTCATTGGTTGTTCTTGAAGACTTCAATATCAATTTACAATAAGCTCTTGCAAAAGGCTCGCAGCTTGGTGCTGAAGAACCAGAGGTAACTTCAAAGAAAAAGTGGCAGATTTGCAACTTAAATGCCTGGAGCACGTGAAGCAAATCTCTTTCACATCTTACTATTCGGGAAATCTGTGGTGTCACCAGACAAGTCTCGTCATCGTAGTGAATGGGGTGGCAAAGCTCCATAACTTATCGTAGACATGAAGTCAAACCTTTTCAATAGAGCAGTAATAGGTTTCGCGAATACGGCAGTAGCGTACAAAGTTGCCAGTCCTCGACCTCTCAACCGACTGTCAAGTAGTTCCCTCCCTTTCATGACGTATTTTGAATGACTGACTCCGCTGGGTGTACATAACCATTCTCGTGACTCAATTCTGCTCTCTCGTCAATAACTACTGATTCATGATGCCTCAGTGTGAAAGGAAACTAAAGATCTCTGCCCGCATGTGAATCATCAATGGGCAGAAAACCTTGCCCGAAACCGAGCCTTAGCTTTCGACGATCAACGTGGAGATAACTCTATCAGACTGTGTGCTTGACAGAAAGTTGCGGCACGGGCCTGGTCAGGTGCTGAGAGAAAGCCATAAATGCAGTGGAAGTGGAAACACTAACACTTACTCAAGTGGGAGTTTAGGAAGGAGAGCATTTTGGCGTTTCTTTTCGTAGCGTAAAGTCAAGTGCGCTTTAGATGCTCCTAGGGGCCCTTGATCACTCTATCAAATGTCCGGAAGTAAGTTGACATACAGGCCCAGGTCTTGCTTCAAAGAGTCTCTAGCCAAGGCTCATAGATGGAAGACATGACTGTTGAATCGGTACTCTGATAATATAACCGAAACAGAGGAGGGCATGTGGGTGAATGAGTTGATATCTTGCTTAAACCATTATCAAGTGTTTGTCACAATCTACTCCAAAGTCCAAACTTAATTATGAGGCTATCATTAAAAAGAAACGTATCAACAGATCTGGAGTGGGTTCAAATTGCCGTCTTATGTATCCTAAGTATTCACAGCACACTCGTCCTTGAATTATGTTAGGCAATAGTCGAAGGTTAGCTCTCCTCTACTCACTCCTACACTTAATCGTAGAATAGTCGCTGAAATGGTCAGCTGTCTCAAGCTAAGCAAATTGATGCAAAGATCTGCAGACGCAGACGTCAGACTTGGCCGGAGTAGTCCTCTTCTATAGTCAGTGGGCAGAAGATGAACTGCCTCTCAAACAGCCAGATCTCAAGGGTGTTGTTTCCGGTCCCCCGGAAAACTAGTTTGCCATCTGCACTCTACAAAGACCAGCTTCGAACCGCATGCAGTCTTCGTCCGTGTCGACCCTCAAGAACCAATCACTTGTCCACGCTTCCCCGGCAACCCTGAACCAAAGAAGCACTCTATTAAGCTTGCCATGTCTCTGGGAGCCAATGACTGAACCAAGCTGGTTCGACCTTCCTGAAAAACATATTGAGTTTATGCAACCTCGCGGTATAATCCAATTTTACCGGCGGGCCAAGTAGTGAACGTAGGTTACGCAACTTGCCGCCGCCGCCCTCCTCGATTATCCCATGGCGCCGGAGCATCAGACGAGTCAGTAACAAGACCCTGACTGGCCCTGCGATCCTTTTGGTTTCACTGTCGAAGCGGATCGGTAGCACTCGCACAGCATATAAGCTTTCTTCATGAGGTGGTTCTCAAACCTTATTGTGGCAGCATTTGGGGTCATGAACCTGCATATCCGACTGCAGTCTGCAGCTTGCAGATGATGGCGCTCGTCTTAAGTACTAGCGGGCATCCTTTACACTCTTCTTAGTAAGGTTGCGTGCGCCATCGCATCTTCCATCCCGTCTCGCTGACGCCGCCGCCGCCACTCGGTTGTGTTCCTCCCGCATAATGCCTTCCCCAAGGTACGAACTATTACTAGCGTCGTCGATTTACCGAATTCCACTTCTCGAATGAGAGATGGCCGGAGAGACGGGAACCATCTCGGTTTCGCAGGTTCAGGCGATGGTTATGATAGCGTTCGCCGCGACCGCGTACTACAATACGATCGAAACCTTCTTCTACATTTTCACGACGTTCAAGCGCCGACGAGGGAGATATTTCTGGAGCATGGTCGTGTCTAATACCGGCATAAACATCAACGTGATCGCCTTCATTCTGCGATACTTCGGCTACTACCAGAAAGCAATATTCGCATCGAGTATCATTATACCGATCGCCTGGTACTCAATGGTCACAGGCCAGGCCATTGTACTCTGGTCACGATTGCACCTAGTTGTTCACAGCCAACGGAAGATCCGCTGGATATTAACAATGATCATTTTCAACGCCGTCACGATGCATATCCCGGAGACGGTGATCTTCTTTCTCGCCAACACCAGCCGCAAGCAATACGTAATGCCGTTCAAGATTTACGAAAAGGTCGAGCTAGTCGTCTTCACCATTCAGGAGAACATAATCGCATCGGTCTTTCTATACGAAGGCTACAAGAGTCTCAAGCCGTTGAGCGCAATCAAACCCAAGGCTGTTACGAGCATGGTTCGGCACTTGGCTTCACTGTTCGCTGTTGTCTTCATACTAGACACAGGTTTGATTGTCCTGGAATACAGCGACAAATTCGAGATTCAGACAATGTGCAAACCGTTCGTTTACAGCGTCAAGCTCAAAGTCGAATTCGTCGTCCTCAACAAGCTGTTGGCGTTCACTCGAATGAGTGCTTGCGACTGTCGAGGCCCCGAGAGCATACCGTCTGCCACGTTGGCCGACAGCAACAATCGCACAAATGTTGGAAATAACGGGGTGATGCTAGTGCTTCCGGCCATCGAGCAGACGAATGGATCGCTTTCTCCGCTGCGGCAGACAGCGAGGAAGGACTATATCTTTGATGGACGCACGTCTCCGATGAGCACAAGAAGCAGAAGGCGGACGAGGGAGGGCAGTTTGGACATCAGCCCAGAAGAAGACAAAGCGACAGTACCAATACGTGAGAAACCGTTGGTGACGGACGATGGCTAGTCCTAGCAGAAAAGGAACGGAAAACTGAAGATTACTACTCACCATGAACTCGCTTTTCGGTCAGAATCATGCTAAGCGTTGGTATTCCTTTCACAGGGAAGTTGGTTCGAACCGTAGGGTCCTGGGGGTGACGAAGTATCAATATCTCTGTATTGATTGATTCTGCGTAAGGAGTAGAAGGGAGATTCCAACCGGAGGTTGGGTGGGTAGTCGCGGTCTAAGTGTACCCCCTCGAGATGGCCCATGCTCCGCCCCTACTCGCGGCCGAATTGGACTTCCAATCCGACAGTAGCATTGGTTTTATGGGATAGGAGCAACATGCCATAGGTGTGTACCTGAACTATTTATTGGCGACGCATTCCTGAAGAGTTTTCGTCTCATTCTGGTATCCTATTGCGATTGCTGGTTCCCCTGTCGTTACCTCGCCCGTGACCCCATACCTTATACGCAATTTCTTTTCTTTCCCGCTCACATCCGAACTATCCAACCAGATTGTGTCTGGAGGCAAATCGATATACTTTGAGTTTCGGACAATTGACGACACGTAACCCAGAAATTCGGGGCCGTAAGCCAAATGCGTAAAGACAACACTCACTGCGCCTCCGGCTAGAAGAACTAGAGCAGAAACTAAACCGACTACTGCCCATCCCTTCGAAATATCAAATACCTCCACCACAGTGGTAGTCTCTCCCAAGGATGGGACAATAGGCTGGAAAGTATCGCCCCCGATAGCGTATGGACGCTGGCCTATGGCTACACATGTGTTGAGAAGCTGGCTAAGGCGTATACCGACTGTGCTGGGGTCGATCTCTCTCATCGTGACATCCGGACTACTCGTGATACCCGCAAGGACCGGATCTGCGAGATAGTATATGGAGGGGTCGGTTCCCTCGGCCAGAGTCCTGCCTGTCGCAGCGGGTAGGTCTCTGGAGATATAGTTGAAGGCTCGTGGAAAAGATAGGTGCGATATGCCTTCCGGAGAATGCTGCCTCTGAGATGGGCGCTGTTCCACCACCTTGCAGCTCTGCTTGCCGTTATCATCCGAGCAGCTGATGCGAGACTCGACGTACTTTTGACTCATGTGACATGTGATTTATATTTCGTCCGTTAACCAGTATTGGGTCGCGCTGGCTCTGAGAGACAATCGAAGAAGGAGCCTGGTCGGGTCGACGTCTAGATTTGTTTCGTTGGTGAACACGATGGGGCAGTCCTTATATGGGTCGACATAGCTCTCTGGTCGCAGCGACTCGTCGTCAAACCAGAAACGGTCGACGAACCTATCAATCGCGATTCCCCATTGGGGAGAGTTGCTCGTGTTCCTGCGGTGGTCATACCCGTGCCACGTGCCATTTGGGTATTTATTTTTGCCGTCTCCATTTATGGCCGTTGTGCGGCCGATGTATTCATCCGTTACGTTGGACCATGCGTGTGGCCGATTGAGTTCCGTAGAGGAAAAGCGGTCGGCTTTTGGACACTCAAGATTAAGATAACTGGACTCAAGTGAGAATGTTGCATCTCCGGTGTTGGCGTAGCTGACGGGGATCCCGACCAAAGATGAGTAGAGTCCATAATAGGGATCCTCAAATTTCCCCACACATCCACTACGTCGAACTTATTAGTCTATGGCTCCAAGATAAGGATGGTGTAAAGATTTGCAATATTCTCGAGCGTACCCCGGTTCGCGCCGCCACTGATGCCACCGACTGATACCATTGAAGCAAACCAAGACCTAGATAGGTTGTCAAAGAACACCATCTTCGCAGGGTAGTTGTCGCTGCGATTGAGCGAATTCAACATGCGCAGGATTGCCTGAGCCCCAAGAGGAGAAAAGGTCCAAACAAAGACTAATCCAGCCGCAAGTAGGTTCACTATCCGGAACTGAATAATGGTCCAGAGCGTAGATCCGACAGTTCTGCTTTCCATGAGCTGTTCCAGAGAACCCAGGCTCCCTCCTTGTTCTAGCTTCCATCGCGCGGATTCAAGCATCAAGCGACCCACGACAGAAGCGAAAAGGATTGGAAACAGTGTCGAGAGCTACAGTACAGACGAAGGTCAGCGGAGGGCCCTGCTACATAACCGAACAGAGGTAACGCTCCAGAGGCCCGGGGACGGGGATGTAACTTACCACCTTGGTTGCATTCTGTCACGAAAGAGGTATAGCAGTGGATATCTCAGGGGTGGAGATAAGGGGTAGACAGGGGTATGGGCATACAAAAGGGGCTCCCTCGAGGGCTTCCCTTTTCCCCTTTTCCATAGTTGATTAGACCGTAGTTGAGATACCGATTTCCATGAGCTACTCTATATGCCGATTCGTGACACATTCTGCCATACGTCGAACCTTTCGCCAACTTCGGTGCCATCGAGGCGCCAGACGAGTATTACGAACACGATCATCGCTATCGGTAGTATAACAGCGGCGCAATCAACAAGAATTGTAGATGCCGTCATGTTGTTCTTTTGAATGCTGATGCTTTCAGGGCGCAATTTCGAACGCCCCGGCAAAGCTGGACCAGATCCTTCCGAGACCAAAAACTCGCCCCCTTCTCCCGTCAGCAATCAGAACCAGGACAATGAGGGAGAGTACAAACCAGTTGTGAGCGATTACAAGACACTTGGAGTATCATTTTCCCGATCGACGCGGTGCGTCTGCATTAGGAGACTCCGAGAGTCTTGCAAGTCGCTGCTCTGTCGGCTGGACATTTCAAGTGAACATGAAGACCTTGGTCTAGCCAGAAGTCCCTGGCGTGTGATGTCAGTACGTGTATTGGCGAACGTCCGTGATATACGGGCTTGATTCGAAACACAGCTTCGAAGATGGTATTGATGGAATCAATAACCTAGTCCATAAGTAGGGCCTTGGGATTTGTCCTACACCAGAAGGATTGAGCAGGCAACCTATCAATACCTAGAACGATCATACCGAAGCTCCAGTGGCTATGCTCGAGGCATTCTTTCGGCCCTGGACTCGTGTGAAACTGTGTGATTGGAGGTTGTGAACTTGCAGCTGGCTCTGGTCTGCCTCACGTCAGCCAGCAGTCCGAACCCACCAATGACGCCAATACGTTGCCCAGGTATTTTTGGACCCTCCCCCTGGTGAGTGGGGTCAGCATGTGTACAAGGTCAACACCTAAGACATGATGTGACTGCTTTCTACATGCAGGCAACAGTGTAATGGTCGGTATTACCTACTCAATGTAGTATTCGTGGTGGCTTTGTCGATCAGTACATTCAAGGCTACATAACGAAAGGGCCGGCAAAACATGGGCCGGATATTCAACGATGTCGACAGTAACCCCACCATCTATCAGAACGGACGAACCAATAATTAGCTCTAATACAAGCCTTATGGGTAAATGACTAGGCCGTGAAGAGAAGAGCTTGCTGCTCAGCCAACATATTAAGTCATCAGGGGCGGAGGTTCGACATGTGCTGAGGAAGTGTAGAAGCAAAAGTTGACCGCCTGAGTTCACATACATCGCAAGTCCTCTAGAAATCGCGTGCCGCCAGCTTACGAATAATCCCTGGTAGTTCGTCTACTTGTCCATCGCTAATCCCAAGGTAACAGAGTGTTCCCAAATCTGCCGTCATGGGGCCGGGCCAGTATCGCGATTTCATTAAGGCGTACCACGGCTGGGCCATTTCTTGACCGAACCATTCAATATGTGTCAGTGAGAAGCAGCGCACCGGCAACTTCACGAGCGTTTTCGGTTTTTTCTTTGCTCTATTGATTTTACTGTACTTTTCTTGGCCCTCGCGGTGTCGCCCTCGGTTTCGCGTGCACCCGGACAGCTGGGGACTGTTTTGTCCGGCCTCAATCCTCTGCCCATAGTACCTATTGGCGCTGACATTGCTCCGGTCGAGACTCTTTGCCGTATGCAGGGAAGGAAATATAAAGGGCACGGCACGGCATTGCGTTCATAAATATACGCTGGCAAGCCTCCTCGCTTTGCCCCGCAATACCCTCTTAATGGGAATCTGTATTCGTGCCGTGCCTCGGTCGCCTGAAAGGAAAGGGGTCACAGGGACCTAGGATTGCGGGCGAGGAATGGCCTAGGAAACTAGGCTTGTCAAGTTGACGCAATCTTTACCTTGCGGCGTTTCCCGTCGTTCGATGGCCGTAGCCGTAGCTGCGGAGCCGGTTATACTACACTTGTGCGGATATCCTGCAGAAAGTGCTCTTTAAGTCTAAATACGGATATGTTCCCACTCTCCCCTATTTCGCTACATAACCTCGAAAATTTAGGTTCCAACTTCGTTGCTCATGCTCGACGAAGCTCTAGTCAGCGTCGGACACGAGTAGTACTTCACTGATCTTGCCTATCCCATCGAGTGCCAATTGGCAACAGGTACATTATGCCCAGTTTTGACCCAGTTTTGCCCCCTCACCGCGGGAATACATGACGGTACGTCATCAACCCCTATATTTTCCCAGCTGCGTTCACCACCACAACTAACATTTCTACAGATGGGCAACTGTCGCGATGTCCTCAAGCGACTCTGATGCGTCTGATTCGTCAGCGCTTTCACATATCACCGTCGCAGTACTTCCCGAAGACCTTGATAGCGCCTGTACAGCTCAATGTAGGCCCGAGAGGTGTGATAACGCAACTGTACGCCCACACGAATCGCCTCCGCTAGAAAGGGGCACACCGGGCCAATTCAACCCCCTCGACGTGCCCTACCGCGCCGCAACAGTACGGGGTCTATCTACTACCCCTTTAGAGCTTTTTCAGCAGTATGTGCCTTTGAGGCTGGTTGAATCGTGGGTACAGTGGACCAATGAAGCCGCAGTACGAGGCCCTGTTCAACAACACTCACGATCCCACAGAAAAAAGACGAGGTCAGGGTGCCTGCAGTGTGGAGTAGCGCTTTGTAACTCGGATGATTGCTGGTACCTCTTTCATAGTCAGAGTATATAGACAACAGAAGTATCCATAATCTAGGCTTTTTGGTTGGCTAGAAGAAGTCTTGGCTGTCTCCTGAGTGGTCAGTTCCCCTCAAGGGCATGTACCTGTTGCCAATTGGCACTCGATGGGATAGTGTCCAACTCGGAAACCCTAAACGTGGCTCGGGTTTGATATTGAGGGGTCTCGCGTTTTAGCTTCGTTACTATTCGTTTTTGAGTTCTCCTAGGCATATGGTCGAGTACAAAGTGTGGCTGTTTTGGAAACATGAAGTAGTCCCTTCTTGGTTCAGGGGTCCGGCAAGTGACAATTTCTCTCCCTACGCAGCATATGCCAGCGAATATTGAACCGAACGCCTTGTGATTTTGGCGAGATTCGTTGAGGTAGTGTGTAATCATTCTCTTTTCGTCATCCGACTATCCAAAGCCTTGGCGAAACATGCCTCATGTTGACTGCTATCGACAGCGGTGCAGGATCAGGGATCTGTTTCCCCGTATCTCAATGGTGTTCATGATTACTGGTTCAGACGAATCGAATAGTTTCGACTAGCTGCAGGCAATCAAACTCATTTTTTTCTTCCTATTCCAACTTTGTTCGTTGACATTGGATGCTCACTATGACGTTATCATGTCAAAAAGTTTTACCCTATCATCTAGGTACTCGCTTTGGGTAAAGGATGTAGCATATACGGCTTCACGTAAGCACGTGGATAGGTGATGTTGAGAAACTTAGTGTCGGATTGGAAGTCCAATTCGGCCGCGAGTAGGGGCGGAGCATGGGCCATCTCGAGGGGGTACACTTAGACCGCGACTACCCACCCAACCTCCGGTTGGAATCTCCCTTCTACTCCTTACGCAGAATCAATCAATACAGAGATATTGATACTTCGTCACCCCCAGGACCCTACGGTTCGAACCAACTTCCCTGTGATAGGGATACCAACAGCTACCCAATGCCAATGCCATCGTTAAGGAATCATGGCTAATTACTAGTAGTACTATACAAGAAAACGATCACCGGACAGGATTACCTTGCAGTGCTGAAAGTCTCGCCGCCTGTCTCAAGATATTTCTTCTCCTGCACAGTTGACTCCCTACGCATAGCCATGTTCCTATGCGGGTACCGTCCAAACTGCACAATAATGTCGCGATGCTTCGTTTCAAAGTCACAATTCGTCTCCAGTAGATCCCTAGCCGCCTCCTTCTGCACCGCCAACACGCCCCAGCACTTACGCTGATCGTCGCTCCCGGCCTCCCCGTCATCAGCCATCAGCTCCTCAAAATCGTCCTTCATCTGCTGATACTGCGCCACAGCAAAGTCGTGCAGCGCCAGGTCCTCGGAGTGCATGAAAGGCAGATAGAACCACATGCGGTAGGCCACACGGTACTTGATCCTGTTGTGAGTCGCGGCGCCGGCATTGATGGCGTGCTGTGCGATTTCGCGCGCGACGGGATCGAAGAACTTGAAGACCGTCGACGACTCTGGGCCCCGGTAGATGTTTCGCGGGACTTGGTCTAGGAGGAGGACTAGGCCGAGCCACTGCAAAGGGGTGAATGGCCTCAGAATTGTGAGAATATCTCTGGTGGTGATCTTGGCTGATTTCATGGCCTCCAAGACAGGGCGGAACTTCTTTCTGTAGGTGCACATTAGCAACGTCACGTAGCATGCAATCTGGTGGGTAACATTACACGCAAGCCTCATCAAAATCGACGTCGGAGTAGAACCATCGTCCCATCTGGCTCCTCTGGGGTAGAATGTATGCCTCATCGGTCTTGAGATGCTTGAACCAGAACCGGCGGAGCTTCTCAAGCAGATCAGGCGTGAGAGTTTCCTTGAGCCGCGCCTTTGCGTGCGTCTTGCATGAGTTTGACCGCGGCAGTCCTCCCATGGTCAACATCGGCATCATCTTGTCGTCAGTAGTAGAGTCGCGATGACTGGCAGAAGTATGGAAACCGCGTCGTCTCGTAAGCGTCGTCGTCGCTGTCGACGAGCCTGGCCGGTGGCATGTCGAGGGAAGGCTAGCACCACGACTCCTCACCGCCTGCGACGTTGAGTTGTGCCACTGCTGCTGCTCCCACGGCTTCACCCGCAACAGACGGCGGTCGACGCACCCCGCATTTCGAAGGGTGCGACTGATGGTCTGATGAGGAGGCATGACAGCCACCTCTCACTTACAGGACGACAAAGGGTGACCAATGGGCGGAGGGTGGTGCCACCGGAGCTGCACTGACGTCGTCTCGTCTGGTGTCTTTGCTGCCCTTTCGTTTCTGGGGGAGGTCTGGTCAGAAAGGGGGAAAGAAAGTCTGGACGCGTCGAAATGCGGGGGTTGTGCAGGCCGAGCGCCCCGTTGTGCAAGTCAGGGTCCCTCGCTTGCCATACACTAATGCAAAAACGAGCGAACTGGCGTTGTTGTCGCAGCTTTGCTTATGTCAGCGGCTGGATGGTGGCACAGGATCGATTGGTTGGGGATGTGGCTTGGGGGCAGCACTTGATCTCACCAAGCACCCTACTACGTAGGAATCAGCATCATGGCGGAGGGGATCCAGGGCGTTGGAGGGCCGGTCGAGAACGGCCACACGTTGGAATGTGGCATAAGTAGATCAGAGATCGGCAGAGGTCAGACACGCCCGGTTGATCATGGCGTAGGGTTCTGTTCGCTCTGGACTCTGGAGAGACGAGTGTGGTCAAGCCGGAAGCTATGGTGAGGGACAGCTCAGAGTTAGAATTGACGTCAGTTGAGACTGCGCGTCTAAGAAATTGTTAAGAGAGAAATAACGCCAAAAAGGCGCTCACTGCGGCGTCTAACTCAAACGCTGAGACCCGGCTACAAAAGCAGTGCAACACATCTGATTGAAGTACCGGCATGGCTCCCGTGGTTGCCTGAAAAGCTAGAATGAATATGGCCCAAAATCGGGTTTCGAGATTATTGCAAGGTTGGACAAAAGCTTGGGTCCGGCTGCACAAGAAAATCCGGTACTATCATAAGAAACCGTTATAAGCCGGCCGAGCAAACCTCGGCGTTCATGCTCTTCTCCACACTGAAACCATGGAGGCTAACTATTCGCGAGCGTTAAGAATGCAGTGAATCTGGTACGCTAATATTCGCAGCCTCCGTTCCTCTTCTCCGGAAAGCACTAGATGACTTCAGCCGACGGGTAAAGAAATCCATTCCCACCTCGAGGTCAGCAGTCACACAGAATGCCCCCAAAGTGTCGCTGAATCGTTCACGGGCCGCTGCTAGTGCCACCATCCCGAACCTTAACAGCTTGTTTTAACGATGATGTTCGAGATCCCGTCCGACTTTGAGATGGGTTTCTGGGATCATTTCAGCTGTCATTTGTTCCGGATGAATATCATCCTGGAGACCGGCATGGCCGGCTAAACAAGCGTTCATGTGTAATAGGGGGACGGACGAGCTGCCTCTTTGCCTCTAATACTGTTTTCCAAAGAAAAAAGAGGAACTGCTTTTTCGGCCGCAGTGCCAGAGCATGCCCCTTGCGTAAATTGCGGAGAGCGTAGCAAGGATCATGCAACACCGGCCCCGGCTTGGTTCATTTACTCCCGACGATGCGGCCACTCAATCCGACTCCTGACATAAACCCGACACGTCCATTGGCGGAACCCCACAGGTCCTCATCGGTCCATCACGGCCGGCCGCTCGTCGACCGTTTGGGAAAGATTTCCCAGGGGTTGGTGGTGAACCACACATGGGCACTTGTCACCCCAAAACCGAAAAGCTCGTAAACCTCGCGCAACTGTGCTAGAAAGGCACGGAAGCAACTTCTTGAAGTTCCCACCCGGTCCCAAGAATGCTACCCACGTGGGTCGAGGTTAGTTAATTCTGGGCAAGGCGGTCCCATCGAGAAAACAACCCCCAGTTCCCATGCAACCGATGCCCAAATACCCATAGGAAACGGCACTTGAATCTCCGTTTTCCCCTGTCATCCCATCATCGGTTCCTGCTCTGGACCCAGAGAAACGATCGAGAAAGAATTAGATTGAAAAGGACGAGGTTCGTCCTCGCCCTTCCTACGATGCTCTCCTTTCCTCCCCTCTCAGCCTCACCAGCCTCTTTGTTCATACTCCGACCACCACATTCGTTCTCTTGACCTTTTTTTGTACATATCAGAACCAACCTGTCAATATGGTTTCATTCACTTCTCTCTTCACGGCCTCTTTGGCCGTCGTCGGCGCCCTAGCCGCCCCCGCCACCGACAAGCCCATGACCACCGACCTCATCAAGCGCGCTTCGACCCCCTCCTCCCAGGGAACCAGCAACGGCTACTTCTACAGCTTCTGGACCGATGGCGCCTCCCCCGTCACCTACACCAACGGCGCCGCTGGCGCGTACAGCATCCAGTGGCAGTCTGGCGGCAACTTCGTCGGTGGAAAGGGCTGGAAGACTGGTAGTTCCAAGAGCATCAAGTACTCTGGTACCTGGTCCCCCGTCAACAACGGCAACAGCTACCTGACCGTCTACGGATGGACCAGAAACCCTGTAAGTTAAACCGGCCCGTGTACCGAGTCGAGTGCTTCGAGCAAAATCGCTAATGCAATCCTCGACAGCTCATCGAGTACTACATCGTCGAGAACCACGGCGCGTACAACCCCGGTAGCGCTGGTACCCTCAAGGGCCAGGTCACCTCCGACGGTTCCGTCTACAAGCTGTACGAGAGCACCCGTACCAACGCCCCGTCCATCGACGGCACCCAGACCTTCAAGCAGTTCTGGGCCATCCGCGAGAGCAAGCGCGTCGGCGGCACTGTCACCACCCAGAACTTCTTCAACGCCTGGAAGTCCGCCGGCATGACCCTCGGTACCTCCTTCGACTACATGATCGTCGCCACCGAGGGCTACCAGTCCGCCGGCTCGGCCAGCATCAAGGTCGAGACCGCTGCTTAAATGCAGAACACTTTCACATAGAATGTGCTGTTGATAAGGGAGATATTGAGGAGTAAAAGGGCCTGGGGGTGATCAAAGCGTGCGATGTCGCGCACGTGGGAATTTCAGGGGTTGTCGGACGCACGGCGATCACGAAGGAAATTTGAGATGGCCTTCAGGCGGAGGGCGGGCCTTGCGGCTGTTTAAAAAGGCAGGATTTCTTCAACTGGGATCCCTTGAGATCCAAGTGATGTCTACAATGAAAATCACCTATTCCCCATCAATCAGTTCTCATGACGTGTCGGCCTCTCAAGCTCGAAGTTCTCCAAGACACCACAAGCATTTACGATGTTTGAATAGGGGGATTGATCCGGACTTCGTTTCGGTGTCGTGGCCGAGCACTATCGAAATCAAATATATTTGAGCCCACACAAGCAGCCAATTCTGTCGAACACGACATGCCCCCTAGGCGATAAGCCCAATCTGGCTGATGGAGACGCACTAGACCTTACCTTATTTCAGATCCACCGCGGCCCCATTTTGATGCCGAACAATTCTTCAACGCCAAACTTGCCCTGCATTTCACCCACTGGTCCTAGAATCCCACACCATGGCACTGACTTAGCCTACCAATTGCTGCCGACACAAACAATGTGTATCGAAAAGCCCCCGGCAACACGTGCTGTGTAAGCTGGCAGAGCTCCAGTCTCAATGTGAAAGATTCAATCGGTCCATTCACTGACTCGTTCTCCTGTCTTCACAGGCGCTGCGATACTTGACTCTTGGAAAAGTGTTCAAATTGCTGCTTAACACCTGGAGATGTGCAAAAATATGCACACATCGAATGAGCAACGACTTCATCGACGTGACGTCTTTATGTGTCAGCCGCGAAGCTTGACGTACGTACTTACTAGTCGTTGCTAATATGGCCGAACATTTGGCGGTTGTGTCGCAGAGGAGTACACATAAAAGGCAGTGCAGGTCATGATGGGACCCAGCTCTGGGAAACATGGGAGATCATATAGATAGCGGTAACCCAAATATCCTCCTTGGTGTGGACATCACCGATCTCGGACACAAAAGTCGGCTTTCTTTGCGTCATGTTGTCAACGACCTTGGTGTTTGTCGGCGATACGCCACCATCACACGATCTAATCAACTAAATCAAGCGAATTCCGGTTCCGAGTTGTGCGTTCTCTTATCTTTGTGGGGGTTCGTTGACGCGTTCTGCCTCGCCGGAATCGTTCCGATGGCAACCTACACGTAGGGTTATCTTATCTCACTGTAAATTGACACCGATTCTCGACACATGGAGGCTAGAGAAAAGTTAATATTGTTCGTGAAGCTTAGGAAGGGGCAACCGATATCAGTGGGTCACAATGCTTTGAAGGGCTGCACTGGAGATAGTAGCTCAGATCACCATGGCGTGTTTGAATGATTGAAGCAAGAGTTTTCGAGACAGACTCGGCAGACGAGTTTGACGGTAGGCACACCTCAGTTCCAAGTAACGCACCACCGATAGCATCATGGCCATCACAGCACAGCTGCAACTTTTCTTCAAATTAACACAAAGACGCATTTTGAGAATGGCAAGCCATCAGAACACTATGATGCTGTTGATTATCCGACGACATGAAGTACTCGAGGTCTCATCTAGTTCTTGTTGCGCTTGTAGTCCCATTCGAGTCCCCATCGCTGCTGCTATCTTTGGTCGTACTTAGACGAAACCTTCAAGGGTCTTGGAACGTGCAAAGTAAATAGAGGACTTATGGGAGAGCCAAACGCTATTATACATCGTAAGCGATATCCCAATGCAGGTAATTCTAACGAAATGGAAGTGATCTGCAATGAGATTTCTGGTTCAGACATTCAGCTCGCTGCATCGTCGACTTTCGCAAGGTCCAATACTGTAGTAATTTGGAGATGAAATTGTAACTAATGATTCTGATATCATGGGTCTCATGCTCTGTCTAAAAACAGCGCTTTTCATAAAATACACAGACTGATTGTTTATCTGATCAGCCCCTTTACAAGTTGCTCTTGATCGGAGCCTCCTTCTCGGCGCAGCAGCTCTGGTTACCCGAAGTCAACTGGGAGCCGATGTCCTTGTTTGAGGGCACATCAAGCGCAGGGTTTCCAGTGAAGAAATCAGAAGGCGTAATGTGCAGTTGAAGCATCTCAACAGGCCTAAAGTAATTGTTAGTCATGTCTTCATTCACAGAGGAGATCTCAAGCAAGGCAAATACTCACATGACGGGCCAGTCCTCGATACGAGGGTTGTGTGTAAGACCGAACACGCTCCAGACGACAACATCCTTGTTCAGGACATCCTCGTTCCTATCAGCAGCATCCTTGACACCGCCGACCTCGAGCTTGCTCTGCAGGGTATAACGACCACCCGGAAAAAGCTCGTGGTCCTTGTACTTCGTGACCCAGAGGTGGTGACGCGCGAACAGCGCACGCTTGGACTGCACGCTGTTGGGGTCGGCAAGCAGAAGCTGCGTCGGCGGCGGCGTAATCTTGTACCCGACGGGCTTGCCGCTGATGGGGTTCGGCTTGCTGAGGTTCTGGATCTTGAAGACGCGGTTGTTCATCGGGGCGGCATCGAAGCCCGCCGACGTCGTGATGGGCGTCTGCCTGACCTCGTACAGGTTGCCGTTTGGGTTCGTACGCTGGTCCATCTTCAGCGGCAGACTCTCCTCCTGCACAACCGTATTCTCGTGGCCATCGACGGAGGGGTCGATGCGCACGCAGAAGACGTGCTGGTGGTTTTGCGCCAAGGCACCCGGGCTGACGACGTTGCCCCAGGGGGCGGTCTTGCCGGGGTCGATGTTGACCACGGAGACGATACCGGTTGCACGGGCCTCGACGACGATGCCGGCTGCTTGGTCGAACTTGAAGTTGAAGATGTACTCGTAGTTGGCGAGGGTGATGATGAACTGGATGACGAGCTCACGGCGGCGGGTGACGACGGCACGACCGGTGCGCCAGTTGGTGTGCTTCCAGTTGATACCGTTGTCCTGCTCGTGAAGGCAGATGACGTTCTTCGTCTCAACGGCACTTCCCTTGGCGTCGGTAAGAACACCATCAAAGTACTGTTTACTTGTGTTAGTACACTGGTGTGACTATGAGTAAGGGTTGAGGCATACCTTGATGACACCGAGACAGTCACAGCCAAGGGTCAAGTTGTTGACTGCGTTGCCAAGACCACCATCACCAAAGTCAAAGGCTTGCTTGCGGTGGAAAGGTGGGCGAGGATCAGCATAGGGCACATTCTAGAGCACGAGTATTGTTAGTGGGGGTTCATGAACTGGTACCAAGTAACAGTGTTCTCGTGACTTACCATGTCACTCATGCTGAGACGGTACATGACGGGACGTCCATCATAGCGGACATCGTGAACAACAGCACCCTCACGAGGGTTGAAGGTAATACGCATACGCCACTTCTGCCACTCAATGAGGTTGCCATCCGTGATGGAGAAACTGGGACCCTCGGGCTGGACAACAGTCAAGGGCTTCAAGTCCTTGCGCGTGCCGTTGGGCAACAGCTCGGGCACGTACTCGCTCTCCTGGCAGTGGTCGACAATAGTGGGCTTATGGGTCTTGCCCTGGAGGGCGTCACCCTTGCCGCCGGTAGCCAGCTCGTCGATGCGCACGATCTCCTTGGCGTGCGCATCCATGACGGGGATGAGGGGAAGGGGGTAGGCGTAGAAGTTGGAGTCCGGGTTTCCGCTCCTCGTGTCACGGGCGAAGATCAGGGCCTGGAAGAAGCGGCTGTCCCCGTCCGCGGCATCGGGTGCGCCATAAGGCCACGGCTCGACGACGACCTCAAAGGCCTCTGGCAGCTGGAGCTCTGCGATCTTCTCCTTGAAGAGCGGGGAACGCTCGACAGCTTCGGCGAGGGTCTCGAACTCATAGCTTAGCACATATGCATGTTAGCGCTGCGGAACTCAGTGGAAACCTGGGGGCGGATGTTTCGAGGGCTAGACATACACAGTCAGACTTGCTTGGTGCTCGGAACCAATGATCTTCTGGTCAACGATCTTTCCCATGCCCAAGTCCACAATAGACTCGGTGTACTGGGCTTTGCTGGCGCCACCAATGACATCGTAGAAGGCTTGTGCGCATCTCGCCGGTCTCGGTGAGGAGGCTGTGAGTTTACCAGAATGCTCGAGCTCCAGGAACTTGGTCACATCTGCTTTTGGCGGCTCCCACAGGTAAATCACTCTGAAGTCCAACACTGATCCGCCGTGCGCCGCAAGAACAATGTCTCGCGCCCGGTTGGTCTCTTCCGGAGACAAGGCGGACAGGGGGTGCGGAATGGGTGCCATCGTGGGAGAGGAGGTCGAGTAAGGAAGGTCGGAACAAGGGAGGGAGGGGTGCTGAAGAGGTGTGTGGCCGGAAGTAGTTGACAGGGTGGTGTTCGAGACTGAGCAAGACTGTGTCTTTATGAAGAATTCAGACAACTTTCGGAACCACCTATAAGAGGCTTGCAATTGGCTTTTGCTGATAGTGATACTGTGATAGAGAAGGACAGATGTTACGTCGAAAGTCTGGCCCATTAAATGAGACGAGACGCTTTGTCTGCTAATGCCCTCGGAAGAGTTTCCGAGCACAAGCTTAAGTGTACAACGCGGAAACCGCTCGGAAAGACGGAACGCCACCGAGTCAAGACAATGCCCCCATCACTCTCTTATCTTCAACCCCGGCCTAGATAAGCCATTGACAGAAGCTAGTGTATTAAAGATTCCAGCCTTGAAGCTTGCTAGAAGCTCTTGTGATTGACCACTGATTATAACAGTGCTGATGATTGGACCTTGTGCTGAAGATAAGGTAGACCAGGAAGCTGCTGCGGTACCGCCGGTACAGGATATCGTCTCCATTTTGGGAGAACTCGCGGCACTGCAGCCAGGTTTCGAGGCTTGTTTTTGGTTGAAAGGCCTGACAACCCTTTCGGTGATAAGATCAAAGACAAGACGGAACCGTCTTTGTATGTAATAGCCATGGCGTACATAACTCGAGAATCGCCCGATACACAGGGGTCAACTCTGTAGGATCGTACGACGACATAGTAATTACTTCAGAGTTTTTGTTAATCATGGAAAACGACATGAAGAAAGATACCGCGACTCTAGGAAGAATCGACTCTCAGTCCCAGACCGACGATGTCAATGGCGACGACCTGCGCCTCGCCCAACTCGGGCACACGCAGGAGTTGAAGAGACAATTCTCGTTGCCGGCACTGGGAGCTCTGTGTCTCTGCCTTATGGCAACATGGGAGGCATTGTCAACAGTCATTGCGCCAGCCCTAGTTAGCGGAGGCGCACCTTGTTTGTTCTACAATCTGTAAGTTAACATGCAAACTGGGGGTTCTTGGCGACACCACTTAGGCGAGACTAACATCGTGAAAAGCATCATTTCCACTATTTGCACTATTTGCATCGCCTCATCGCTCGGAGAGATTGCTTCGATTTATCCGACTGCCGGAGGTAAATTCTTCCTTCCAACGGTGTCAAGCTCCATTGTGAAGCAACTGCACCTAGTTCTCAACTCAAGGAAGAAAGTTGAAGGGCACTTACAAGCATCCAAATACTGACATTCTCTCCCTCTTCAGGTCAATACCATTGGGTCGCCGCACTATGCCCACCATCGACTCGATTCGCGGCCGCATTCACAACAGGATGGATTTCCGTGGGCGGCCAGGTCGTTCTGACCTCCTCGGCCGCCTTCGCAGCCGGTCTCCAGACTCAGGCCCTCATTATCCTCAACGATGATTCGTATATCCCACAAAGGTGGCAGGGCATGCTATTCTACTGGGCGATCTTGGTATACGGCATGGTTATGAACATCTGGGGTCACAGACTCCTTCCCACCGCCAATCTTTTGTCGGGTAAGTGACTGAGTATCCTTACTTCGAAAACGGGAATCATAACTTAAAACTCTAGGTGTCATGGCCCCCAAGAACTCAGCCTCGTTCGTCTTCACGGAATTCGTCAACTCCAGTGGCTGGGAGAGCGACGGCGTCTCATGGCTTGTCGGACTCATCAGCGCCGTCTACCCCTTCCTCGGGTACGCTCAAATCCCCCCTCCTGTGTTGTACACACACTAACACATCTACGCAGCTACGATGCCGCATGCCACTTGGCCGAAGAAATGCCCAACGCAAGCCGCAACGTCCCCATCGCCATGGTCGGCAGCGTCGTTGTCAACGGCATCATGGGCCTCGTCTACGGCACCGTCCTCCTCTTCTGCACGGGTCCCCTCGATGCCCTCCTCTCAACCCCGACAGGGTTCCCCTTTATGCAAATCTTCATGGACGTGACAAAGTCCTACGGCGGCGCGACCTTCATGTCCCTCATGATCATCCTCACTGCCGTGGCCGCCACCGTCGCCGGCATCACGTCCACCTCGCGCACGCTGTGGGCTTTCGCCCGAGACAAGGCCACGCCGTACGATCACTACCTCAGCAAGGTCAACAAGCGCCAGCAGATCCCCGTCCACTCCGTCGTTCTCGTCACGGTCCTCCAGATGCTGCTTGGGTTCATCTACCTCGGTAACACGACCGCCTTCAAAGCGATTCTGTCCATGGCCATCATCGGAATGTACTTGAGCTACATCATTCCCATCGTGTACATGCTGGTACACGGAAGGAAGAACTTGAGCCGTTCCGACTATGGCCCATTCAAGCTTGGTCCCGTCGTGGGACCCATCTTGAACGTCATCAGTCTAATCTGGATGACTGTGGTGATCATCTTCAGCACCTTACCCTCGGCGATGCCGGTTACCCCGCAGAACATGAACTACTCGATTGTTGTAATGGCTGGGTGGCTGACCTTCGGCGTGGTCTACTACATCTCGTTTGGGCGGAAGAAGTTCGAGGTGCCGGCGGTTGATAACGTTGTGACTGGGGTCTTCGTTCACACAGAAGTTGTAGTCTAAGAATAAATAGGTACGCGGGAAGCAAGAGTTGGAGTTTGGATAGATGAAAATGATGAAAACTTAGGTCTCTTCGGATTGTGTATCAAATCAACTCCTGAAATCGTCGTGAAATCTCCTCCGGATCCCCTAGTGACATCCCCTGATCGTTCCCTTCAAAGAACCCAACAGGAAAGTCCGACGGCGCCGGATGCCCAGCATTCGCATGCCCAAACGCATCGAAGAGGTTCATAAGATCATTACCCATGTTGAACATGTCTGGCATAGAGCTTGCCGTCGGTGGCCCAGACTCATACACATCCCGCGTGGCTTCCGTCCGCCTCCCGTCGCGCTCGCTTTGACCGACAGTCTGCTCCAATCCGTTGGCGTGGTTTTCATTCTGTTCCGTCTCTCCGTTCTCTACAGGTTGGGGGGCATCACCCTTCTCAGGATCGCTGCGCAGACCCAACGACTTGATGCTAGGCATGAGACCTCGAATCGTCTTCCATAGCCTCCGACTAGCATGCCCGTGACGAGAGAACCCCTTGACCAGCTGTACAGCTTTCAGAAACTTCTCCTTGCAAGGCTCTGTAAAGACACCTGGTGCGTGACACACAGCTAGGAGGATCACCGCCAAGGCACTCATCAGGAAGTAGTTGAAAGCGTGCTGCTGCCGCGCGTAGATGTCGCTCGTCTCGTTCAAGTGGACAAGTACTTGTATCGTGTCGAGGGCAATCTCAGTGACGAGCTTCGCGCTCTGCATGTCTGCTTTGATACCGGCGGTGCTGAGGACGTGGTGGCGGTGGATGAGCGTGCGCATGTGGTTTCCTCGCAGGTAGAGCAGGGTACGGAGGCGATGCACGCTGCGTGGCTGGATCCTGGGAGCAAGACCAAGCCTTGGGTGCCGAAGCTGCAGATCTTCTGGTATCGCGTTGAGCCAGTTCAGCGTCATGAAGTCGAGGAACGCCACTGTATCCTTGGGGATAAACTGCGACGGTGACTCGAAGGGCGGCAGTGCCTCCCAGACTTTGGAACAAAGCCTCCCGTAGGCAACCATGCATCTCAGGTACGGATACTCGTCTCCCTTGAGCAATCCTAGTCAGCATTGATGTCTGTGGGAATTTGATAGAAGAACAGAGTAACTTACCGGCTCCGGCAACTCGGGGTCGATGTCGCGATCGATGAGGCCGAAAGACAGACTCGTGCCGAAGCTCCATCGGCGATCTAGTACATACACACACCAGAAGCACCGCAGGGCCCAGTCCCTTTCCTTGGGATCTTTAAAGTTCTCGAGAAGTATGGCGCGGCGATGAAGACCGATTTCCAGGACTTCTCGTCCAGAGATACCAATCGATCTCCATGCTAGCAACTCCTCGCCGCAGTGGAACCAGTAGATACTCTAACGTTGAGTTAGCAAAAATTTGAGGGCCTTACCCATCACTGAATCAGTTCACAGGAGACACGGTACTCACCAGCATGGTCATGATCTGGAGCTCTTTCAGATCAATGAAGGCTTCCCCAGAGACACGGCACACGATTGGCTCCACCGCATCAACCAGCTTCGTACTTATGGCATTCTGCCCTTGAGCTTCCATTACTATCGACGTCGCAATCGCTACCTTCACAATCTGGACGTCCTTGAGCTCGATCTTGGCTCGATCACCGGTGGCGACCAAGTCTTCCCCAGCCAGTGGGTTCTGCTGGGTCCTGACAAAGTCGAGAATATACGGCAAGTTCGCAGAGACATCGTTCATATTGGTAAATGGGTACACAGACTCAACATCATCCTGATAGACATCAAGCAGCCGAAGAAGTTCGTCAGCTTCGAACGTCAACAGGCAATCAAGGTCTTTCTGCGACGACGATGGCGAGGCAGGATGCTCCGAGGTCTCGGACACAGCCCTCGCAGAAGCAGCCGGTGATGCGGATCTACTCGTCGCCGACGCATCGCGGGTCTGGATGTGCACGCGGGAGAGAGAGGATTCCGCGATGCGAAGGCTGAAGGCCGACCTAGTAGGACCGACAAATTGCGGCTCCCTCGGTTCGCTGGGTCTCCGGTTGGATTCGCTCGTGTATAGAGGGCTCGGGTGCTGTGGTCCGATGAGGGCTGCTGGCGACCGGGTGTTGATTTGTGTAATCTTTCCGGTGAGCTCTCGGAGGGACGAGGTTAGAGTGGCGACTTGCTCTCGCAGAGTTGCTACCTCGTCGCTCAGTTTCTTGTACTGTGAGCTGTCACGACTATTAGTCTACCGGTTTCGTGATTGGACACCTGGGCGCTTCATACGGATTGATGGAATCATCTCTCTCATTAGTGGCCTCGCGATCTCTCAGCGGCGTCTGTTGCGGGCCGGGGATGAAGACACACTCGGCGCCATTGGAGAGACATCGTCGGCACACGGCCTGATGGTCCTCTTTGATGCACTTGAGCTTCCGCTTTTTACACTCGTTGCTTTTGGCCGATTCCTGTCAGCGAAATGTCTTTCCGACGATGATCATCACCTCACCGAGGTGTCGATGTCGGTGTCGTTTGCTTACCAGGCGACCGGGGTGTACTTGGCCCTCTTGGACCGTTGCACTTCGGCAGATGCAGATGCAGGGGCAGGACGCTTTTGGACCGATGCGGATCCCGCGGCCGTCGACGGCGGCGTCACGGCCTCCGTCGCATCAGCGTCCGGGCCCATATCTGTGTTCTTCGCTTACTGCTGTCGCAGCCGGGGGGAGCGCGGGTTGCAGCTCCGCGGAACAGGTGAGGTTGGTCGGAATCGGTGGGGTGGGGGGTTGAAGAGAAGGAATGGTTCCGAGTTTCTCCAAGAGAGTGAGGGAGAAGGCGTTCCGGCAGTTATTAGTAAAGAACCACCCGCGCCCCCTTATCAGTTCGTTGCCGGCTAGGACCCTGATAACGCGGAATTGGAAATCCGTCAACGACAATCCTGCTTTCTTTACCTTACCTAGTAACACTTCGGCATCCGTTTCGAAAAATGCATCCGGCATCTGACTGGAAATTCTGTCCAAATCAAGCAACCATGTGGGTTGATGAGAAGTATCAGCTGGCAACGCTACCGCAGGGAGATAACGCAGCGCGTTCATCGCTACTGAGCTTCGAGGACGAAGCCTAGTTGGAAGGGGCGCCTTCTCAGAGCCCTCCCGGATAGGGGCTAGTTAGAGGTAGTAAGGAGTCCAAGCAACAAAGGAGCAGCTCAGATATATATACAGCGCAGGGAGTACACGTCGAGGGAGGAGCAGATTTCGGTAATTCATCATTCTACCCCTAACTGCAGTTGGCCTCTGAGAGCTTCCACCCTGCGTCAACAATCCCAACTTGACAGTCTGAAATCCCTACTCAGGAAACATTGATCAACTGACTATGTAAAGTTTCCTTGCTCAAATCACTCGCCAATTGGCTTCATTATTCCAAGTCTTACCTCAACTCCCTCTCTCAATCGACGCATCGGCACGTGAAGCCAAATCATCAGGTGGCAGTGTCCCTCTTCTTACTCAAGGTATCTACACTTGGTCTCTCTTCTTGCCGTATCACTCTATCTTACACGATGTTTCGAGCTCGTCGCTCGTAGCCAGTACGACCAGGGGAATAATCTGAACCACCAGCAGGAGTCATTAAGTCTTGGGCCTCAGAAGCCGCGATTGAGCCTCAACGCTAACCCTCCTTGCCAATAATTAGGTATCTCGAGATGCAGACTCGGAGGGCCTTGATATCGATTCCAAAGGCTTTGGTAGCTCAAATGATTGAGAATCTAGTCAACTTTGAAGGTAGACATGACAACCTCTACATGCTGACCTGGGTCTCCTTCTCGACACGCACCCTTCCCCCACAGACCATGTCGCAGATCATAGAGAATGGAACGCCAAAGGAAGGGACTATCTTGTTTCACATAGTCGAAGACAAGAACGTCCACAGAGTCGAAACGCAACCAAGTTATCAAGGCCCCTCATCCTATCCAAATCATTCACGATAGTCTCTCGGCGTCCTCAAGGACAAGCTTTTCTCTTACTCAACACCTCGCTCCAAATAGACCGTCTCCCCGGACCAGTCCAAGAAAAGGTTGACGCATATCAACAGCAGCTAGTCTGCCAGTCAGGACAGAGCGCCGCCTGAAACTCATACAAGCCATCGTTTTAAGAGATCAGTGACCCTGAATTGACCAGAACTAAGAAAAGAAGCCGCCTCTCCATGAGTTTAGAGACGCTGACAGCAGAGTTTAGTCATCCTCTTCCAGCCACCGGGTTCCATCGTCGGACTCACAAGCTCAGTACAAATCCAGTCTAAAGAGACGGCATTCATCAGACCAAGAAGAGGTGTATTCAAGTCCCAGACTCTGCCTCTCAGATGGCCTGGCCTATCGTCCTAGTTGCAGTGATGGTTTACACTCGACTCTATTCAAGGATGGTTTGACATGAGTCATAATTACTGTGTTGTCCTCATTCAACCTCTTGTGACACAGTAAACAAACATACCGGTAAGAATGCTTCACTGGCACGTACAAAGTCAGGTCACGACAAAGACCAATGAGGAAGCCAGAGCACGTGCTGAGAACAAATAATGAGGTGAAAGGTGATGAACACCTAGTTTGCTTGTTTCATGCTATACACCCCAGTGGGACATTTGCCACATGCCCTCCGTGTTCTTGAACCCATCCTACGCAAGCGCGTGCTGTGCGTCTTGAACCTAACCAACCATCCATCCAACCCATGTATATACATGTCTACGGGACGAACCCTTTCGTCTTCCCAGAGAGCGTGAATAGCCCTTCCCAAGTCCCCAACACCATGCAAGAAAATCACAAGATTGTAAAAATTCCAAAAATAAAAAGGGAGGAAAATCTCCTTGCGGAGAGGAAAACAACGCCTGTGTACCATATCGGGACCGCGGGAGCGACGGTTGCCATTCCGTTCGCCTCCCACCACCCCTTTTGATCCATCCGCTGGAAACTGTTTTGGTTGTCCAGAAACGTGGCCGTTTGTGTGTGTGTGTGTGTGTGTGTGTGTGTATATGTACAGCAATGTTTTCAAGGCCTCGGTTGCACCACCGAAAGGCATTCGGCTCTTGAGGCGCGAAATGCTGTCACCGCATTCCACTGAGCCATTGTGAAACGTATCGCGACCCGACCGGCTGAGAGAAAGATAAAAATAGAAATCGGTCGACGTCGAAGAAAGTCGGGAAGTGACTGTGAACCGAAGATAACGGAGCATTGGAATAGATCGGGCTGCGCGGGTGTGACCCGGAGTGTTTCCACCCGGCCGACTACACCGGGCAGCCGTGTTGATACTGATCATGATGTCATGACATGATTGCCAATCGAAGGAAAATCGTTTTCGCTTTTTTATCATGATTTCTTGTTTCTTTTTTCTTTTTTCTTGACCGACCCTTTAGAGGTCGCGTGGTGGAGGGCGGTGTTGGGCAGAGCCGCGTCATGCAGTTGGTCAACCGAAAGTCGGCCCAATGAACGCCTGAGCGCGGCCCAACAGCCCAAGATCTCAACCCCAATCACGATTCGCGGGAGAGAGTGCGGCACGAGTGACACGAGTTGCGAAAGATTCCCAAATTAGAAAAGAATTAAATCCGTGAGAATTCAAGAACGTTCCCAATTAGTCTTTAGTAGGCAGCATAGCCTTCAAAGGCCTCCGCTGTAAGCGAGTCCTGGTGGTAGTTGGTGGGTGTGACGGTGTTTGACGACGAGATGGAAAATGCCGTCTCGTGCGACAGACCGTTGTTCATTGGCGAGTTCTGACCAAACGGGGAAAAGGCGAAGGCTTCCGACGCGGAGGAGAGCGGCATGTTGGAAACAGCCAGGTACGAGGCCTGGGTAGTGTCGATCGCCGCCAACTCAGGCATGTGGTAGGACTGCGGGAAACCCATGTCGTATGTCATGTTCTCGCCCATGTGGCCAAGAGACAGGTCCATTGACATGGAGGGGTCGAACTGTTGGGCCGTGGCCTGAGTCTCCTCCTCGTCTTCCTCTTGGGCGTCGCCCTCGGCGACCTCGTCGTCGGCAGCCACAAACACCTCTTCCATCCACTGCTTCAGCTCATTCATGGGGGGCCAGTCGCCACCGCCCTTGCCGCCGCGCTTCTCCTCGTCGTCGCCCCGCTTGTTCTTGCCACGGGGAGTCTTGGGCTTGAAGTGCGTGCGGCGGAGATGAGCTGCAGCGTTGTAGTACGCGCCGTATTGCTTGCGGGCGACGCATTGCTTGCACTTGGAGAGCGGGTTGATGGCCTGGACGCCACTCTGCATGCCAACCGTGCTGGGGTCGCGGCACACGAACTTCTTGACGATGCCCTCGTGCTTAGCGTTGATGTGTCTGCGCAACTCGTGGTCGCCGCGGAAGCCATCGGGGTGATCGCTGCACATATCGCAGAACACCTTTGGGTGCTTGGGACGAGTGTAGCTACCCTTAGAGACAGCAACCTTGCCTTCCTTCTTAGCGGCAGCCGACTGGGACTTGACAGCATCGTGCGGCTTGGGGCAGATCTTTGTGCGGCTCGCATTTTGAATCTGCTGGAGGCGTGCTTCCTTTGCCCTGCGCTCAGTGCTTGACTTGGTGGATGCGTTGCTGGTAGCCGAAATGGAGCGCTCCATCATCGACGAGCCTTGGGTGAGGAACTGCTCATCGATGGGCGACTGCTGAGGATATTGCGGCGAAAGGCTAGTGCCCGCGCCGACGTAGGCGAGATAATCTGACTTGTTCGGTGACGTGCCGGAGGGGACTGCGTACACCTCGGGAGACATAAAGTCAGCAGCACCTTGCGAGTGCGCCGAGTTGATTCTTGTCATACCGAATGCACCGCTAAGTGACTGGTTGTCGAAGGAGCTGTTCTCCCTCGTAAGAGGCATGGTCTCGGCAGCCGATGTGCCAGAGCTCATTGACGGGCAAACTGAGTTCATGAGGCTGGCCTGTGAATTCCGGCCATCGTAGGGCGTCAGGAAGTTCTGCGGCGGCGGGACCATGGCTGGAGACGGTATGCTCTCGTCTTGCGCAGCGAGAAAGTCGAGAGGGTTCATGCCGACCTCTGGAAAACCTGCGTTCTCCTCTACAGGCGAGAGGCCCGAATGGCGTCGATTTGTTGGCGATCGCTGGAGGGAAGACTCGAACAAGACATGAGGGTCATCTTGGCTCTGATAGAAGCGATCCATCATGGGATTGGGGTTATTTGACGTCTGGAGGGGTTGCAGAGGGCCCTTGACGATGAAAGGGATAGACTTTTCTGATCTGTTGGAAGCACTTCTAGACATGCCCGTCATGGGCGTGGCGCGGGGGTGCTGCTGGGACATGACCCTCGCGCGCTTCACGGGATGGGGGGAGTCATCACTTGTGCGCTCCTGTAAGAGATTGTTAGCACAGACACTTGGTTCACCATGGTCACGAGCAATGATGATGGTGATGGGAACTGTGGTGGTGCATTACCATCATTCTTGTGGGTTGGGCAGCGTAGCCCATGTTGGACTTGCTTCTGGGTATTGTGGCCCTGCGGTTAAGCAGAGGAGCAGCATTGGGCTGTTGGTGTTGTGTGAAGGCCGCGGCGGCGTCTACATGGTAGTCCCCTTGTGACGGGAGCAGGTTGAAATTGCTCTGGGCAGCTTGCGGTGCTGCTGATGCATTCTGCTGAAGAAGAAGGTTTTGGAGGTTTGCCAGCTCTTGCTGCTTCTGTTGCATCTGCCTCTGAATCTCCTGGACGTTATTGTAAGGATGGTTCATGTTGAGTCAAGTCGGCGGAGAACAGCGGGGTGATGGGCGAAGAAGCTAGGGTGGGTTTGGTATAGTAGAGAAGAGTGAAGCGTGTCGGGCTTCTACTCGGTTGAGGTATCCAAGGCCGTCCGAGTCAAGACGGAGGGATAGAGTGTGGTGTTAGACGTCGGTAGTAGACGAGGTGTGATGTGACACGATGTTGCTGCAGCCTCGTTCTTCTTCCTCCAACGCATTCAAGGTCTCCCGAGTGACAAACTTGTGGAAACCGGGCGGGGAAAATTAATTGTTTTGCTGGGAGCGAGACAAGCAAGACAAAACGTTGTTGTTTGGCTCTTGTCTTTCTATGTAGTATGGCTGATGCTGCGCAGCGAAACAATGAGACCCGGCGGCGTCAAGAATTGTTTCCTGGTATTCGAGACTCTTTTGGTGGATTGTTGGGGGTCTCGAAGATTTGTGCGAGCAGCAGGATTCAAAGTTGACTTGACTTGAAGTTTGGCGAGGCGGGTTGAGGCGAGTTGATGTTCGATGGTACAGGAAAGTCTGTGGCTTCGAATAGGAAGACGATCGCAGGAGAATTCAGGAAGGCGGACGGCGAGAGGCCAGTGGTTTAAAGAAGTCGACAGGATCAGCAGCGCAACGAATGTCCAGTCATGGAAGTGAGGCTTTGCGGCGTCTCCACAGCGAGCTGGTAATGTCGGTGGAACAGGCAAGACAGAGCACGCTAGACGAGCAGGGATGGAGGATGGAGATGTATGTGAGGGTGGATGAATGATGGTGGATGGGGGAAGGGGAGGGGGGTGTAAGGATGTTGGTGTGGGTGGTGGTGGGTGGTGGACGTGCGTTGCATGTGTGTGTGTGTGTGTGTGTGTTGCGATGATGATGTGGTGGTGTGCGGGATGGGGGATGGGGGGTGTGGGTGTTTCTCTGTCTTTTGGGAAAGCTGTGAGATGGTTGGATTGGCCGAGGATTCAGAAGCATTGGGTTTGGATGGAGGGTGTGATTGAGACTGACGAGTGAGAGTGAGAACGAGAGACCGAAAGAGTGAGTGAGTGAGTGAGAGTGAGAGAAAAGTAGTGGTGGTGATGATGAGCTGGCAGACGAGAAACAGCCGCCACTAACAGCCGCGAGACCAAACACAGTGCCTGATGCTGCTCTTTCGGTATTGAAAATGTTACTGCAGTTCCATTAATGTTGCAATGGATAATTGCGCTGCTCCTCTGCTGCTGGGCTGCTATTCTGCCCGGCGGTCAAAGGTGCGGTGAGAAAGACACGAGCAGAAGGGGGGTGTGGGACGAGCGGTGGGAGGGACGATCAAGACCACGAGTGGTTGATCACCACCGGCACGACCAAGGATGAGGGGACGACGAGAAATGGAACTCTCGACAGCACAGCTGCCACAGCACCAACACAGAGGAAGACCACAGCCCAGCAGTGTATCCATACGAATAGTGTAGCAAAACAAAAAAAAGAGTGAGGAAGGAATACGTGGGCGGAATCGCAGTTGGCGGCAGAAGGCCGGCAAAGAACGAATGGAAGCGAGGAAAGAAGGTTAAAGTGGGTGCAGCCGCCCGCCCGTGGCCCCTCTCACTCTCACTCTCACGCCGGGCTCTCACTCCGCCTCTGGGTCTATCCGTCCTCTCAGTGAACTTGAAAGCTTGAATGACCTCAGTAGCCTCAGGAGCACTACGGATACTCTCATTCTGAAAAACAGAGGTGGACCTCACAGATCAAAAGCTGCTCTGCGACTGGATGGAAATTCATACAATTGCATTCACTCCCCAAGGGAACTGAGAGCCGTTGGTCTCCACTGAGCAAGTAGAAAGAAGATAAAAGGCGTAGTGTAAAGGTAAACACGCAACATGAAAAAGGGCTGACTGGGATCTGCTCGTCAACACATCCGGCCGAACGAAGCGTCGTCGCACACGGCGTTTCCAGTTTCTACCCAGTCTGTGGTTGTCTCTCTCTGTGTGTGTCTCTCTCTCTCACTCGACACCCCCAGCGGCTCCTGAGAACGTGCCCTCCTCCAACCGCATCTCGGCTTCGGTGACGACTTGTCCCAGTTTCCAGTGGTATTTTTGGGAGGTGTGGGTATAGGTGCTGGTCACCAGGGGGCGTGTGGGCACCGAACACGTCTGCTAGCGCGTGTGAGGCAGGGGTGTGACGCCTAATCATCTCTCCTCTCATTGATGCTCGCCGGTCACTCTCACTCTCAATCAGGTCTCTCACTTTGGTCAGTGGTCACTCACTCTAGGGTAGGTATCTCCATCTCTTTCTCTGGCATTCCCTAATTTGATACCGAGGGATAGGTAGTGAGAATTGGACTGGGCAGCAACCTTCTCCAACTCTTTGCCCGGCTGGCTGCCGTCCAGCTCGCCCACGGACCTCTCCTCCTCATAGAGTCACACCTCCCACGCGGCAACACAATAGTGAAATATACCACACTCATCCTAAGCTACGAGGATGAGCAAGATGAAGTCGTATTCAGCAACTCTCAGTTGGGCACTCTTCATCTTGAATCTTGTCCGTATCGAGACTGGCCCTGAACCCACGGCTCAGGAACCTTGCTCTTAGCTTGGGCTATCACGGCTCTTCTAGACCTCTTGCGCGCGCCTGTCTAGCAGCTACTAGGCCCCGTAGCTGGGCAGCTGTCTGTCATTGTCAATCTTGGCCCCGGAGGCGGCGCGACCTTAATCTTGAGCCGTTACCAAACTCAGCCTGGTGCTTGCCATAACGTTCCCTAGTGGTGGCTATCATGACCTGACCTTCATCAAAAAGT